CGCGGGACAAGCGGGCGTACTAACCGATATACTAACAAGGATTGATGAGCACTTGCCCCTCTAATCCAAACCAAATCCGTTTGCCAAAATCACTCATCCGCTGTACGAGTATTATCATAGCCAAATGATATGGACGGTAATCATCGAAAATCGGCTGATTTGCTGGAAGGACATCAAAGTCCTCCCAGTGAATCCTCAAGCGCCGCATTTTATGGGAAGTACCTTTTAACCGATAAATCCTTTGATTTCAGTGCTCAAGACCCACGTGAAAACCTCACCGAGTCGCAAGACGGGAGGACAGAGCTAAAGGCTCAACGATAATTTAAATAAAAGGCTTAGAGCCAGTACTGACGCTTATATAAGTCGTTCCCCTACACCTGCGGTAAAGGAGCAAATCTCCAAGGCTATGGAGCAAGCCCTCGAAAAGTTCAAAGTAGAGGCAAGAGACACATTGAGAGAGTGTCTACACGAGCAACAACACAATTTAGCCAAATATCTCAAGGAGACGACCCTGGCACTCGAGCAGCAAATACAAGAATTAAAAGAGCAAAACGTAGAGCCACAAATTATGCCTGCAGCACCATCGTACGCACAGAAAGCAGCTGCAGAAACCCCAACGGTACCGTCAAAAAAAAGGCGATCACGCTCACACTTCATCAAGCCGACCCAGCCAAGCCAGTTCTGAGTGACAATTATATAAAGCCGGCCGATACCAAGAGAATAATGGACGAACACATAGCAAAGACGTTCGACGATCGACTTCATATCACGGAGAACTTCATTAGCACCGCCAAACGTCTCCCCACAAAGTCCTTCAAACTACAAGCGCAAGACTCTAAGATAGCTATGGAGCTCAGAAAATTAATGGACGCGGTTTAAAAATGTATTGTTTTAACATAATTAAATACGATTATAATATAGCTGAGCCTCCCGCCAAGAAGAGGCAGGATGGCCGAGTGGTCTAAGGCGCACGGTTAAGGCGACAGCATCCGTGTTCGAAAGAGCGAGGGTTCGAATCCCTCTCCTGTCAAATATTTTTGTCCCTGGTTCCTAGGTAACCCTAGCTGACGTGGTCCAGGATGTTGTTTCACCGCGAGTCTGTGTGTTCTTGGCCTATTAAATGGTAGCTCTGAAAATCATGCTATGTGGCTCCAGTCATTCAATCGTTGCACCACAATTTCCGTAACACATGCTCACCAAAAGCACACCATACCACATTACAAACGCGTTCATTTGACCAGTAACTATGCATAGAAGTACAAATGCGATATTCAATAAAGTAGTCGAGTTCGCTGGACAGCCAGCGCGAGACAGCACCCAAGCTTAGATGATAGGGAGAGGGGTGCAGCCTGGAGTGCAACGTTAGCAACGCAAAGGTACCATGGCAACATATCAACGCACCCAAACCAATGAGACCGTCTGATTCCATGCCCTCGCAACACACTGGGGTGTTCTTACACTCATCTGGCGCTTTGTCAGCAATGTTTGCGGTGCGGCGCAGAAAGTACTAACCTTGAAGGGCAACGCCGATTAAGAGTGGGACTTGGTCACACTGGACACCGACTTGGGATGCAATGTCGCCGGTGGAGATAAGCGAGTCATCCTTGCCAGTGCTGGATTGGGCCTTCTTGTTAAGGTCGCCTTGGCAGTGTGAGATGGTGTCAGGCTATATATGGCTTTCATCCTTACAGCATGAAACTTTGCCGGTGTTGCATGAGCCAGTCTCGCTCTTGTCCTCCCAGCCAGCAGAGGCAGCAGCGATAATACCAACGGTGAAGAGAGTTTGAGCGATCATTGTGGAGAGATTGGAGATTTTGATGTAGAGAGAGAGCAAGAGCACCTCAGCTATTTATGAAACCGGCATGCCCACGCTAAATTCGCATCTAGGACTTATGGTGAGTTTAGCAGAGAGATTCGCGCTAATTCGTCACTCGGCACGAGTATGTAATTACATATCAAACGCGGAAGAAATTAGGCATTACCTAGTGCTATTATAGATCATTATATCTACTGCAAATTCATCAGGGAGATCTGCTAACTGCTTCGCCTTTGCTGAGCTGAGATCTGCTACAGAAAGCGATGACAAGATTAGCGGTACAGCTAACTATGAATGACGCTCGCAATCTGCATCCATTTGAAGATTATGGCGTCAAATGATCCAAGGAGTTTGAAAGGCTGGCAAGTAGTAAAGAGATACCCTTATGATTGTAAACATTGCTTGCAACAAAACATAGACCACCCATCCATTCAATGGTTTTGATCGTGCGTTTGAGATATCTTTGTTTGCTTAGTGGTGTTAATCGACCTGCTTGCAATCAATTTGGGTACCTCACTCGAGGCATCATCATGAGAAATCAATCCAACATCTCAGCAATTTCCCACAACTCACAATTGCGACATCTCCTATCAACCTGAAGTCTTGCACAAGGAAGCAATATTAAAGCGAATAAATACAATAGAAGAGCTGAAGAAAGACTCCTAATTTATGCAAATTTTCCCATCACCCTTTGTCTCAGACCACTGATCACTAAATCTAATGAGCTCAAGACAAGTTTTCGAATGTTGTGTTGTGTATTTATATATTAATCAGGTTTATGCTACTATCCAAATTATATAGGCTCATTTCATCTTGGCAACCACAGGGACTCTGAAAATGGGGTAATTAACACAGTCAAGTCGTAAAGCGACAAATTATGCAATGTGGATAGGTCCAAGTACTTCATAGACTTTCTAGCATTCCATTTGTCTGCTGAAGAACCCCATCTACGCAATATCCACCGATTTATATTGTCCTTCTCATAGCAGATAACAATATTAAAGCTTCAGAGATATCTCAATGATATGGATTCTCATCTCGATCACTACTTGAATATTCCAGATACTGCCAGAACATTTTAGCGTAACCAATATTGGCCTGCAAGATTTTCGGAAGTTGTAATTCGGCATGACTCAGGATCATTCAGTGTAGCAGATAAGCAGGCAATTGGTTCATTCATGAATTCAAATCAACTAAAAAAGCCAAAGTGGACTACAAGTACCAAATACTCCTAGTAAACATTCTTCTAGACGCGTCTTAGTGAGAAAGACGCGTATCCAAAACAGTAAAAGTTAGGGCCGGTGTACTTCCTGTATCTTTTGTAATACGCTTTAACAAGGTACGTTTGCCAATATTCAACGCTAACCTAATCATCAGTTGTGAAAGAGGTGACAACGCCTTCAAACCAAACGAAACCATTAATGACTCGACATGTATTCATAAAATTACAGATGCAAAATGAGTTAGTGGGGTTCTAGATTGGACCGAGTAGACTGCCAAAGTTAGCAGTAATATCTCAAAGTCTAGACGATTGGGAGAGCGTCACAGCCTGTAGCGTCACGTTAGTATTGAGAAAGCACAATAAAAACATTACAACCCACCCAAACCGATGGCGGACTCATCGTCGAAGCCCTCGCAGCAGACTGGGGTGTTCTTGCACTCGTCTGTAAAGTGTTAGATTTGATAAGGTATGAAACCTTTACGAACCCTCAACTGCAATTCCGATTAAGAGTGGAACCTGATCACATTGAACACCGACTTGGGATGCAATGTCACCGGTGGAGATGAGGGCGTCGTTCTTGCCGGTGCTGGATTGAGCCTTCTTGTTGAGGTCGCCTTGGCAATGTGAGATAGTGTCAGGCTACACTTGTCTGATACCTACAGCACTGGATAGAGCCAGTGTTACAGGAGCCGGTCTTGGATTCCCAGCCGGCTGAAACAGAGGCGATGAGGGCGGTGGCGAAGACAGTTTGAGCGATCATTGTCAAGTGGCTGGGATTGTGTTGTAGAGAAGAGGGAACACACCGCAGTACTTTATAGTATTGGCATGCCTATGCTAAAGACGAGCAATACGTGCTAATAGGTGATGAAGATGTGAAGATATCAAGTAGTTTATATAAGGATTTGGCTCTGATTATAGCTGAGGAAGAAAGTATTACTGTGTTTGGAATATTCCCACTCAGTTCAGGATAGCACATGGTTGAAACCGAGAAAATTGGAAAAAGAAGGGAGGAGAAAGGGGAAGAGAGGGATAGTATTATAGGAGGCGTTGGAAGTGTTGAATTGATATAAACAACCAAAATAATCAAATAAAATTGAATTTTTTCCTGACGATATCTACAAATCTGAGATGGCGAGGGCTTCTCTCTTGCCAGATAATTTACTCGGGATAAAATGGTAAAAAGGAAAAGAATAGCGACAGGACATAAAAGCTGACGGATACTTTAGAGCGCCCACAAGACGTTCCGTCTCAAGAGAACTCTTGGTGAGTTGCAAGTGTATCAATAGCCATTCTAACTTTGAATAGCCAAGAAGCAAAGACAAAACAGACCAATCCCACAATGGTTCCGTCTCAAGTCTGACACCAACATCCAATACAACGCTGTGAGTTGATGTGCTTGAGCCCGGTTCGCATCTAACTCCACCTAGAAACGTCGTCACTGGCGCCGTACTAAGCTCCACATTTAAATTGTATTGGTGTTGACACATTCACTGCCAAATATTTTAATTTGAATTTATTTTCATTTTAGTTTGGTCATTTGGAGGTGATTGCTTATAAATTTTATTGAGATTGATCCCAGCAAGAGGAGTTGGCCGAGACTAATTATTTTATTTAAATTGCTCCTTGTTCTCACTCGTCCATCTTCTATTTAATTGTTGGAAATGCACTCTCCTGCGCCAGCGATGGGTCCAACAACCCCGGCTGGCTCCTACACGATTGCTACGCTAGTCACTGGCTGTCAGATCTGGGTTAGAGTACCCGTATCTGACAGCGACAGCGAAGACCGCAAGGCTGATATTCTCTCTATACGATCCATCGACCCTGATAACGACTACATCCAAGTTGACGGTGATCAGCCCACAAAGGATTTTTACTTGCACTTTGTTAACTTCAATAAACGTCTCGATACCTGGTTAAACGCTAAGCATGTTCTCTTGGACCGTGAAGTTACCTGGCCTAAACCCCAAAAAGACTCTGCCAGCTCACCTTCTACCCCGAAATCAACCAACAAATCCGCTCCCAACAACCCAAGCCTCCTACGAAAAGCTGCTACCAAAGCAGGTAAACTCGCTACTGGTCATAAGAAGCGTAAGCTCGACAGTTCTAGTGCTACTACTCCAGGTGCTCCACCAGCCACCCCAGGCGCTCCTTCTAAAGAAACTCATGGTATCAGCAGCGATGAAGATGCTGATGGTGATATGGAACCTGACAGCGAGCCAGGCACTCCACTCGCAAAACCCAACCAGCAACCCACGTCCACTTTCAGCAAAGAGGAGGAGATTGAGAAACTCCGTACGAGTGGCTCCATGACACAAAACCCCCATGAAGTTGCTCGAGTTAAGAATCTCAACAAGGTCAGCATAGGCGCTCATCAAGTAGAGGCTTGGTACTTCTCCCCATATCCCGTTGAATACTCACACATCCCCACACTTTTCATCTGCGAATTCTGCCTTGGTTACTACGCTTCCCCGAAGCAGCTCGAAAGACATCGCCACAAATGCACTATCGTACACCCACCCGGAAATGAAATATACCGTCATGAAAACATCTCCTTCTTTGAAATTGACGGAAGGAAGCAGAAGAGCTGGTGCAGACATCTCTGTCTACTCAGTAAACTATTTCTCGATCACAAAACTCTCTATTACGACGTCGATCCGTTTCTATACTATATTATGACCCAGAAGGATGAAACAGGCTATCATCTCGTTGGTTATTTCAGCAAGGAGAAGGAGTCCGCAGAGGCATACAACGTAGCCTGTATACTAACACTCCCCCAATTCCAACGAATGGGTTATGGCAAATTGCTCATTGAGTTTAGCTACGAATTGACAAAGAGAGAGGGCAAATTGGGTAGTCCTGAAAAACCACTAAGTGATCTGGGTTTGCTTGGCTACAGAGCGTATTGGGGAGAGACTATTCTAGGATTGCTGATGACGATGGGTGATGACGATATTAGTATCGATGAGATCGCTCAGAAAACGGCGATCAATCATGCCGATGTCATGTATACACTACAATCACTCTCCCTGTTAAAAACGTTCAAGGGTCAGCATATCCTCGCTTTGAATGATAACATAATAGAAAACTACGAACGCGCGGCGAAGAAAACGAGGAGGCGTATAGATGGATCGAAATTGGTGTGGAAGCCGCCTGTATTTACGCGCGAACAGCTGAGGTGGGTGTGTGTGATTTCAAGACAACAGAGTGCTAACAAGGGAGTAGATTTGGGTGGTAGTAAAGTAGGTAGTAGGCAAAAATCAATTGATGATTGTATAATATTCTGTAATTCTATCAATGCATTAATATTTGTATGGTTATGTGTCGCTGTGAGTAGGAACAATACATAATGACCAATCACTGTATACCCAGCCTATCGCGCAACATCTTCTCAACGCGGCTTCCATCCGCCTTACCGCGTGCGACTTTCATAGCATGCCCGATGAGCTTACGTACTACTTTAGTGTTACCTTGGCTAGCTTTCGTAGATTCATCGGGGAGGTCTTCAATAGTGCGCTGAACGACGTCGTCAAGTACATGTACCGGCAGCATGCGCAAGTCCAACTCGTCTACTATCGTAGCTGGTGTTTTGTCACTGTCGAACATGTGCGCGAGCACTTTCTTGGCGGCGGTGGAAGTGACCTGGCTGGTCTGTATAAGAGCAAGTAGGGCGTGTAAGCGGTGTGCAGGAATGGTGGTCTCGTCGAACGGCGACGCGCGTGCGGCAAATTGCGCGAGGAGCTCGTGTATAGTCCAATTCACAGCCAGTTGCGGGTCAGCGGAGAGGTGAGCGAGGTGTTCGAAGAACCGGACGATGGACGGTGGTTTTGGTGTTTGTGTGTTGACGTGAGCGTGATCGTGACTGGCACTGCCACCGCCACTGCCTAGACTCCTGCGACTATCGCCCGCCCACAGATCCTCATTCACGGCAAGGAGGACGTTAACATCGCGTGCGCTGAGTGCGTAAGTCTGCATGAGACGGTCGCGGAGAGCATCCGGCAGGAATGGGGCGCACTGCTGCAGGTATTCCTGCACGCTAGCCATCTGCTCATCGCCCACAATCACCTCGCGCAGGTTAGGGTCGGGCATATAACGGTAGTCGACTGCTTCTTCCTTGCTACGCAGTTTGTACGTCGCACCACGCTGCACATCCCACCCCAATGTATCCTGTTGTATAGCGTCCCCGCGACCGTCCTCCAGCGCGCGCGCGTGGCGCTCGTACTCATACTGTATCGCCCCCGCCATGCTGCGCAGTGAGTTGAGGTTCTTTACCTCCACCCGCGCCGTCCTAATTGTGGGTGTGGCTGCATACTCCACATTCACATTCACATCCGCGCGCAGATTGCCCGCTTCCATGTGGCCGCTACACACGCCAGCTGCGCGCAGGGTAGAGCGGAGTTTCTTCACGAACGCCACGGCTTCCTCGGCGGAATGCATGTCTGGCCGCGTTACAATCTCGACGAGTGCGACGCCGCAGCGGTTGAGATCGACGAGAGGCGTAAGCGTCGGTGTGCGGGTGTGCAGGTGCGCCTTGCCTGTGTCCTGCTCGAGCTGTATGCGGGGGAGGGCAACGGCGAAATCGCGGGTGACGTCGTCGCGGTGGGCGTGCAGGGCTAGGTGGCCGGAGTGGGCTAGAGGATCTGAGTTGGGAGTGGTTAGTTGGAAGCAGATTGACGCTCCTCACTCAACTGTACTGCTGCGTTATCTGATAGCCCTGTGGCAGGTCGTAGTACAAGTAGTGTTTGCGGTCGAAACTGGACGTGCGGCTTATCGTAAAGTTCAGTGCTGCTGCCGCGCTCAGTGCTTTCGATAAGGGCTCTTGGTTCAGTTTCTGGCAAGTGTGAGTGTCGTGTGTACACCACAACTCACACAACTCACAGGCAAAGTACCCGGGATTGCTGCATCGAATGGCGTCACATGTGTGTTGGGCTCAGATTGCTCACTCCCAACTGAGGAATTGGAGAATAACTTTACGGATGCGTTGAGCTGGGCGTGGATCTCCAGGCCAATGATTAGCCTGTATTCATTTAGACGCGTGGTTTGTTTGTTTTCAGGCTTCAATTTCTTTGCTACATTTCCTAGCACCCGTGATAGCTGCATCTGTTCGAGTGCCACAGTCACGGCGCTTTTTCAACGATGGCTTCACAGATATTGCCTTTGGAATTGATTGATAAGTGCATTGGGAGTAGAATCTGGGTTATCATGAAGAATGAGAGGGAATTCGTTGGTACTTTACAAGGATTCGATGACTTCGTTAGTGGGTTCTGGTCTTTCGAGGCAGCAACACTTCTAATATTCCAAACAGACATGGTCATGGAGGATGTAACTGAGTAGTGAGGTTTGCCGTGTGTTTTGGTGGAGTTGCTTACGTTCAACAGCCATATCACCCCCGATGGAAGACAGAACAAGACCAAACTGAGGCAGACGTTGCTGAACGGTAATAACGTATGTATGGTGGGTGTAATAAGTTATAAGCTAAGTTGGTAACGCGATTAACGTGTTTGCACAGCTATTGCCAGGTGGAGAAGGACCAGAGAGTGTGTAATTTACTAGTCTAATCACTATCAGAAGATAAATCTATTGTTTCGTTGTGTTTTGCGGTGTTTTTGGTGTGTTCGTGGGGGTGTTCCTCGTGTTTCTCGTACTCCTGCTCCTGCTCCTGCTCATTGTCACTATCGCTATACACTCTGTCGCTATCACTATTGCTGTCATCATCTACCTCTCCAACAACTTGCTCACCAAAGTTGTCTTGATCGTTTTCGAGCTGCTTGACATGGTCAACGTGAGTGAGATTGATATTGCTATTGCTATTGCTATTGCTATTACTATCGACTTGATCATCCTCTGAAATGTAATCCAGGTTGTCTACCTCGTCTTGCTCGTCTTGATCACTCTGCGCACTCACCTCACTATCGTCATCATAGCCCTTATCAAACTCGTGTTTGGGGAGAACGTTGTCGTCTCTGTCATCTGCAGGGTCCTCGCCAATCCAGTAATCATCATTAGCCTTGTTATCGTCGTCGTCATTGTCGATAAGATTGTTATCAGGATAAACAATCTCATCATCGTCATCGTTCAGTTTGGTGGAGTGTAAATGCAAGTGATCGTCGTGTCTAACGCCATTGGAATCGAAGACGTCATCTACTTTTTGGTGTTTTGAATTGCCACCGATAACATTATCATCACTCCTCCGTCTCTTTAGAGAATTGTTTATCTTATTTATTAGCGAAGTACTCCAAACATTCATATCAAATTTATTGAATGGATTTCTCATTTCGTTTAATTTCATTCAAGCGGTTTTGAAGCTTGGTGGTTGAAACCTAACAACCACCACCGATGAAACCTTGTCAAGTAATTCACTTGAACAAACATGAGAAACTAATCAAGAAATCAATCCTAGCAAAGACTAATAAATCTCAAGCACCCACCCACTCCCCTCAACAACAAGAGAAAATTAAACACAGTAGAATTATTAAAGCTGAAAGGGACGAGCGGCTGGATATTGGTCAATCTCTATCCCCTCCAAAGCACTATATGGGTGGATTTACAGTCCCAAAGGCTCTACGCTCTTACAATCACCAGCCAGGTGGTTCTTACGAGTTCAAATCACCCTACGAACCCCCAAGAGAAGACTCCTTTGTTCCCCATGAAGTCGTCCTCTTCCGCACACGCTGGAATATCGATAAAGGCATTGGTATCCCTAATGCTCCTGATCACTTTGTCGGCGTTTATCCACTCTCCCACATTCCATCTACTATCCTCAATTTGCACAAATTTAGTCTCGGTGTTGATCAATCGGAGGCTAAAGATAGGAAATTCTGGAAACTTTGGCAGAATACCTACCCAGATAAATCACAGAAGGATGTTATTGATGTTTCAGACAATATTTCATCTGATGATGACTTCTACGTCGGCTTCAGAACACTTCCACTCCAAACCAACGACAGAATCAGCGGGAGTTTGTTCAAAGAAGAAGAAATCGGTGGTTCAAGATCTACAAAGCAAGCAGATGGCTCCTACCTACCATCAACCATACCCCCAACGCCCTATTTTGCACCACTCGACATTTTACCTAAGGCTGACAACGCTGACAACCCTCTTTCACTCCCTCTTGCAACCATCATCTACCCACTTATTCGCATAATACTCCCAACTCGTTCACTTGCACGCGTTTTCGGCCGACTGAGCAGATCGCTCGTTACAGGTATGCCCTATATCGGAGTGATACCACTAGCAGATCGCAAAGATGGCAAGAGCGTATTCCGGAGAGTTACACGACTGCGATTGTCACGAATGCGCGCTCTGCTCAGAGACACAACCAGCAGATTGGAGGGTTTCCACGGTGGTTTTCCAGGCCTCAGAGTGACGCACAAGGATAGAGGGAGAGGGTGGAGAGGGGAGAGATTGGATGAGGGCTTTCCTAACGAATTTAAGCAGGTAAAGGTACTCATGCGTCCTGGTCTCCTCCCCTTGAATGAAGTGGCCGATTGGGAGCTCCTCCCTAATGTCACTGTCCGATCGATGGACGATCTCGGTCGTGAGCTGAGTGACGATTTGAGCGAGGTCGTCGAGAGCTCTCAGATGCTCGCTCAGGATGCCAATCAAGAGGGTTTCGATGAGCAGCATGAAAATGATCATGATGAGGAGCATGAGTAGGTTAGGATAGCCATCCGGATCAAAATTTTCTGCATATATCAAATACACCACCTTACACACATGTATAGAAATAGAAACAGATTTATTAATTGTATCCACTAGCTAATTAGCTTATTAATTATTCCTTCTCGATAAGGAAATTGCATTCCATTCTTGGTAAAATTTGTCATGTGAATCATCAGATGAAAATATTCATATCCATATCCATATTCATACCCTAGAGGGAAGCCATTAAAAATATCTCTTATAAAACCGCACTCACAATCTTTATTTACACCAGATGATTGGAAAATTAGCAGCAGCCAGTGCACTCCTCATAAGTGTCGTCAACGCGCATGCATTCCTCGAGACTGTCAATGTCGGTGGGACAACGTATGCTAAGACAGACGACAACACTCCGATCTGGGCGTGGTCACCAAACAACGGGCCAGCAGCGACAGTAGAGGATCTATCAACAAACGACATAGCCTGTCATGCGAATGCAGAGAAAGCTACCAACGCCGCATCTGTACCAGCAGGCGGTAATGTAGGTTTCGGCTGGGGTAAAGGGCTTCATAAGTGGGGTCCATTCCTCACATATGCTGCCAAATGCGATGTAGGCTGCGACCCTAATGCTGCGGAATGGTACAAGATCGGTCAGATCAATATCGATGAAAGCGGTACGTGGCCAGTGCCTAAGTATGTAGATGCTGGTGATGATGTACCTGTAACTCTCCCATCAAGCATGGAGGTGGGTTTGTTTGTGTAGTAGATAGTGAGACATCTGCTAATACTCCCTATAGTCCGGCACATGGTTGCTCAGAACTGAAAACATCAACCTCGGCGCCATCCCAGCGGAGATTTACGCCGGTTGCGTCTCGGTTGAGGTTACTGGCGGCGGCTCAGGCTTGCAAGGTGAAACTGTCTCCTTCCCGGGCGCTTACACGGGCGAAGAGCCAGGACTCACCAAGCAGCCTTACAGCGTCGAGGGTCCTGCAGACTACAACAACCTCCCTGGTCCAGCTGTTGCGCAATAAGCAATAAGCAATAAAATAAAATCACTAAATATCGCGGATACTGTGTCGTATAACTGTAAACAATATACAATGAAAAGAATATCTATAATACATAACGTATTCAGAAACTCCCCAGTATTTCGTCTTCCGCCCATACACTATCGTGTCGCTTGGGGAAACAGCTGAGGAGCGCGGCAATGCGCCCCTTATTGGCCTGCTGCCGCGCGCGCACATCGCGGTCGAGATACCGAAAGATCATCGCAAATCTGATTATTGCGTCGCGCGTGTCCATGAGGAGGTGGTGAGCGTGAGTGTGAGTAGGTGTATGAGAGGGGGCATTATTGTTTGCGTCATTCGGTCTGTCTGTGTAGTCTGCTTTCACCTCCTGACTACTATGCACATTAGTGTGCCCACTGCCACTCTCACCTTTCATGCGTTTGCTGTTGTTAGCTGTAGCATCACCGTCACCGCTCACACTCCTGCTTCTCTTGCCCGGCTGCAGCGCCTGATCGCCATTGTCATGTCCATCACTCACATCGGCACTGACATCCACGCCAAACGCGCCAAGCCATCGTTGATCCTGCCAGTTGATGTCTCTATAAGTCCCACTGAGATAGGCCTCGTCAGCAACAGCGCTAGGGAGGGTAAAAGCGACGAGAGCTACGACGAGGGGAGGGTAAGAGAGGGCAATATTAGAGCGCATGCTATCATTTAGCACGGCATGCATCATGACCACATCGAAGCGTTTGAGCTGTAAGGAGCGAGCAGCGTCTACGATTAGCGGGAAAGGCTGCCGCACCGCGAGGTCGAACGTAAGAGTGCGCAAGAGGGTAATTTCGCAACTCAGCATGTTTTCCTGTAACCGCACTACATCAGGCTCGTCCTTGATATGCATTGGCTCCTTATCGCGCATAGCCCTTCCTTGGGCCTTAGCGGTGTCTGAGCGGTGTTTGAAGACGGCGAGTGCAGCCAACTGCGTGACGTGCTTCATGGCGTCTTGCGCTTTGCATGCGAGGAAAAGACACGTGAGTGCGGTTTGCTGCTTTCGTGTGAGCTGATGCATACGCTTACTCGGATGTATCTAAGTGTAGCCCACCTCCACATCGTGCTGCTGGAGCGATTTGCGCATATAGAATCTGTGGAAATATAAACACGCATTGTAGAGACTGTCGCTGCGTACGCGCGCCGTTACCCCGATTCGCAGAAGCCAGTTCACGCCGCGGATTCGGTCGCGGAGTTCGTCGGATGCGCTCAGCCCAGCAGCCACGCTCGGCGTGTGGAGCACCTCCTCATCGCTGAATATCCACTGGTCGCGGCGTGCCATTTGAGTGATTTGAGTGATTTGAGTGGACGTCGATGTGCAAGAGGTTATGGCCAGGCAGAGTACTTTAAATTTCGCACGTAGTGGTGCGCATGGCGCTGGACGCAGTCGCGTTTCTTGGAAGCATCACCAGCTCGCCAACGATATCAGCAGTCGCTTCCACACCGTTCTCTTTGGCGTGGCGGGCGAATTCACTGCAAGCACTCAAATAGCGGCTTTTGATCTCGATGGTACCCTCATTAGACCCAAGAGCGGTTTGAAATTTCCTAGAAACGCGGCTGATTGGTCGCTGTTGCGCAGAGATACCAAAGAGCGCCTGAATACACTTATACAGACTGGATATGCTATTGTCATTATAAGCAACCAGAATTATTCTGGCAGACCAGCCAAATTGGAGGAGTGGCAGGTTAAAATGGGTGCAATTGCAGAGAGGGTGGGTGAGCGTGGAGGGCGCAACGGAGGCATTTAACACATCTCACACCTCTCAGCTCCACGATGTCCCATTCATTTGCATCGCAGCTACAACTAAAGACGAGAATAGGAAACCAGATACGGGAATGTGGGGGTGTTTACAGGCTTATTTCGAGAGCTTGGGATGTGTTAGACCAGGTGGGCTGAATTTTCTTGCAGTAGCTTTCTAACAAACCATCTAAGACACAAAAGAAAGCTTCTTTGTTGGCGATGCTGCTGGTAGACGCGGAGATCACTCTGCTGACGACAAGAACTTTGCAAAGAACGCTGAATTGCGTTTCTACACGCCTGAGGAGTATTTTGACGCGTAAATATGTGGTAACGAGACGTGAATAAAGGGTAGACAAATGCTTAAATATAGGGCAAACATACGCGTAAATATAGGACGAACATTAAATATAACATACCTTTATTAAGATTGCTAAGGACTACAAGCGTGATCAAAAGCGGAATATTTTAAAAGCAATTCTGAACGAGTTGGCAATAAACGTCGACTCTTGAAGCGGGTGCGACTTGACTGAGAAATTCTAGGCGTTTGAGTGATAATTTCGCTGCAATCTCACTTGATGCACATTTGAGACATACCCACGACCACACCTGCTAGGCGGAACCCGAGTATAAAGGCTACATATACTCAGCTATCTCATCATTATTACTCCTATCTATTGATATTCTTTTTGTACAATATCACAGATGAAAGCCGGTATGACACAGGTTATTCAGATACCATCGTCAAAACAAAATACCTAAGGGCAAACAAGTCAAATGACTACAAACATCAAGAACATGGTCCAAGATACCAGTCTGGGCCCCGTTCTGTGACTCTTGCCGAATTCAACAAACATAAACACAAAGTTGAAAAAGTACATGAAGAGAATAATAATCCAAAATGAGAAGACTGCTCAATATTCTATGTTTAACCTACATCAACTCAGCCAGTTGGAGTAGATCAGCCAATCAACTTAGGATTGCAAGCATCAAACTACATTGTCGATTTCAGTGGAAAAGAGAAACATAGTAGTAAGCTTGTCTTTTACGGGAAAAACAGTGCAATTGAAGCATGTAGTACTTCGAGTATGTTGTCCACTTGTCAAGACAGTCAGGACGGTAAAGAAGCCAATGGCAAGCTACTTCTGCTTGTTTGATTACGTCGATAAAGCAGTTTGTGCTATAGAACACAGAAATACATGACTCAATAAAAGAGCTTTTGAACATGGAAATTTAACTCACCTCTACTGAAATTATCCAGTCTAATCAAAGAGCACAGCTCACCGATTCGTTCAGCCACCTATAAGGCTACAGAAGGCATCAGTACTTTTGAGGAGGCTTTTCAATCAGAAACCCCAATGCAAAATATCTCGTTAGATTTGATTCAAAGGAATGAAGCCGCTGTTTCGGAGGGCATTCACCAAGACAGTCGTACAGTGTCAAAAGCCATGGCTATAGTCGCTAACGCGAGGGCACTCCAACAAGTTAAAAAAAATAATCATTTATAAGACAATACAGATGCAGTATCTACTAGTACAGAGTTTAAGCGTGGTGATAGGTTTAAAGGTCTTGAGAATCGATGCCTTCGCCCTTCTTGGTCTTTGATGGAAGAAGTTCGGTGTGGATGTTTGGAATGACACCACCTTGTGAGATGGTTACGTGGCCAAGGAGCTTGTTGAGCTCATCGTCGTTTCTGATGGCCAATTGCAAGTGACGAGGGATGATACGCGACTTCTTGTTATCACGTGCAGCGTTACCAGCTAATTCGAGGATCTCTGCAGCGAGGTATTCCAATACAGCAGCCAAGTAGACTGGGGCACCAGCACCGATACGTTGGGCGTAGTTACCATTCTTCAAGTGTCTGTGGATACGTCCGACTGGGAATTGAAGACCAGCCTTTGAGGAACGAGAGCGACCTGCGTCAATTGCGCCTGCCTTTCCACCTGATTTACCGCCTGATTTGCCACCGACTTGTTGAGACATTGTAGTTTTTTTGAAGTAGTTGTCGTGTTGATGAACAAGCCGTGAAATTGGTTTAATTTTTATAGGCGCGTAAATTCTGGCGCGTCATCGTTGTCGACAGAAACTGATCTCGGTGATCTGAGCAAGAAGTGGGCGGAGGAGCGTGCGAAAAACATATTCTTGAGGGCTGCAATTAGCTCGATTTATTGGTGTAAAGCAATTGTTTATTTTCGGAATTTAGGTATTTGATTTTACACCAAGATCATTCTGATGAGCGATCAATTGATTTCAATTATGATACGTCGCCAAACGCGCGTGGTATAAATAATTTGGGTGCGCGCTCTTAACTGCCTACAACAAAACAAATACATCAAACTAGATCATGGCACCAAAATCAGCAGAAAAGAAGCCAGTCTCCACCGCTGGCAAGGCCCCAGCCTCTGCCACCAAGCAACCTCAAGAGGGTGGTAAGAAGACAGCTAAGGCTCCAAAGGCTGACGGCGGCGACAAGAAAAAGTCGAACAAGTCCCGCAAGGAAACATACTCGTCGTACATCTACAAGGTCCTTAAGCAGGTCCACCCAGACACTGGTATTTCCAACAAGGCTATGAGTGTCCTCAACTCGTTTGTCAACGACCTCTTCGAAAGAGTTGCTTCAGAAGCCTCCAAACTCGCATCTTACAACAAGAAGTCCACTATCTCATCCAGAGAAATTCAAACCTCTGTCCGTCTCATTCTCCCTGGTGAACTTTCAAAGCACGCCATTTCCGAAGGTACCAAGTCCGTTACCAAGTTCTCCTCATCCAAGGCTTAATTTCCACATTTCTGTAATTTCTATATATGTATTATTATTGCATCTATTTAAGCGTTTGTGTTGGTTTGTGTTGGTTGGAGTATATTCTACACGCAACTTTAAATGTGAGATCATATTCTAAGAATGTGATAGAGTATAATATGCCATCTAAATAAGTGATATACACGCGTTTAACAGGCGTTTACTCGCGTTTGAACAATCCACGCTTTTGGATGTACTCAAATGGACGCATTGTCTCGGTATTTGAGAGGATTTGGAGCGTTTAGTACTCAAGTAACACTCGCTCAATGCACCCACGCTTTCCGTCCTCCCCCCCCGCCGCACTCCAACAAGCACAACGCAACTCTGTGGATATTCAAGCTGAGGAGGTAGGAAAAGCGTGAGCATATCAAGGCACATGAGATAATTATGTTAGATGTATTTTTGTATGCAAATTGACATCACAATCTGCCTCATACAGCACACACAACACTCCATATATCAATTGAGATGATTGAATAAATAAGCAAAAATCTTTGAGCTGCCTTGAATACACACAGCGATTTAAAGATCATACCAATCCCCATATTCCTTCCAAATCCCCCTCACACCTCCTCAAACTGTCTTCCACACCGTCATGAGCGGATTCGACGGATTAGGCGCATCAGACGCATCAGACGCATCAGTATTGGCCCAGTTGCATGCACTCAGCCTCCACGACAAGCCAATAGTGCGTCAAACTGAGCACACACTTGCACACGCATCCGGCACACCCAGCGTACCCAGCACCATAACATCATGGAAGATGAATGAGCACCAATACGCCAAATCCCCTAGTCCCTTCCCGACGCTAGCTCGGGGGCTATTCACGCAAGGCGAGCGTATAATCGTGCGTGGCTACGACAAATTCTTCAACGTCGACGAGGTGCCCTGGACGAGTTGGGGTGCGATAGAGAGCACAACAGCGCCGCCATACGTCCTGACGTTTAAAGAGAACGGTTGCATAATCTTTATAGCCGCGTTGACGCGCTCGAAAGTGGTAGTGACGAGCAAGCACGCGCTGGGTGGGCCGAGTGAGCAAGCGGCTGCAGCGGGAGTGGAAGAGTCGCATGCACAGGTGGGAGAGCGGTGGCTGGCAGCGCATCTGCAGCGTGCACACAAGAGAGAGGCGCAGCTAGCGGAGGTGCTGTACGACCACAGCTGGACAGCCGTTGCGGAGCTGTGCGACGACTCCTTCGAGGAGCATGTGCTGGGCTATGCGCAGGAGCGCTCTGGGTTGCATCTCCACGGGCTTAATAGCAACACGGCTGCTTTCTCAACTGCGCCTTTCGACGTCGTGCAGAGCGTGGCGGAGACGTTTGGCTTCCTTCCCACTCGCGCTCGCTCCTTTTCCTCCCTCGAGCGTGTGCGCGCTTTTGTGGGGAGCGTGCAGTCAGAAGGCGGGGTCGACGGCGAACCTATTGAGGGATTCGTCGTGCGGTGCCAGAATAAGAACAACGTACAGCTTAACAACACCCATCACTCTACAAACTCCTACTCCCACTCTCCTTTCTTCTTCAAAATCAAATTCGACGAGCCTTACCTGATGTACAGGGAGTGGCGGGAGATCACGCGCGGCCTGCTCGCCAAGCACGCAGAAGGCAAACTGGGGAGCGATGAAGGGGGCGTGCGCAAATCAAGTTACCCCGACTCAGTCGTGTATCGGGACTGGGTGCGCGGGCTAATCAGGGAGCAGCCGGCTCTATTCGCGCATTTCGGTCGCAGTAAGGGGGTAATAGCACTGCGCGAGCGATTCCTCGCCGACGTTCAGACAGGCGAGCTCCATACCAAGCTTGCCAATGTACGCGAGACATGGGGCCGGAAGCAGAAGAGCAACGCGCAAAAAGTGAAACCGACTAAACCGAACAAGGATGAAAGGGAATTCGAGAGGACAATGATCGTCCCTATTGCGGTACCTGGCTGTGGTGGGTGTATACGAGTTGGGCGCTGCCCTTCTCTATCTCTCTCGCACACACACACTCACACTTGCTTCCCACTCTCCAGGAAAGACTGCTGTCAGTATGGCGCTCGCTAGGCTGTACGGCTTCGGGCACACGCAGTCGGATGATGTCCAGACAAGAAAGACTGGTCCGACGTTCGAGAAGAATGTGGCGGAGCTGCTCAAGGTGCAGACACACCCAGACACACAATCGCAATCACATGCACACTCGGTCGTCATAGCCGACCGCAACAACCACATGAAGCAGCACCGCGCGCGCTTGAACAACCTCCCCTTCGAGCAGAAACCGCCGCTGGGGCGCGTGCGCATGATAGCGCTCTACTGGCCCATGGACTCATACACGCTCAACACGGTGTTGCGCGTGTGCAGCGAGCGCGTTCAGCACCGCGGTGCGCGCCACCAATCCCTCCGACCAGATGCAGATGGCGGGCAAACGCACGAGGACGTCATTGTCAACTTCATCAACCAGTTCGAGGCGCTCGATGGGAGTGCTGAGCTGTTCGATCATGTGGTAGAGCTCGGGCTGGAAGATGACCTCGGGACGGCGACGCGAAAGGCTATCGCTGGTCTGCGAGACGCCGGCGTCGATCTCAAGACAGTCACGCAGGATAGATTCATAGAGGTGCTCGACGACGTCGCCGTGTACGACCCGCAGTACAAACGACCTGACGAGCAGAATGGACTCAAGAAAAAGGTGAGGTCGACCTCACCCCGGTATTTCGCCGTGGGGGTAGAGTGTAGACTTGCGGAGCTTTGTCGGGGTATTTTGCAAGGCGAAGGACAGCAGCAGGAGAGGCAGAAAGCGTTCCTCAACCACCTCGTGTCGCACGATAGAATAGCTAATGTCCCGCATATCACTCTCCTTCACCACAAGGAGATGGAGGGCGTGAATGAGACCGTAAAAGAGGAATACGAGGAGTGCTGGAACATGTTTAGCTCCTCTGCAAACCCCATAGACTTCAAATTCAGGGTGGATGCGCTCGTCTACAATGAGCGCGTTATGGCTTTGTCACTGTCGAGCGTCAGCGTAGAGAACCCCGCTGACACGCGCGTAAAGAGCATGGTTGAGCGTGTTATGGAGAAGAAGGTGCTGCATATCACCGTAGGCACACGCGATGCCACCGTCAATCCATTCGAGAGCAAAGCGGCGGTGGAGGAGTGGAGGCGGGGGAGTGAGCAGGTGTACGCCAGTGCGGTGCAAGGTGTCGAGCTAGGTGGCAGGCTGAGAGGAATGTTTTGAGAAAATACATGTGGATGCTCTATAGAATACATAAAACGTGTTACACAATCTATTTGGTCGTTCGTTAGCGGGCTCACAGCTACAGCATCCACACCGCCACCACAACAGTCAGCATTACAGACATTCAACTCGCACTCCCACCCAATCAAGTTTGTACACGGGATTGTTAGCGGTGGGAGTATTATGTCCGCCCGTCTGTGTATTATCATCGTGTGTGCGCGTGTGCGTGTGCGTGTGTGCTGTTTAGCGTGCAGTACTCACTCATGGCTGTTCGGGAGCAAGAGAGAAGAATTGCACGCAGAAAGGGATAAACGCGTGAAAAACTTCAAAATAGAAAAGCAGACGAGTACAAAAGGGATTCTACTTTGCGAATGCTGTTGGCGTTGCAATGAGTACACGTCACCGCTCGATATACCTACTCACCCTTTACAACCTTAGCGGAGATATGTAAGAAGAATATTGAGCCAATGAACGACAAGGACAGCACGACGATGACGAACGGGTCTACCTTGAGACCGGGCGAGTCGTCGGTGTAGAGCTTGAGCATCGTCGAGGAAGAGCCACCAGCGCCAGCGGCTCTGGCTGAGTTTGGCTTGTCGAGCTGAGCTTGCTTATCGGTTCTGCGGCTGTGAGTGGCATGAGAAGGAGTGATTGTGCGTGCTAACAGCGCACAGACCGGATAGCTGCACCGTGAGGACGAGGAGGCTGAGTGGAGGACTGTGATTGGTCGGGTGAGTCGCTAGTGCTGTCTGCGTATCGTGAATTACCATTTCGAGGTTTGTTCGAGTCGTATTGGCAGTTCAAAGGGAACAGCGATGACGACCATCAATCGAGTCCTCATTTTTGACAGCAACAAAGCGGAGCTGATTGTGGACTACAACAAGGACAGCGTGGATGTGGATGTACACAAAATAATTCACAAAATACCTCCAAATAACTCGAAATTGAGTTACTTGTATGGGGATTATTTGGTGAATTATGAGTCTGTGGACGGGATCATATATCTGGTTATAACGCACAAAGACTTTGATAGACAGAAATCATTCGGTTTTATAAGCAAATTACAGCATTTGGATGACTTGAGTGATGATAGCGTTGCGAGCCTTCTAAACACTCCAACGCATCAGCTACACTCGAATATAAATCAAGTAAAGCAAGTCATGATCGACAACGTCGACCAGATCATCAGTCGTGGTGACAGAATCGATAATCTCGTCGACAGGACTAATGACATGTCTTCTCAAGCTTTTGCGTTTAGAAAGAGGTCCACGATGCTGAGGAGACAGATGTGGTATAAGAACAAGCGTATCCAGCTGCTTACTGGGTTTGTTGGTGTTGTAAGTGGATTTTTCACATCTGAGTCAACTCTAATCAAACACCAAGCTGATGCTCTATTTATTCACGTCCACGTTCTGTGGGCTTTCATTGACACACTGCTAGCGTTGCTGGTGTTTATACTTGCACCTAATTGTACAATACCTTCCTTCAACTTGAACATCATTTCGACGTATAAGTTGGCTAAATTGACTGGTTCGTGTTTGTTGAGAGGATCGCAGCTGAGAATGAATTTCATTACTTGTGAGCGCAGTGTGTAGCCCCCGAAACCCAACTCACTCCACAGCTCCCTCACAAACGACTCCAAAGAGACTTAATCCGCTCAGGCTACACACCTCACTCCCAACGCTCTCTCCTACCGAACAGGGCAAGCGTATAGCTGCATATGCCGCTGTGGATGCCAACGTCAGCTTGGATTCGAGGGTGTGTTCTGTGCTACCCGCGAGAGTGCACCTACTAACAGCTCCCACTCAGGTAATAGGCATAGGCTCTGGCAGCACTGTCCCGTATGTCATAGAGAGGATCGTCCAGCAAGGAGAAGCCAACGTGCAGCGGGTGTTTATTCCAACCGGTAAGTGGCTGTGCTGGGCTTAACACAGTATTACAACAAGACACACGCAGGCTTCCAATCGAAACAACTTATCGTGCAAAACGACCTCGTTCTCGGCGACGTCGACCAATACCCCGCGATAGACGTGACACTCGACGGTGCCGATGAGGTGGACGGCAACCTCAACGCTTTGAAGGGCGGCGGTGCTTGTCACCTGCGGGAGAAGGTACTGGCGGAGGCCGCCAATATGTGGGATTGCACGCACACACACACACACTCACACTCACACTCACACACTCTCAGCTTCGTCATCGTCGCCGACGAGCGCAAGAACAGCAAACTGCTCGGAACGACTTGGACGCAAGGTGTGCCTATCGAAGTAGCCCCGTTCGCGTATGCGAAAGTGCTGCAGAATGTGCAAAAACTAGGCGCTATGCGGCCCACTCTGCGGATGGGGGTGAGAAAGGCAGGACCCGTGGTAACTGATAATGGTGGGCTCAGCTTAGCGTAGTGGTTTCTGACGCTGACACACTCCACTCCCAGCAAACTTTGTCATAGATGCGCCGTTCAGCGAGAGCTACTACCGCGATCCCAAGGAACTGCTTATGCGGATCAAGATGCTGACAGGTGTGGTGGAAGTGGGGTTGTTTTGCGGGGTGAGTTGAAGCGCATCGTCGTGCTCTTTGGTCTGACTCGCATACTTGATAGATGGCTAAAGCTGCTTACTTCGGCTACTCGAATGGCTCAGTACTCATCCGCTCCGCTGATGGCACCGTTTGCGAGCAGGCCAGTACGCGCGAGTGAGTGGTGCTTGGGGCGCTGCTGCATGGTTACGGGGACTATTTGCTTTGTTATTCCTATTTATTCATCTTACAACTTAGAGCTTACAATGAAAATTTTACCTCGAGTGTACCTATTTCGATGGAATTGCCACGTGTGGCCTAGTGAGCTCATAAAGATAACCTTCTTACCCTCAGTTCCGTCAGTTGAGAAGAACGGTGGAATGAAAATTTTGATCATGTGCAAATGACATCATCCTCCAAGTCATCACACACACGTTCTTATCGACCATGACGAGGTGGGTTGGGAGCCGCTGATGCTAGCTTCGCTAGTCTCGCGACGTTGCTGCCATTGGACAAGGATAACACCGCTGCAGAACCACACACAACGTCTACCCGAGAGCACTTGGTTTGTTGAGCTTGAGCACTGCACCATCCCCTTCTCACAGTTTGCAGAGAAAGACCGCCACGAGAGTCGCAATGGACTGCAGAACGTTACCAAGAAGCAGGGCGCTGGTCCGCATGCCTGGGTGAGCAGCAGCAGGAGTAGGCGCACGCACTTGCATTCCTGAAACGCAAAACACAGGGCACCTACGACGAAGAAATCAATCACTATGAGCTGGGCGTGAAAGACACGCTGGTTGGGCTGCGCATGCGCAATCCACACGCTGCAGAGAACTCAGATACGCGTCACCAACGCCGCACTTCCAATGTCTCAGTTGAAGATCGCGATAATGCAAGAAAGGAGCGTTTGTCGTTGGGTGCGTATGAGTCGACTTGTTCACGCCCCCACTTATCCGCTCCAGGTAACGATATCACTGACCTCTCCGCTATCGCTCGTTCATCTGCTGCTGGGAGCGTGAATGCGAATGCGAATGGAGACGCTCTTGTCGATGCTCATGTGGAGTGAGACTTGAGTGAAATCAAAGTGAAAAACTTGCAAACGAACTTATGAAGAAATGTAAATGTAAATGTAAATGAATCAAACTTGAATCAAATAAAAAGCAACTAAACATCCCATTTAATATACTGTTTTACTCGATGCTTTGAAAATTCTCTTTTAATCGCATTAGAAAAGAGGCATGTTAGCAGTGAGGAGACTGTCGAGAACCAGACAGTCACCGTCTATTTCCAACTCAGAAATGGTTTTTACCCCCGCCTCATGACCCTCGCAGCCGAAACAGGCCATGTCATTGATGTGGAGATGATTGATTGTGTTCCATTGAGACATATTGTATGGATCCTTTGCAAAGCTAGCCCAGTAGCTCTGCATCACTGCACTCAAAGCCTTTTCATTTTCAGTAGATGATGCGACCTCGTATGTACCGAACACAAGAGTAATCTCGCTTGTGTGATACGCACCAATATCCTCAATACCAATCTGTGGAAGGGATTTCCTTGTGTCTGGGAAAGTCCCGCTGAATTGGTATCTATAGACGGGTGCATCGCTTGGGTAGATATGAGCATGAGCAGTTTCCATAGCGGGACATTTGAAGACAACCGCGGTGACCAAATCTGAGAGGGTATTAAACAGTGTTTCCGGTGAGACAAGAAGCAGACTGTCCAAGTATGGTTTGACGAGGCCACTGAGAGTGTCAGGCAATATACCGAAGCTATTGATGGTTTCTGCGAGCATAGTAGTGTTGATATTACCATCTCCATCAATCGAGCTCTGGATGTAAGGGCCTACGTAAAGACTGCCTTCTTTCTCATTAGTGCCGATTATAAGGGGAATTTGAGCACCCATGCCTCCCTTGACGGAATCTTGGAGTGGAGTAGCGCTCTGGGTGATATCGTCGTTGACGGGATAGAAGCTCAGTCCGAGCTGCTGAACGGCCTGTTTGAGCGCTGTAACGTCTTTGTTCTGCATGCACGAGTATTCGGCAGCTTGGTCGGCATCATTGGCACAACCCACAGATGCGGCTACCTGCGCCCACTTTTCGGCACCGTTGTTGTGTGCCGCGGGCGACAATGTCGCTTGGCCAGACTGCATGATCGCTGCGCGGATAGGCACAGAAGGTGGGTTGAGCACGAGTCGGTCGACAGCTGCAGCGCCACTGCTCTCGCCCATCAGCGTAATGCGCTCAGGATCACCACCGAATGACGCGATATGGGCGTGTATCCACTCCAGAGCTAGGCGTTGGTCGTAAAAGCCTACATTCACATCTGCGCGGTCGAGGGTGGGGGCGTTTGAGAAGCCGAAGACTGTGCAGGACGAGTGAGTGAGTGAGCGCTGTGTATATGCCGTGCCCACCATTCAAGCGGTAGTTGAAGGATACCAGGATAACGTCTTGGTTTGCAGCGAAAGAAGTACCGTCCAAGTCGCTGTATATGGATTAGAATCGCCATACTATACTGCACGCTAAACAACCCTAGACTCACGCTTTGCCCGCATTTCCAGTCTGTAAGCCACCGCCGTAGATCCACACTAGCACCGCTTTGCCGCCCTGTGATTGGGCGTTTCTAGGGGCGTACACATTCGCATACAAACAATCCTCCCCATCTTCCATATCGTTGTCGGGCATGGCTGCGAGACCTGTGTCTGTTTGAATACACTTGTTCTTCCAGTGCGTGGCATCTATCTGAGTTTGTTGCGACTGCGACTGAATCGGCGCGGCTTTCTCGAAACGCGCGGTCTGTTGCGCGTACGGAATACCTAAATACTTGTGTACGCTGTCGTCAGAGCTGCTTGTGCCCACCACAACACCCTGAGGGAGCGTGACGCTTGGCTGCGACGTATTGCTAGTGGGGGATGCTCTAGCAGCTACCAATAGCGCTGCGAATAAACCGATTAGCTTCATCCTGGTAGCAAGTGTGTAGTTTTAGTTGTAGTTGTAGTTGTAGTACACTCGCACGCTTATTAATTTCGGCTGATTACCCCCGCTCCATCGATCAGGAACGTGTCTTAAATGCTTGGTATACTGGTATCGCGCACGTGTGGGCGTTGAGCATTCGGCGTGGCTGTTCACCCTTTTGAATCCCTCGCTGATTTCACTATCGGGCCTCTTCTGGTTCCTGACTTTCTAGGCAGGAACACATCACGTATCACGCGATTTGGTTTGATAAATGAGTGACAATCAATAGACACCCTTAAACGCGTCAAGTGGGCAGCCGACGCGTAAATCTCAGTAGTCAGTAGTCAGCACACGCAGAACACGCTTAATCAACAATCAAATCAATTCATTCAATTCATAACTCATTATAACTCCTTTCAATTCATCGTCACATAGTTGGCTGGGAACAGTCCGCGTCTGCCATCCTTGCTTAAACCCTCATACCAATCCTCACTGACTGGATCGATGTGGGTGATAGTGTCGCCCTCTGCGAACGTAATCTCGTTATCCTCGCCCGCTTCGTAGTCGTATTCGGCGGTAGCCGTCTTGCCGTTGTCCTGACGTGTTGGCATTGGTGGAGGAGGTGGGGGTGCTTGAGATGCTTGAGATGCTTGAGAGACTTGAGCAGGTGGAGCAGGTGGAGCAGGAGGCGCAGGAGGCGCAGGAGGCGCTGCTGGTGCTTCCACTTCCGCCTTGACTCCCACTCCATCCTCAATCAACTCCACATAATTTGCAGGGAACAGCCCCTCTCTGCCATTGCGAGCTTTGCCACTCCACCAGCCATCGTCAATCTGTTCGATATCGTGTATGACTTCATCCTCCTCGAGATCCATCTCGTTGTCCTCAGTAGCCTCATACTCGTATACTACCTTTGCCTTGAGGGTATTTTGGGTGGCTGAGCGGGCAGGCATGGGTGGGATTGGCGGGGCAGCTGGTGCTGGTGCTGGTGCTGGTGGAGCAGCTGCTCTATCCTCCGCTTCCTGCTCATCTTCCATGTTCATCTTGTCCATTTCACTCTGTATCAAGGCCTCTTGCGAGGGTGATTGGCCAAGACCCGCGTGAGCTTCGTAGGAGCTCTGAGCAGGTGGAGCTGGGGGAGCTGGGGGAGGAGGTGGTGGTGTTGCTGCTACTGTCTCGGATGGCATAGGAGGGGCAGGTGGGGCAGGTGGAGGAGGTGGAGGGGCAAATGTCTCTTCCTCTCCCTTCACATCCGCTTCTGGTTCAGGTCGAGATGCCATTGGAGGAGGAGGAGGAGCAACTGGAGCGCTAATAGCGTCTGGAGCCACAGGAGGACGAGTGGACGTGGGCATTGGTGGGGGTGGAGGTGCGCTATTGTCGTTGATATTACTATCATTATTGAATGCATTTGCACTTGCGCTTGCATTCGTCGCCTGGCTCATTGCAGCGTCAGATCTTGCATCTTCCTCTTCAGCCTCCTTGCGCGCCTGTGCTTGGCGTTCACTCCAAGTGAGCTTCTTGGGAGGGTTTGATGGAGCATTTGAAGAGGGTATCGTACCTACACCGCTTGAGACACCTGCACTCTCGCTGCTCTGAGCGAATGGAAAGCGATTGCCGAGTTTTTTCGGCGTAGGCAGCTTCACTGGCTCGTACGCAGTGCCTACCTTACCTGGACGCTCGTCTTGCTCTGTTTTTGCGGGTGCTGCAGTGGGGGTGGGTGGAGCAGGAACAGGAGCAGGTGTAGGAGCAGGAGCCGGGGATGGAGCAGGGACCGGTGTTCCCACTGGAGCAGTTTTGGGCACCGACCAATCACCGGCTTTACCGACAATACCGCCGTAAGCACCAGTAGCAGCTGGTTTTGGAGGCTGTGCTGGAGCTGGAGCTGGAGCTGGTGTTGGAGGTGCGGCAGCTGGGACTGGAGTTGGTATGGATGGCGCAGTCTTTTCTTGCTGTTGCTGTTGCGTCTGTTGTCTCAGATTTGCAAGTTCGTTTCTAGGTGGGGTATATGCAGTTCCCTGAGGTGTTGTGAGTGATAATTCCAAGTGCGCCATATAGTGAACTCACAACAGGTGCTGGAGCTTCAGGTTTAGCGTTTGCGCTGTTTGCGCGAATGGCAGCGATATCAGGAGTTCCAATGGGTTGGTAAGCAGTACCAACGGGGGTGGAAGAAGGAGGAGGGTGACTAGGACCAGCAGAGTCGAATCTGGAGCCAGAAGAGCCAGAAACCTTATCGAGGATGACATCAGGGTCCAAGTCATCTTGAGCTCTAGCGTTAATAGAAACGTGAGCGCCGGAGAGTAGCTGGGAGAGCTGGTTGAGCTGTATGTGGAAGCTGCCCTTCTTAAACTCTGGCACGGATTCACCGCACCAGTTGATTTGAACCAATTTCGGGAGTTTGGTGTTAGGATCGGTGACTCGTACGAAAGCAAATTGGATACGGCCATCGTGAAACTCTTCTTCGATTTCCTCAAGGCCGCCTGCACCTTCAGATTGTAACTTCAAGCCACCATCCTGTGCAGGACCCAATAAAATCCAATTTGAGCGTGTATTTGGTTGCCTAACTTTATCATAGGCTTCAGAAACTTCTTGGTGAATAGTCAATGGCCTTGTAAATTTCAAGTTAATTTCTTAATTTTTGCTTCAGATTACTATATCTCACATCATGGTTGTATAGGTGATAGCGACGTCGATGAGTTTATTCAAGGAAAATAGCTGCGAGTGGGGTATTCAACGGGTTTTTTCTGTGGCTGACTTGGATTCACAGCTTTTGGTTTTGGTTTCGGGGGTTTGGATGTGGATGATTCGAGTACTCATACTCAACACCGGGAGATCATTCCACCTGCTGTACAATTGGATAATCAGCCACAGAGATACACTTCTCATCACCCTCACTTCAACTTATCCCACTCTGCCGCTCCCACTGACTCTGGTCCACGCAGGCTTGAGCCAGCGAGCAGCGTCGAAGGCGCACATTACCTTTTACCCTACTTGAACCTCAAAGAGGGCGATCATCCTACACGTATCAGAGATCCTCATAGCTGGCTCGAATTGAGCGCTGAAAATCGTTTTACTCAAAACGAGGAAAATTTTCAATCTGAACAACGGTGGGATCAGAATAAGGCAGATCTCACTTTCAACTATAAGAGACGCGCAAGAGAAGCTCAGAAGAGTAAAAGGCGGAGGAATAACAATGCTGATGACATGTAATTTGATATATACATCAAATTGGCTTACACATATTTACAGGATAGGGATGGTAATGTTGATATGTCTCTGGTGAGGAATAACTCGAAATGCTGGCACTCCTACTGGTACTCCTGCTAGCACTAGCACTGGCACTGCACGCACTCGCTGAACTAGGTGAACTGAACTTGCTTTTCAGCTCCAACGACACTGGTTTGCTCGTTTTTCGTATGGATAAACGATCCATTTCTCTATCCATGCTCTGCTGATAAGAGGGTGGATCTCCAAACAAACTTTGAGTTCTATGTGATGTTAGAAGAGATCTGCAAGCAGTCCACACAACCCACTGAGCCAGTTCGTAGTCGTTGAAATGCACCTGCCAATCGAGCAACCCAAGCAGCTCTTTCTCCATGGCATTGATCTGAGACAATCCAAAGACTCCATTACAGAGAGATACTATGGAGCTATTACTGAAGCTGTCATCTATGCAAGTCTTGAATGATATCATGAATGCGGCTAAAAACAGTCTGTGACCGGCTGCCTCAGACGAGCGACAAGCGTTTGGGTAATTGGATTTCAATCGAACTAAAAGCGCGACAATGAGCACCACGAGTTGTGGCGGTAAGCGAGTTTTCTTGAAGGATGCATAAATAAATGTGTGTAGACGATGCAAGCCTCGGAATGGATCATCTTTGATATGAAACATGGTGTTTATCAGCCAGCTAGCGCGATTAGCGTAGTATTCGAGCATGTCGATGTGTGAGATGGGTGTTGAAGATCATATCAGATTAAAGGATAAACTTTAATTTTACTCAGGAACACCTTGCTGTCAGATGGCGTCCTCAATATGAAAATCACACTACGTGCATAATGTGATCTGGGATGGAACAGGGGCTAGTGAATGGCTATTGTGCGGATGAATTTTTATAAGCTAAAGACTACAATAAACAAAAAGTAAAATTTTACACATACCGGGTATTAAACGGGCGAACAGGAGTGAACTTTGGGAGATATGTGGGAGTACTGAGAGCTGTTCCGCTGGAAAATGCATAAATCAAAACCGTTCTGCCACGTTCCCGTGGATATTCGGCAACTCGTGTATAGAGGAAGAGGGGAAAAGAACATATTTAAGAATACAAGGGTATATCAGTTAGAATGTATTATCCACCAATGCAAACCCAAATCCCCCTAAACCCCCTAAACCACCTCAATCATGCCAGACTGGTCGAAACTAGCATCCAAAGGGAAGGAATATTCGAATAAAGGGCTGGATAGGGGAAAGAAGGCGTACAATAACTCGCGCTCAGCGCCCACGGACAAATCAGATCCAATGAGAGGGCCGAGGGAGCCGCCAGCGGAGGAGGTGGCACAAGGACCCACGCCAGCGCAGATGAATCGGCCTGTGAGTGGGATGCGTGGTGTGTTGTACGTTCTAAAAGTCTACAGGTCAGACAGGATATTGCACCGCCACCATTGCGTGCAGATTCAAGCAGACCTAGCCCTAGCTCTGGGTATACAGCGCCACCACGTGTGGAATCGCAGGCAAGGCCAATGCAGAGCAGAGGGAGTGCTTATGCAGCGCCTAGAGGGGGAGTGCCCCCGGCGGCGCCTGCACGTACACCTGCCCGTGGTAGAGCGCCACCGCAGGCGAATCCGCGACTCCCAACGCGTGAAGACCTCCCACAGTACCCAGGGAATCCATCCAACATGCTGAGGGAGAACAAGGACCAGCTGTTTGGATTCCTGGATGAATATTTTGGCAGAGACAGCGGGAACGAGCCGGTGAGTAGGCGTCAAGACGGGGAAGCAGACTAACAATCAAACACAGGCTATCCCAACACACTCCCGACCTACTTGAGTATTTGTACGCTCACTCCAAATTTGATGTCTTCTCCTTAACCATCATGACTGCTGCTGTGATTGGATTAAACTTTGGGACTGGATACAGCTCGATTGGCGTTGTCAACAAGGTGGATAGAGCGTGTCGATAACCCTATTCCCCACTCACTCCCTCCCCAGAAAGGTTTCGCTGATTGCATCGCCAACGAAGACGGTCAGCGCCAAATCGCGTCTGCATTGGCATTCAACGGCGAGGAGGAGTACGTCGGCAACCAAGCAAAGCCACAGCTCGTGCGGAACTACAAGAACACCTTCACCGGCTTTAGGAATCTTCTCGGCGAGGAGTTTACAGAGAACATCCCCCAGCCACTCCTCAGCGCACCCGTCACCAACATCAACGGCATCCCTTCCTACTCCTTCCACGCCCACGGCAAAGATTCCTCCCTCTCCGTCAAAGACGTTTCCGTGAAGTTTTTACAATCCCTAGCTAAATCCGCCGAGGAGTACATGGGCAAGCCTATTGACGGTGCTGTTATGTCTGTGCCACACTCCTGGTCCCAGCACAAACGCAATGCCCTCTCCGAGGCTGCCAAGGCCGCCAACATCCCCCTCCTCGACCTCATCGACGACTGGGCGGCTGGTATGTCAGCGTACAATGAGGTTCTTGGCGCTGCCGACTCCAATGTGTTAGTTGTCGATATGGGTGAGTACTCCACCGCCGTCACCACCGTCGCCGCCCGCCAAGGTCTTTTCACTCCATTGTCTCACCTCAGCGACGCCTCCACCGGTGGCCAGCAGCTCGACCACGCGCTCGTCGCACACTTTGCCAAGGAGTTCACCAAGCAGACCAAGATCGCCGTGCCTACGCAGTTCTCCGCAGACCTCAGCGAGAACGACAGAAGGGCGCTTGTGAAGCTCTCCCTCGCGTGCGAGCAGACTAAGCGCTCGCTCACGGCGTCCAACTCGGCCGGCATAGCCATTGAGTCGCTCAAAGACGGTGCTGATCTCAGCTCGCAAGTGAACAGACTGCGTTTCGGAATTCTCGCAAGCAAGACATTCCACGCCGTCGGTGCACTTGCGGAGAAGGCAGTGAAAGCGGCGGAGCTGGAGAGTGAGCATATTGACAAGATTGTGCTCATCGGTGGCTCCTCGTCTCTGCCTTCCCTCACCAATGTCCTCGCTGGCATCTTCCAAAATGCTGAGATTCTCTCGTCGGTCGATCCCGACCAGGCTATCGCTAAGGGCGCTGCTATACAGGCGCAGCTGCTGGCTGCTAGAGACGTCCCAGACCTGCCCTCAGCCACGACGGAGATGACCGTCAATGTCACACCCCACCCTATTGTGCTTGCTGGAGAGGGCGACGAGAACGCTGTCGTCGTCGCTAAAGACACGCCTTTGCCTGCGCGCAGAATTGTCGCCATCAACCCCCCTCATGGTAAGGACAGCGCCGTGCTCGAGCTCTACCAAGCCAAGAATGAGATTAAGGTGGTCGCTCCTCCCCCACGCGAGAAGACGGACGATAGCGAGGATGAAGAGGACGACGAGCCTGAGCGCATCCCCGTCGTCGTGCGCTCTAACAAGATCGCCAGCCTTCAAGTGGCTGTCAAGGGAGACGCCCCTATCATTCTCACCGTCGTCGTCCTCGATAATGCCAGCGTCGAGATCAAGGCTGCCCAAGATGGTCAGTCGCCCGTTACGGCCACTGTGCAGGCGCCATAAGGAGGTTGTAAACAAGGCATAAAGAAGGCGTGAAAGGGCATAACGTGTATTGTTTTACTGTTTAGATAAATCTATTTACCTGTCTCGTCTAACGCGCGGATCAGTGCACCGTGCACGGTGCACCTAGCTATCCTCCATCTCAAACAGTATCTTCTTCCCGCCGTTAGCTTGAGCAGCGAGGGCGTCGCGGAGGGTTTGCGTGGCCTGCTGGTCAGTTTGGTGGCCGCCGATGGAGACGATCTGGTGGGGAGGTTCTGTGAGCTGTGAGCGGTGTGAGTTAGTGATTGAGCTGGATAAGCGCATACCCACGCTACCACTCTCAATGAGTTGGATTATTTCCCCCGCAATCGCACTGCGCTCCTCAGCCGAGCTCTTTGCATACCATTTCGACATCCAGAACCCGACGCTCTTGATATCCTTGAATATGAGCAGACCTGGGGGAATGCACAGCGGCTTCTTCGACATGGCGCCGTACGTGACGAGATGTGCGCCCTCGCTGAGTGTCTTGGCCACCTCCGTCGTTTCCTGCCCGCCCACGCAGTTGAGGAAGAGAGGGAGATCCGACTGAGTCCAGTTGGCGATGAGCGAGCGTACGCGCTTGCTATCGCGCACCACCTCCTCATTCGTGAGTACATGCGTAGCGCCCAACGCCTTGAGCTCCTCTTTAACTGCGTCAGTCTGCTGCTGTGTGCGGCGCTCTCTGACCAGATTGACAGTGTGGACGCCCATCGCGCGTGCTATCTGTATGACAGCCCTGCCGACGCCCGAAGTAGCCCCGGTCTGCACGACCCAGCTGGAGCGGCTGAGGCGGGTGAAGTCGCGCAGCATCCGCAGGGCTGTGGGCGGGTTGATAGCGAGCGTGGCAGCGTGCACCGGCGTCAGTGCGGGCGAGGCCGGCAGTTTGGTGACAGACGCAGCATCGAGCAGCGCACTCGACCGCCACGTCCCAAGCTGACTGCGGCCCATGACCACCCAATCGGACGGACGCAGCGACCTTACTCCCTCGCCCACCGCTTCTACGCGCCCCACTCCCTCCGTGCCGCACAGACTGTGCGCTGTGCCGTCTACCTCTACGCTTGGCGCACGCGCTGGGTACACCCCCTCCACTACATTCATATCGGCCGGGTTTGCTGGGGAGAGCAGGAATTTAACACGGATTTGCCCAGTTGTTGGCGCTGCTAGTGTTGGTAGTGTCTTCACGCGCAGGACTGAAGCTGGCGCGCCTTTCTCTGTATACGTGATGGCGCGCGGTTGCAGCATTCGCAGAAATGATGTTCGCATATCACTTGGATGATGTAGATGATGTCGAAGAGAATAGATAACCGAGGATACGTCATTTGGCGATACAAGAAGATTTTCATCCTCTCGCTCAAGCACAGCCTACTTGTTGTGCCAGAGGAGAGTCTTTAGGCTGGACCAATAGTTAGAGTCTGTTTATGAGTGTTAGTTAGGTGCAATTCTTCACTTGACTGCTCTTGGTAGCCACACAACAGCCACACAACAGCCACAAAACCCACCTAGATACAGATACTGCATCGAGTTGACCATTCCTGACTGCAGCGTTTGTCTGCGAGTCTTTGAGTGGAAGAGATACACCGCTGAACCCCACGTGAGGGTAGCGAGAAGAGAGAAAGCGGTAGAATTTGGAGGGTGCGGCTTGCCCAGAGCAACCGTTTCAGGCGTAGGCTGGCGAGGAATGAACGACGCTACAACACGCGACAAGACGTAAAGCATCATTTGCTCATTCACCGCGTTACGTTCTGAGAAGACGGCATATCCGGCGACGAGACCGGCAAAGAGAGTGTCTAAATCACGGGGAACACCGCCATTGAGACGTTTCTGGACTATAGCAGTGGCCTTGAAGATAGCTACGAATTTCGCCAGATTCGTGCTGTGTTGCTTGGTGGCGCGGTATATAGCCGTCAACTTACTGCGCAGGTCTCCGCGGCCGAAGAGAAAGGTCATGACTAGTGCATGTGGAAATCTGATCTTGGCTGTGGCTCCGTTGTTAGCGTGGATCGTTGCTAGTAACTCTCCCCCGCCCACCGCCATAGACGAACCCGTTGCGTGCTCCTTTGATCACACTCAACAGCGGCTGATACGCTGGGTTGCACACGATCGCGTTGATGTCTTCCATCGGCGTGAGTTTTTGGTGGTAAGTGAAGAGGAGTAATGTGCCGAATAGCCGGTGGAAAATGAAGAAAGAAAGACATTTATAAGAAAGTACTTTATCTTACACCCCCTTAAACACTCTCAATCGCAGCTGGGAATTTTATACCCGCTTGGCTGCGTATGTCGTCGAGCAACTCGGCAGATAAGACACTGTCATCCCAAGGCACGCGCTGAGATTGAGATTCACCGGCAGCAATCAGCCTAGCCATCTCATCGGCCTCCCAGTGCATTCCGTGGTGGGGGATTGGGTGGTGGTACGTGGTAGTCTTCCTTTGCTGATCATCTGGATTGGGATTGGTGGTGTCCCTCAGGCGAATCTCGTAGGATAAGGGTCTGGATAGTGGGAGATCATTCACTACCAACTCACCGTGTGTACCGCGTACAACAAGCGTCGAAATAGACCCAACGTTGATATTCGAAGACAAAACAGCATCTGCGTCGATACCTGGGAATTTCAACAATGCAGTGGTCATTTCGTCAACGCCATATTGGTTTTTGATACACGTTGCGCCCCTGACACTAGGCTTGCAGAGTTTGTTGGCTGGATGGTAGAATAACACGGAAAACACCCAGATAAGCGGGTATGGCATGAGATCCATGATGCTACCGCCGCCGAGATTGAGATTGAAAATGCGGTGGTCGCTGCTCACACCAGTAAAAGTCTGTCCGAAATCAGCGTGTACCTGCTTGACGTCACCAATAACACCACTGTGCACCTTATTCTCAATTTCCTTTAGCATCGGGAAGAATCTCGTCCACTTGGCTTCCATTAGAGTGAGGTGCTTCTGTTGAGCTAGCTGGGCTAGTGCGCGCATCTGGTCAGCTGTGATTACCGCGGGTTTCTCCACGAGGACGTGCTTGCCGGCGTGGAGGGCGTCGCGGGCGTTGTGGTAGTGGTGTGAGTGCGGTGTGCCAATGTAAACAACAGTGACATTGGGATCGTTGTAGACACCCTCGTAGGATGAATACGCTGTGGCGGATGAAGCACCAACTCTTTCAAGGAAATCTCGGGCTTTCTTGTCGGATGAAGAGCCAGCGGCTACGAGTTTGTGGTTTACATCACTAACACCTCTATCCAAAGGATTTGTGAGTAAATCACGTGCAAATGTCTCTGAGATTCCACCTAAGCCTACGATACCAAAGTTTAGAGTAAATGTCATTAATAAGCTTGAAGATGAAGATAGTTGTTGATGTTGTTTGCTGCCCTTAAAAAGTCAATTTAACCGATACAGCAATATACGTCATCATGTGATAGTCCATCAACTAAACACCTACAATATCGGGCATCGTTTCTAGCGGATTATAATTGAAATATAGGTTTATTGAATTTTTTCACTCTAAGCATTATTTAAAGGAAATATACGTCATTCTTAGGTTATCTCCAAACCAACTCAATTACTTCAACTCAAATGAAATTCAATTTAGCCACGATTGCAGTTTTAGCGGGTTCATTAGCTCTTACAGATGCAAAGGTTTACAAGTGAGTTTATAACATATTTAAATATCCCCAATAACCCGGTTTTTTAGATCTAAACTTAATAAAATCGACCACACAGATCCGTCCGTTTTTAGCGGCGCTAGTTTGGCACATAAATATGGTGGCGTTGTTGCTGATAACGTAATCAGTGACGCTGCTAGAACCGCTATCCCCGCTTTCGATGCTGCCGTTGAAATCATGTCCGCTTTCGGCGATGACAAGGGGATGCTCGAGTATAACGAGCACCTCGACGTCAACTCAAAAGTAGGACTCCCCGTCAGCAACTTCCTCAACGCTCAATACTACGCTGAAATTGGTCTCGGAACCCCTGAGCAGAAGTTCAACGTCATTCTCGACACTGGCTCTTCAAACTTATGGGTCCCTTCCGATAAATGCGTTTCTATTGCTTGCTTCCTTCACAGCAAGTTCCAGCCAGAAGAGTCGAGATCCTACCACGCCAACGGTACCGACTTTGAAATTCGTTATGGTTCCGGCTCCTTGAAGGGTATTGTCGGTCAAGACACTTTAGCCATCAACGACTTACACGTAAAGAATCAATTATTCGCTGAAGCTACCTCAGAACCAGGTTTAGCTTTCGCTTTCGGTAAATTCGATGGTATCCTTGGTCTCGGTTACGACACCATCTCAGTCAATGACATTCCTCCACCTTTCTACAATCTCATTGATCAAGGTCTACTTGATGAACCTGTATTCTCGTTCTACCTTACAGACGGTGATTCCGGTAAAGAATCTCAAGCCGTTTTCGGTGGCGTGGATGAAGAGCACTACAAAGGTGACTTGCACTACGTTCCTCTTCGCAGGAAAGGTTATTGGGAGGTTGACCTCGAAAAACTCTCATTCGGTGATGAAGAAGTTGAGCTGGAGAACACTGGTGCAGCTATTGATACAGGCACATCACTCATTGCGATCCCAACCGACATGGCAGAGATGCTCAACACGATGATTGGTGCAAAGAAGACTTGGACTGGACAGTACACAGTTGATTGTGCTACTGTCAAGGACCTCCCTGAACTGAGCTTCACATTCGGTGGCAAGAAATACCCACTTAGAGGTGAAGACTACATACTCAACTTGCAAGGAACATGTGTGTCAGCCTTCACAGGTTTAGACATACCTGAGCCCCTCGGTCCAATCTACATCATCGGTGACGTATTCCTGCGTCGTTACTTTACAGTATATGATCTGGGTAGAGATGCAGTCGGATTCGCAGAGTCAAACTAATCTTAGGTATTGAATCTTGTAATCTAAACGAAATTAAAGATGAAGTGTATGAATCTACAATGACGGAGTTTATTCGGCCAACAGAAGGTTTAATAATTTGATTTTCCTAAGTCAGTTCGTTATAAGGATAAATACTTGAAATAAAACTATTAAAGTCATTTGAGCTACTTAAAATTTAAAATTCTAGATCTTTGTACCTTAATTCCTAATCGAGATTGATGACACCTTATTGAGTTTTTGACAGCTATTCAGTTGGAGGACCAAGGCCATCACGGAACACAGAAATGAACAAGTGGAATGAGTTGCACAAACGGAGAAAAATAAACAGCAGCCTGATACCCAGTATAAATATAAATACCATCCTTGATTTGGATTTACTTGCTATTCTCAACAACCCTAGCTTAAGGCATGAAATTATCAACTCAAAGAGCCTGCAGTTCAAATCACTTAACAAGCAGCAAAGCTACAAGACTTATCAGTATTGGTTGGATATCCACACTGAATTGAACTTTGGCTGTGATTCTTATTGCAGATTACCAATTCTTATTAGAAACATCAGAGACATTCTAGTAAATCTACTTGAATCTTCAAATAAGCAAGACAGTCTGTTTATTTACAAACTCTTAAATCCTCAAGAGATCCTCGATAAGCTCCAAACCAATAACATCAACTTACATTCCTTATTTAGCGTTATTGGTGATGTCCTTAAGAAGCACTGTGCTCCTATAAGAGATGCTGAGATTGAGCTATTCATACACACCTCCTTACACGACACAACTAAGTCCCTTGAATTATTCCTCCAGCTTCTTGAAGTTATGAAGATTGTGGGTATTTGATCACATTTGATCACATTATAAACATCCCTAACACTCCCCAGGACATCCTCAACCACCAACTCATCGCCCACCGTCCACTCATCGTGCAATCAGCCATCGATATTGAATTCCAGTCGTTCGATTCAATGAGCGCGGCCAACGAAATCTCTCTAGACTCCACCAGTCGATGGCTCCTACGTGCCAAGGAAGCCTCAGAAGCGCACTCCACAGTCAAGCAGATCTTCATCACAGCAACCCAGCAGCTTATTGAATCGTACAACCCAGAATCATCGATGGCTTTACCTGAAACGTTAAAGATCGATGGGAGCAAATTCGAGCAGGCGCAGCAGTATATTGACGACCTCACTCTTATGTCCCTCTTGCTCTTGCTCGCCAGACAGACATTGGCAGGATACACTGGGCACACGGGGAACGCAGCCACAGCCACATCCACTTCTGCAGTCAAGAATATACCCCAGTACACCATCAACGACTTGCATCAACTCAAAGCGCAACTATATGTTATCCTCAACGACGGCAAATTGCCCTCACCGCAAGTAAAGCAAGTCGTGCTATCAGACAACAGCGGCAAGCTGCTCCATTACAATGTTGTAGACTTGGTGTCTGCAAGTGTGCAAGTAAATGGTAATGAGAATGGTAGTGGTATTGGTATACTCAACAAGAATCTTAAAGACTCCGAATCGCACAGTATCACAATGGCTCTTGTGCATATCGCCCACTCCGTGCATCACAAACTCGGTATAGACAAGAGCGAGGTGTCGCCAGCGTTGCTAGACAGGCTTAGTGAATGGTATAAACACCACTACGACGGGAAGTCGAGTGTGTACCATCTCCTCAAGAAACGGTTGTATGATACCCTCAAGCAGCACTTGTGGATGGGTGTGGGAGGCGCGCAGGGTGCGCAAGGCATTCAGAGCATGCAGAACATTCCCTCCCCTCAACCCAGTCTCAACGATCCTTGCAACTGCGACGTGGCTTCTGTGGGTAGGAAGATGTCCAATCTTCTCGACTTCAATTATAGAGTGTACGAGGCAGTCTATGCGCGCATTCTGTATACTCCAGTAGACTCCACCTCTCACTCCACACAGCAGCACCACACTGCGCATAAACATATCACCAAGTCTCAATCGCATCACGATAGAACGGAACAAAAACAGGCTTTGCAATTATCTCAGAATCCCACTATACCCACTTAAACGTAAACTGAAACGTTAAACCAAAGACAAACCCAAGTTTATGACTTTTATACTCCTTTTACTATTTTTCACTCTAGATTTTCTTGGAATTGGCATAACCCCTCTAGGAAGGACAAATACTCATTTTTTTTTGCTCTCACTCAAATCCATACACACCGAAGTAACACACCAATTGTATCATTCTCAATTTATACATAAACCAGCGCATAACACAGCATACCGTGTGAAAGGTAGTAAAATTATCAAGTGTGAGTACAAAATGGTTTAGTGATCCCAAAGAGAAAGTGTCCTTGTGTTGATTGATGATGGCTTTAAATTCTATCGCCCACAATAGCCATAGCGGACATTCTAGCAAGTTTGCGTGTATCTGCAAGCTGTGTAGGAGTCAAAGAGTATCTGCCGACGAGGTCGTCTACCTCTCTCCTACTGAATGCTGAGAGAAGACTCCTTCTGCTGTAGATATCGCCTGGCTTGTTGGCGAGTGCATCGAACGCCACCATGGATTTGTACGATGCTGCTTGAGCGAGCATCTGCGGAGACGTCTGAGCAACCTTTGCAGTTCCGTATATGTTGTTGTAAGCTTGTCTACACACATTGGTATGTCAGCGCAAAAGTCTTCTCTTACGAAACAAAGACACTCGAACTCACAATGCAGAAACTGAAGGAATCATTGAGATTTTCTTTCTTGTTTGAAGTTGGAGGTTTAATGTAAACGAATCAAAGAATTAAATCTTCTCCCCACACTTTTTTACCCCAGGATTTAAAACATGGCCTAAAACGGAAACTGAGCAGACGCGTTCCGTTTAGCGTTAGAATGGGCAATTATTATGGAAATGGGAAGCGGGTATGTTCCGTGTTGTGTGTTTTGCCGCCCAAATCGCACTTGGCTCTCCTCCGAAATTACTCTCTGCGGCGTCTAGCCGCTTACGCAAAGTTGACCAAATTTTTTCGGAATTCCACTCCGACGCCTGTACAATGAGCAGAGACGTTAGCCACTCTTCAATGACCGATAACCATGTTTCGGCGCAGTTTGCACCTTAATTTGCGATGTACGAAAAGGCGGAGTGATGATAACGAACAACAGCAAAAACCACAATTTCAATTCGCAATTGATGTATGTTACAAGTAGTAGGTGTTGTGGTGTGTATAATGTGGTGTGATTTGTATAATGTGCTGCGTAAATTTGTGTTCCATGAAAAGCGTTGCATAATTCCCAGTCATACAGTCATACAGTCATACTATCGGTGCAGCAACAAAACCTATTGCAACTGCACACGAGGACGACATGTCTAAAATTCGTTCATAGTCATTCTCCTAAGCAGATTCAGTGAGCAAAACATCGCAGTCAACACTTAACTTCGACACACCTGAATGTATAGCCCATGAAAGCCAAGTCCTTGCTATCACCAGTAACGTCAGCTCCAGCGGGAGTTTCCGGCACAGACTCAAGCTCCTCCGTTGGGAAGTAGCTTGTGTCAGTAATGGAGCGGAGGTGGGGTACGAACGGAGCATCTATTTGTCTGATACAGCTCCAATCAACACCATCGAAGAAAGGATGCTGTTTAATTTCCGCCGCGTTGTTCCGCCCCAGTCTGTACTCAGGTGCGCACATCAACCTTCTCACCAAATCCTCCGCTTCAAATGAAAGTTGAACGTCGTCGGGGAAATAGAGATGTTCACGGTAATTGATGATTTTGCGATATGTCTCGTGTGCGCTCTCAGCGCAGAATGGAGGATAGCCCACGAGACATTCGAACATAATAGCTCCCAAACTCCACCAGTCGCATGAATGGTTGTAGCCTTGCTGCAGAAATATTTCAGGAGCGATGTAGTCAGGCGTTCCAACTGTCGAGTAGGCCAATTTGCGACGATTCGTCTTCCATGTCTGGATCTGGTCATGACGGGACATAGTCAAATTAATTTTGTCGATCGCAACACTATTCCGCTCTTTCTTCCCTTCACCACCCTGGTCGAGCAGACGCTGGTAGTACTGCGCTGTGTGCTTCTTGTGAAAACCGGTACTGAGGCCGAAATCGGTGAGCTTTACATGACCTTTTTTGTCAATGAGAATGTTGTCAGGCTTGATATCACGGTGAACAAAGCCGAGAGTGTGGACTGCCTCAATTGCTAGAACGCACTCTGCAATATAAAACCGGGTAACGTCCTCGCTGAAAGTATCATACTTAATCAGCATGGTCATTAAATCACCGCCCGGCAAGAACTCCATGAGTAGGTAGAGATACTTTGCGTCTTGGAATGAGTAGTAAAGATTAACAACCCACGGCGACTTATTCTCAGCAAGTACATCACGTTCAGCACGTACATGTGCAAGTTGATCCTTCTTGAACATTTCACTCTTGAGGAGAGTTTTCATTGCGTAGATCTTTCCAGTGTCTTTCTTTTGCACCAGTCTCACCTCACCAAATGCACCCTTTCCAATAACTTTAACGGTCTTGAAGTCATCCAGACCTATTTTTGTGCGACGGAGACGTACAAACGATGTCTCCTTCTCGCCCAGCCGCTCAAAAGCGATTTGTCGACGCTGCTGGATCTGTGCGAGCTCAGCTGGGGAGGATATATGATGACGGACTGCGTGTCTCTTCTCAGTCTCGATACGACGCTGATTGCGCTCAATAGCATGCTCAACAGCCATCTTGTAATGCTGCTCAAGGCGCATTTTAGCTGCTGTAGCTCTAGGTACGGCCTCGCGCGAGAAAAGGTGGGGCTCGCGCTTGAAGTAAACGTAATCAGCTGGTTTGTTCGAATGTGGATTTGAAGGAGCATTCTGGCGTGCATCCACACTCATCTGAGCCAAAGCATTGGGAGATGTTATTCCACCGTCTGGTGAGTGCACCGTTGCGAATCTAGTTGGATGTGGTGCCTCATGAGTACCCATGTGTGGCGCTCCACCACCCCCATATCTAGGTCTATAAGGTAGAGCCGCGTTGTATGATTGCATTTTGTGTCTTCGCCGTCGCCGTCGCCGTCGCAAACAGAAGACGTTCAAGTGACATATAAAACAGCCACGCACAGACAGGAAAAATATAAAAATTTATAAAGATTAATTAAAATAAATAAATCCTTCTCCTCTTATACAAATCACATCTTCTTACGCTGCTTCTCTTTGTGTTTGTGTAGCGTCTTTTGCTTATCAATAAGCTTGGATTGTGACTTGCTCTTGACACGCTTAGAGTGTATAGCCATCATCATTGGCTTGTTACGCTTCTTCTCTTCGTTCGTCTTGCTTGCTACCTTATCCGACTTGTGTTTACCCTTACGTGAAGCAAACTTATCACGACCTTCACGACCTTCGGCAATACTAGCCATACGCGCCTCATAATCATTCTTAGCGCGTTTGCGTGGTCCAACAATCTCAGCTTCTGTGACAAATTGTCCTTGATCATCACCATCTGCACCGCTACCAGTGGCTTTACGCTTTTCTTTAAGATGCGCAAGTTTGCGCTTTGCAGCATTTCCACCGCCTTGGTCTATTTCCTCTTGTACCGCCTTCATTTTGAGGTCGTTGAGGAGGGCAAAGTCTGCTGGTGTGAGGATACGTTCGGTAGCTAAAGTGGACATTTGGGCAATTTGATCATTTGTAGAGATGTCTTTGGTATCTTCTTCCTTTTTCTCTTTCTTCTCTTTCTCCTTCTCTTCATCGCTGTCAGAAAGATCGATATCGGCGTCGTCGTCAGACACATTAACCCAACCTTCCTCTTCACTCGAGGCATCATCTGACTCGGCATCCCAGTCATCCCAAGCTTTCTCATCGTCGACGTCTTCATCGTCGTTTTCCTTTTGATCGAGGTGCTTCTCGAGTAAGTCTAGACCTTCAATACCACTAGCAACCTCATTACTCTCACCAAACTTGAGAGCTTGTTTTCCAGTAGACATACCCATCGCAGCCAATTTACCTCTCTCTTTACGTTTGAGGATTGAAGGGTTGACTTCTCTGAAGAGTTGTAGTAAACCTCTACTAGCAGTGATTACACCTTTATCAGCAGATTTCCTATACTCTATCAAATCTTCAAGTAAATCCGATTCCATAGCCCATGGCTGCCTGCGTGAAATTTCTGTGATAGAGTTGAGACCAGCAGCTACAACTTCAGAACCAACGCCAGGAGTGACGAACTCGTGAGCGATCTTACGAATAACGGGAGTGAGTACGTCTGGTGGGGTTAGTTCGTGTACAGATTGAGCTAAAGCGACGAGAATGAGAGTAATGCGGAGTTGATGGTGAGTGAGGTATTTGATGATGTATGAGTAGAAGCTGAGAACGCATAGTTTGTGAGCACCCATGACTCTAGTGAGGAGTTGCATGACTAAAACGCGATGATCAAGGGAGTGAACTTTATCAGTTTTAGTGAGGCTTAAGAATAGCTTTTCAGCAAAACCTTGTGGGTCATTGAGGAGTTGTAAGGCAGGAAAGTTTGGAGTGGAAGAGTTTTGTTTGTTCGCGTTAGCTTTCTTAGCGGCTTTCTTTTGTTTTGACATTTTCTTGTCAGTGGATTTACGAGATTTATTAATGAGAGCTTGATGCTGAACCTTTTTAATGTCGATTTCATCACCCTCTTCGTCGCTCTCCTCAACAACATCATCAGAACCCAAGAAAAAGTGAGTTGCAGCGTTTTGAACTTTTGCAGTAGGATGGAAGCAAGCTAAAGCGACGATGGAGACGGATTTAGAGTCATTCCAAACGCCTTTTCTCCATAGTTCCCTGGTTAACATAACAGCCCACATAGCTTCAGAGTTTGAGTTAATTTGGTTGTTTTTAGATTTCTTGTTGGAGGTAATTTCAGCGTCCATACCAGTTTGAACCATTGCAAAGAGTAAACCCTGAATAACTCTGTTCAGCTTATGATTTTTTGATTGTTGATTAGCCAATTTCATATCATTCAAGATGACATGTTTTATATAGGATTTTATAGAGGAGGAAGTAGTTATAGGGAGAAGTTGAAAGAGAACCTTCAATAGGTCAATAGAATCGATAAATTTGCGATTTCTAAGGAGAACTAAGGATTGGATTAAAGTTTTCTTAGTGTCTGGGGAAAGGTGGGAGTTGAATTGGATAAGGAGATCAGATAGGTCGTTGGGGAGTTGAGATGTTATTGAGGGATAACAAGGGGCGACCTGGGATGTGTATTGTGAGATAAGCGTATAACGCACAACAACCTAACAAACCTGGCTAATGAAACCAACCAAGTTATTAAACTCATTCAAGTTATATCCAGGCTGTAATTTGAATATATTGATAATAGATTTATAATGATTGTATTGCTGTATAAACTCATCCTTATATCCATCGGGGTCTCTCTTCACAAGTCCTTGTAGCTGTGGTAGATTATCTAACAACAATGCACCCCTATTAGATTTAGATTTAGTCATGGCTGTTACCTGTCAACCTCCATCATGCCACTCAATAAGGGCTTAAGCTTCAGTAGAAATTTACCGAACCAGCCACCAAAAATAAAAAGAGACAGAATACTCAACGATAATTCGGATGCATTCAAATTTAACGCCTGGGATAACGTTCCTAGGCCTGAAAATGAATTTGATATTGTTAAACCACATATAGATTTTCATCAGTTGCATAGAGCTGATGAGGAGAAGGTGGATAAACTAAATGATAACCCTTCTTCTTACTGGAATGACTTCTATAAAACACACCAATCTTCTTTCTTCAAGGATAGGCAGTGGCTGGGTTTGGAATTCCCTGATCTACTCAATCTAGTTGCTAACCAACAACCCTCTACACTCCTTGAATTAGGTTGTGGCGTTGGTAATTCCCTCTTCCCCATCTTAGATTCGAATCAAAACTCAAATTTACACCTTCACGGATGTGATTACTCGAATGAGGCTATAGATATTGTCAAACAACACCCAACCTACCTAAACCCTCCTAATGGCTCTATAAATGCATCTGTATGGGATTTATCCAACTCTTCCCCTTCAGAACTCCCACTCCCACCAAATTCAGCAAACTACATACTAATGATATTCGTTTTATCCGCACTTCACCCAGATCAATTCGATACTGCTCTCAACAACATCCACACTATGCTTAAACCAGGCGGTAAAGTTCTCTTTAGAGATTATGGTAGGTATGACCTCGCTCAGATTAGAATGAAAAAGCAGAGACTACTTCAAGATCATTTTTACTGTAGAGGCGATGGTACGAGGGTTTATTTCTTTGAACTTGATGAGCTGGATCAGTTGTTCAAGAAGCATGGCTTTGATGTTCAACACTCTGACACTGATAGACGTCTAATTATCAACCGCAAAGAGGAGAAAAAGATGTATCGCGTTTGGCAGCAAGCTACGTATACAAAGTGATTTACGTATTGTATTATAACTAGTACCTTTTAAGCATTTCATTGAAATGAAAAAAAAAAACAATTACCTGAAATGAGAAATACAATTAACTTCAATTTAAAAGCTCGCTTAGTTGACGTAAGACAGCGCAAACAAACCAGCAACAACAACAGCAGCTCTGATAACACCACTCTTCTCATCCTTACTGAGTGGACGAGTGATAGTCTGGTACTGGACAGGCTCTATTTCGGGAAAGTATTTCCTATAATGATTGAGATAAGACATAATTCGTGATGGCTTATTCTCAACACTCTCTCCCAATTCCTCCTCAAGGGTATAGAGATTGTGACTGACATTACTAATACCAGATGCTGTACTGAGTTTTGGTACATCATTCTTCACGTTACTATCGATAGTATCCGCCGTAGCCGACCAATTACACGCCAAAACTGGAATTTTGATATTTTTTGGTGAGGGGTTTCTAGTAGGTTGAGGAATATTGAGAGTGAATGCCCCAAGATCTACAAGCTTACTGGAGGTGTTATCGGCAGGTGTTAAAGGCTGACCTGGAGCTGATGCGGAAGTGTGTGGAGTAGACGACGTTACCGGAATTTGGGGACCAGCGTTGAGGTTAGTGCCTTGTCCACTAGAAACCTTATTCACTGGCTCGGTTGAGTATGTAGATACTTGTGTATCATTGGCGCTTAGTCTGTGTACAAGCGCCGACTTGCTGCCCGTGGAAGGCAATTTACGCTTCTTCAATTCAATTTGAAGACCTTTAACAGTCATGCTTTGATACCTTTCAGTTGTGAATAGGACACTAGAGACGAATGATCTTGTGTGGATTGGTTTGGCTGATTTGGCGTATAACATCATCGTGGTGGTTACAAAGAGGAAAAGAAGCATCGTGAATAAATCATTACAAGAAGTTGTTTGTCATGTGCCTAGTGTGTTCATTGTGCTCATTGTGCTCAATACTCCTTTTAACCCGATTGAATACCTTCGTCAGTAGCAATTGGCTGGTAAGATATTCCAATTGGGTCGACCCAGCTATCAGGCAAAACACCAGCAGCATACTCGTCGATAATTGAAGAGTGTGATATGATAAGCCACAGTGAGAAAGCAGCTTTCGCACCCAAGTCAATGATAGCGTATAGGACCAATTCAAAGTCGAACGTAATGATTTTAGCTTTAGTGCCCAGACCAAAGACAATTGCGTAAACTGCCCACGAAAAGAGGATAAGGGTGGTTAGAGGACCGTACAAGACGCGTACGTCATCTGAGTGAATGCGAGACACTTCGAACCCGCGTACACCAAGTACGTAGACCAAAGCGAGGTAGAAAACGATTGAAGCAATCAAGAAGAACCAAACACCAACTGCAGAGTGCTGGAAACCTGAAAGTAGCCCTGTACCAACAAAGCCAACACTTGCGAACATACCGAGAACGATATCAAGCCAAGGCAAACCAGTGAGTAGGCCGAGAGTGAAAGTAGTTACAGGGACAGTAACAAACCACTCAACGAATCTACCCAAGTATATTGCTCTCAGTGGGGGATGCTGCGGTGGAGCCAGGTGGCGGTGTGATTCAGGCACGTAAATGGCACCGAAGTTTGTGGATAGAGTGAGATATGAGAGGGTAGTTATAGTGAGTATAACACCAGCTAAAGCGTGAAATGTTCTACGACGCTTGTTGAGACGTGTTGCGTGTACTGCCGTGACCAAAGTAGACAGAGCAAAAACGGCAAATGCGATCCATAGGATAATCCTGCCGAGGTGGGAAGGTGCTTCAAACACAGGAACTGGTTTTGGTAGACCAATGGGATTTTTGAGATTGTCGTGAGGAGGAGCAATTGGAGGCAACTGAATTGGCTGTGAGTGATTTACAATAATAATATTCATACTAACACTCACACTATAATCATTCATCGTCATCGTCATCGTCGTTGTCGTCGGCGACCCACAAGAAATGTCAACTCACACGCACACCATCATTACGTCACTTGATAAAGAAATTTAATTTTATATTATTTTATATTATTTTATATCTCAAATGGCAGAAGCTGAGCGTAATAAGAAAATTCAACTAAACAGGCTCAAGGCCAAGCAAGCGTTGAAAGAACGCGACAGATCGACCAACAAGTCACGCGAGCTGAATGGCAACAACAAGCGCAATTTGAAGCAGGTTGAAGGGCATGACGATAGTGTGGCAAGCAAGTCGAGGCGAAATGCAGCCACCGAAGACTCAAACGACTCCACCTCTCCACTACGCAGAGACCCACGACTTGGCCAATACTACGAGTACGATCTATCCAAGATGCGTAACTCCAAAGGTGGTTTCCTCATCGAAGACGATCACGGTTTGGGCGAGAAGACGGAGAATGAAATGCGTAAAGAGAAGCAGCGTGAACTTGAACGCACTCTAGCTGCATCCTATGAGCCTGGCTTGAAAATAGACCTGAACGCGAACCCTAAATGCAAATTATGCGACAGTATCGAGATTGATCGACAAATTTTCACCTCATTTGGCATCAGTGTTTGTCATAAATGCAAGCAATCCCATCCAGATAAGTTCAGTTTACTAACAAAGACGGAGTGTAAGGAAGATTACCTCCTCACCGATTCTGAACTACGGGACGCGGATGTCATGCCTCATCTCCTCAAACGCAATCCACACCGCGCGTCGTGGAACAACATGATGCTCTTTCTACGTGAGCAGGTCGAAGAGTTCGCTTACGCCAAATGGAATGGTCCAAAAGGTCTTGATGAGGAGTGGGAGAGACGCGAACAACTCAAACACAACAAAAAAGGAAAGAAGTTTCAGGATTCTCTCAACGATCTCAGGCGAAGGACAAAGAACAACGTCTGGCAGCAGCGACAAGATGCTCAGCATGTGCATGACTGGTCCACCCAAACTGATAAGCAGGTTTGTTCTGTGTGTGGTCTGCAAGTTGATACAGAGAGTTTCTAATGTAACATGTGCATTCATATACAGCCCCCCTCATGTCATCTACTCTTCATCAAACTCTGCAAACCGGGTATATTTGATTGCGGTGTTGGTAGAACACTCCCGCTACTAATGCTTTACTGTGACTTTGTGTCATTGAAAATATTCGCAACTCCTCGCTCAGACGACGGGCTGTCATCATGAAGAAATTCGAGAGGAAGTGACTGAGCTGTTCGGTTTCGTTTGGGTGTTTCCATGTCTAAAGATTCAATGTCATCGTAGTCATCCTCTTCTTGGCAATCGCTGTCCACGTCCAAAGACACATTCGGTCTATCAGTCGAGTCCATATCTAAGCCACCCCACAATCGTTTCTGAGGATCGTCTGCCACCTCCTCACCCAACTCATCATTCTGTGACTGAGTGATCCAGCCAGATATCAGACTCTGTCTCTTGGTATCTTTTTGCTTCTCCTTCTCCTTATTTCTCTTACCCCGCCCCAAACCTTTATTTTGGGTAATAGGTCGTGTCCCCTCCCACGCTCTCTCCAGCTCAGGAAACCCAATTGCACCAGTTGGTATAGAGGTTTCAGTGGGCATGTGTGTGTGCGAGTCTTTAGGCGGCGTATGGACTTTTAGCTTGGACTGTCGTAGTTCCTTTGATGGCGATCGCGGTGATGGAGTGTTCGCAACTAAAACGCTACTTCTGTTGGATAGACCACGCGTACTCTTCTGAGGAGTGCGTTCAGTCAATATCTGTGTGAATGTTCTGTATCCATTATTGCCATTCTGCGTAAAGAGCCATTCATCCTCGCGCTGATCCTGATCCGCCTCCAAGTCCTCGATCGTCGTTGATCTCATTGGGGGTGAAAAGAGTGAAGAGTGATTGTCCATATCTTGAGTGTACTTTCTTCTCTTGTTGTCAGTGTTGTTGGTGGTGTTGTTGCTGAGATTACGATTACGATTACGATTACGACTGCCATTGCTATCCCTCTTAAGCGACGGGATGGTAACTTGATTGAGCCGTTTGCTAAAGGTAGCGAGGGCAGCTAGGTGAGATTGGAGAGAGTCAGTGGGGTGTTCTTCACTTGCATTTCCATTTCCACCCTCGCCATCGTCATCGGCCAACATCGCCTTGCGCATCTCAAGCTCAACGCGCCGCTCGCGCAGTGTCGTCAGACGGTCCTTAGCCCGCTTCTCCTCATCGACGGGCGACAGACCTGCGGCGTGGCGCATCCTAGCCAGCTGCGAGAGTGCCCCGCCGCTCGTCAGCTCCTTAGCCAGCGACGAGGGTGATGATGGTGCGTCGAATACGTGCGTGTGCTGTTGTTGGCTGGGTGAAGGTGGTTTGGAGTGGGAGTGGGAGTGTTCGAGCTCCTTCTCCTTCTCCTTCTCCTCCGCATACGCCTCTTTCCTCCTGTAGTACTCTTCTGGATTCCAGAATATCTTGCTTTGGGGTCTGACGCTATTCTTGGCATTCTTGCCGTTCTTGCCGTTCTTGCCGTTCTTGCCGTTCTTGCCGTTCTTGCCACTGCCCTTTCTCTCACCACCCATATCGGCAGCGCTAGATAGCAGTTTGTCCTTGGTGTTGCTCATCGCGCGCGAGAATAGCTCACGGTCTACCGTCCACTTGCTGCTTTTAATCCTCGCATCGAGCTGCGCCGGTGAAGTGCGTTGTCGACGCACAACACCCCCACTTGGCCTCGTCGATGGCTCCCCAGCCTTTATCCATCCTGTAGACGCTGGTGGTGTATATTTACGCGTGTGGCTATCGCTGTGGCTGCTCATCTATCCTCTATTCGATGACATAAGTTATCGCTCGTGGACGCCTGAGAACAAGAGTGTTTTGATAAGAAATAGTGAAAAATTAAAGATTAAAAGAATCAACATCTATGCATATCCGAGGCGCGCACGATACAAAAGTCTATTCCTTCGCGTCTATTTCTTCGCAACTCCCTGCTTAATAGCTTGCAAGGCGCATAGAGCAGCTTTGTGAGCGTTTGTGTTAGCCAGAGCACATACACTGCTCTCCTACTCACCTCCCACTCCACTTCCATCCTTAGCCAGTCCAATTTTGATACGTTTTTCAGCCTGGTTGCCGAGAATGACGTTGAGAGCATCCCGGATAGATTGTTCGAATCTCGGGAAGAACTCGATGACACTGTTTTGGTGGTGTTAGAGCATCCGATAAGCACCTCATCTACCCACGATCCATCCAGCCCAATGTTGATATCTCCCGCGGCGTTCTCACTCGCCTCTGACTCGATCACGGCTGCGAGAGCACACGCACTGAATCTGGCAGCGCGCAACCCGATCAGTTGCGAAGCATCTCTGAAAAGCTGCGCATCCAGCTCGCGAACATTTTCTGCAGATACGCCTAATGCACCCAGCACCTGCTTCGTATGTGTGGTCTCACCGTCTGAGTCTCTGAGAGAATCAGACATGAGAGCCGTGTCTAGCCCGTACTGCGTGTTAAAAGCCTCCGGAAGCGTGCTCGTGTTGCTGAGAAACTCTTGCTTGGCGTGCAGATCCACCAGCAGCCTCCGCAATATCTCACCTAGGTACATACCCGAGATAAGTTTTTCGAAAGACTGTCTGCGTCTACGGTGGTGGTTGGTTAGACACACTCTCAACGAAACCCAATGTCTGCTCACGGATTGATCGACGCAGAGTCGACAATATCATCCCATTCAGTTATCGGCAACACACTTCTGGCGTTGTCAACGTTGCCCCATCTACACACATGTTAGCGGGTGGGCGTGTGTGTAAATTAGGTATGTACTCGGTGTTGACGACCATTTTAGAACCAGCTTTGGGGTTTTTGGCTTCGTCGTCAAGCTTCTTGATCTCGGTAAGATCTTCCAAGTACGCACCGTTAGTGCCAGTGCCTGAGGTGTGTTAGATTGTGGATACTGCGCGTCGTAGTTTCGACACATACCAAAGATAGCACCGATCTTCGCACCGCCAGATTGATACGAGTGAGCGAGCAAAGTGCCGACAGTCTAGTGAGGTTTGGTAAGTGTTGAGCCTTTAAAACATCTAAACACGGTCAGCTCACATCATTGACCAACGCAACGACATCGACAGGAATGTTTTGCTTATTGAGACAATCCTGTAGCGTCTCAACGACATCCTTCCCAACGGCATTCTTGGCATTGAAGCCCTTGGTGAAGCCGATCAATTTGCCTGAGTTGATAGCAGACTGATCGACGGGGAAGCTGGGGGAGGATCAGATATCGATATGATGTAATCAGCGTGAAAAACACACGAGAAGGTGAAACCGAGTGGGATTCTCTGACCTTGCTTGGATTGAGACTTTGTGGATATAAAGTGACCAATAGATTTGGCCATGTACGAGAATAACTCAGTGAACTCGCCTGTCTTGAGATCCTCAGTGATTTTATACTTCTCCTGAGAAATGGAGAAGTTCCTGTCACCAGAAAGATTAACTTCACAGACACGCATATTTGTGCCGCCCAGGTCCAGGCTTAAATAGGTGCCGCATTCAGTTCCATCCGGCAAGCCATAGACGAACGTGGGGATCATCGATACGTCTGTGCCGTGGTAATTAAGGCCGTGAGAGAACTCAGCTTGAATTTCATTTTTGATTTTAAACAGGGCGTTGTCGTCGACGATTAATTTTTCAGAGAAGTTCATGGCTGTGGGGGACAGACAACTACCCAACACCAACCAGCCAAATGAAGCAAATACGAAATTTAAGCCGGATGCAGAAGAGTTTAAGAACATTTAATCGCTCAGATATAAAACACGCTTTTTATAATGCAATACACGATGGTAGATCTATATCACCTTATAATATGCGTGAACTCGTATCTAGATATCTCTACAGGGACTTTGATTTCGTTTTGCAGGTACTGGGGATGTTACACAAGCACAATCAGCTCAATGTTAGTCTAATCAACCATACGATAAACCTTCTACCCGGTGCAGATCTTTTTATCCGGTTAAACGAGCTCAAACAGCTCAATATCGGAATAGAAAGCTACAACACAGCCCTCAAGCGTCTTAGTGGGATTAGTAGAGAACAATGCGTTGAATTGTTCGATACTCTGGCTGCTGCGAACGTCGTCAACAGCAATTCATACAAATACGTCGTCAAAAGCATCTTAAACTACCCGATAAACACTTCTCGCGATTATGTCATTGTTAAGCGTCTCTATCAACACATAGACACTTTAGACGAGACTTTGGTTCACCGGCTGATCGAACTTTTCACGATCGTCGACGACGCTCACAATGTTAAGCTGCTATACGACAAGCACAAGCTTTTAATAGACAATATATCATTATTCAAGGTAGTAAATTACTTTACACGTGTGGATATTAATCTCGCTAGGTGTATACTGGATGAGTGGTTGCGGTTCAATCAAACGACCCCCTCAATGGAGCTGCTTGAATTGAAATTATCACGCTCACAGCTAGCTGAGAGTGGCTAGTCGTATTGGATGTGGTCTGCCCATATTGAATCGATCGAGCGGCTGCATATTGAAACTGTGTTGTTTCTCATCTTTGAAAGTAACCAGCGGGATATTCTCTTGATGGATATCATCAGTGTTGGCGTAGAGTATCTCATCAATAGCTTCTCCCTCATTATCAAAGCTTCCATCAAAACCTTCATGTTCTTCAGCTACTTTACCCTCTCGCATACGATTTCTCCCCTCTTCTGCCTTCACTTGACGCTCTACCTCATCTCTCACCTCGTTACGGTCCCTTGTACCCATTTCATCCACTTCCCCTTCAGCTTCAGTTATGTTGAATTGGTGTGGGTGTTTCTCCACTTTGACAAAAGGCGCACGATGTTTGATGAGTATGAAGAGGCGCTTGAAGACCCAGAAACCGAAAAAAGTTAGTCCACAGGGAGCTGTGGAGGGTAAGTGATGTTGGTGGTAATCAGCACGTCTCATTCTATCATCGCTCTCCACCCACATAGAATTATAAGCGCTTTGATCGGCGGCGTCATTTTCAGATCGTACCCACAAAGAACACTGCTAAGTTGGTAGATTGGAATTATTGTACTTTTGATGCACCTACTCTTTTGCGCATGGATCTGAATTTAGACTGATTGCGTGTGTTGACCACGACAGACTGGATGTGATTTGAAAGGTAAATCACGCAGAAAACACAGCACACACCTTAGCAGTATCAAGCACACAGTTACAATCATGACGGTCATTGTGGTCATTGTAATAATTACCCAATCAACTGCATTCTTTGCGCTGTTTGAATACGGTTGAACGGCGAAATCACGTCATGTGAAGATGAAATACGTAAAGACAGGTTATAATGTCATTCATAGCATCGTATTATAAGCAATAAATTACAATTTAGCATTAAAGGTACTGGGATTGATTAGTGGGAATGTGAGTCAGGGGCACGTACGCACAATCTGCCAAATTGCTTACTTGGTAGCATCATCGAAGCGCTTAGCGGTTTCAGCTGGGATAGACTGTTAGAGAGGAACACCAAAAAACACCGCACTCACCCCAGTTAATGACGTTGAAAATGGCGTTGAGGTAATCTGGCTTGACGTTCTTGTATTGGAGGTAGAAAGCGTGTTCCCAGATGTCAATACCAAAGAGTGGGACGTGTGGGGGAGTAACAGGGTCTTGGTTTGCGGTGGTCACCACTTCGATGCGCTTATTCTTGGAGTTGAGGGCGAGCCATCCCCAGCCAGAGCCTTGGATACCAGCAGTAGCGGCGGTGACTTCCTTCTTCATGTTTTCGTAACCGCCGAGGTCGCGCTCAACTGCCTTGGCGAATGCTGAGCCTTCTGGGTACTTGGCTTCTGCCGAGTTGGCTGGAGCGAGGTTCTTCCAGAAGAGAGAGTGGTTGATGTGGCCACCGCCATTGAACTTAAGTGCTGCTTGAAGGGCGATCTGTGACTTTACGTCTTTGGCAGATTGTGCTTCTGCGAGACTCTTCTCTGCGCCGTTGAGGGCGTTAACGTAGCTGAAGAGGGGGTATTAGCGGGTTTGCGGTATAGAATTGACAGCCACTCACGTCTGGTGGTGCTTGGTGTGGTGGATAGTCTGTTTCCGTTAGTTGGTGTCTTCTGCGCCAATTCTCTCTTCTCACCATCTACAGCGCAAACAGCGCACACGTCAGCAGCGTCAAATAGAGTCAAAGATCCACTCACAATCTCCTCGCAGATGAATGGCTCAAGTGCGTTGTATGCATATGGTAATTGTGGGAGTGTGTGTGCCATTTTTCACGTGGTTGTTTCGGTGTAAGAGGTTATTAATCATGATGACCTCATTTGGGTGTTAAAAATTGCATCATCAGCGTATAGTTTGTTGTGTTTCTAGTCCACGCTTCATTTTTACTAGTCTTTCCCGTACCTTTACTAGCTCCTTCAATTATCCTAGTCGACACTTCAGTTTCACTAGTCGACGCTGATATTCATTCGTTCAACTGAAATACATAAGCTCTTTGCTCGATTTAAATTGCTTAAATGGTTGGATTCCAGTAAATATTTCACATCTCCACTTCTTTTGCTCCTTCTCGCCTTCTTTTTCCGTTTTACACCGGCAATGCCATCATCCTGGAAAGAGAAAGCGCTTAACAAGCGGAGCATACGCGATGGGCAGATACGTGGGGTGCTTGACAGGCTGCAGGGCGGTGGGCACGAAGACAGCCTCGATACCGCCATCCGTTCGCTTACCGGTGGGTGGATTACACTCCCAGATAGGGTCACTGACAAACCCCACTACACACAGCCACGGCTCTTGCTGGCAGAATAGCAGCCAAGGAATACACAGCCACGCGTGTCCTCGAAGCCTACATTCGCGGCAGTGTTGCGGCGCATGAGCGCACAAATTGTCTCACTGAGGGTATGTCCGGGTGAGCACTGATATCTGTCCTCAATGTTCCCGCAGTCCTCTACGAACGCGCCCTCGAAACGGCTACCCAACTCGACGAGCACTTGGCCCGCACCGGCGCCACTGTCGGCCCGCTTCACGGTGTGCCCATCAGCGTGAAGGACGTTGTCCAGGTGAAAGACGTCGACTCTACATTAGGCTTTACAAAGTGGGTGTGGAGGTGCGCGTGGTGTTGGAGTGCTGTCTAAACAAATGAACACAGCTGGATCGGCAACCGAGCCGCGGACGACGCAGCTATCGTCAAGATACTCGTTCATGCCGGTGCGGTCCCCCTCGTCAAAACCAACATACCGCAGACGATGCTCTCGTTCGAATGCTCCAACCCTCTCTGGGGAAGGACTGTGCATCCGCACAACAGCGCATACACCAGCGGAGGCAGCTCTGGCGGCGAGGCGGCACTTCTCGCCTGTCACGGGTCTGCTGCTGGTATAGGTACTGATATCGGAGGTGCGCAAAATGCACCACACCGCCTTGACGTACACCTAATCACCAATTGCAGGCTCCTTGCGCATCCCCACCGGCTATTGCGGCCTTTACTCGATAAAGCCGGGCTGCGGTAGATGGCCTTACAGCGGCATGCAGCGTGAGTGGTGGAGTGATCCATTTTGTCCTTGATTTTCATTTCTCACCTCTTACCTTGACTCTCATCAGCATTGGTAGCAGGATTCGAAGGAATAAAGGCGGGGCTGGGCCCAATGGCGCGGAGTGTGGTAGATTTAGAGCTGATAGCTCGCGCCGTGCTCGACTCACCCATCAAGTTGAATGTCTCAGAAGGGTCACTCGCGCCTGTGCCGTATCGCCCCATAAACCTTCCCCAAAAGCTGCGTTTCGGGTACTACGCCGACAGCAACTTTGTCCGCTCATCGCCGGCTATGCGTAGAGGAGTGTTCGAGACAATCGACAAGATGCGCGAAGCGGGTCACGAATGCATCGATGTTGGCCCAGTTGATGCTGAGTCAGCGCTAGAGATATTCGTCGCTCTCTCGGCAGCTGATGGTTTCAACACCCTTATGGAACCACTTGGCGATGATCCGCGCGAACCTGCCCTCTTCCTCGTCGGACTGGGTGCTAGTCTACCCTGGCCTGTGCGCAAGATGGCAGGGTGGCTCTTAGAGACATTTACGCCTAATAGCGGGTTCGCACGCGCTTTGAGACAGTCGGGTGCCAAGACCGTGCACGACTACTGGGCGTGGACGGCGAAACGCGACGATTTCGCCAGTCAGTTCAGAAAGGAGGTGAGTGGAGTGGTATTGGTGTGTATTGCATTGACAGTATCAGGTCTTTCACAAACATAACCTAGACGGCCTCATCGCACCCCTGCAAGCATTACCGAATGTACCGCACACTCTCACCAAGTACCTCAACCTGATCGCGGCAGATACTGTGCTATACAATGTTACCGATAGCAGTGAGTGGATTCTGTTGTAGGGTAGGGTACATACTGCTAACAGCCTTTCACAGCCGTGGGGATAGTACCTGTGGGCAAGGTAGATAAGGAGAGGGATCAGCTTCCTGCAGCTTACGCACCCGGTAAGGGATGCAGAGCGCAGTTGCTGGAGGATCGGATGTATGGAGGGAAGGAGCCGGTGTACAATGCAGACAAAATGGATGGACTGCCTCTGGCTGTGCAGATAGTCACGGAAAAGGCATTTGAGGATGAAAAGGTGATTGAGCTGATGAAAGTGGTGGATGGGGCAGTGAATGGATCAAGTAAAGGCGTATCAGAATAAACACTCAAAATACATTAAAACACTTGGAAACATTGTAAAAGGAATTTTCATTTTATTTTTCTCGCTCGCTCTTATCGACATAGATACGACAGAGGCTGTCCATCACGTCGTCGCCGCCAACAGCGCAAACAAGTAAATTAAAAAATAAAATAAAATATGGGAGCTTGTGTTAGTTGCTGTATTGCACGCCAGCAGGGGGAGGAGTATAGCCAGCTTCTACTGGACAGCGAGAGAGACGCAGTAGCAGAATGTGGGTGGATGTATTGCATATAGAATGAACTCAACTGAGGGAAAAACAGTACTGGCATATCTTGAGAACAGAGATAATGTGCCTTGGTTCGATGAGCAGGATGAGGATTCGACGGGATCGCCGCTGGGAGCATTGACGACGCTGGCGTATTCAGTAGGTTTGAATTGCAAGCGTATTTGAAGTACTCTGATCAATTCTAGTCAAACGTTGACTTACAACGCTCCGCCGCTCTCGCTTTCGCTGAAATTACGGAAAAGGAGGTTAGACAAGTCGGAAGGGATACGCTGGAGCCTCTATTATACCTCCTAGCCAATCACGATACAGAAGTACAAAGAGCTTCCTCAGCTGCTTTAGGTAATTTGGCTGTGAATACAGACAATAAGCTGCTCATAGTTAGGTTAGGCGGGATCGAACCTCTCATCCGCCAAATGCTCAGCCCAAACGTTGAAGTTCAATGTAATGCTGTTGGCTGCGTTACAAACCTAGCCACACACGACGAAAATAAGACTAAGATTGCGAAATCTGGTGCACTCGTTCCTCTCACTAGACTGGCTAGATCTAAAGATATGCGTGTTCAGCGGAATGCTACAGGCGCTTTACTCAACATGACACATTCAGGTGGGTCATGTATTCCCCACTTTACTTTCATTTACGCCAATTTTCAGACGAAAATCGTCAGCAACTAGTCAATGCTGGTGCTATACCCGTGCTTGTGTCCTTATTGGCCTCTCCAGATACTGATGTTCAATACTATTGTACTACAGCTTTATCAAATATCGCTGTAGACGTTAATAATAGGAAACGCTTATCTCAAAACGAGCCAAAGCTGGTTAATTCACTCGTAGCACTAATGGAATCACCTTCGCTTAAAGTTCAATGTCAATCAGCACTTGCATTGAGAAATTTGGCATCTGATGAGAAATATCAAGTTGAAATAGTGCGTAATGGAGGGTTACCACCGCTATTACGTCTATTAAGATCTTCATTCCTCCCACTCATACTGAGTGCAGCAGCATGCGTTAGAAACGTATCAATACATCCAGCAAATGAAGCACCAATAATTGATGGAGGGTTTTTACAGCCATTAATAGATTTACTTGGATTTGGAGAGAATGAGGAGGTACAATGTCACGCTATTAGTACTTTGCGCAATCTAGCAGCATCAAGTGAGCGAAACAAAGGAGCGATAGTAAGAGCGGGAGCGGCAAGAAGAGTGAGAGATTTAGTTAGGGAAGCACCAATGGCAGTACAGTCAGAAATGACAGCATGCGCGGCAGTCTTAGCGCTGAGTGATGATCTCAAGAGCACACTGCTTGATATGGGCATGTGTGAATGCCTTATACCATTAACAGGCTCACAGAGTGTGGAAGTGCAAGGAAATTCAGCAGCAGCACTTGGAAATCTATCAAGCAAGGCGGAAGACTATACGATATTCAACGAAGTATGGATGAAGCCAGAAGGAGGATTACATGGGTACTTGGTGAGATTCTTGGGTAGTCCAGATAACACATTCCAGCATATAGCCGTGTGGACGTTGGTGCAATTGTTGGAGAGTGGGGATACAGAGTTACTGGAGAATATCAAGCAATCAGCGCTGATTCTCCCATTAATCAAAAGACTCTCGACGGAAGACACATCCCAGGACAACGAATCGAGCTACAGCTACGACAACGAGATGGAGGGTGAAGGGGAAATAAAAGCGCTTTCAAGGAGAATAATAGAGATAATCTCATAAATATATTTTAACAAATTAATGTGATTTTAGTGGAAATTGATTTGGTATAATTTTACAAGGCGTCGATAGATTCCCAATTCCCATCGACCATGTCCTCGCCAAAGGAAATGAAGAATGTGAGTTGGGGATATTATTGAAAGCCTCATCTAACTCACAGCAGCCACAGATATTAGAAGCTAAGCGTATAGAGCATGAGCTGGAGCGTGAGCGTCAGAGGAAGATGTTCGACCAGGAAATGAAAAGGCTGGAGGATGAGCATAAAAAGGAAGAACAGCAGCTACTATCCTCTAGCAGCTGTCCTTCGAGTCCACCACCGAACAAGCACCTCCTCCCAAGTTACATGGACTCAAGAAGATATTCTGATGATTTTGATTTCGAGGACGATGACAAATTTCCTGTTCTGATTAAAGATATCGATGGCAAGTTCAATACAAAGCTGTCGATTTCGCGTCCTCCTTCCACAAACTCAAGATTTTACGATTTAGACTTCAATATTCCTAATAACCCTCCATATCCACTTACATCACCTAATCCTCCTTCTAGCCATGGTCATGGTCATAGTAACAATAACAGTAGAAGGTCTTTGACCCCGAATCAATCCCATTCCAAGTCACAGTCACAGTCACAGTCACAATCACAGTCTCACTCCCAGTCTCACTCTCAAAACACCTCAAATAAGGTCGATAACGATTTAAATCGCTTCATTGGCGTTAAACTTGAGGACATTAAGGGTGAAATCTATAACCTCTGCAAAGACCAACATGGCTGTCGTTACTTGCAGAAAAAGTTGGAAGATGATGATCCACTTGATGATTTGGTTGATGGCGTTAAATTAACATCCAGACAACTCATCTTCAATCAAATCTATACTCACTTCTCTGAACTGATGACTGATCCATTCGGTAATTATCTCTGTCAGAAATTATTGGAATTTGCAAACGATCAACAACGAGACACGCTCTGTGAAACTGTGTCCCCCGAATTGGTTACCATATCTCTAAACATGCACGGTACTCGTGCCGTTCAAAAAATGATTGATTACCTCTCAACCAGAAGACAAATCAACACCATCATCATGAGCTTATCTTTAAACGTTGTCACTTTGATTAAAGATTTAAATGGTAATCACGTCATTCAAAAGTGCCTCAATAGACTCATCCCTAACGATAATCAATTCATTTACAACGCCGTCGCTTCAAATTGTATTGAAGTCGCCACTCATAGACATGGTTGTTGTGTCTTACAAAGATGCATCGATCATGCTTCTGATCAACAGCGTATTCAATTAGTTACCGAGATTACTTTCCACGCTCTCACCCTTATTCAAGACCCTTTCGGTAATTACGTCGTACAATACGTTCTTGATTTGAACGATAATAGGTTCAGTGACGGCGTCGTTAGACAATTCCTTGGTCATATTTGTGCCTTGTCAGTACAAAAGTTCTCTTCAAATGTTATTGAGAAGTGTATTAGAGTTGCTGATGCTTCAACTCGCTCAAGTGTAATAGATGAACTCAATCATCGCCCTCGTCTCGAAAAGTTACTTCGTGACGCTTTTGGAAATTATGTTGTACAAACAGCCCTAGATTTTGCTGAACCAGTTCAAAGGATTGCTTTAGTTGAAGCAATTAGACCCATCTTACCAATGATTAGAAACACTCCATACGGAAAACGTATTCAATCCAAACTACAAAGAGCTTCCATGTTTATCAGAGACAGCTCTGATCCTACTTTTGGTTTAAGAGCTGCCGGTCCGCCTGGTGTAAACAATGGCGGTGGATTCAGGAGTGCTTCTGCCTCCAATTTCAGCGGTGGACACTCTCCATCCTTGTTAGGTATGGGTAGGAGTGTATCGTCGCACGGATTAGACTATCAATCTCTCTCGACACCATTTTTGAACGTAGACAATCACTCAAACACTGCATTAGCTGCTGCTGCCCATCATCAACATGCTCAACAATTAGCTGCACTTGCGAATGTCAATGTATCTTCACCTAGTGTTGGTGGTGTCGGTGGTTTGGGTGGTGTTAGTGGGATGAACAGCATGAATGGCGTAAATGGTGTGAATGGAATCAATGGTGATAGTAGATTAGTCCATCCAATCAACCTCACCAGTCCAATCAATTTGGGTACAATGAATGCTGCTGCTGCAAACGTTCAAGCTCAACACGCTCAACATGCTCAACACGCTCCTCAGGCGCAACCTGGATTTGATTACTTTTTCTCTCCAGCTGCACCAGCTGCTCAGCACCCGACGCACCCTACACACGCAACGCACGCAACGCACAACAACTTGGACACCCCGAATAACTCTAATCCATACTCGGCTGCCTTCTCGACGCCTTATATATAATAGTCTCTCTCATTCTCCCCTGTAATCTGACTTGGTTGTTGTAGAAAAAACTCAATCCTTGTTATAAAGTATAAGTATCAGTATAAATGTGTTCTTTTTATTAGGATGTATTTGCACGCTCTATGATTGTAACCATCACTGCGTATAAGTAGACTTGGACGCAAAATTTCAATGTCCGATCATAGCCTACGGGAAACGCTGCAATTCGTGTTAGGCGAGGTGGCCATACTGCACAGGGAGGTCAACAGTCTGCGCGAAGAACTGGGCGAGTTGAAGCGTGAGCACAGAGGTGCGATGGCGCCGCTACCTATGAGCAGCATAGAGGATGTGGCGTCGACCCCAACAAACATAAACATGAACATGACTATGAGTCAGGACACTCAGGACCCTCACCACACTCGACCGCACGACCAACCACTATTAACTCAGGAAGAAGACCAAGACGCACTGAACAGACTACGCCAGCTATTACAGCCGCAGAAAGCCACACTGAAGCCAACCAACGACAGCGTCACAGAGCTGTACGAGGAATACGAGCGCGGCATCCACGGTAACCCTTCCCTCAGAGCTCTCGAAAGCGCTTTCGGCAACACGTGGCGTAGCGCACCTGCCACTAATATGGCCTACAGTCGCAGATTGGTCGTTGTGCGCGAAATTGAAAAACGTGCTAGAGATTACGCTCATTGCGATGGCAGACGCGATGCGCTCGTTGACGACACTTATATTTATAGAGCCATTAACGAACTAGAGGACGAGCGTAGGTCGAGCAAATTGCGCATGCACGCTTTTATTCAGCGCCTTAAGAATAAAAGAGACGGTGGTGAGTGGATGGATGTCTGGCCGGCTCGCTGGCTGGCAACCTGGGATGTATTTCTTACGTGCTGCAGATAAGAAAACTCGCAAATCTCGACCGAAAGATGTGCAAGGCGACCATGGTGCGTGACTTATCTGAGAGTTTGGATACACCTCACACTGCACAGATACACACTCACACACTTCTAAGAAGATTAGATTGTAATGTTAATTTGTAACTTTATTCATTTTGAAGCAACCAAACGCAGAATCTGCACCATTTAAGTCTTAAGTCATCTATGATATTTGTACATAACAATAAATTACAGGATGGAATGGAGGCCAGGCCAATTTATTGACCAAAACCGTAGAGCACTCTTCCTTGGCGCTTGAGGGCATATACGACGTCGAGAGCGGTGACAGTCTTTCTCTTTGCGTGTTCGGTGTAGGTGACGGAGTCTCTGATGACGTTCTCCAAGAAAACCTTGAGGACACCGCGTGTTTCTTCGTAGATTAGACCAGAGATACGTTTTACACCACCACGACGCGCAAGACGACGAATAGCTGGCTTCGTAATACCCTGAAGTATTGTTAGATGGGAACATCGATAAAAAAAACTTTCAACTCACTTGGATATTGTCTCTGAGAATCTTACGGTGGCGCTTGGCACCACCCTTTCCTAAACCTTTACCGCCTTTTCCTCTTCCTGACATTGTGCTAAGAGTTGTTGATGAATGTTAAGAGAGAAATTCGTTGATTATTTATGCATTTGGAGCGCGCGCTAAAGATCACCAAATCAGGTAAGATCAATTTTTATCTTAAAATAAATCGCGTGATCCTGCTGTGTAGAGTGGGCAAATGTAAACTTAATTTACATCACCAGATAGCTCCGAGTTCGTGTTATTCTCAAATGTATTTTTTTCTACTAGCCTCTCCTCCCAACAGCTACCACGTATTTTAGATCATTTGCGCGTGATCCTAAATGGAAATGATCAAACGACGCGCTTATTTAACGCGTCGTTAGCCTCTTTTTTTAAAAATATCAATCATTTTTGAGTAATCTACAATGGCAAGAACTAAGCAAACAGCGCGCAAGTCCACTGGTGGTAAGGCCCCACGCAAACAACTCGCCACCAAGGCAGCGAGAAAGACAGCCGCCCCACAAGCTGCTGGTGGTGTCAAGAAGCCACACCGCTACCGTCCAGGTACTGTCGCCCTGAGAGAAATCCGTCGTTACCAAAAGTCTACCGAACTCCTCATCCGTAAACTCCCATTCCAACGTCTCGTCAGAGAAATTGCCCAAGACTTCAAGACAGACTTGCGTTTCCAATCCTCAGCTGTTATGGCCCTCCAGGCAGCCAGTGAAGCTTACCTTGTCTCTCTCTTCGAAGACACCAACCTTGCTGCCATCCACGCAAAGAGAGTTACCATCCAACCAAAAGACATCCAACTTGCCCGTAGACTCCGCGGTGAGCGTGTCTAATCTGCTACTTATTACTTGTATTATCGATGTATTCTATCACTTCCCAAACTGATATCAGCAATAACGGCTGGATAGCCTTCTAAAAATACTGGTGTACTGTCTAAGCTTTAATTTCACTACTGCGTTACAAGCTTCCGTCTCCTTTCAATGGTGTCGATTCTGTTTGAGATTCACATTTAGGAAATGCCAATCACAAGAAAATTTGCGGGTGTCCCAGGATTTCTTAAGACTTGCGTTTGTGTGTCGAGTCACTGCCTCCCAAAGTGCTTTTGTTCTTCTGCAATTCTTTAGAAACGAAACACAAAGGCAGTAATTTGGGTCTGAGGTATTCTAAATTTGTTATCACCCCCTGGAGTACCGTCAGAGCCGAACAGTCATTGGTACCGAGAGGGTAGCAATATTATACGGCCGATACTTTCGGCATGTCCTATGCGCTCGACTTGAGTGAAGCCAATGCTTTCTCTTTATTAGCCATTAAACGCTCTCAAGTCAACATCGTGTCGCCCAACTTGCATATTCACATGCAGGGAAACATTGAAAGCAGGCATTTAGGGATATTCTAGTATTCCTAAAGTAATTAAGAGGCCGGTAACGTGTCTTCAAACTGACTTAATTGAGCAGACTTCCTAACCTGCATGAAACACCTGCGATGTTTCTCAAAATGGTGCAAAAAAAAACTCCTGACTAGTTTGAAAACAAAAAATCCCTACTCATTTTCAAAATTCCAAGCCAAACCAAGGTCATTTATGCGTCATACATTATTTTCGTCGGAATTTTTGTCTGAGGTACGCGTTCTAAAAGTTCCGTGAATATTTGCATCCCTACCAGTCACCGGCCAACTTAGCATCAAAAGCGTCTGAAAGCAACATTAGCTGGATAATATGCAGTTAAATTATGTCATCGACACTAATACAAGGGTCTGTTTCATCGCTAGTCGCTTAATAAGGGGTAACTCAATCTTATCGCCGTAATTAAATGTGGGGTTGGCATATATAAACTCTGAAGTTTAATATTTCTTACCTTAGACCATCACTTCATCATGTTCAACAAGATTCTCCTCCTCTCAGCTGCACTCACCGGCGCTGTCGTAAACGCTACGACCTATGCAACCTTCTACTCAGACCCTTCGTGCCAAAATGATGCTTCGGTTGACTTTTCTGTTAACAATCCTGGTTGTTTCAGCGTAGGCGGTAACGAATACGTCAAATACCACGGCAGCAACATTCAATGTTTCTCGCTCGTCAAGTCTCCAGACGCAAGTTGCCCATGTCAATTCGATTGCATTGAAGGTTTAAACGCTGTTGGCGGTAAAGGTTCTGACTGTTATGGTATAATGATCCCAGATGACGGTTGCTATTACATTGGTCAATCTGAATCACTCCGTTTCATTGGTGGTATGTGTCCAGGAAACGACTGCCCAGACAGATCAAGCAGATCTATTCCAACTCTTGAAGACAACTAGATGTCCAATGGACACTGACTGCGATGCACCCGGATCATGTTTTTATATTCTCACTCTGATATCACTCTTTTTTTGTAGAAACTGGATATATATGTCGTTTTTGATGGACATTCTTGGCATTGATGGTGCTGTTGGAAGCTGAGACATTCTACTGCAGCTTTCGTGGATATTTCAAAATGAAAATCCTCATTGAATGACCTCTAGTGGTTTTTTTAAGCTTGCGCTAAAATCATAACCCTTGCTTACCTTTCACGCCCTGCAAGCAGCACGATAAGTGCTTCTTGGCATCACTCTGGAGTGCGCTGCGAAGCAGATATGAAGACCTTCTTGGGCTGTATCAACGTATACTTAAATATCTATCAATAGATATGGACAACTTCCAGCATTACAACGACTCATCCATCCTGCTGTGCGACCTGCACGCTGAATTGGATTTGCCATTCGACATTACTCTGAGACGATAAGAGTGCTTTTGTGCGCTATTTAAATGAAGGTGAATATTATTGACCAAAACAGAGCGTAATCTCTCAAATATCATAATTTTCAACCCTTCTAGACGTGTTTTGCATTTTCCGACGCGTAAGGGGTAGATATAATAAATAACGGCACTTTTACACATAATCACAGGAAAGAATAGATACACTTAATTGAAAGCGAGGTTCAGATCAACTCTGAAATAAGGACTTTGGGTTGACCAGATGTATTTCGAAAAACCAGATAACAGAGACAGGACAGCGATAAGGATGTGTTTAGAACAAAAGAAGTTTTAATAGCTAGTATAAGTTGAATCGCAAGGCTGCGCCTCAGTGAGATGATTCGATGGCTGAAGGATGTTACATAAGATTAGAAGATTTCCTATATTTCCCATTGGCTAATTTAAGAGAATGATTGCACAACAGCCCAGAGCTGTACCCCTTCAGGCTCAGATATAGCGATTAACTTCTAATTACTGGGGATCGGTGACGTTGAAAGCGGTGGAAGATTAAATAATAGTCAATAACAGAATTATATCGGGTTGAAGTGTTTAAATGTCTCTGCTTGGCCTTTAACAACTCTCTAACCTCTACCACCAACGATGAGCTTCCGTCCGACACTGAGATTGGCGCAAAAGGTTGCAGACCACACGAAATATCATCAAGTTAGTTGATTATATGTGATAGTTACGCAGCTAAATAGAAATCAGGAGCCAAAGGGAATCTGGGCTCAAGCTAAGAAGTGGCTTGCGGTGAACCCAGAAATAAGTTCAGGAGTGATTGACCACCATCAATTCCGGTGAGTATTGATTTAAGGGGTATATCAATGCTTAAATATCCAAGTACAATTCCACCTGCATCAAGACCGGAGAAGTACGTTCAGCCAATCAGTAAATGTGAGTTTGTGGTTGGAATTCACGGGATTTGAGCTAATTTGAGCAGCATATGATATCGCTGAGAATCCATACTACAAGCGTGATGTTAGAAGAGCGTTAGTTGAGTATTTATAAGCCGTGGATAGCCATTCTCACTCTATACCACAGTTACCCAAGAACTTCACACATTTCACAGAATGATCTTGCCCAATTACTTATTTCAAGCCCAGAAATGAAGGCGTGAGTTATTTTCACTGTCTTTACACAAATCTAACAGGAAATGTCCGAGAAGCCTTCCAAACCCACAAGAGCCACAAACTAAGGCACTCGCTCAAGTAAAGGATTCACCAGAGACTTTAGATTTGGCTCAAGTGATAGACGCTCTTCCAGCTGCTCACTCACCATTCACCGGTATCCCACCAACGCCGCCATTCCGTCCAAATCCACTCACCCAAACCCAAGGTGCGCCTGTAAAAGAAGGCGCATACTTCCCAATGCGCTTGTTCAAGTAAATCATTGAATAAATTTTTTGCTTCTTTTGATTTCATGTTTATCTTGGACCATCAAGTGCGTTTGATTACTTATGAAAGATATCGTAGCGCAGGATGCCCCAAAGAGGATCAAGCACATTCAGTTCTCCACACTATCCCCTCAAGAACTCGTTAAAATATCTGAAACTGAAGTTACCCACAACGGCCTCTACAGCCAGACGCCCGACAGGGCTCCACAGAGGAACGGTGTACTCGATCGCCGTTTCGGTACTTCCGATAAGAGCGGCAGCTGCGATACTTGCGGGGAGTCCATGGCTGAGTGCGTTGGTCACTACGGTTACATCAAGCTAGCTTTGCCTGTATTCCATATTGGTTATTTCAGGGATATTATAGCCATTCTTCAGGATATTTGCAAGGTTAGTACAGCTGTGCTCTCATCCCACCTCTCACCCTCCTCAGAATTGTGCTCGTGTTCTTCTCACTGAGGATCAGCGTAGATCTTACCTCAAGAAATTCAGAAGACCTAACATGGAAAATCTACAGCGCCAAACCACCTGTAAAGCTGTCAACACTGCTTGCCGCAAGCAGCTTTACTGCCCTTATTGTCAATCAACCAACGGTGTCGTCAAGAAAACGGGTTTACTCAAGATTGTTCATGAGAAATTCAGAGCTAAAAAGACCCATGTCGAGCATGAAGAGTTTGTTAACACCTTCAACACCGCCGTCAGTCTCAGTAAAGAAATCGCTCCTCATATCAACAAAGCTCAGGATGACTTGAATCCTCTCAGAGTGCTCGATCTCTTTACTCGCATTTCAAACGAAGACTGTGAGCTTCTAGGAATGAACCCCAAAGAAGCCAGACCTGAACAGTACGTTTGGCAGTACATGCATGTCCCCCCTGTCTGTATCAGACCCTCTGTCGCTCAAGACGGCGCCACAAACGAAGATGATATCACCGTAAAGCTCGGTGAAATCGTACAAACGTCGCAAATTATTAAGATTGGTATGGGTGGCGGTAAATCTACAACATCTCAGCTTATGGAGCAATGGGAATTGCTTCAATTAGCTTGTGCAATGTACATTAATGCTGAAATGCCAGGTGTCCCTAGCGATAAAGCTACCAAGCCTATCAGAGGTTTTGTGCAGCGTCTAAAGGGTAAGCAAGGTCGTTTTAGAGGTAATTTGTCCGGTAAACGTGTCGATTTTTCTGGTCGTACTGTCATTGGTCCAGATCCAAATCTTAGTGTCAATGAGGTTGCTGTTCCACAACGTATCGCAAAGGTTCTCACATACCCAGAACGTGTCTTTGAACACAACATCGAGCCTTTGAGGGAAGCTATTAGAAATGGTCCTGATGAGCATCCGGGTGCCAATTACGTACAAAATGGAGGTGTCAATGGCTTCAAACGTTTCTTGAAGTTTGGTAATAGAGAAGAGATTGCCAAGAGATTGCGCATCGGTGATATAGTTGAAAGACACTTACGCGATGGTGATTTAATTCTTTTCAACCGTCAACCAAGTTTGCATAGACTTTCCATCATGTGTCACTACGTCAAGGTTAGACCTTGGAGAACTTTGCGTCTCAACGAGTGTGCATGTAACCCTTACAACGCTGATTTCGATGGTGATGAAATGAACATGCACGTTCCACAGACTGAAGAAGCTAGAACTGAAGCACAAGAGTTGATGGGTGTCAAGCACAATATGGTCACACCGCGTAATGGTGAGCCTATCATTGCTGCCATACAAGATTTTATTACTGCTGCATATCTTTTGTCAAAAAAAGACCACTTCTTGGATAGACAGGAGTTTTCTCAGGTCATTTCCTATCTCGATCACGCAAACATGCAAATTGATCTTCCACCACCTGTAATTCTCAAACCAAGGAGGCTGTGGACAGGCAAGCAAATTCTCAGTATACTCATGCGTCCAAACAAATCAAGTCCAGTCTTGGTCAACCTTGAAGCTAAAAATCGTACAAATCACCCACCACCAAAAGGAATGCTTCCAGACATGTCTTCTAATGACGGGTTTCTCGTTATTCGTAACTCAGAAATAATGTGCGGACATTTCGACAAGGCTACTGTTGGTGATGGTAAGAAGAACTCTGTGTTTGGTGTCATTCTGCGTGATTACGGTCCTGATGAGGCCGTTAATGCTATGAACAGACTTGCACGTGTTTGTGCACGTTGGCTGGCAAATGTCGGTTTCTCGCTTGGTATAAGTGACGTCATGCCTAGTATGGATCTGCGTCAGCGCAAGGAGTCTCTCGTTGAAGAAGCTTACGCCACATGTAACGACCTCATTGAGAAGGCCAAGTATGGTAAGCTTGAAAACCAACCTGGTTGTGATCAAGAACAAACACTCGAAGCGCTTATCTCTGGTATATTGTCCAAGGTTCGTGATGTTGTCGGTGCAAGTTGTATGGAGGAGTTAAGTAGGTATAATGCTCCATTGATAATGGCTACATGTGGTTCAAAAGGTGGGCACTCTAGTGTTTCTTAAGGATGACTCTGATATTCCTCCAAGGTTCTGTAATTAACGTATCTCAAATGGTTGCTTGTGTCGGTCAACAGATTATCTCTGGTAAACGTGTTCCAAATGGTTTCCAAGATAGATCATTACCACATTTCCCTAAGAAAGCAAAAGATCCGCCATCCAAAGGTTTCGTCCGCAACAGTTTCTATTCAGGTTTGTCACCACCAGAGTTCCTTTTCCACGCCATCTCTGGTCGTGAAGGTTTGGTCGATACTGCTGTCAAGACTGCTGAAACTGGTTACATGCAAAGAAGATTGATGAAGGCTCTCGAGGATTTGTCAGCTCACTATGACAGATCAGTTCGTACATCAAGCGGTATAGTCGTTCAATTCCTATACGGTTCTGATGGTCTGGACCCAGTGTCTTTAGAAGGTGATGGTCAACCTGTTGAATTCTTGCGTAGTTGGAAACACACTAAGGCTATTCTTGACTCTACTAAACATGACCGTGGTATGCTACCGTTCGAGATCACTGAGCATGTCGATAAGGAGTTACGAACAAAGAGATGGATGAAAGAATGTACTCCTCATTATCTCTCTACTGTTCGCAACTTTATCTTCTCTAGTATTACAAAGAAGCTTGCCGATTTGAGAGACGCTCATGGCATGTTTGACGCACTGACAAGATCGGATGAGTGGGATGAAGAGACAGATCTCGATATGGGAGCATCAGAATTTGAAAAGGCGATAGTCGACAACAAAGCCAAGGTCGCACCAGCACAGCTTCAAGAATTTTTGAATATCTGTTGGCAGAAATATGTCAAGTCCAAGGTCGAACCTGGTACGACTGTCGGTCCAATTGGTGCTCAATCTATTGGTGAGCCTGGTACACAAATGACTTTGAAAACATTCCACTTTGCTGGTGTCGCTTCTATGAACGTAACACTTGGTGTACCACGTATTAAGGAAATTATTAACGCTGCCAAGGCGATTAGTACACCCATTATATCAACCAAACTTTACGACGATCAAACTGAATCTGCTGCCCGTATTGTCAAGGGTAGATTGGAGAAAACGTTTTTGGGTGACATTGCATCACACATTGAAGAATCATACAGAGGTGATTACAATGCAGTGTCTGTATTTGTTGATATGGATGCAATCAACAAGCTGCAATTGGAGCTTAAGCTGTCTGATATAACTTACGCTATTGCCAAAGACAAAAAGATAAAAGTTAAGAAGGATGATATCAAGGAGAATCATAGTAAGAACAGATTGAGGATCTACATTCAGCCAGGTCCGGACTCGTTCCACATCACCCGACACCTCAGACGTAACTTGGAGAAGGTTGTTGTTACGGGTATACCGGAAATAACGAGAGCAATTATCAATATCAACGAGAAGGAAAACAAGCGCAAAGAGTTGCTTGTAGAAGGATATGGATTGCTTGACGTTATGACCACTGAGGGAATTGTCGGTACACGTACATCATCGAATCATATTATGGAGGTTCAGAAGGTGTTGGGTATCGAAGCAGCAAGAAGTGCGATTGTTAATGAAATAGATAACGTCATGTCATCTCACGGTATGGGTATCGATAATCGTCACATTCAACTGCTATCCGATAGTATGACATTTAAGGGAGAAGTATTGGGAATTACTCGATTTGGTATTGCGAAGATGAAGGATTCAGTTTTGATGTTGGCATCATTTGAAAAGACAACTGACCACTTGTTCAATGCTGCGTTCCACGCCAAACGAGATTCAGTTGAAGGTGTATCTGAGTCTATTATCATGGGTAACCCAGCAGAGAATTGTGGTACATCTATGTATGTTTAAAAGGTGCTTTTTTTACCCAACTAACATTCAATTCCAGGCCTTCATTGATTCTACCAAAACCAAAACTGCCACCATCACGTAAATTGATATTTGAATCTGCGCTTAAGTCGTCGAAGCATTCAACAGCAACTGTATTTTAAATGAATAGATGAATATTATTATTTTTGCATTTAAATGTTTCTTACGGACACTGCGAGGTGTGCTGCGTTCTACACGCTTTCTCCGCTCGACCAACAAGTAAAATAATGGAATACGCAGGAAAAGTGATTGAAACGGGTTAGTGGGGTGTTGAGGGATATTCTACAATGTATTAACCAGTAACAATTACAGTAAAACACATTAGAGTTCGTCTTCTTCTGAGTATTCTTCGTAATCTGACGAACTACAAGGAAACTAGGCTTTCTAGGCTCAGACCTTTGAATGAATTTTTCGATCATCACAGACTCAGTCGCCCTTCGGACATGAACGAAGCTACTTCTGTACGTCAGTTCACTTTCAAGCTGCCACGCTGTGCTTATATTGAATACAGAGAATCACTTACAACACGCGTCATTTCTCTGGAAACTACGGTGTAAGTGATTTACTTGTTGCACAAACACAATCCTCAATCATTGACGTAGGTTGTCGTGTGAGTTTTGGTTTTGAAGTGGAGTTTTACATTGCTAATACAGCTCACAGAGCGGTATTGAGTGTTTAGTATGTTTACTAGTAGACATTATATCTCAAATTCCTCACACACAACACAGCGCTCTGCTCACTAACCCATTCTTGCTCATTGCAATTGCTGTCATCGTCGGTGGTTTCGCTGCCGTTCAGCGGTTCGGAGCTGATCCATTACAAGTCGGCGAGCATGTCATCACTCAGAAAGGCCTCTATGGTGTTCTTGTCGTTGTTGGTTTGGTGCTCTTCTGGATCGCTGCACCGCTGTCTATCGTGGGTTGAGTGCCGGTGGAAATTGAAAAATCTCATCAATACTATTACAGCTCTTTTGGCTCGTTGGTAGCAGTACTATGCTGATTTTTGGTCACGCTGCTCTTATAGAACCTGGTGTAGAATCTGAATATGCACCTGTTGAGGAGGTATAAAGTGTTTTTTTCAAAAATACATGAATGTTCTCATATTTAAACTTTGCTTTGTTCAGGTTGACATGCTCATGCTCAATGTTGGATTGAAATACGGTGACTGATTAGAGGTATCACTATATTCCTTTTTGGGTTGCAACGATACTGAATCATCGTAGAGCTTGTCTTGGTTGTCGTAGCTGTCGTAGCTTAGGTCTTGTTCAATGTCGTCATTGTCGTCATCGGGTTCAGTGGGCAGAATTGGCAACCACGTCCCAATGATGTAGGAGGGTATGTCAAATATACTAAATTTGATGTGAGATGGGAAGATATTCAAGTAAATTACTTAAACTAACTCCTTTTTTATGGTGAATGAGAAAGTGCAAGGAATGGGATTACCGTTTTGATGATTTAAAATGCAATAGGTGTTTACTGTTGGTTTGGCAGAATCGAAGGCGTGTTTAGCGAAGAGTTGCCAACTATATCTTGTTAACACGATGACGTAGATGTAGATTAAACTCACTATTCAACTGCTGATATAGGTTCCATTAGTTGGTAAATGTAAGTAGATGTGTTTATTAAGCTATCCCTGTCATATCCAACAATATACTGAAATTCATCGCCAACGAGCAGAATTTCACCCGTTCTTCTCCAGACACTGAGTTATTTGTGAGAAACTTAAATATCAAATCAAATCAAATCAAACCAACACTGTAGGAGCACTTATACACTTTATAAGCTCACTCAAGTCTATCATTGATCTTCTGAGTGATTGTTCAACAAAAATTTCGTCATGATTGCTGAGATTGATTTGTAGGGATAAAAGGGAAGGTCTGAATTCTGAGATAGCTTTGAAAATTCTAAGCTTATCGTTTTGAGTGAAATTTTCATTAAACTTGAGGTAATTGATTAGGTGTTTATATCCAATTTCATATGGGTATGGTTGAGTGATTTGTGAGTAAACATTTGTATTCTCTGTTGAGTTTGAGTAAGGTAATTGAGTATCCAATGTATTATCAGTTAAATCATTTCCTAGTGTTGGCTGCTGTAATGTACCAGGCTGTAGTGTGCCAATGAGCTCATTAAGCACGTTAAACTCAGAATTAGCAGAATTTGATTGAAAATCATCCTCCAAGATATATTTTGGCTTCTTCCGATGTCCATCCCTGCACTGGTCCGCTAACCCCCGCTTAATACAGCGGCTACATGGCCTATCTGGGTGAAATTTAGACGAGCATGTACGGAATTGAATAGCGCTCACTATCATCGCAAGTTAAATGAGACTTCTGACAACCTTCACACGCTCTTGCTGTTTTCTTCTTTTTGTTACTGGCCATGGGAGATTAAATTAACGTTATGGAGTCGCGATCAGGACAGACAGGACAGATAGGACAGGAAGGGCAGCTAGGACAGCAAAGCTCAGAATTTGAGAATATTTTAAATGATTTGAATAGCGTGGATTATTGTGGGTAATTTGATTTGGTTTATTAGGCTTATAACTTAAGGTATCGTTTAGATGAGGGGATTCATACTCCCTCTTACGCAGGAAGTTTCACAGAGTCACCATATCTACACTCACAATTCCCTCAATCACCCGCTTCCTCCATTTGCTCTTTTTCACGCTCTAGATCCCCTTCAATCTCATCATACGATTCGAATATAAATGATAATGACGATTACGGCTTTAGTAATCTAAATTTTGAGCAAACAGATCATGTTCGACAACCTACACTTAAAATCCCGGATGAAATCCCAGACTTGCAGGTCTGTGAAGCAACACCTATCGCTAAAACACCGACTCAAGTTGAATACGAATTGAAAGGTCAACCTTTCTCATTCCCATCGAATCAGTCTACTAATAGACCTAGAGCTCATTCAGATTCTGTACCTACATTCGTTCATCCTACAGATACTTATCAAGAGTCCCCTCAACAGCACTCTCTGGGCAAATCATTCGGTCATAGACGATGCAGGTCTGGTGGCAGAGAAGGCGCAGGTACTCCTAACTACGGTCTTCGTCTTAGACCAAACTACAAAGTTGACCAGTCTCAGTCTCAGTCTCAGTCTCCGAAATTAAGTCACAGTTTCAGTGCAAGTAGTTTGAATCCTTTAGACGATATTGACTTGAGTTGGCTTCAAAGTCAACAAGAACAGCAACACTCTATGCCCCAGCAATCTCCATTCAGTAGCACCTCTAATTTGTTTGGAAATGTCACTCATACTGCTTATGATTATAACTACGACAACAATAACAGCAACCATTCCATCAACAATCCTAATGACCCCTATATGCACTCGAGTCCTTACAGTGGTAGCTCATCAAGTCTATACAACAGCCCGTCTAATAACTACCCGAACTCACCTTATGTGGATGCACAACCTGCTTTAAACTCACTTGACTATCCAACTGGTCTTCCAAACAACTTTATCGATCTCTATTCACCAGAAGTTAACGTTATGACCCCACCACTAGTTAGCATTGATTCGATACACTCCTCACCTGCAACCCAACAATCACAACTACACAGCGAACAGAAGACTAGCAGTCCAAATATACTCCCTTCTTTAGTACTACCGAATGATAGCATGAATGATTATGATTATGATCATAAGCCTGCTACTGATGATGCAACGCCTACTGCCGCAACAAGTGATATTAACATGATTGCAATGAGTGCTGCTCGTGGTGGTTCACTCAACAACATGCCTATACTCACATCTAATCCGACGACTGCTCGGACGAGATATGCTTCGAATAATAGGAGAAAACAACCTAGTGATGGAAAAGCACCAAAGGTTTTTGTTTGTGAAGTTCCAGGATGTGGAAGTAGTTTTACAAGGCATTTCAATCGTTAGTGTGTTGTTTATCACCTATAAATATACTCACAAATCACAAAGTCAAAGGTCATATGCGCTCGCATACAAATGAAAGACCCTTCGTCTGTTCGTTTGATGGTTGCGGTCGCGCATTCGCCAGACAGCACGACAGAAAAAGGCATGAGTCACTGCATAACGATGACAAACCATATCAATGCTTAGGTTGTGATAAGAAGTTTGCGCGGATTGATGGTCTTGCTCGACATCGTGAGTTTTAAGTTTTTAAAGTGTTTGATTTCTTCTAATACACCACCACTCAAGACAAAAGTGATCTTGGGAAAGACTGCTCAGCGAAGCATACACAAATTGAGGACTCTAATCATCTCTCTTCATTCTCTTCAGCTTCCACTTCAACAGATTCAGCCAATTGCTATGGCGTATTGATGTAGTATATCAGTAAATCCACAATACTTGTACTATACTCTTGTTAAATTTTAGTTAATGGACAATTTCACAACGAGCTCAAGGGTAATATTATAATAAATAAAATACTATTGTGTTATAATAACAATACAAACACAACAAAACAACAAGTGAGTAGTGAATAACTGTAAAGATCTTACTTGGAACGTGTCGTTGGATTGATTGTACCGGAACGTTTGCGAGTTAAATTGGACTTTGATTGGCCGGAAGGGTCATGTTTGAGGAATGACGAACCTTTGTCTGACTCACGTCTAGCTAGTAGACTACCCTGGGTAAAAATGGATTCATCCGCGAGTGTAACCAATCTGGTTTGAGTATGTGGACTGTGATTTTCGCTTCCCTTCCTGGGTATCATTTGGGACTTTGAACGCGATACATTGTGGTCACTGGGTCTGGCTTGGGTTTTGGAGCGAGATAGGGGAGTATCCATTGGCCGAGATTGAGTGGCTTGAGATCTTGAACGGGAGACTGATTGATCTAGTTTAGGCCTACGGGATATTGACTTTGTTGGTGTCAATTTGGTGTTGATTTCCGGACTAGTGTCGTTAGGATTCTTCAGCTGTGGTTTAGAGTCTCTGGGACGCTTGAATAGCCAAGGTCTTTCGTGGATAAGTGCGTGGGTCTGAATGTGTTGTTAGTGCGGGTGAGGAGTAAGAAGCAACTCACCCTTGACTGTGTCAGAGCTTTAACCCATTCGCGACAAGCGTTTGAGTCAGATACAGCAAAGACGTGAGAGAAATCTTCCTTTCTTTCAAAGAGAGAGTGATTATCCTGACTCTTTACAATAAACAGATGACCAAATAGAGAGTCATCGAAGATTCTTTGAGGTTTTGGAGCGTTGTGGTATAGTTTGGTAAAGGTATAGACGTCGTAAGAGACTAAATTGCAAAGAAAGTGCCTGTCTTTAAGTTTATCAGATTTAGAGAGGTGAAGAGAATCATTGGAGAGGTATAAAAGTCTTTTGGCCCACTTCCCTGGAGCTATTTCCAGCTGTACAGGTGAGGAGTGGTTGATGATGGCATCAGTTGATTTGCGCTCTGACAGAGAATCCTTCAGGTAATTAGGATTGCTATCAACTAAGAATGAATTGTTGTTGTCTATCCAGTTATCCGTTATATCGTATATTTTCTCAAAATTTCTAATTGAGCGCTTTATCTCATTGTTTATTTCATAAACATTCACTTTATTATGTGGATTCTCAATAATGAGCTTATTCGTACTTAAAGCAAATTTTATAACGTCAAGACCTCGGCTGTTGTCTTGTATTTCGTAAAGCACTGGAGAGTTATTGAGGTCATTTAAGTAAATTTTTACTTGTTTTAATTTTAAATGACATTTGTGGATTGGCTGATTCTGCTGTGGTTTCTTATTCCTGACAACTTCATCTCTCTCTTCGATTCCCGAGGATCTGAATTTATGCAAGAAATTTGATATCATCTGTTCAAGGTGGAAGAGCTGGGCAACGGGATTGTAAAATTAAAAGAATATTTTGAAATACCAAGAAAGCAACGTATATTTGATCGTAGAATTACAACCAATATTATCCCTTCATTCCCCTCCTGCCCAATGACCCAATTAGGAATCTAGCTATCTTCAAAGATGAAACTATTCATTCCAAAGAAATTTAACCAAATTGGTTGAAAAATGTTTATTTCCTACTCTTATAAGATACCACTTACTACATGAACTCCCAGAAATCTTCCCCAAGGAAGCCCCTCGCGCCGACACACAACGCACAGCCTAACAAGTCTAAATCACCTCCGTCTTCAGCCTCAGTCACTACCTCCCTCAAATCAGATCACCATCACCCGGAAACAATTGGGCCATGGCAACTAACCAAAACTATCGGTAAAGGTAGTAGTGCCTGTGAGTTGTCTTAAACTTGATTCAAATATTTCTAATCCTTTTACGCGTTTTTAGGCAGAGTAAAGCTAGCCCGTCACAGAAAAACTCATCAGCTGGCTGCTATTAAGATCGTCGCGAAAGCAAGCCTAGCACCTAAGCCAAACACCTCACATGAGGATCCTTGGAGAGCTCTTAGAGCAATTGAGCGTGAAATTGCTGTTATGAAGATAGTAAGTGGCTCAAAAAACCTAAATAGCACCCACTAACCACACCTCAGATTGATCACCCTAATATCACAAGTCTCTACGATGTCTGGGAAACAAGTGACTACATCTACATGATCATGGAATATGCCTCTGGTGGCGAACTATTCTCTCATTTGGTTGAACGCGCTAAGAAGAACGCTGCTCGTGCTAAACCAGGCCATCCTCCGCCTTCACGTGCACTTCCTCCAGATGAAGCTCTCAGACTATTTCAGCAGCTCATTTACGCCGTCAGTCACGTACATAACCTTGCTCTGTGCCATCGAGACCTCAAGCCTGAAAATGTCTTGCTGGCGAAAGACGGGCAGACCATTAAGCTCGCCGATTTTGGTATGGCTACCCTGGCCGGTGAAGATGTCGTCATTTCAAAGCGTAAACTTAAGAAAGGGCGCAGAATGTTGAAGACTAGCTGCGGTAGTCCACATTACGCAAGCCCGGAAGTCGTCCAAGGCAAGCCATATGCTGGCCATATGGCCGATGTTTGGTCGTGTGGTGTTATCCTGTTTGCTCTGTTGACAGGTAGACTACCATTCCATGACGAGAACCTGCACATCCTCCTCAGTAAAGTCAAGCTTGGTAAATTTGAAATGCCATTCGAGCTAGAAGGACCAGTTCACGCCAATGCACGCCACCTATTGCTCAGAATGTTGACCTCTGATCCAGCCGAAAGGATAACAATACCAGAAATCATGAAACACCCTTACTTTACTCGTCTACCACCTCCAATCCCAATGTCGACTGATAGTATTCCAGCTGGGCTACTCCCTCGAAGCACATCCCAGCTTTCTCGATTCAGCTACCAATCTGACCAGATGTCCGATTATAATGACTCTTTGCAAAGGTTCTCTGAGGAAATCCTAAACATCGACGACGAGATATTCAGCAGCATTCGAGTGCTCTGCCAGACTGAAAACGAGGAAACTCTCCGGGAGCGCTTACAGTCAAAGGGCTACACCATAGAGAAGAGGCTCTATGTGCTGCTGGAGCGCTTCAGAGATAGAAGATCACTCGAAGAGCTGGCTCAGATGGAGTCAGGAGCTTCCGACGAGAGCAGGGCATGGGAGCGCAATCAGAAGACAATGAAGCAACAGGCACAGACACAACAACACGCCAAACCAGCTGCACTCGGTGAACGGTCGATAAATACCCCTACTGAGCCACAAAAAGCACACTCAAAAGCCAGTAGCAACAACGAAAACGATGCAACAGTTGTCCTCGGCGAGAAACAGCGTCCCAAAGCCCCCACGCCGCGCAAAGCACGCAAGCCAAATGTTGACGATGTGCCTAGCGAGAGCAAAGGAGATGAAGAGATCGAGCAGCAGCCATCACAAAGCCACCGTGACAGTCACAGTCATAAGCATAGTCATAGTACTAGCCAGAGTCATAGTACTAATCATAGTCATAGTAACAATCAGTCCCAATCCCACCGTCCTAGCGCCGACACACCAATCTCGGACGACACAATGACGCGCGCAGCATCTGTCCGTACAGCATTAAAGAGACAGCCACTGGAAAGCAGCACTGACACGCTCGATACCAAAGTATTCAAGAAGCCCAATGCACATATTGAAGATTCACCAGCGTTGAATTTTGCTATGGACACGCCTTCGTCGTCCTTCGCAGCAAGCATCGCCGCGAGTATTGGACATGTGGATGTTGCAGGTGGAGGGCTTATACCGGTAGCGAACGAGAATTTCAACCCACCTTCGCTCTCGTCTGACAAAATAGGCCGGTCTCGATTCTCAGCCGCGAGCACCGTCTCGCGCCAACGGTCTGTCGAGAGCAAACAGGGGCACACGGACGACTCACCAGTGTTGCCGTCTGAGTCACCCCTACGCTCTAATGTCCCAATCACGAACCGCACGCTGCGCAAGAAACCAGCACCTGCGCCGCTCAAAGTGGACTTGTACGAGTATCAGAAGCCGTTCCAGATCGTCCTCGATGACGACAACGCAGTAGATTCTGACGATAGTGGTGCGAGCAGAGGCAGTAGCAGTGCAGGTACACCGCCACGTCCCATCAGCAAGTCTTTGTCGGGAAATCTCCAGTTCCAGTTAGACAGCGATACCCCACCACCACCACCACCACCGCCTAAGACTGCATTGGACGGGGACAGTAAAACGAAGAAAATACTCAGAGCCGTTCGTTCTTTCGACACATCCGCGAAAGAGCCTCATCCTCACCCGCCTCCGCACCGCAAGCCGAGCATCTTCGGCATCAAGCTTGGCAGTAGACAGTCAGAGCAGGAAGAGGACGACGAGAAGCCTTTCAAGCTGAATATATTCAGCCCGGCTCTGTTCAGCAATAACCACAGCAGCAGTACTGCAGCACATGAAGACATAGAGGAAGGGCGCGCGGTGTCGCCCACGACGCGAACATCGTTTGTTCCACCCAAGTCAGCCCCAGCTGTAGACCAGCAGCAGCAGCACAATGCGGAGGAGGAACATGATGTAGAGCCTACCGACGATTTAGATCTACGTAGAGACACGCTCCCATTCGTAGCGAATCACCAGCCTAAACGTAAGTCTAGTTTGGGTAACATATTCAGAATGTCTCGCACGCGATCCTCCTCAATTGTCAATCCTGCCACACCAAAAGATGAGCAGGGTACATTTGACGATCATCACCTAAAGGCACCAGAAGGGAAGCGTTGGTTTGGTAGCCTGTTTCATCCCAAGACAGCATCACCGCTCAAATCAACTTTCCATTCTTCTCATGAGAAGAAGAAAGATGATTCACATATGAAACCAGTCGAGCATATCTCAGACGAACTCGAGCCCCCAATCAACCCCTTCAAGAAGACAGTCAGGCGAACTAGATCTGTCATTTCGCAACTCACCGTACATAATTGATACTGAGAATGCACCTACGTATACACTCTTTATAATTCGCAATACAACGCTCCTTTAATTACCATATTGATCCTTTTAATTTTGTACCTTCTTTGGTTTTTTTTTTTTTCATTACATGGAAACTTTTAGTTTATCGTAGCAATATTTGATGTTACATGTATGTTTCCAGCTATGCAATCAAATACGTTCATAAAATAAATAAGCATTACATCTACCACGAGTTGTCGTCGTCAAACCTATCCAGCGTGTTCACGGCAGACGCGACCTCAAACTTTGATCTCTGTCTCATATAGAAGATGTTGCAATCTTTGTTAGTGCAGATTACATCCTGGTGCAAACTGCCCTGACATCTCTGACATTGTGTCCACAATCTAGCGAATTGGACTTGGAGAGCTGAGACGGAAGATACCTGTTTCTGGTACAATTCACCCGCTTTCGACTTGCAATTTTTACAAACCGCAGCCTCACTACCCCTAATGGGAGCCTTGCAGCCAAGACAGGTCACCGTTTTAACTGCGAACTTCATCAGTCCACCAACAGAAGGAGTAGCGACAGTAATAGTGCGTGTGTGATCACCTGTGAGCAACGAACCCGCCTTTTCGCCTAAAATTGGTTCGAATATTCTCAATAACGGCTTTGACAGTTGGTTTTCAAGGTAATACTTGGTGTCAATTGGTACGTTGTTCTCTAAAACATACAGAGGATCCTCAGATCTCTCGTATGCCGCTGCTCCTTTGCTTCCTTTGACAATGACATAAGCTACACGATCACCGAGCGCTGGCGCTGATCCGGCATCACGCTTGCGCATACGCTCTGCCAGACAAACATGCGCCTGCTTGGCATCGTACTCTGTCTTGGTGAGAGCTTTCGTAATAACCAACTGACTCATATCCACCTTGTTCTGTAGCAGCTCCGAAATCACATTCTTGGTGTAGCTATGTTGTGAATAAATGGTCAACGGGGCTCATCTTCCATAAAATTACCACTCACTCTTCGGCTGCTTTCACATCACGATCTATCAACATCTTGTGCAGACACGTCGTAATCACAGTACCGACGAGTCGACAATTATCGCGACGGACAGTCTCGATACCCTTTGTATCCATTTTATCGTACTTTTCCAAGCCCGTCCAATACAAACCAGCGTATCTCTTCTTGTTGATGAGCAGATAAGGGTAGTATACCTTCTCGAACTCCAACTTAATAGGGTTAGGGAATTTCGACGATATTACACCTGCAGCTTCAGCACCCAGTTTCATAGCTGTCTCGAGATCCTTACAACCGAATTTGATCATGACAGAGTCAGTATCACCGTAGACGACTTCGGCATCGTGTGAGTAGTTGTTCGACACCTTATAGTGTGATTCTACCTCCTCCTTGGTGCGCTCAATCATACGACGGCCATATGCTGTAGTCGAAGATGAAATTGGCAGACAGGGTAACTTTCCAATTGTAGCACCGGTGAAACCATACACAGAGTTAGCTGATACCTTCAAAGCTAGCTGACGACCATCGAGCACCGCTCTCCTGAAGGGATCCTTTTCATTTTTAATATCCGCTCTTGCACGCTTACGAGCTGAAATAAGATCCTGAAGAACAACTGGCAAGAGACCTTTACGTTTGTCGGAGGTAACGAACATATCTGTTGAGCGTGAGAACTTTGCAAATATTACGGCAGCATCGGGTGAGTACAAACTTACCATTATTTGGAGTCTTGATATAATCAACGCCCTCCTTCAATTGGAGTCGCTCGACGGTATGAGAATCAAGAAGGGTGGTATAACAAAGATTGTGTGCCATCATGATTGACGGATATAGCGAACTGAAATCAAGGGTAGTAATAGGAACATCAAAGTAGCCCCTGCGCGGTTCAATAACAGTAGCACCTTCGTACTGATCATCGGAGCCTTCAACTCTAAGAGCAGGGACTAGATAGCCATGGACTTGAGATTGTCTACATATTTGACTCATTACCTTGATTGATTGTCCCTTAGCGAGCAAGTAATTGAAAGGTACACCTGTGACTCTTGCCATTTCTGTCTGGTTGACTAAACTCATCAGTCTGTCAAGCAGTCTCTGTGGGAGGTAGGCATCCTTCAAACAATACACAGCCAATCTGCGTCTTGATTCAGGCGTACCGTTCTGTAATTCCGTAATGATAGAGTGGTGTACATCCTCTTTCTGCTCGCCAAGGAACTCTGCACAAACGCTGTTGAGTGAGTATGATCGCAATTTATGTTCTCTTTGTATAAGTTGGAGCAAATCGAGCTGAAGACGACCCTCCATGTTGGTCTGCTTCGAGTCTCTGGTACCGTAAGCCTTGGATGAAAAGTGAGATGAGCCAACTTCACTCTTGACATTCTTCATTCTACCGAGATAGGCAAACTTGGTAGCTTTGAGAGCTTTAGCGCGGTCCATCAAATAAGGAATATCGAAATTGGCAATGTTGTATCCGATAATGACATCAGGATCTGCCTCCTCGATGAAATCTCTCCACGCTTGAAGCATTTTGGTCTCGTCTTCGAAACTGAGAACTTGGCTACCGGCGATATGTGCACATGATTTGAGGGTGAAGACGTTTCTGATAAAGGGTTTGGTTTCACCTGTGCAATTTGCATTCTTGTTAATAAATGTTTCATTCCTGAGACACAACTAACCTTGACGAGTGACCATGTTAGCTATCTGGATAACAGGGTCGATGTGCGGTTCAGGGAAGATACCTTGACGACCAGCACATTCGATGTCAAACGAGAGAATACGCAAAGGTGCCATTTTCTGCCATTCGCCATCAGCAGGATAAGCAATAATATCTTTGTGACTAGCGGGGAGAGTTAAAGGAATGTATAAATATGCCACATCCAACGCACTGTATATCAAACTCGAGCTGAGCTTTCGAGACCTTGCTCGCTGATTGTTTGAGGTTGTAAGCGCCACCAGGGCATTCTATCCAGGACATTCCGACGACCTTTGGGGGTGGTTTGAGGTGTACACCTGCAACATACACACACATACCTTCTTATCGATCATGAAACGCAGATCGTAACTGATATTAGACTCGTATGTCTGTATAGCATCGTCGAAAAAGTCCCTGAAGTGAATCTCACCGCGCTCGAAACAGCCGCGAACACGGGTCATGCTTCTTTGATCCACAAAAGTGATTTTGATGAAAGGGGAAATTTCATCGCCTCTGTATCCCCACAGACTGCGTCTATTGTGGATATCAATTGCTGAGACAATAGACTTGCCATTGTTACCGAAAGAAGCATTCAAGTAGCCAGAAAAGCCTTCTGAGTCCTCGGCAGTGAATCCACGAGGAGCAGCAATGTAAAGATATGGGAGGAAACCTGAGACGTTTGCGAGAACAGAGAAGCCTTCCTTGGGTGGGAGTAAGCGGGGATTGCTGGGCACAGCAACAGCCACACACCTGCGTGACACCATGCATGCGTATGAATGGCTCTGCGCCTGGAATTGAAGCCTCCTCAAGATCGATTTGCTGGAAAACTAATCACGTGGGTGAGAAAAGACGCGTGGATGTGGATGCATGTACGCACTAACACTATCAACCATTGGCTCAAACTTTGGAATCCTCGGCCTCGCCCAAACTTGACCACTTTCTGCCGAGGCTGTAGAGAGTGAGTGTGTGTACGTGTGGCATCAACCACGCACACTGTTCAGCATCATCCTGCAGATTCTCAAGAATATCCGCGAAATCGCTCTGTTTCTTATCATTCTGCGAGCCCAATTTGCCTGATTTGGTATCGTCTGTAACCTTCCTCTTCTTGTTTACGGGGTTTCTGGTGTTTATATCAGTATAATCCACTAGCTATTGCCAGGAACTCACTCTATTTCCTCCACCCGGATGTTTTCCTTGCTGTTTACTCTCATATCGCCTTATCAAGGTGCACAACGCGTATTCAGCTTCAATCAAAATGCAAATATAAAATATTTTCAAACAATTTCAAATATGCATAAACAGCGGCGTCCTCTTAAAGTTGTTCCGCGAATTCCCGACCTCTTCCAAGTTGGGGTAGTACGGCACCAGGGCGTCCTGCGCACCGACGTAGAGCGTGTTATAAATCCGCCAGTACGGTTCACGCACACGCCTTGCTGGATGGAAGAGGCCTTGTAGCGAGTAGTAGAGCAACAGACCTGGTCCAAGACCGACTCTCATCGCCTCGATCGCATCCATCACTGATCCAATAACATGCGGAGACACCTCGTATATGTTTGGCCATACCAGATTGAGCATGTGTAGCAATGCATCCTCTTTCCCGAATCCTGCAACTCCCAGTGTAAGATGCTTGATGATTGCCGCTGATGTTTGTCGATGGACGTGGTCTCTATCTGTGATGGAGTCCTCTACACATCCTACAAGAGCATATACGTAATCCTTGGCAAGCTCTCCAATATACTCGCATACCCACGCGAGCGCCTTGAGACATCCATTGCGCACGTTCAAGTCTGGTGTTCTGTACTCGTTCAAGATGGCAGGTATGCAGGTGAATGGTCCACATGTTTCTGCAACAATGGCAATAGCAACTGTCGAGCACACACGCGATTGACGCTCTTGTACTCTCAAGTTGGTCAACAATACTGATAAAACATCCTGTGGTCCGATAGCTTTGGCGATATAACCGAATGAATTAACAGCCGCTCTTCTGATAGCCTTCTTGTTCGCCTTGAGTAGGTCGAGCAACTCGAAACAGATTCTCATCCATTCTCTTGCAGGAACATACTCAGATCCTCTATCAGCAATACGACCAATCAAATTTATAGTTGCCTCCTGAACTTTCTCGTGTCTGTTTCGAAGAATAGGAGTCATACGAGGAACTGTAAACATTGTTAGTGATAAAGCTGATGGTAATAGTATCGATTTGCTACTCACGCAGATCTCTAACAGGTGGCTGCATCTCATTCATACCAACAACATTAGCAATAGCAGCTTCTGCAGCTATGAAACTACCCAATGTATCAGGATACTCCTCGCCAAGACCTTCAAACAGAACGACACCTAACTTGTGCAAGTACTGCTCCTCGTTGCACATCTTTATAACGACAGCAAGACGAGCGGTAAGATCAGCAGCCTGCATACGAACTTTGGCACCTTTGTTATTTAATCTCCAGAGAATAGTGGAGATAATTTGTAATAAATAAGGTTGAACGCGAGTACCTAGTGCACTGACAATGGTACCAAAACCATCAAGCATAACGGCATCTTCAAGTGTCTGTTCTTGGAATGAATATATCATACCATCAATCAATTGAATCTCTAATCGCTCGTCGATATCAGCAGCACCAAGATTTTCGACAACTTTCGTTATTGTTTCCATAACCATTTTACGCATAGGCTCAGATTCATCTTTGAGGCTATTCACGATTCTCCCAACTATTTCCATAACACCACACTTATTGGCGAGCTCAACGGTAGTTTCGACGACCTGACGATAATTTCTCCTATCAAGTGCCATCCTCCTAACCCAGAAATTTCTGAAAAAGTCTGGTAAAACTTCTTCTTTCAAGTAGCCAGGTTCAACACCATCAGTAGCAGCGCATTGCTTGACGACTTTTAACACAATCTTTTTCATTTCCTCATCTGAGGATTGGAATTCACGAATTAAAATAACCATAACTTCCTTTGTATAGTAGCTAGCATACTCAGCATCCATAAGCGGGATAATGAAACCGATAGCTTTGAGGAAAGCAGCGAGAGCTTTACCGCGATGCTTACGAATACCCAGCCAAAGGGGTTTGAGAACAGCATCGAAACTTTCAATACCATATGGAGTAGCAGCTTCCGCGAGAGCCGCAATAGCCAAAGCACCCATCGTTCGTACTTTTTGTTGTTCATCTTCGAGACTGTGTGCGATTGCGCTGACAAGATGACGAAGATGTGGGAGAATAGCGCAACCCATCATGATTGCAATTTGTTGTACAATTCTAATACCAGTATGACGAGCTTGCCATGACTTTTTAGAACGACAAACAGCCTTTAAGAAGGGAAGCAAGGCAGGTATACCCAAAGCAGAAGCGACGACAGAGAAGGCTCTTGCAGTGGTGTTACGGACGTATTCATCCATGTGGTCAATATCAGGTCTCATAGTGGAAATCATGTGGGCTAAACCAGCAGCTTTTGCGAGATTGGAGATGATTTCACGACCTTCGACTCGAGCAAAGTAATCTTCATCGATAAGGAGTGGTTCGATGACGACAAGAATTTTGTGCACGTATGGCCTGACAAGATCATCTAGTTTGTAGAGAACTCTATCGATGACTTTGACGAGTAAATGACGTTCTTGATCTTCTAAAGTACGTTCCATGAGAAGAGGAAGGATTCTATCAAAGAGAGGACCCGCGCCGAGTTCCCTAGCCTTCTCTGTAATTTGACGCAAGGCGGATTTACGTACTTGGGGGGTACCGTTCTTGATCTTGAGAAGTAAGCGCATAATCTTTCTGTCCTTTAGCTCTTCCATGGACAGACCAGGTTCAACGTCTTCACCTTGTAACACTTTACCGAAATATTGAGCGTCTTCGGGTTTGAGGTAGGCAAGAGAGCCAATGCCTTCAATCTCGGTTGGAAGGTCACCAGTGGAGATACCAAGGGCATCTGCGGATATACCTTTATCAGCGATATTAAAGCCAGTGTCGATAGGCATAGCGGACATCATTTTGTGGGCGGAAGAACGAAGAGGCTGGTAACCTTCAGGGACAGGTACGATTATGAAACCGTCTGATGGGAGGAGGATATTAAGTTCTTCATCAGACATGTAGCGATTGCGTGAGTTTGCAGCTTGATTGGAGAATGTGTCTAATCCTTGAGGTACAGCGGGTAAACCCATGAGTGCAGGTGGAAGCATAGCAGCGACGTCAGCGACAGTTTTGTCGTGTTCAGGAGCGGTGGAGGGAGTTTGATCCCATCTAGAGCGACGTTGTTTTTGAGGAGGAGGGGAGGTGGACTGGGTTGTAGACTGAGTAGGTGCTTCATCCCACCTAGAGGAACGTTTCTTTGGAATTTCTTCGGATTTGATTGGGTTAACATGGTCAGAAGATTGAGAAGAATCAGGTGCAACATCCCAACGTCTCTTACGTTGGCGGGGTCTTTCATCGGAAAGTAAATTGGATTGAAATGAATCACGTGGGGGTGTTTTATCGGGATTGAAAGGCTGAGAATCCTGAGAATCCTTCAAATCACTTGATTCCTCCTGCTGCTGTTTACGATCTTGAAGAATTTTACGAACTCTAGCTTCCTCCTTATCAAGTTCGTTTTGACGCATTCTATCAGCGTAAGAGGGACCATCACCGGTAACAAGATCACCATCCCCCCTATTAAATCTTCTATTATGATAATCTGATTGCCTGTGTGAGATTTGCCTGGATTGAATAGTCTCTGCGAATGGATCAACATCCTCATCCTCAATTTCCTTGTTAAATTCATCGATTATATCCTTTGGGGCTGTGTCTATCGATGTCTTAATATTTATTTCTTTTATTTTCCCAATTCATTAACTCACATTCGGTGGACATGATGGAGGTTTCTGATAAACCATGACTATGTCGGGGAATACGGGTAATACGGGTAATACACGCAATATTTGCAATCTACCAACGACAACACATAGTAAATCCATTAGCCCTGCCAAATTGGAATTGTTATCTGCACTTGAAAACCACCAAACGTTGGGTACGCGGCAGCGCGATTACAGTCAACACGACGAATGCACAAATCAGCGACCAAATAAACGCTGTAGAACTATCACTGAGAGATTAGGTGAAGCTGTTTACAATACCGCCGTCGTCGCTGGTGGTATTGGTGTTGCTGCTTATCGATTTATGAAGGGTGATGATAACCAGGAGCAGTTATCTACCCACACCTTCTCCCCTGATCAAAGAATACCAGGTTCCTTCAATTTCAAAGATTCTGAAGAAGATTACGTTGATTTACCCGAAACATCCACCACACCTACAAGAACTCCAAGGAAACAAAAACAATTCAAAGTTCAATCTAAACGCTCTATATACTCCCCTAAACATTCCCAACATTCTCATAAACTTAAAGATTCCAATAAGTCTAGATATCATCACAAACACCAACAATCAAACGAAAGATTAGATAACATGTCTGCTCAACTCTCTGCCATGATTTCAGATGGCCAGAAAGCTCTCACTCAACCTGCTATCGTTGATGAGGTTTTTGATGATGATGTCTCTGAAAATTTTCATATACCATCTTCTTCTTTCACTTTCACACAATCTATACCCGAGTCTCATTCTGATTATTCTATCGGCGATGGTCTACGAACTGCTGCGTCGTGATATTCCAAGTAGATTTCATATTCCAAATAAGATGGCTAGTACAAGGCAATACATGTGCGAAACATTTATAAGTTATTCAAGTTGAGTTGAGTGAGTTGAGTGACGCATTTGTGTCAATATCCGTAAACTTAGTAGACTTATCGATTGTGATAGTGGAAATGGTGTTAGCCGGGGTATAATATCAGTAATCAGAATAACCAAATCCACATCCTAGATTGAATTCTTATACCCCAGACCAACACCAACACCAAAATCGTCATACTTGCCCGTAGTGAAACCCAAACCTAATCCATAGATGGGAGCTTCACTGAATTGGAAAGAGTTGAGTGAGCTTGTTTTGGACATTGGTGGTGGTGAGCTCAAGTTGCTATCGACTGATGTGGATAGTGAGGGTGTTGACCCTGCTCTTTGTCTCTCGCCGATCCTCGACAGGAGAGAAGGAGTGTAGTGATCCGTTTGAGCGTTCTTGCAAGGTGAATGAGATTTATATGACTCGCATGACCTGAATTGCTCATTTGAGTCTGGTGAAATTGAAGTATTTGGTGTAAGTGTCAAGCTGTGTAAACTGGGTGTGTGAGAGTGTGAATAACTCTGTGTGTATGACTGCCTTGGTGATGCTGTGGATGTTGTTGATTCTGCAGATGCTGTCTGTGGGCTCTCCTCGTCTGACGTGGACATATGAGTCGACATGGGAATAGAAAGGGGCATTGGTGGAATAGCACCCTGAGCATGAGGGAAAGTGGAGTGAATAAAGCAACACCTCTTTCCATAAGGACAAGCTCCAGAATGCCAGTAAGTAGCGCATAATTGAGTTTTGAACTGTTAAAAACGGGGTTAGCGGGAATTTTAAACAAATAAATCAGCTCAAACTAACCTTTGGATGCCTAGGAACTTGTCTCAATTCATCTTGACCATGTGCAAATTGGCACTTTGAGCCGTATCTGCACGTGCCCTTCTCTTCCCAGGATCTGCAAAGTTCAGTCTTGTATAGACCAAGCTTGCGGTTGTTCATGGAAGGGCCATTGGATGAATCCTCTGTGGATTGAACAGGTTGCTGCGTAGGCTGGCTCAATTGACGATTAAGAAGAAGCTGATTCGAGTGAATCTGGTGCTGATGAGCTTGTATCAAAGCAAGCTGAGAAACGAGCTGATCACTATCATTATGGCTGTCCTCTATTTCATTGTAAAATATGTCTGGATGTGCATGGTGGAATTCTGGGGGTGAATGGAGCTGATTGTTATATTCACTGAGTGGTGAGAATAGCGTATCTGATGGTGCTCCCTTGATATTCAATATTTCCATTTCCTTTGTCTTGTTCGATTGTTATTGTTTGATTCTAACCTGTTGATCACGGGTCGTGGTATATATTCTTGGTAATTTTCACACAATTTAGTAACTCTAATATATCAAATAAGATTCTAGCAATTTCATCAACCTCTTCACTCCCTAGATTCCTTTCTTTTTCAAATACGGTCAAAACTTTCACTGTTCCTGGATTACTTTATTAATTTATACCTAGAATTTGATGAAAATATTTCATGAGCTTGATCTTTATAGCCTTATATAGTTCACCTGCACACACCTTCATCACTCTATATAATCACTTAATCACACTCCACGTCCAGACTCCATCATCACAACTTTATCGCAAATACCTTGCATCCCGCATAAATTGAATCCACTTGACCAATTCTATCCGCACACTGCGTCATTTCCCTTTTTATATTTTTATTTCCAATTTCAAGGGCCCTGTCAGTGCATACCTTAGATGTAAGCGTGTCTCTGATGCCGGTGTCTGTCCAGTGCCGGGGAGATAATAAAAATACATTTTATTTCCTTAATTACACCTAATCCACTCCATGTGCCCGCTTTGTCCATTTCCCAATCAGTGTGTCCAAATCCGCGAGTACAAATTTACAAACTGAGTTAGCGAGGCACTCAGAAGCATGACGGAGGCATTTAGCAACCGAAGATCTAATTTCGGGTGTGGAATCAGTATACAGCCCGAGTTCGTCGTTGCGGAGGTAACCCCAATGTACATCGAGGACCTGTGCGGTAACGAAGACTTTATTGAGGAGGTCAACATAGGCATATAGCCATCCCTCCTCCGATTTACGTCCGCTGCCGCCCGCTTTGGATTTACCTAGCGAGCGCGACAGCTTGCTCGTCCACGTGTACGACTTGCCTGCTGGTGCCGTTGGTGAGAGGTTGTGCGCGGGTTGCAGGTCTAGTTTCTTCGCAAGCTGTACGCTCACATCGTCCAGTAGTCGGTTCAACTCACTCAGCGCGCTTAGGAACACCTCGTCCTCTACCTGCGCACTCACGAATCGCTTGCCTGTACTATATACATCGTGTAGACCGTCGAGCACCGTCTCGAGTGACTTTACTTTCACTTCTATGTGATGCAGTTTCACTACATTGCGACTGTCCAGCCAGATCTGAGGCGAGACGTACAGGCGTGGCGATATGTACGCTCCTTCCCGGATCGACTTAGCGAGGAGCTTCATAAGTTGGAATGGCCGCCGCGTCGGGTCTATGTGGTAGCACTCGAAACTTGGTTTGCCGCGAGACGGCGGGTCTGGTATGATGGGCTCTGATGTGGGGTATAGGTTGTTGGAGAGTGTTTTGAGTAGCGGGAGACTGTTGATCGCCGGAGGCTGTGGGTGGGATGGGATTGCAATTGCACTCGCTGAAGTCGCCGCGGATGGTTTTCTGTCTGGTTGAGAAACAGCTCTCAGTCGTGGTGCAGTGTTAGATGTAGGAGTTGCAGTGTTAGCAGTGTTAGCAATGTTAGCAATGTTAGCGCCATTTAAACCACCAAGGTCCAATTTGAACGCCTTGCGCGTCTCAGTCTCGAACGCCTCAGTGTCATTACCCCTGCCAGCTTGCTGTCTGCGCTGAATGAGGCTGCCCTCCCCCACAGAGGGGTTTATGATAGGCACCATCTGTTTCTCGCTGAGAGAAGCCATTGAAGATATCCGCGTCGGCAGTTTGTACGACGAGTTGGTCGACGACGACCTCGATCTGTTCATTGGCGGTCTTTGAGGTGATTCGGTGAGTGTTTGGTTGGAATCTGATTTGTGTGGGTGTGGGTTTGTGTGGTGTACTGGATAACCCGGATAACCCGGATACGCACGCTGATCACCTCCGTCACCTGCACCACCCGCATCCAGCGGTGAGCCAGGCTGAATAGAGATGGAGGGCGTGGTAGCATGGCTCGCCTTGCGTGACTGTGGCTGTGGCTGCTGGTGGTAGGTTGTGGAGAGACACGACGAGGCTGTGGAATTAGACAGTGGTTGCTGTGGGGAGGCTGAGTGCTGTGAGGCATCCAAATCGCGTGTATTACGCCCATCAATGGCGTCATGAGTGGTATCAGTGGTATCTGCGTTGTCTACGTTGTCTGCGCCGTTTACGGCATTGCCCCTAGTATCTAACAAGACCTCTAGCAGCCTTATCCTGTCTTTGTAAGTCTCGTGGATAATTTTCAGTCTGCGCGCCTCCTCTAGTCGCCTATGCGTTGGATTGTGCTGCTCGAACTCTGATTTGTTCTCAGAATCGACACGATGCATGACACACTCAAGCAAAGCCATTGCCTGCTTATAGGCGGATAGGGCGTTGTAGAAATCGTTGTCCTTGTCCAAATTCACAGCTGTGTTCGCTAGGCTGAGCGCGTTATTGAGCATTTGCCGTGAAGAAGTTCTCTTTGGTGAGTGCGTGGGTGAGTGTGAGGGTGAGTGTGTGGGTGTGTGTGTGTTGGTGGCTGTGAACGTATCGGCATTCGAATACGCTTTCCCCAATTCTGATAACGGGTTCTTCTGAATTTTCATCTAGATAAAACAACTCAAAGCCATACGAATGTCTCGTAAATGTACAAAATAAAAATAAATAATAAAATCGATTTATCATCGAATCGCCTTGTAGTTTATGCAGCCCACTCCGGTCTAGGCGTTATGTCCCTCGCGATCAACCACCCAAGCCTCGTCTCCCAGTTCTGACGAAGATTGATGAGATCCACTTGACATGAGTGATTGAATCCAAGTGGCTTGTCTGGACCGCTCTTGCAAATTTCATCCAACCCTTTGGCCCAGTTGTTCACCACCGAAGAGCTAAACATACCACCTTCCCTATTAACCATTGCATCCACCACTTCAAACCAATCTGACCATATCTTTCTCAGTTTATCCCATAAACCACTCAATGATTGTGGTATTTCATCGTTGGTGAGTGTAGGTAAGCGTGATATTACCTTGATAAACTCTACAGTCGTTGGCTGTATCGCGATAAACTTATCAGTCACATGTACACCATTTGATGTAAAGAAAGGCAGATAAGTTGAAATGACCTTTGTCCAATTGGATATTGGCCCTTTCAACCTACTGAGTGTGTAAGTTGGACGTGAATGTCCAATTGGAATGCTTTGTATAATATTGCACGTTGAGTCGTTTAATGCGTTTAAATAAGTTGATATCGTTGGTTGTGGTATTTTGTTCATTATCAGATGCTTTATTGAGGGTTCTTGATTTATTACGTTATTCATTACGTTTAATAGGCTTTCACGGGGAAGTGAGGCCAATAATACGCCAACATCCCCTTCCTCGCTCTCAACATTTGTATTCAAAGTCGATTTAACCTTCTTCAGTGTCCTCACAGGCCTATTCTCACCATCGTCATCACCTATAGACATCTTTGTATCCTCCTCATCGTTGAATTCTCTTTTTTTTAAACTTTTTTTGAGAGTGCTGGGTTGGTGTTGTTTGGTAGGTGTAGAAGCAGATCCAGATGCAGATGATATGCTATTGCCCCCGCCAAAGCTGAATCCTAATGATGAATACAGTGGCGAGCTTGGGAATGGGATTTGTTGATGATTTGGTGAACTGTAAGTCGCTGCCATTGGTTGTGTTGTTGGTGGAATTAGTTTAACCAGCCTTGACGGTTTGTTGGCTGAGAATAGTGTTGTATAAAATAAAAATATAAAAATTAATTAATTTACATCTCAGTTACCTCGTTTCACGCTCTCAAAGCTGTCACCAATGACGATTGAAATATCCGCAACACATCCACAGCCAACGCATCCAGGCTTAATCAGAGTCGTGAAATGCCCAGGCGAATATATGTCATACGCTGTAGCTGATAGAGTTAGTTTGTGATTTTTATTCGTTCAAAGTCATAATTCCACCACAGGATATAGAGAAGAATCAAGTGCTTTCCTACCTAGACAAGGCGACGCTTGCAAAAAACGCGTATACTTCAGTACAAGTTTCTCCTACTGAACACATTGAATTGAATAGTGATTTGGTTTACATAAATCACAGCTGTGAGCCAAATGTCGCGTTTGTTGTCGGTATTGGCGGCGGTGTACACGATTATTACTTGAAATCACTCAAGAATATTTCAAAGGGCGAAGCTTTGGAATTCTTCTACCCATCCACTGAATATTCCATGTCGCAGCCATTCAAATGTTTGTGCAATACAAAGTCGTGTTTAGGGGAGATAAAGGGGGCTGAATCTATTGATAAGGATACACTCAATCAATTCCCCCTCAACGACCACATTAAATTGTTAAAATCTTTGTAAATTCCCCTTGGTCAATTACCACCATCATCTAAATCCCATGGACTCTGAACTCAGTCCTAGTATTTTAAATCCCCCGCAATCCCCACAGTCTCCACAATCTATTCAAATATGCCATCAATGTAATCTCCCTATGTCTGGTCAGTTTGTTAGAGCCTTGGGTAACATCTACCATCTCGACTGCTTCAAATGCCACGATTGCGGCGTCATCGTTGCCAATAAGTTCTTCCCCATCCAATCCAAGGACGGCATTTCCTCACATCCCCTCTGCGAAACTCACTATTTCCGCCGCCTCGACTTGATTTGCGCTAACTGCGATATGGCACTGCGCGGTTCGTATATTACCGCATGCGGAAAGAAATACCACACAAATCATTTCACTTGCTCAATCTGTAATTTAGTCTTTGGTCCAAAGGATTCTTACTACGAGCATCAATCTCATGTATACTGCCACTTCCACTACTCAACTCGCTTCGCCATCAAATGCTCTGGCTGTAAAACCGCTATCCTCAAACAATTCGTCGAAATTAATCGAAATTCTATCAACGAACATTGGCATCCTGAGTGCTACATGATCAACAAGTTTTGGAACGTTAAAATTGCTCGTCCAAATTCTATAACCCTATCTCCACTCGATGAAGAAGCACTGGAATCCCCTCTAGCTCTCATAGATAAGCAAAAAAGAATGGAAGAACATGTCTTCCGTATTTGGACTGTTTTATCCGCTTTCGAAGAATCCTCTGCTGCTTGCATTTCTGAAATGCTTAGACATGTTTCAACCGGCGCTTACATTACTGCCGTTAGAATGGCTGGCAAGTTTATCATTCACGTCGAAGTTTTATTCGCTGCAATGGATAAAATCGAAGATTCTTTTCTTAAAGAGGACATTAAGAGTGTGTTTTACTTTTTTAATCTCTCTTACTCTCCACTAACCAATCACTCCCTCACAGGTCCTTCACATTACCGCGAAGCTCGCATGCTATGTCGCAAAACTGTTTCCTTCCTTTCCATCCTCTCACACACCCACGAAGCTGGCTCACGTAGGATGGGTATCACCAAAGAATTGCTATCGCTTGTTACCGGCCTCGCTCACTACCTCAAAATCCTTATTAGGATTGCTTTGACCGCTTCTTTAAAGCTAGATCGTGATTATACGGACATTGAAGCCCTACCTGCTTTTCTCGACAAGCTTTCTCTTCTCCTTCAAGACCCTATCTCATCCGCACAACATGACAATCCCAACGATGACCGTTATCTTAAGCAAGTCCCCTACGGCTACAAATCCATGTCTATCTCCTCCAAGAAATCTTCCATCGTAGGCAGAGGTATATCATCAGAAAATCCCACCGATCTTTGTTTCGCTTGCAATATGACAGTTGAAGATGACTGTATTAAATTTGGTACGTCGTTAAGGTGGACATTGGACTGTTTCCGTTGCGATGGTTGTCACCGCCGACCCATCCTACCAATACGCTCCGTGCGTGACAGACAGAAGGACCGCGAGCGTCAAAGAGACAAGCGCAAGGAGCAAGCTGCAGAGTCAGGATTGGCGTACGAGAGTTCGACTGACTACGATTCAGATATTGCAAAGTTGGAAAGGGCGGGTACGTCAGACGGAGGACGCCGCCTTGCCATTGAGGAGTACTACTTGTCGAGACCTGAGCCGGCTACTCTGTCTATACCACCAGGTGCATCTAACAGGGCTGTGCTTGCTGCGGAGAAAGCTGCTACCAAGGTTGTTTGCACGTCATGCAAGCACACCGTAACTTATGCAGAGAGAGGCTTCACGTTTGCGACCAAACTGGAACAGTATTCTTACCTACTCAACGTCGGTCTTACACGCCTCTTTATGGTTCTCAAGACTAGGGGTGTTGTGCCCTCGAAACCAAGAAGCGGCGGTCTGGATTCCAAGACAAATGAGTCTGAGAAAGCGTTGGAGATGGCTGACGAGCAGAAGAAGAGAGATCGCGAAGCCCAGAATGCATCCAAGGAGGTGTACGATAGCTGGCGCGACAGTTCGGAGCTGAAGAGGATACGTCCACAAGAGTTGGAGCTGGATAGGAAGCTGTCAGCAACAGCACGCCTACCGAGGAGATCGACTGTGGTTGAGTCGCCTATTGGCAGTTCAGCCGTGCCATCCGACCTTTTCCCGTCGCCCTTGAACGACAATCCACCCGTGCAGGAGGCTGAAGTGCAGCCCTCGCATCCTGTCCTCACCATTAAGCCTGAGACGGGTGTGCGCATCGTCCACGAAAACGCCCCCAACGTCATCTCAGAACTCAAGCCGCAGTTCTCTAAGCGGGACGACAACGAGATTGTCTATACATCACAGACGGATAAGTCTTACGACAGCGATGCCGTGTCGTTGGTAGACATGCCACAGATTATGGAGGCGAACCAGGCGCGCGAGCAGAGGAAGTCGCTGTCGCGGGCGAGCAAGAATATACTCATGACTGAGTTATCATCGCTAGAAGCGCTCGTTGTGAAACACGCCGCACTCTATCTGCTCGAGCGGTCGGAGATGTCAAAGCACATTGAGAACCTTGACGACCTGCTCGACTTGGTGGAACAGAAGAAGGCGAATACATTCTGGGGCAAGTTCTTCAAACCGAAGAAGGAGCAGAAGAAGACGGGTATTTTGGGTTGCACGCTTGATCAGCTGGTCGAGAGGTCGGGCGTGAAGACGCAAATGACGAATGGGTCATATAGATTAACCATACCACAGCTCTTCGACGACCTTCTCATGGCTATGCGCCAGGTGGATATGTCTGTAGAAGGGGTGTTTAGAAAGAATGGGAATATACGGAAGCTGCGCGAGTTGGTGGAGGCTATTGATAAGGAAGTCTATACTGGTAATTTGACTGAAGAGTCGCCCGTGCAGCTGGCTGCGCTGCTCAAGAAGTTCCTCGCTGGGCTGGGTGATCCTATTTTCCCACACAAGCTGTACAAGCTGTACACTAACTTGCAATTGGAGATAGTGGACGAGACTACGCGCAAGAGGATACTACATCTGCTCATCACACTCTTGCCAAAGTCACACAGGGACCTGCTCGAAGTACTCTTTGTGTTTCTGAGATGGGTGGCATCGTTCAGCCACGTCGACGAGGAGACGGGGTCAAAGATGGACATACAGAACCTTGCAATAACAATCGCACCCTCGGTGCTATACCCGCCTCACAGCCCATATAATCGTGAAGATACGATCATTTGCAACAGGTCGATTGCAGAATACCTCGAAGACCAGGATGACTTCTGCTGCGTGGGTGTGGAGTTGCTGTTCGGAGTGAGATAGACTAACACGAAATAAAGGTACCAGCAGAAATACTGCCGATCTTACACGACCATGAACTGTTTTCTTTTACATCGTCAGAGATATCACGTAAGGATATCAGGAGAAGGTGTGAGCAGATATTTAATTGAATGGGAATCCACCTACTGCTACTAATACCACCCAAAATACACTAATAAATTACTTGATGAATAATAATTACAAAGATTACGTAGTTGTTTTGTGTGCTTCAACAACCACGTTCACCATGGTTAAACGCGGGATGAGATTTATACCCTTTACATCAACAAAATCATCTTCGAATAATTCAATGTCTTCTAGTAGCAGCTCTGCGCCTAGGATTCAATCGCAGCCGCCGCCTAGCACTGATGAATTCACTTTCACAAAGAAACCACAGAATATCCAACCAGCACCGCCCAAATCACATTCTATACCACCTGATCATAATATCCTCTCTACTCTTCATTCTCATATTCTTTTTCACGGCTTTCTCGCCGGTGTGGGCTCCGATGTGACGATAAAGGTCGCCAAGTGGCACAGACAGTACAAGCTACACAAGATTATCCTCACTCAGTCCACCTTCTTCAATTCTCTCTTCCACGGCTCTTTTGCCGAGACCTTATCCAACGACAAGGCCATTGAGCTCACCTTCGATGATCCAAACATCACCCGCAGCGCTTTCGAGTACTGCCTCGGCTATCTCTATGGCCGTGCTTCTCCACTGCTTCTCCAAGAGAGACTCAAGCCTTCGCCACGCTACCCTCTCACTCCCTCATACCCCACTTTCGATATATCCACAGATACCGATCCAGCCCTCGAAGACGCCCAGGTCGCCACTCCCGAGTTTTGTATGGCCTTGGTAGCTACCTCGATTTACCTCGGCTGTCCATCCATCGCCAACAAGGCCATTAGCTTCATCCTCGCAAGCATCAGCCCTGTGAATATCACAAAGTTCCTCCGTTTCGCTCTCGGTGAGGGTCTCGGTTGCGCCAGGTGCTGGTATGACGGGGAGCAGCATCCCGCTGTTGGGCTGGAGCAGCTCGGTCAGCCCATCGAGAAAGGTCTCGACACCCACATCGAAGCTGCCGAGTCGGAGCAGACGCACAGTGGTCTCGCTACTCCCCTCTCAGCTTCCCAAGAGACTGCCATTGATGGTCTGTCCATCCACTCCACCTCGGATGACGACGATGCGTCTTACGAGTACTCTACCCCTTCTTTCCACTACGGTGCTGCGTCCGATAAGGTGAGTTGTGAGCGTTGTTGCAACAGTATACTCACGCGACACACTACAGATCGGCGAGGCGTGCGTTTGTTGGCTGTCGCGTTGGGCTCTGGACATGATAGAGATCGAGGACATACTAGTGACCGAGTCGGGCGACATCAAGCACCCCAGCGGCTCCATTCCTTTCGCTACGTGGTCCTTAGCAGGCATACCAGCACGTTACATCCGCGCTGTCGTGTCCTCCGATGCGCTCTTCGTCCCTGGTGCCGAATGGCAGCGGTACAAGCTAGCTGCGCGCATAGTCGAGCTGCGTCGACGCCAAAACAAGGGTGCGCTGTCGTATGCGGACGAATGCGAATTCGACACTATGTTCGCAGATGGTATCTACTACACCCACATGACTTTCGAGCAGCTCGCCGCTATTCAGAAGGAGGTGTCACCTACTACCGCACGCCCTTACGTCCCTATTCGTATCCTTCAGCAGGCGCTCTGGGCGCATTGTGAGCTGCGCAACTCGATCGAAGCATTCGCTCTAAGTGGTGCAGGCGCGGACAGAGATTGCGACCTCGGTTTGACGTACAGCTCGTGGGAGATTCGCGAGAAAATTCGCACTAAGGAGGGCAAAGCTTGGTCAGAACGGCGTTTCTTTCCCGTGAACAAGGACAGTACAGACCGACTGGGTGATGTGGGTGGTAATTGATCGAGTATTGAGCTGTCTGACGCGACACACAGGCAGCGTCTATGTACAGCAGCAACGACGAGCTGAACAGATATTCACCGCCGAGCCAAAACCGCAACCAGAACCACGCACAGAGAGAAGAGAGTGAGAATGACGAAGATGCATCGGGGCTTGCGGCATCTACACACGACCCACTCGCCGGTGCATCTCCAGGTTCGCAGCGTCGTCCGCACAGCGAAGCGGAGCTATTCGGTTTGCAGAAGACGCACAGGAACGGTGGAGAAATAGCGCGGCAGATAGAGGCCGACTGCTTGAATTCGGGTGAAGGCGAAGGTGGAGACTCGGCATCGCTCGCTAGTTCATCACCTACAGCCAGACGCGCCCAGGAGGATAAGTGGTCCCTTGTTGAGCCCCTCCGCTTTGCCGTTGAGTATTGGATCAAATCGGAGCTCGCGGCGCGGGAGAAGACCTTCTCGCATGCTGTCTTCTACGCGGGTAGCTACATCAATACGTACATACAGATCAATGAGCAGAAACATAAACATGGTAATCAGCTGGGTATTTACGTTCATCGCCAGTCTATGCATGAACCTTTGCCTTATGCGTCGTCACCGCCTTCGTCGCATGGCAACAATACTGCTTCTCCGCTGCTGTGTAGTGGTGGTGGGAGTGGTGGTGGCTATAATGGTAACGTACCTGTACCGCTTTCCCCCGTACCCACGATGGATACTCTCCTCAGAGTGAACAGTGCTGGGAGCGACGATTCGAATGGGTCGAACAATCCACCTGCACAACCACAGCCACAGCCTCAGCCTCAAACTCAGACGCAGTATCACACCCGCAACCACTCACACTCACAACCACACTCACATCCATACTCACATCCATACTCACACACTCACTCCCACTCACCACCCACCGATACTGCCAAAGTCGGTCCAGGGAAGCATTCAGGCAGTCAGAACGTGCCACACGCAGCGTACAAAGACCCACGCAAAACGCTGCGCGCTTTCTTCACTGTACAATGCTCATCCGGTAACGGCACGGCTTTTACAAAATTCAATAGCGCTCCTGATAGCTTCACCACGTCACAGTCATGGGGATGGAAATCTTCCGTACAGAGATCGTCTGAGTATCTTGCAAATCATGCAATAGGTCCTGACGAGCAGCTGGGCGGCTTGAATTCACTCAGAGCTGTTGTTACTGTGGGGCTGGTTTGAGTGGGAGAGGGGATTTTTGGTTGGCTTTTCTTTACGTATCGCGACTTAGGTCTCTCTGTTCACGACTCACGACTCCTCACACATCCCTCACACCCCTCACATCTTTCAAGCAATGGACTTGCTAACATCTCAGCTTATCTCAGCTTATTTCTGTTGAATACAAAATCTGAAAAGGAACACTATTTTGTATAACTATCGCTCGTTTGCAATACAATCACTCAATTACATATTTACGGTATCACACTGCCATTTGCATCTGCGAAAAGTGAGACAGTAAGCAGAAAGTTATACGGATGACCCACAGGAATTTTAGCATGAGGGTTGTAACCATCAACGACAAAGTCATCAAAGGTGAAGCTGTCGATATCTTGAACGTTCCTCTTGAACTGCAGCTTTGGGAGTGGCCGTGGCTCTCTCTCTAGCTGTGTGCGCAGAGCGTCGATGTGGTTCGAGTATACGTGTGCATCTCCGAGCTGAATGATGAGTTCGTGAGCATCAGTTTGGGTGACATGAGCAATCATGTGGGTCAGCAGCGCGTAAGAGGCTATATTGAAAGGTATACCTAGTCCCAAATCTGCTGAGCGTTGATAGAGGAGGCAAGAGAGTTTCTTTTTCCCGCTTTCGTGGTTGGTATGGCTACTAGCACTATCACCCCCATCACCGCTATTCGGGTCGGTGACGTAGAACTGTGCAAGCACGTGACAAGGCGGGAGAGCCATCTGTGGGATATCCAGAGGGTTCCAGGCGCTCAATATGATACGCCTGTCGTAGGGATTAGTTTTGATAGTATTTATGACCTGTGCGAGTTGATCGACGCCTTCGCCGGTGTAATCGTGAGCTGGGCCTTGATAGGAAGCCCCGAAATGCCTCCATTGGAAGCCATACACGGGACCGAGGTCACCCACTTCTCTATCGTGAAAACCGAGTTTATCGAGAAAGTGTCTGCTGCCATTCCCGTCCCAAATCTTGACGCCCTTATCGCTGAGCTGATTGGCGTGGGTACTGCCACTGATAAACCACAGCAACTCCTCAGCAACACCGCGCCAGAAAACGCGTTTAGTCGTTAGCAGTGGCAGTGTGTTGTCTGAGAGGGTGAAACGCATGTTCTGGGGAGCGAAGAGGGAGATGGTTCCTGTGCCTGTTCTATCGCCGCGACTGTTGCCGTGATCAAGAACACGCCGGATCAAATCGAGGTACGCGTCTTCGTTGAGTAAATCCATTTGTGTTGGTTTTGCAGGTTGCTGGTCGACGTCGAAGAGTTGGGAGTTGTTAGGAGAGATATAAATTAAAAATAAAAGTAATTATGGTGCGTATATTGTAGGTATCTGTAGCACCCACTCACGCCCACGCTCAGCCCTATTTGGATCTCGATGTCTGTATCGAGAAATTACTAAAGAAGCAGCTGCTCGGTGAGGCTCTGATAAAGGAAATCTGCGAGCGTACCAAGCAGGTGCTCATGCGGGAATCTAACGTCGTGCACATATCTGCGCCAGTCACCGTCGTCGGCGATATCCATGGACAGTTCTACGACTTGATTGAACTTATGAGGATCGGCGGGTATTCCCCACACACCAATTACCTTTTCCTCGGTGATTACGTTGATCGTGGTCTCTTCAGCGTGGAGACTATTTCACTCCTCACCTGCCTCAAACTGCGATATCCAGACAGAGTACAGTTGATACGCGGAAACCATGAATCTAGAGCTGTCACTCAGACTTACGGTTTCTACGTTGAATGCCTCAAGAAATACGGCTCTCCCACAGTCTGGACGGCTTTCACGGATATGTTCGACTATCTCACTCTCAGCGTCGTTATTGATAATCGTATCTTCTGCGTCCACGGCGGTCTCTCTCCCTCCATCCACACCCTCGATCAAATAAAGATTATCGACAGGTTCAGAGAAATACCCCATGAAGGTCCTATGGCCGATCTCGTTTGGTCTGACCCTGATCCTGGTAAAGAGGAGTTCGCCATCTCTCCTAGAGGCGCTGGCTACACTTTCGGTTCTCAAGTCGTGAAAAAATTCCTTCAGATGAACGATATGCAGCACATTCTCCGCGCTCACCAACTCTGTATGGAAGGTTACAGTGTTCTCTTCGATGACGAGCTCAGCACAGTTTGGAGCGCCCCCAATTACTGCTATAGATGCGGCAACAACGCTAGTATCCTCGAAGTCGGACCAAATGGCCAGAGACACTTTAATGTCTTTGAAGCTGCACCGGAAAATGAGAGAGATGGTCCTTTACAAATTCAAAATCAAGAAGCTCGGGAGGTCAGTTACTTTTTATAATCATTATCATGTGCATGTGTAATTTAATCAACATATCAATATATCCTACTTTCTACCTATTTATAGTAGTAGCTTGGGTATCATTTATTGCTTTCCTTTGCTTAGGCCAACTCATCTATCAACTTGGCCCGTACTTGCAGAAACTCCTCCCAACGCGATGGCTGATAGGAAGATTTGAAAGCGTCTGTGAAACACCAACGTTGAGACAACAGAGAATTAGATAATGAGTTTTTGTCAGTGCTGTTATCTTTAGCAGTTTCAATACGCTGATGTCTCTGAGCACGAGCAGCGGCCTGACGGGGTGTCTGATTCGACGGTGTTGTGTTCCTCTTGACGGTCTTCTGGGGAGTGGAAGTGATGGAAGTGACTGAAGGTTTCTGGGGAGTAGTTCTGCGCGACTGGAGGTCTTTGAGAGCGTCATTGGTACGAGCGGGACGTTGAGCAGCAGCAGCAGTCTTTGCCGTTTTTATCACAGCCTGTTCCGCTGCATTGCGTCTGCGCTTAGTCGGCGTTGCTAGACTCTGTTCGAGACCGACTTCGCGCTTCGGTGATGTCTTTTCGAGCGTTCGGCCCGTCTTTCTGAGCGCCTCGAGCTGATCGCGCGCGTAGAAATCTGCATCCTCGCAATACTTCCTGAATGTATGACCGGTAAGCTGCCAATCGGAGGCGAATTGATTGCGTGTAGGAAGTTCATCTATCTGAAAGGTGAATGGTGTGATTAGTAGCAGTAAGAATAGTAACGGGTATACACACATTCAATGCGGCAGCCATTGACCAGAATAGGGCACCAATAAGCTCATTCTTATACTGACCCTTTGTATTGTCGATGTAAAGCTGCTGCTTGGCGGGGACAGCGCCCGCATAAAAAGCATCCATCAACTGGGTGACATCATCGATGCGCGACTTTGGCATTTCGAATTCTTCGACAAGTTCATCTGCAGTGAGGGGAATTTTAGAGGCGTCGTTTGGCGCGCTAACTGGGTTAAGTGGATTTTGTGCCTCGGGTGCCTCTTGTGGAACAAGAAGCTTCCTGCACGCTTGAACAACCAATTGAAAGTCCTTGGGACGGATTGCAGATCTGGAAAGAGCGATAGACTCATCGAATTGGCTGGATAATCCTTGTTGCTCTGCTGCCAGCATCGTACAGACCCAGGGAATAGCTGTGGTACCACCTTTGAGCTCGTGTGAGCCACCTGGCTTTGTCGCCTTCCTCGCAGCTCTACAGAATTTATCGGCTGTGACTATGATTGTGTCATCAACGACGTCTACAAGTGATTTACGTTCGATACGTTCCATTGGTGGTGGTGAGTTGGAAAGGGAGTGTAACACGTAGATATATTTTGTTTATTTAAAGTCATATTTACATTTACATTTACTTTTAATTCACATCTCCAGGCTGTTTGCTACATCTTCAATGTGTGCTACGTGTTCAGGCATTTGTAAATATAACTATAAGTTTAAATACAAAAACACGAAAATAAATATAAAACGCGCTTATTCCATCTTTACAACATTCCCGCGCTCATTCTCGTCGCTAGTTTGAGTTGGGGATGTATAAAGTGATTGGACGTGATTGGTGAGTAATTTGAAATAATGCAAGTACAATTAAACAATTTCCTTTACTCAGATTCCATCCGCCTCCACACGCGATCTAGAACTTGTCATCTCCGCAGTTACCACGTTGAACCTCGACTTCCATCAGCCACCAAACTCAGTTTAAACTTGCAACCCCATGAAACCGTCTTTGCTACCGTTAGACGCTGGCCCAAGCGCTGTTCTCGAGAAGAGGTTGCTCGAATCGAGGAACAAGTCCAAGTACTTCACTACTTATGTATTCCGTATACCATTTAGCCATCGCTCAATCCCAATTCCCATCCCAAGGGTTTTTGAGCTTCTGGTTGACGATTCTCCACCTCAACATATCTCCACGCGTTCCAGGCGATCTGAGCGTACTTTTCACTCCAAATTGAAGCTTTTGTTTCTCTTGGTTGTAGTTGCTTTCGCTGCAACTTTCATTTTTATCTCTTTCCTTCAAAAAGTGGCTCAAGATCATCAAATTGAACTTCCTTCCCCTTTTCAAGCCGCAACTACACTCCAATTCACCAACGATGAGCTTAAATTGTTTTGGTTGGCTGAAATTGACGCTGGTCGCTATCCTTCCAGTAGAAAACTCCCTGATTCCCTTCAATTTGACGATTACATCAAGAATCCTGCATTACCTACTTTCGAATACTTAGCACCTATCGTACAATCCCAAATCTTATCTTATTCTGATACCTCCACTTCTACTTCCCCTTACCCTCTCAACAACTCTGTTATCCCTATGGGTCCTAATCGCTACTACTACCACAGGGATAGCAGAGGCTCGGCTTATCCACCCCGCCCTATTCCATACTCTGCACTCGATTTGGATGTTGTTATGGAACACTGCGATTTTTCTACCCATCAATACGTTAGAGATTGTCTTGAGGTTCTCACTGTTGGTGCTGGTTTAGATGTTGGTAACCACATTCACAGAGGAAAGCTCAACAATTGGTTGCACCACTTTACCACAAGCAACCCTCCTCAACAGAACCTCTCAAGTCTTCCTCAAATGAATCAGGATAAACAGAGTGACAGTTGCGATCCAGAGAATCCAAGGATTTTTCACATGTTTTGGGCAGGTCCTTTCACAGACAAGCCTTATCTTGCTCTTCTTTCATTCCTTTATACGCAGAATCTTGGTTTACACGTCAAGAAGGGCACAGAGCAAAGTCAACCTGAAGCTTGTAAACCACAATTCTGGGTGTGGATCAATCCAGGACCTGCTTCTTCAATACCAAACTCGAATGCCGTCACAAATATGTTCGAATCTCTTACGGCAAATCCATGGAGCTCGCCATTCCTTCATGATCGTTTCAACAAGTCGATCAAGTTCAAAATGTGGAACACTACCGAGCAACTTGACGGTGTGCCAGAGCTTGCGCCATACTGGAGAAATCATGAGTTATTCAACTCTGGCGGTGTGCGTTATGGTAGTCCAAAGAAGCAAGAGAATCAATCACAGCCAAAAAAGAATGAACAGGTAGATGAACAAAGAAAGAATCGTGAAGCAGAGGAGGACGATGCTGCACAAGCAGCTGCAGAGAAAGTTGAAAATAACAAAAACACCCTAAATGCCCCAGTTGGGGGGTTGGATGAGGAAGATGGTACAATGGAAAATAGAGTTGGATCAACATCTGATTCTAACTATGATCGTATCACTGTGGTTCTTTCGGATATGGCTAGATTCATACTCACGCATCGCTTCGGTGGTATCTATATTGACGCTGATACACTCTTTTTGAGAGATTGGGAGGAACTTTGGGGATGGAGTGGTGCATTCGCGTATAGATGGTCAAGACTTGAAAGTTATAACACAGCTGTGTACAAGATGCACAAAAACTCTCAACTCGGTAGCTTCCTCTTCAAGACGGCATTAGCGAATGGGTTTGATTTCCATCCTATGACGATTAGTAAATACACTAGAGAAGCGCAACTCGATAATTTGCTGCTGCGACTTCCGGACGCCCTCTTTGATTCTGCGTGGCTCAACACGGAGAATTTCCAGATGGACCGGCCGCCGTTCCCATTTTTAAAGGAGTGAGTTGGGTGGAGTTGGAGTGTGAGAGAGGTTTTGAGCTTACAATTATTTTAGGTTTAAGCATCTCTTTGAAACACCTCCATTAGACTCGTCAGCACCGTCAGCTGGTGGATTTGAATCATTTTACAGAGTGAGCATGGTGTTTGTTGAGTTGATTATAATACTCATAAGAATAATTAGGGTGCTTTTTCTTACCACTTCCACAACCACTGGTGGTTGCCTTTCGATCCATCGCGGAATTTCCCAGATCTTGGAACAAGATTTTCAGCTGGAGAGGAGATAGCTCGCAGCGAGCTGAGGAAGGGTGCCGGAGCAGCGCCTGTGAATCCAGGGCCAAAGAAGCCATCGAAGCAGGATGATTTGCAGCACGCATTTGCAGGTGATAAAGATAGGACAATAGAGATGGAGGAATCACAGACGAGCGAGGAACATGATCTCAGCTGGTCGACGATAATCAAGCGTACATTTGAGGCGTATATCCGTGGGGAGCGGCCTAATATGTATGGAGAGTACATTGCGTGAGTGTTCGATCAGGTTTAAATACACATAACACACCTAACACACTGCACAGATGGTAGATAAAAGATACATTGATACATTTTATAGTTTGTATTATTTTGTTTAATAATAGTTTATATATTTTTATTTCAAGCGTCTTCTGCGTGTTGACATAGCTACAATCGTTATCTACAATCCATCATGGTCCTCAGTTCGCTCAACGAGACAGATGGTATGTTAAATTAAAATAATTAATTTAAATTTTAATGTTGATTTTAACTTTCTCAGGGCCATCTCAGGCTTCTCAGATGCTTCTCGTTTCCCAGGCAATTGTATCTGAGCTGGTCCACGCCCAGGAAAAGGGATTATCTGTAAATCTGAATGATGTCAGAGTTAAGCAATGCAAAAAGCTCAGAGTTACTGGAATGCCCAAGCTCGTTGACATTATTTCCGCAATTCCCGACGAGCACAAGAAGACACTACTGCCGATGCTCAAAGCCAGACCAATTAGATCTGCTTCTGGTGTGAGTCGTTGTGACTTGCTTACTTCCTCTTGCTCACCTCTCCTCAGATCGCCGTCGTCGCTCTAATGTGCAAGCCTCACAGATGCCCTCACATCGCCATGACAGGCAATGTCTGTGTGTATTGTCCAGGTGGCCCAGATTCAGACTTCGAATACAGCACACAATCTTACACAGGCTACGAGCCAACGTCTATGAGAGCCATTAGAGCGCGCTACGACCCCTACGAGCAGTCTAGAGGACGTGTCGAGCAGCTCAAAATGCTCGGCCACAGCGTCGATAAAGTCGAATATATTATCATGGGTGGTACTTTCATGTCCATGCCTGAAGACTACAGGAACAAATTCGTCGCTCAGATGCATAACGCGCTCAGTGGCTACACGGGTACTGACATCGACGAGGCTGTCTCGTATTCTGAAAGGGCAAACACTAAATGCGTCGGTATAACTATCGAAACGAGACCTGATTACTGCTTGAAACCTCACCTAAGCCAGATGCTTAGATATGGATGTACTCGATTGGAAATTGGTGTTCAATCTGTTTATGAGGATGTTGCACGTGATACTAACCGTGGTCATACTGTTCGAGCAGTTTCAGAGAGTTTTCATTTAGCCAAAGATGCTGGTTACAAAGTTGTCGCTCATATGATGCCTGATTTGCCTAATGTCGGTGTTGAACGTGATTTAGAACAGTTCAAGGAATATTTCGAGAATCCTGCGTTCAGATCTGATGGTTTGAAGATCTATCCGACGTTGGTTATTCGTGGTACTGGATTATATGAGCTTTGGAGGACTGGCAAGTACAAGAACTACACGCCGAATGCGCTTGTGGATATAGTCGCGCGCATTCTAGCACTCGTTCCTCCATGGACGAGAGTTTATCGTGTACAACGCGATATACCAATGCCGCTGGTTTCTTCTGGAGTTGAAAATGGCAATTTGCGCGAGATGGCCCTCGCAAGAATGAAGGATTTTGGTACAGAGTGTCGCGACGTCCGATACAGAGAGGTCGGTATACACGAGATACACCACAAGGTGAGGCCATCGGAGGTAGAGCTGATCCGCAGGGACTACACGGCAAATGGTGGCTGGGAGACGTTCCTGTCTTACGAAGATCCGGAAAAAGATATACTCGTCGGGTTGCTCAGACTGAGGAAATGCTCGGAGGAGGGTACATTCAGAAAGGAGCTTGTAGATACAGATGAGAAGACGGGACAGAAACGCTACGCGTCTATGGTCGTGAGTTGGCGTGAGTAAAATTTGCATTCACTGAAACATTCCGCAGAGAGAGCTACATGTGTACGGTACAGCTATACCGGTGCACGGACGTGATCCAACCAAGTTTCAGCATCAAGTGAGTTGAGTACTGCGCATTTAATTTAGCTGACCGTGATAGGGTTTCGGAACACTGCTGATGGAGGAAGCAGCGAGGATCGCCAAAGAGGAGCACGGCAGCCATAGGCTGGCTGTAATTTCAGGTGTGGGGACTAGAGATTACTATAGACGACTGGGATATAAGCTGGATGGTGTGTATATGGTGAAAGATGTTTGAAAGGAGTAGTGTAAAAGATATTTAAATATATATTGAAATTACACTAATGACGTAAATGATATTCGCAGCTGCTGCGTATCTCGCCGATATTTTTTAATTTTTCCGCAGTAGAACTAAATGATTTAGCTCAATGGGCTTCGCAGCAACAGCCAAGAGGAAATCAAGAGAAAACGCGATGAGTGGAAACCAGGATCAGATTGAGATAAAGACGCTCGAGACAGAGCGTAGGAGCAGTCCACCACCAGCACCAGCACCGCAATCACACAAGCCAAAACTGAGTCCATACGTTATCATCCCCATTTGGATAGCACTCAGCTCAAGCGTAATACTCTATAACAAAGCAATCCTCGATTCTTTCCACTTTAAATATCCCGTCTTCTTAGTCACATATCATTTGACGATTTCTACTATCGGTACACGGGTTTTAGCAAAATTCACCAATCTATTGCCAGATTTGAAAGATGTAAATATGACAAAGGAAATCTGGGTTAAGAAAATACTCCCAATTGGTGTCTTCTTCTCCGGTTCTCTGATCTTTTCAAACACGGCGTATATGTACCTGAGTGTATCGTTTATTCAGATGCTTAAGGCTTTTACTCCGGTGGCTATCCTCGTTGTCTCCTCTGCATTCGGACTTAGCGCAATGGACAAGAAGACATTCGGTATCGTATCAATGATCTCATCAGGTGTCTGTATCGCTTCATTCGGTGAAGCTGCCTGGAATACAACTGGTTTCGCTGTACAAGTCATAGCTATCCTATTAGAAGCTTCAAGATTAGTCATGATTCAACTCATCTTGACTAATTTGAAGATGAGTCCACTCACATCAATGTACTTCTTCGCTCCAGTGTGCGCTGTTATCAACGCATGTATCCTACCATTCACAGAAGGCTGGGCACCTTTCGTTCACTTGAAGGATCTAGGGGGTATTGTTTTAGCTACCAACGCATCAGTCGCATTTGGATTAAATGTCGCAGCTGTTTTCTTGATTGGTGCTGCATCTTCATTGGTGCTCACACTCGCAGGTATTGGTAAGGATCTACTGTTGATTGCAGGATCTGCTATCATATTCGGTGGCTACCCAACTGTACTTCAATTATTTGGTTACTCGATTGCTCTAGGTGGTCTTGTCTTATTCAAAACCCAAGGTAAGAAGTAAAAAAACCTTAATCAAGTTTTTATTATTTGTAATTTTCATGAAAATAGACGTATATTGCATCATAATTCTGTTATCCTTGTTATCCTACAATAGCCATGATGAAATTTGATAAAGTTGATGGATTTCAATTAGGACAGGGGAATTTTAATGTAAATAATACTTCCAACACCCCACCATCAAAGCGCCAGAAGATATCAGATAGCGATCGTAGCCATCATAAGCCGGGATCAATCACTCTCCAGCTCAAACCCCTATCACTCCGTTCTCCCCCCAAATCCCACGAAAGCAACTGCTACAGATCGATTACTAACTTTATTGGCTGCTTGATTGATAATAACCTCCCTAATCATCTCAAAGTTGAAACTCTACAGTCAAATGTAAGAGATTTGATGAGGATTTATCTCAAATCTTCGGATTTGTATGGCTTTATATTGAGAGAAGTACGCAGAGGTTTGGCTGCTCTCAAACCTCAATCATTCAATCAGGACGAGCATTCTGGTCTATTTATTCGCAGTATCAGTGAAATCTACTCAAAATCAGAAAGCTGGATGGTGCGTTTGATTGCTCTACTCTCAATTTATCTAACAATCTCATTTAGAAAGTTATCAGATACGTCTTTGCTGATCTCGATAGATGTTATGCCTCCAAAACGTCTGGTGTGCAACCGTTTCAAGTTCAAATAGAACATCTGTTTAGAGAAATTATCCTCAATGACTCTCATATCTATAAATGGCTTTTTATCGATCTGAACAATTGCCTGGTAAAAGTCAGACAATCTCTTAGTTTCCTCACAAACATACACCATCCCGAGGGATCAATCGAAAAAGCTATAAACACATCAAATCAACTCAACGAGCTTGTTCAAGTACACAACCTCTACCAGCTCGCTAAATGTCTCGATTGGGAGCTGCCGGCCATTGCAAATGTCTATCTCCAGACTATGGATGATGTAATCGAAAAGGTATGCGGAGTCGCTGTTGATCAGTCTCTCAAGGTCAATGATGTGGTGAACAAAATCTACTTGCACAATTCCTTTGAGGATGCAGTGAGTTGGAGGATCGATGAGCACTTTAGTTGGGACAACAGAAATCATATGGCTAGAAAATACTTGTCACTGACTTTCGACGGTATAGTTAAAGCAGGAGTTGAGGAATTAATACCATATAGCTGGAATAACTCATCCAACAGAAGCACCATTGAGTACAATGAGATACCATCAATAACAACACCCAAGATAAGCTTGACAAGGGAGCTAAATGAAATAATCAGGCACACACCCTACAAAGAAGACTTTGATCTGCTGCTGCTGGAGAGAATCAACATCGTGATCAAGATGTTTGTGTCTAACGAGGAGAATGATCAGTATTTAATACTCGCCTTAATTGGAACTCTCAGAGAACTGAATAAATTCTATAGCCATGTGTTTGACATTCCCATCACATCAAGTTACTCGCAGTATAAGGAATCTTTCTCCAAGGGTTTACAGTTCAGAGCTAACAAGCCTGCCGAGATGATTGCAAAATTTTTGGATAGTCTGCTCAAAGATAAACGCGGACAGGGCGAGAATATGGAGAAGGTGGTTGATGGAGCTGTTGAACTTTTCCGTATTGTCAAAGATAAGGATATGTTTTCGGCATTCTACACACTCTCATTAGCAAGAAGACTTGTGAAGAATACTTCAGCTTCCAATGATAATGAGAGGGATTTAATCAGTAGAATTACCAAAGTAGCTGGATCAGATTTCACTCAGAAGTGAGTTGACTTTGCTTCTTAGGAAGAGATATTAACGCGCTGATGTAGCTGGGAAGAGATGATGAAAGATATTGAGATTTCCGATGAAATTTCGAACAAATTCAGAGATGCTCATCAGACGAAACTCCAAAGAGCTACCATCGTCCAAGCTGCAAGATGGCCATTTAAGGGGCAGCATCTTTCGCTGAGGGTGAAGGATATGGCAGATAAGGATGCATCAGAAGTTGCTAAACAGGCGCATATCTCACAAGGTGATGTAACGATACCGCAATGGGTGAGTGTTTGATTATCGGGAGGATGTCAACTAAATTATTAAACAACACAAACAACTCCACAGATGACAGAAGAGTTGGTCGAATTCACTCAGTATTATCAGGGCGTACATGCCAACAGATGTCTCACATGGAACCATTCCTTGGCTGAGGTTAGTTTGAACGGCGAGTTTGAATCGAACGGAGGCGAGAGGAGTGAGAAAGAGATAATAATGCCGCTACCTGCTTCACTGATATTGATGGTGTTCAATGATAAAGACGAGGGAGAGAAAGTAAGTTACGATGAGCTAGCACAATCAACTGGACTACGTGGGTCAACATGTTAGTTTCTCTAACCTGCTTACACGTCACAGCCGAGGGAGAGCTGAAGAGGATGCTGCAATCGCTGTCATTCGGTAAAGTAAAGCTGCTGCAGAGGTTCAAGAAGAAAGATAGCTGGGCGGGCAAGGAGATAAAGTCGAGCGATAGCTTTGCAGTCGTGAAGGTGCTCGAGCATCCAAGAAAGAGGTTTAGACTGCCGATCATAACGGCCGAAGTAGATGTAAGTGGGGGTGGTAAATGCGCTCGTGCGCACATGATTAACTAGCAGCTGATATGACTCTCAGGTCGAAGAATCTAAAGAAACGACAGCTGAAGTTGAGTCAGCTAGAGTGTTTGCATTGCAAGCATCTGCAGTGAGAGTCTTAAAGGCTAGGAAGAAGATCAATGTGAATGAGCTTATCCACGAGGTGATTGCGGATATTGAGAAAAGATTGACACTGAAGAATGAGATGGGATTGGCGAAGCAGATTAAGCAGACGATTGAAGGGCTGATTGAGAAGGATTATGCAGAGAGGATAGAAGGGCAAAGAAATATGCTACAGTATGTCGCCTAGAATAGGTGTAGACGAGATGAATGTATTAAACGCTTAAAATGTCTAACAAGTGTGATGAGTTGTGAGTGAGATAAATTTTACCAAAAAGGGAGGAAGAGAAGGACCAGAGTGGGTATTGCATTTATCTAGAATAAAACAAATAGATTCGCTGGTGTAAATATAATTTTTTACAAATTATTTTTATCAAGAAGATTTGACCACGCTTCTTGACGCTCGTCGGTCAAAGACTTCAAGGATGCCAAAAATATTCAAGTCAGGCAAGGTTTGCGTAGTCTTGAGTGGTAGATACGCAGGTAAAAAGGTTGTCGTGATCAAGCAATTCGATGAAGGCACCAAGGAGCGTCCATACGGCCATTGCTTGGTTGCGGGTGTTGAGCGTTACCCATTGAAGGTGCACAAGCAAATGGGTGCCAAGTTGATTGAGCGTCGTTCAAAGGTGAAGCCATTCATCAAGTCAATCAACTACAACCACTTGATGCCAACCCGTTACGCACTTGAACTTGAAGGCTTGAAGGGTGTTGTATCCCCAGAGACCTTCAAGGAGCCAACTCAACGTGAAGATGCTAAGAAGCAGATCAAGAAGCTCTTCGAAGAGCGCTACCACAGTGGAAAGAACCGCTGGTTCTTCCATGCTTTACGCGTGAGTAATGTGTTGAGTATACAAGTGAAAAAGCTAATGAAAACCTTAAACAGTTCTAATCTCAATCATCAACACTTGATTGTCTGTAAATTGAATGAATGCAAATTGGTTCAGTCGTTACAAAGAGTATCTACCTGATCTTTCATGTGTGTCGTGTGTTAGTGTGTAAGCAGGAGCGTAAGTATCATTATCTATTCTAAGATGGGGGTTCTTCTGTGTGTTGTGGATAGAGCCTAGAGAGGTATAACCATGATCATATAAAGGGCAGTAAGGAATTTTGAAATGAAGAAGATAGTCCCAAATCTGTTGGTAGCTGGTGTGTAGAATTGGATGTACTCTAAGTATCCTAGGCCAATCACTATCAGTGTAAGACATAGTGTCCAAGTCATGTCCATTTGGATCTGTAGCACGTGTTCCGATGAAGATGACTTTAATATTCTTTGAATCATTTATGAAATCATTCAAACCATCTTTCATCGGCTTATTTGAAGTGTATATGTCTAAATTAAATGTCTTTTTCGATTCCTCGACGAACTGATCAACCTGAGTAAAGTTATCTTGTGTTCTAATGTATAAACTCTTTGTAGGCGTTGAGATTGATAATTTTCGTTTAACATTGCTTATTATTGATGCTAACACTGTACAATCCTTACCACCATTGAAGCTTAATGAGATATCTTTAGAATCAAAGGATTTATAAGTATCTTCAATTAGCTTTGTTGCCACTTCCATCTCCGATTATATATCTCCAAATGACTTCAAAATTACAAGCAGATAAAGACTATCTACTATACCTGTTAATGACAAATTTTTTATTATTTTGGATTATCTACAACTACGATATTTCGATTATAATCTCTATTTTCATCTTAATTTTAATTTCCTTCATTTACTTAATTTATTACTCACTCATTTTATTTAAACATTCCTAATCCGACGCTTTGGGAATTCAAGGTTACGACGCAACTACGATGAAGTTATTTTGCAGTTTGCTGGTGTTGGCACCTTTGATATACGCTAATCATCAACACGCACACAATCACTTACACCATAAGCTACACAGAAAGCAAGATGAGACATCAAGTACCTCTTCATCATCACCTACAGCCACGTCCACCACCGCCACCACTACGTCCATTCAGTCTGGTACAACTGGTACTGGCGGTACTTTCACTCATATTCCAAACTCATCTGACATTCCCCTCTCCTCCATTCTCCCTGGCATGAACTTATCCGGGAAAACCATGTCAATGCCTACAACAGCCTCTCCAGGCCAAATTCCATTCTCTCACGCTCCTCCATTGCCCTCTTCAACCCCTGTTCAAGCTGAATACCCTGAAATGGACAAGATTCCTCCCGTCGATCACCCTCAAGTTCAAGAATGGATTTCTCAAATTGACTGGGACAAGGTTCCCGACTGGTCTGTCAACGAAGGAGAAGCTTCTTGCTCTGAAAATCCTGATTCCAGGGACGAAGCTGGTCCCGATCAGCGCTGCTGGTGGACGTGCGGTAGTTGTACTGCGGATGATGACATCACTCAATGCCCAAATAAGCATGACTGGGGCTTGTCGTACGATGATGGTCCTTCGCCGTACACTACTACCCTTCTCAACTACCTCGCTGAACAAGAAATTACCTCCACCTTCTTCATCGTCGGTTCAAGAGCTCTTTCACGTCCTGACATGCTTCGTGCTGAGTTAGTCCTTGGACATCAACTCTCTGTGCACACCTGGTCACACCCTCACCTCACCACTCTTTCAAACGAGGAATTAGTTGCTGAACTTGGATGGACTAAGAAAGTTATTCACGAAGTAACCGGTTTGACTCCAAATACTGTGTGTTGTTTACACTCATTTTTATTATTACTAATACAAAACAGATGCGTCCCCCATACGGTGATATCGATAACCGTGTTCGTGAAGTCTGTCGTCAGATGAACCTCACTCCAATTATTTGGACAACTGCTCAAGTCGACGGTCAGGAACTCACTTTTGACACTAACGATTGGAAGATTGCAAGTGGTGATGTCACCACTAACAAGTCATACGAGACGTTCGAGAAGATCTTGGACTCCTCGGACGAAATGGACCACGGATTCATCGTCCTTCAACATGACTTATACCAGCAAGCCGTTGAGTTGGCTGTGGCGTATGTCTTACCGGACGCCTTGCAACGCCAGCCAGAGCTCAACCTCTTGTCTGTTATCGACTGTCTCCAAAAGCCACAAACTGAGGCCTACATTGAGACTTCTTCCAACGAAACAGCACCAAGTGAAGTTGGTGCTGGTGGTTCTTCAGCTAGCAAAGTATTCATTTCAATTACAAAACTTTCCATCGCCGTTGCAATCACTACCCTTTTCCTCTGTTGATATAAATTGGATTATTTAACGTTTACATGGCTTATTACTTAATTTATTTTTTTATCTCTTTTCCTCACTTTCACTTTTCTGTTTAATGATCTTGTTCAAAATAGCTACATTCCTGTTTTTGCTTTTTTTTTCCAGTGAGGAATGCACGTGAAAATAAAAAGCGACGCGTAGATTAGAGAGTGAATACCATGGCTGATTGTGATGCAAGATGCGATGATGAGTACAGCAGCCTTCTCAACCAGCTTTATCTCTCGCTAGCTATTGGTGGATCATCGCTAATCCTGTTTGAGACTTTCTTGAGGCTGAAGAGACGTGATATGCCGACCGGCGACGATCAATATAGATCAGAAAAGTATATATTTGGGTAGTAAGTGTGGATTTCTAGCTGTTATAGTCCACTAAGCCATCCCCCAGCCTCTACCGCTTCAAATCGTTTCTCGATCCGCCGTCGGCAGCGCATCCCAAATGGCCGCTAAAGTGGATAATCCAGGTAATGATGCTGGGAAATGAGGAGATAATAAGAAAATTGGGAGGAGATGCAGCGGCGTATATTCACTGGCTAAGGGTGTGTTGTGAGTGTGGGTTATGACGAATGTCTTAATTTTGACGCGTGCGAGTAGTATGTTTCACCTTATCGCAGACACTCACGATGGTGCCGATACTGCTACCGATACACTTTCACTTCAGCTCATCGGGTGCGTCGTCATCGATGAACACAGCATCGCTCACCCACCTCATTGAAAATGAGAGCGGGGAGCGACTGATTTATGTGCATGTAATCCTCTACATATACACATCGATCTCATGGCTCGTCGCACTGCTGTGGCTTATCAACGGCACTATCAGTATTCGCGAGAAGCTGGCGTACATGTCGGCGGATAACGCAGAGCAGGAGGAGCAACAGGCACAGACACAGGCGCACAAGTCTAAATCAATCTTGGTTACAAATATACCAACACGTCTGCGCGATGAGCGCATCCTCGCGTCGTATTTCGCCTTCTACCTGAACAGATTTAAGAAGAAGAAGACGACGGTGAGCAGACGGTCGTCTATTGCATCATTTACGAGTTTCATTGAGCGTTTGGATGGTGGTAGCGGGGGCGTAGATGTGGATGCAGAAGGAGGCAGCAGCCGTCGCAGCTATCACAGCCATCACAGCCATCACAGCCATCGCAGCCACATAAACAACCACATAAACAACACAGACCACCTCGAAGACATCACAGACGCGCATATTGAAGATGTATGCATAGTACGCAAGTACGATAGTCTCGTCCAGCTCAGAAGGAAACATGCGGACTGCACCAAGCGGCTAGAGCTGGCATATATGGGACTAGCGAAGCGGGTGCTTGCGCATGTCGAGCGCAGGCTATCTCAGGTGAATGGGGAAGGGTGGAGTGGAGAAGATGAGGTACTCGTCCAAGAGCTAGCGGGGTTTGTGCGTAAACGAGGAGTATCTCAAGCAACATGCACGAGCAGAATCTCACAAGCCGTTCGCGGTGCACTCAACAAGCTGCTGCGACGCGAAGATTCTTTCGTACGCTTCACTGACTCACCTGATTCGGACAAGACGCGCGCGTATACACCCACTCATAACACCATTTGGGACGCACTTCTCCTCCTCCCCTCACACACCCTCGAGCCGTTCCAGTCGCGGATACGCGTGAAGCCGCTGATACAGAGTGTGGTCCGAGGGGCGCGAGGGGCGCGAGGGGCGCGCCCGGAGAGCACTATCCCGGATATACATTACCTGACGCACAAACTGCGTCTGCTCACAAAAAGCGTGGAGCAAGTGCAGATGGAAACACCAGCCGTGTTCCCGCCGACTTCTACAGCTTTCGTTACATTCAGGGGCGTGGCTGATGCTCGAATTGCGTGTAGGAAGCTCGCAAGTCACCCTACACGCCCACACGCATGCATTGTCGCCCCGGCGCCCTTTTACAGCGAGATTGAGTGGGATGTGGCCATCTCATCCCAGTCCAAGTCGCTCACGCTGCGCGCGCTCATTATCAAGATCGGAGTGTGGGGGTTCATTCTCTTCTACATTATCCCGATGGCCGCGCTGTCGTCGCTATTCAGCATCGAGCGCGTGCGCAACGTCAGCGAGCGGCTGGGGAGGTATTTCGACAGACACGAGCGACAGGCAGAGTGGTTCACGACCATCCTTCCTACACTCATCGTCGCGTTCATTTCGCTGATGATGCCCGCTATTCTGTTCGGGATCGGTAAAAAGGCAACGCCGCACCTCACCCTAGGACGAATGCACGATCAGATCTTCCATCGCTACTGGGTGTTCATGATTACGAATGTGCTTATCACTTTCTGCATCGGCGCGGCGACCTTCCGATTTATTCTCGAGTCTCTTTCGGGCAGCGCATCCGGCATGTCTATCCTCAATCGTGTTTATCTCAGTTTCCCACAAGCGGCGCCGTTTTTTGCAAGCTGGTCAATCTTGCAGACGAGTATTCAGAATCTCGTGCAACTTGCCCTGATCGGGCTACCGCTACTGACATTTTTCTTGGTCACCTTGCGCGCGCAGACGCCGCGACAACGTCAGGCCGCTACGAATGCGCGCACCCCCGATTACCATGTATTCTGTTCAAACACGCTACTTGTAGTAAGTGTATGTCTCGTGATGGGGGTTTTCAATCCGCTCGTGATCCCTTTCACGCTGGTGTATTTCATTGCTGCCAACATTGTCTACCGCAACCAGTTGTACCACGTCTACTCACGGCGGGTGTACGACACAGGTGGTCGTCGCATTGCAGTGCGCTGTTTCCGCTACGGCATGGATGCTCTGTCCGTGTCTCAGACGGCTTTCTTCGCTTTCCATCTGGTGCGTTATGAGGATGGCAAGCAGGCGGATGCGAGGACGTATGCAGTCATTATTGGCGTGCTCTTCGCTCTCACCCAGCTCGCGAAACTGCTCATCACAAGACAGGTCAAAGCCCGCTTCGATGCACTAGAGCTGCTTGATGCGTTGTGGAGGAACGGCGAGTCACTCGCTTCGACGCAGGTGCAGTCTCTCAGTGGCATGACGCTCGAGATGCGCTACGCGGAGCATGTCGAGGAGACGCGCAGCAGCCGCGCTTTGACGGGGGAGAAAGGCAGTGGAGATGCGCGGTGGTCGTACAAACTGCGCAACTTCCTCCTCTGCTCACACTTTACCCCCTCAGCTCTCCTGCGCGATCTGCGCAAGGAGACGCGCGGTCGGTTGTCGAACCTCAGGCGTAAGTGCGTGCCGATCGTGTCGCGCTCCAAGAAAATCCCCAAGGAGATACTGGCACAGGGGGGAAGAGATAGAGGGGAGAGAGTGGGTGGACAGAGTGAGTTAGATTCAGATACAGCGGAGCTAGGCGAAGTGCTCCATGTCGATGAGACACCACAAGCCCCACTATTCACCTCGCAGATGCGCAGCGACAGCCATATATTCACTGCGCTGAGTGTGGATAACCTCAATAAGGCGAGCAATGAAGATAGTGGTTATGGGAATGTGAATGGGAATGGCCCGAGCAACAGCAACAGCAATAGCAACAAGGACAACACCCCCACTCAAACAAACAAAGGCATAAAGCTGATACACAAACTCAACCCAATCAAGAACATCTCTGCTAAGCTAGACACGCGCAATAACCGGATAGACAAGGTAGGGTTGACAGAGGTGGAATCAGGAGAAGAAGGGCGGGAGATGCAAGTAGTGAAGCATGTTCGGAGGGCGTTGAGGAGTGATGCGCCGGACGAAAGCACACGGTACCACTGTCCATTCTATTATGAAAATTTGCAGCCTTTTCTTCTCCTGCCGAGAGACCCACGGCGGAATATCGACCTAGACGATCTGGTAGAGCTGCATTACGGGGGCGGTAGTGTCGGGTGGATGGAGCGCGAGGATGAGGCGGAGGAGGACTCGGGCTTGGACAGCAATAGCAATGGCAGCATCAGCAGCCACGCCACCTCTATCACCACCGCCAGCTCCACGAGCACCACCAACTACGAGCATATCAGCCTGTCGAATATGCACAGAACGCACACAAGTCACAGCGCTCGATACAGTCAGACATTCAGAGACAGTCTCAGCCCGAAGCTGGGGCGGAGGTGGATGGAGAGCGAGGATGAGTTATTTACTTGATGTATTTGAATTTACTTGATGTATTTGAATTTAATTCATGTATTTTATGTTTCTGTGTGGTCTTCTCGCACGATAATCACGACGGCCACGATATGGTGAGTGGTGCACACAGGTACAGCCACAGCAATCACATGCTCACACCCGTACAGCCTACACCCGCAGACATCCGGCGGAGAAACGCGCAGTTCGAGCACAAGAACAAGACGGGGACGGGGAAAGCAGCCAAGCCAGTGCGGGAGAATGTGGGTGATATTACAATTGGGAGACGGTGAGCTGAACAACTCGCAGTCTTCCACGTCTTTGTGGCTCGTAGCCTTTTTCGTGCTGCTCTTAGGCGGCGGACGTGAGTAGCGTACACGTCACCGGGAAAGGCTATCTGACGCGCATGCAGTGGTGTTTGAGCTGCTGAGGCTCTTCTTCTGATGGAAAGCACAGAGAAAAACACATATAAAGATATAAATATGTAAAGATATAAACCATCAAGATATAAATTCATTTTACACCCACAGCCAAACCATCTTACTCCAGCTCATCAATCTCGATCGGGACTTCTTCTGCAGCGTATAGGTGCGACGACGGAGACCAGAGCTGGACAATGTTATCCTCACTCCCACTCATCAGCGTGAACGGCAGAGTTTTCGACCAAGCTATGTCCGTGATAGCGTTAGTGTGGCCCCCATGCATAAACATGAGTTCTGGAGGACCGTCTTCGGCATCCTCCGGTGTCTGCTCCTCGCCAATGCGGCTGATATCCCACATACACACCCTTCTGTCATTCGACGCAGATGCAAATACCGTCTCTGCGTGCGGCGACCACTCGAGGTTGAGCACATCCTCACTATGTCCTTCAATAGTGTGTAGGCGTTTGCTGAGATTTCTCAGATCCCACAGAGCAATGGTCTTGTCTGCGGATCCAGTCACACAGAGGAAAGGCTGTGATGGGGAGAAGGCGACGCAGTTTATATCTGCATCGTGAGCTTTAACTTTCTGGTGTGGCTGAGTGGCATCGCGGGTGTCCCAAGTGAAGAGATGCTGGTCATCGGAGACGGATGCGAATACATTCTCGTGAGATGCGTGCCACGATATGTCTTCCACAGCTGCAGTGTGTCCGCGGTACGTGTTGAGTGGATCGAGAATGTTGCTCGCTGATTGGTAGTGCGATATGTCCCAATGGCGGACAGTGGTATCGGTGGAAGCGGAGAGAATGTGGTTGGGTTTGAGAGGCGACCATTCCATACCATATCCCTCCCCTTCATGGCCGCGGAGGACTATTTGTGGGTTGCAAACACCGTCTGGCTTCGGTTTGAGCTCGTGTCTGGTGCGATCGAAAACGTAAATCGGACCCATCACGGTGCGCGTCGCTATAAGATCAGGATTGAAAGGATTGTAACGCGCCCTATTAACTTCACCATCGTGGTTGATGGACTGTACAATCTCAAGCTTATTCGACGCGCTATAACTGCCAATTTCGCCCTTGTCTTCTTCAAACTTGGCAGGATCTAAATCGTTGGATTGCTTTGGGAGTTTGATGTGTGCAATGTGAAGGAGGTTCTGCTCGATATTTGAGGTATTTGTACCGATAAGAAGTCTGTGTGTCGTGTAGGATTTATCGGGGCTGGATTCGACATCAGGGAACCACTGGCATGTGAGTGTAGGCCATTCCAATGTATGCGATAAGACTAAATCATATAATAATGGCGCGTGTTTCTTCCATGTTTTGTACTCCTCGTTGATTGTCTTTGAATGTTCTTCGTCGGTGTCCATGATGGTGGTTTGGGGTTGAGGAGGGAATATTTTCATTTATATTTTATATTTATATTTATTATTCATATTCAAGTTCCTCTTAACAAACCACCATCATCTGTCTATAATTGTCTATCTAACTATCAATCAATCAAATGACTTTATTAAATTCAAATATTTCAAATACTTCAAATATCTGCCCCAAGTGAGTTTTATTTCTTTTGCTGTTCCACCTCTAACAATTCACAGCGACGGTAACCTGAGCTCAGCCGTCTCGATGGGGCATCAACAAGGACAAGACGCTCAAAACCAGGCAAAAACTCAGTCACAAACTAAATGCCTTATCGATGGTACTATCACTCACTCTTACTCACCTTGCTCCTCCTGGCAACCCTGGGACGCTGGACCAAAGTATCGCTTTTGACGTCGGCAGGAGAGCTTCCACCCCCTCAGAACCACTCCTTTCACAAGACGTTGTTAATCTTGATAACATTCCGATATCTCCGCCACATTCTCCTATCTATTTCACAGACGTCATTGGAAATTTCCCAGATTTCCTCAATGTTACCCAGTATAGTGGTATTATCGAGGTGGATTTTGCTAATGGGGAGTTTTGGAGGGGTGTCCTAAGCTCAAACCCCAGTAACTCTCTTTTGATGGAAAAATTTTCATGGAATTCAACTCAACACCTCAGAGAAGACCTTGTCGCTTTATTAGAATTGGGTCAAGTACTTGATACATCAAATCTCATCATTATTCTCCCAAAATACATTGAAAATCTCACTCAGCTGATTCATTCTTTCTTTTACGTTGGTGGGTCTGTTATCGACCTGAGTAAAACAAATTGGAATTTGAAAGATGGTTATATAGGTGTAGTTATGCAAGTTTAGAATACATGATATTCATTCTAACCACCAAAACCTATAATCATGCTTAAGTATACCAAAAAACACTTTAAACGATCAAAATACTCACCAGTAAATCCCATTATTCTCGCCATCTCATCGTTACCTTGGTCGTCTTGTTGATCATTATCAATGGTATTTTGATTTTTACTCTTCTTGGCCTTTCTACTCGCACGTTTCTCCATCTTGCTATCAATCTCACCCTGTCTAATCTCACCAACACGTTTTCTAAAGTCATAATCCTTCTTCTGCGACGCTTCTTTGGTTTGTTCTTTTAACAAAGCAATTCTCGCTCTAACGTGATGAATAGTACTTCTCTCTGTATCAACTGTCTGACCAAGCTTACGTAGATGAGCTCTTGAGTTTATGTGATCGAGGTAAGAAGCACTATCCTTATAAGTCCTTGAGCAAACCTCACAAAAGAAACCTGGCTGATTCTGACGGGTACCTTGAGCCACAACGACGGTTCTATTAGTGTTTTTATCGAGTGCCAAATCTTTATCGCGTTGCTGGAGTTTGTGCGTTGGCTTTGGACCTTTTCGCTGCTCAAACGCTGTTCTAGAGAGAGGCTTCTGACCATTAGAAATACGCTGCTCGTTCTCCTTTGCAAAAGCGCGTGCTCGCTGTTCTTCCTCCTTCACCTTATCCCTGTAATGTTCAACGTCGTAATCTTTTCTAAATGAGCTCATCGTGTAGTTGAACGTCCATGTCCAACGTCATTCTCAGTGATAGCAACACGAAAACTTTAAAAGAATGGTTGGATTTCAGTGGCGCATTTGGGGATATAGATTCCCCACTAATTGATTCTGTTCTCGTCAATGATACCCGTCAACTGAAATCAACGGTACACAACTCACACAACAATCTACCCACCAGCAACCTAATAGACGCTGTAATAGCCAGGCTATTTAAACTCAACAGAAAACCCACAAATATTCTCGCTCTCGGTTATCGAATGGCCGATGAGAAGTCTGATAGACTAAAACTCGATAGCCTCAGACCGGGTATTTCTAATTTCTACATAAACTCGAACATTTCCTGGTTCTTATCTCCTCAATGGAAGTTTCTACATGGCGTCATTGGCGATGATCACTTCTTTGACCTCTTAACTAGCACTTGCCTCTTTTTGAAACTTGAAAACGGTTGCCTGGCGCAGGTTGCTGGCACTCCCGTATTCTACGATAACAAGTACAAGCTCAATAAGCCAGCCCCAGCTAAACCTTCCCAAATTGCCATCGCCAGACACAGACTCTTCTACGGTCGACCGCTCTTCTATTCAACAACGAACAAGGTTTACGCTATTGGTCTGCCTACTACGCGTGAGTCTTGTGTGATTCAACATGAAATCACCTAACCATCCTCAAGACGTCCTCAACAGACTCGAAGGCAAGGTAAACAACTTCACCGCCTCTCCACCCCTCTACCTTATCGCACATATATTTCCACACCAGCACAAACTGCGTAGCATGTTTGACGCTGCAAATGGCATCACCATGTCTTACAACAGATTGATGCGCGATGCAGAGATTGAAGTAGGTGAAGATTTTCACAAGGTTACATCTCACACTTCACTCCTTATAGGCCTCTAATCCACACACCCCCACGCGTCTCAAGCAAACTCAAGTCCTGTTCCAGCGCATGCTCACTCGTCATTTCAATTTGGATTACGTCTCTGTACTTAAACGTCACTGTGCGAGCAAGACTAGAGGGCGCAATATAGACATGACGCAGTACATGGATGATGATTTCGTTCACATGTCGGAGCATATCCAAACACAAAGTCAGTTAGACAAAGACACCACCCTCGCAACGCAAATGTCCAACCAGAGTGATGTAGTACCCATACCCTATCGCCCGGACATTAAAGCTCCGCCGTCTTTCCAGGATCTTCAATGTGGGCATGGCGAGGTGAAGGCATTCGCTAAGCATGTCTTGTCAGACATTATACCTGGGGAGTTGTTCGGTTCTACGCACAACAAGTTGAGGATATTCGATAGTGTTGACGCCTTCATCAGTATGCGCAAGTACGAGACTCTCACGCTGCACGCTCTCGTCCAAGGACTGCAGGTGAACGACTTCAAATGTTTCTATTCTGCTCATTACAAGCAGGAGAATGGGCGGAGTGAGAGGATTCCCCCAAGTGAGCAGACCAAGGTGACACAGGTTGTACTCGAGTGGATTTACTGGATATTCGAGGATCTTCTCATACCATTGTTGAAGGTGTGTACGAGGATTTATTATATAACCCCTCTCTCCCCCTCTCTCCCTTTCTCACTATTTCGCACCCTCGCTAACGAACCCTTTCACAGAACACATTCTACGTGTCGGACTCCTCCGCGGACAGGAAACGCACGTACTACTTCAGACACGACGACTGGCTGCGCGCCACCGCGCCGCTTCTGGAGCAGCTCTCGAGTAGCATTTTTGAGCGAGCGAGTGAGGATCTGGTGAGTGACATCTGAATTTTATAATCGTGTAGCACTGCTCACTACTCACCACTCTCCTCTCGCACTCGCGCAGACGCACAGCTACCGCACACTGCAACCATCCTATGTCCGTCTCATGCCGAAAGAAACGGGCGTGCGACCGATAGTGAATTTGCGCAAACAGAACTGGGTCGATGATGACCGGCTTGGTCACAAAGTCGGTTACAGGCGGGGTCTATCCATCAACCATATCCTGCGATCGGCATTCGATGTGCTCTCGTACGAACGTCTGCGCCAGCCTAACGCTATGGGTGCTAGCCTCCTCGGCGCTCAAGAGGCATTTGAGAGACTGAAGGAGTACAAGAAGCGGATTATTGGTGGTGCTGGTGAAAGTACCCATCGGAAATTTTACCTCATAAAAGCTGATATACAGTGCTGTTTTGATACAATCGATCAACAAAAACTGCTCAATATGCTCGATGAGATAATAAAGGATGATGACTATGTTATTCTGAAACATCACACTCTCGCTCGTCACAATGATACGTATAAGCGCACTTTCAAGAGACAGGCTGTACCGGAGTATGAAGAGGAATCGTTCATAGACTACTCGAAGAAGCTGTCCGAAAAGCTGCGCAATACCATCATTGCTGACCAGGTAGTCCATCCGCATATAGAAAAGAATGACTTATTGAAGCTGTTAAAGGAGCACATAATGGAAAATCTGATCAAAATTAACAACCGCATCTATCGTCAAGCTACGGGTATCCCACAAGGTAGTATTTTATCCACTATACTGTGCAGTTTCTTCTACGGAATGCTTGAGCGGAATGAGATGGAATTCGTTCAGCAATCACCTTCAGCGTTGTTGTTGAGGTTTATAGATGATTTCCTGTTCATTACTACGGACAGAGAGGAAGCTCGTTACTTTCTTCAAGTATTGCGCAAAGGGTTCCCGCAATACGGTGCACATATCAGTGACCACAAGACACTGGTCAATTTTGATATCAGTTTCGACGGTGTCGAGACAATCAACCGGTGTCAGAGACCAGACGACTACTTTCCCTGGTGTGGGATACTCGTAAACTCGAAAACGCTCGACGTAAAAGCAGATTACGGCAAGACATTCGAAACGGATATACGTAATTCTTTCTCAGTTGGTGATGGGTGCAGAATCGGTGAGACAGTTGTACAGAAACTGACGCAATCTTTCCAACAGCACGCACATGCACTCTATGCTGATTGCAATTTCAACTCGAGCGAGACGGTGAAGCGAAACCTATACGAAAATTACCTAGTGGCGGCTGTTAAGATGGGCGTGTTCTTGACTGACGTGTTGGACTGGAAGAGGGTGAATGTCGCGTATATTCAACGCGTCGTTGAAAATGTCGTACAGTTTGGCGTGCGATACACCCTCTTTAAAGCATCAACCAAGCAGGGCTCATACTGTACTGTGCCGCCCAGACTTATCTACTGGCTCGGCTATAAGGCGTTTGAGAGGGTGCTCGTCAAGCTCATGTCTGATTCTTCCCTCAATAACGCCATCAGAGCAGCATCGAGGAAGCTGCTCAGAGGTGTCGGTGCTACTGTCAACAAAGGAATCTTCAAGAGGTACCGCACTAACAGAAACCTCAACAGCATCGTCAAACACTCTTTAAATCATCTTTACTAACTTGATTGTTGATATTGATACAAAATACTTTTATTTGAAGATTATTCTGGAAACAGATAAAAAATTCATTTCAAAGACGTTGAAAGTATTCAAGATTGTTCAGGTGTACAACTCCCTAGACAGCTGGTTAGTATGATTGCTCATGAAAACACCTTAGTACCCACAGATCCTGGCATGATAATCGCCACTACCTGTAGCTAACAACTGACCGCGTGCTGAAAGGTCAATAGAGATGACAGAGTTTTTGTGACCCTGGAGCATTAGTTGAGTCTGAGCTGTATTAGGATCCCAAAATTGTACACCGCGATCTTTGGATCCAGATACTATATATTTACCGTCGGGCGACACAGCTACAGACAAAACGTAGTCTTTGTGACCGACGAGTGTGTTTATACAGACTGCATAACCAGTCTTTTCACCGTTGATTTCATTTTTCACTGGTGGTGGATTTCCGCCATTGATTGCGGAGGTGGTCCCACTTAAATCCCATATCTTCAAAGTACGATCCAACGAGCCGGAGATTAATGACTTGCCATCAGGAGAGAAGGCGACAGAATAGACAGAGTCTTTATGTCCTGTCAGTCTCTCCAACTGGTTGCCCGTCTTGACATCCCAAACACGAACCTTGGTGTCTAAGCTCCCAGCAGCAACCATGCGGTTGTCGGGGGAAATAGCAACAGAGGTGACACCAGAATCAATAGGACCAGTGTCACACATAATAATATCTTGAATATCAAATGTGTGTAAGCAAGTATTAGACTCAACATCCCACAATCTCGCAGTTTTATCGCCAGAACCAGAAGCAATAAATTTACCATCGCTGGAGAAGTCTAGGGAGTAAATTTCCTGGTTGTGACCAGTGAAAAGGGATTTAATCTTTTTCTTTTGAATATCCCAGACTCTAATTTGTTTATCTTCAGCGCCAGTTGCAAGGAATTTAGAGTCTGGAGAGAAACAGACGGAGCGAATGTATAAATCGCCTTTGATGGGGACGTTATCATCGACAAGAACAGAAACTTTGGCACCAGTTTTAGTGTCGTAAATTTGAGCAGTCTTGTTGCAACCAGTGGCTAAAAATTGACCATCTGTAGAGAATCTAACGCAGCAAACGACAGATTCGTGTACGAGGTTGTGTATCAAGGAAACGTCCATATTACGCTTAAGTTGAGGGTTGTAGATGGCTAACCAATCGCTACCGTCTTTTCTAAATTCGTTTGGGAATGAGTCGACGTCAGTGAAGTCAGTTTGGATTGAGTGGTTTATGGGTTTAAGAGAGTTTTGTGGGGGTTGTGGGGGGTGATCGGGGGGAGGTAGGTGATGTAGTGGTTGTGGTTGTTGCTGTGAATGCTGTTGTTGTTGTTGTTGGACAGAATGACTTGGATAAGGTGATTGAGATCGTTTGATCGAGTGTAATTGAGTGTTTATAGGGAGTGGAGATTGAGAAGAGTGTTGAGGGTGCTGTTGGGGTTGTTGGGGTTGCTGCGGTTGTTGAAGTTGCTGCGGTTGCTGCTGTGGCTGCTGCTCACGCTGAAATTCTCGCTGTTGAAAGGGTTTCTGCTGATTAGAGAACAAAGAAGGTGGGGGAAGTTGATTTGATTTGTTTGGAGTTGGAGGTCTAGTTGAGTTATTCGAGTTTGATTGTCGATTATCCAATTCAAGTCTAAGTCTACTAATCTCCTCTTGATAGCTATTCACGATATCCGTGTGTAAGTTTTTCAAGTCAAGAAATGATTGTTTGAGTGTGTTGATTTCGTTTATTTGAGCGGATACTAGTGATTCATTAGATTAGACTATTAAATCACTTGAAAACACCCACACTTATTCTCAAATTCATCTCTCTGCTCTTTAATCATAACACCATTTGAGGAAATGCTATCAAACTCCTGCTTGACAATGTCCAGCAGCTCTGATAGCCTTGAATTAGACATTGCATGTGATTGAGTCGTTGCATTCGTTGGTTGTAATTGACGGTGCTAAGTCTGTTAATTTAAATAGACAATTGAAATTTCCTAACTAACATTATAAATACTTGATGACATTAGGAATTTTTATTTTTACTGGCAATTTATGGTCGTTGGTTGTAAATTCCAAAGAGAGGCTCAAATGGCTTCATCATCCAATCAATTATACTTGGCAAAGAATTACCTAAGTGGCCCTAAATCTGATGCGATACTTGAGAGGAATAACGTGAAGAAGAAGTCTAAGAAGAAGTCTAATAGCAATCCAACTAACCTAGTTATTCAAGAGGATGATGATGTTCTACAAGATAATGATATTGAGCAAGATGACGTTGTCAAAGTTGAATCACATTCTAACAAGTTTAAATCATTCTCTGGTAATACCCCTGTATCCACTCCCACTACAGATGATCATCCACACCCAGAAACCAGTAAAGGCGGTCTAAAATCAGCTAAACAAGTTAAAGCAGATAATAAAAGAGCTAAAGATAAAGAAGCTCTTGATTTCAAACTTGAAAATGATAAATTGAATAAAAACAACCAAACAATCCACAGAGACAGCTCTGGTAAAGTTATTGACTTGGATTCTCAACATAAACAACAGCAACAACAACAAGAAGAAGCTCAACGTAAAAAGCGTCAATGGGGAAAAGGTTTAGTTCAACGTGGTATCACTAATCATCCTCAAGATAATGAATCTGATGACATAAGAGATGTGCAAAGGTGGAACGATCCAGGTACTCAATTCATCTCTTCAAAGCCTAAAAATTATTCGAATAAGCCAGAATATAAAGGTCCACAACCACCACCTAATAGATTCAATATTAAACCAGGTTTTAGATGGGATGGCGTTGACAGATCAAATGGCTTCGAATCAAAGCTATTCAAAGCAGAGAATAACAAGAATATTAAATTATATAATCACAATAAATGGTCTGCAGAAGATATGTAATCTTATTTTATTCTTCTTTTTACTCTCTTTCAATTAGACGCGACATGAAATGCAGAATATCGAAACAGCAGCAGCAGACACAGATACAAACCTAATTAGATCAAACTCAGACGCTACAACTATCTCAGAATCTGATTTACTCAATGATCTTGTCGACGTTAAGCAAGAACCTTCTACACAACAAAGTCCCACCAAGCAGTTACACTCTCAATTACATTCTCCCAAGCTTGAATCTTTAACGCCATCAAATGAGCTACAGACGATCCACTCGGTCCCAGGATATCAGCATCCAGAGACAATTGGTTTCAAGGCAGATTCAGTGCCAGAATCGGTACCAGAATCAAAGCATCTTCATTTAGAATATCAGCAACTCCCTCAATCCCAACCTCAGCGACTAGAACCTCTGCTTCCAGAAACAGGGCAACCGTCACCACAGCAGACACAACTACAACAGCCAGAACCAACTCAGCAAGCTTCTCAAAATGCCCCTCAACAAGCCCCTCAACAAACACCTCTACAGCTATCCCTTCCTCCTCCTCTCTATCCCCACAGAAGCCTTCGTCAGCGCAATGTCAAACAAAAGAATCCCTACTCCTACGAAAACGCGCGCTATCAACGTATATTAACAAAGAATGGTTGGGAAGATGCTTTGATCAAGGATAAAAATCAACTCATTCCCCAAGAAAACTCCAAGGATGACAACTTTGAGATTGATGGCTGGTTAGAAATGTCTGAAGCTGAAAAAAATAAGGCTTTAGAACGGAAGCAAAAGCGCAGTCTCAAAGCGCGTCACCAACAAAACATATTAAAGTCTTACGGTGGTCCTCTACCTTCATCCTCTTCTGATGACGAGATGAACATTTCCGCTCGACCCAATAAAAGACGCAATGTGTTATTCGACTCGAGTAGCGAGAGCAGTGATGCTAATTCGGCTGCTTCCGTAAGTAGATATCTTTGCAATTTGCATTAATTGACTAGACACTCCTAGGACGACTTGGATTTGAAGTACAATAAAAACAACAATAGCCACCTACAAAGCAATCAACACGATCACACAAACGAACTAGACCAAGATGACGACATCCTCGACCCTCAACGTAAGGCTTTCCTCTTCAAATCCATGCCTGCCGTCTTCGCCAAGCGCGCGATAGCTGATCTAAGATTAATGCAACAGGAAAAAGCATCTGAGCGTGTAGTAGGTCGTTCTAAAAGATCACCTACAAAGACAACTTCACCAGCTACGCGCAACGCAAATGAAGATGAAGTGGATGACGATATGCGCCCGGGCAAGTCTAGAATTAGGATTGGTTCAGCCTCTCACCACAATCCTCTTGCATTGGGCGATGAGGAGAGTAATAGTGACACCAACACTGACCCAGTCGTCGACACCACCAGCGACGATGATCATCTCGTAAGGATGCAGAACCAAAATGATGATATACGCAATTGGTTGGTGTCTGACAATGAGGATTATAATGGTAATGGCTATGGTGATGGTACTACCCAAGTACAGGGTGTTGGTGGTGACTTGATCGATACGATGCTTACACGTGCTACCAAATCAATTTACCCTCGCAAACCATTTAAACCGCATAAACCAAATCGATTATCGAACAAAAAGAGCAAAAAAGCCCAAACAACACTCACTACACCGATCAAGAAAAAGCGTCGTGTTGGCGATAAGATACCTTTCCTACCTACGGTTGGGAGAGATTTGGATGATGGATCTAGGGAAGGTTTCAAGTTCATGAGTAAAACAACGAACAAACCACGTCGCAATTCCATACAACTAAGCCAAATTCCAAGGAAGACAAAAACAAGAACGAATGCCAACGTTAGTCATACCAGCATTAACCATAAAGTCAACAAGGCTATTACAATTGATAGTGACAATGACAATGACGATGACACAGAGGAGAAAGATATGGCTGCTATGTTTAAACCACCTGAACAACCGCACACTCAGGCTGAAGGGTGGGCAAAAATGTCAAAGTCATCCCTCGACTTCAATATGAAGCCTCTGCCATCGTATTGCCGCTTCAGTCCCGATACAGATATAGCCAAAGGATATTTCTACAATGTCGTAAATCCTTCACCCTCACCCGCAATTATACCATTTTATGGATTCAGCTTGAAGCTGACACCGGAGATGGATCAAACAGAAGTAACTTCTGTGTCGAGTCAGATATTCGAATTTGCGCATGATGAGCTATCTAACATGGAGTTTTTGAAAAAATTTAGAGAGGCGCTAATGTTCATTAATATGTACGCAACTCTCCTGCTAAATACTGCAAGTGGTGACGATATAGATACTTTCGTTATATCCATTCTTAGTCATGTTGATGGATTAAACAACAAGATTAGTCATTTATCTCATGATGCTTATGTGAGTGATGATTTCATGCTTGAGATCAACTACTTTTCGGTCGAGTTTTTGTTCAGGATGGGCGAAATTGAAGTACTTGAAGCTGCATTGATCAAGTTGATTAAACAGCTGATGGATGTTGGGCTTTTCACAGCCAGAGCTACCTCTCAATTGCAGGATGGTGACAAAGTGAAAGAGCTTGATGACCGCACACTGGAATTGTGGGTAGTATGTATTACAATGTCAAGCAAAATCAAAGATGATGGAAATATATGGACTTACCTCAATCCAACAATCAATAAACTATTGAAACAGAGCAAACACCACCCAATTATTGAATCGGAAGTTATTTGGTACACTACCTTTAGCGTATTGATCATGTCGCAGCTCTCTATTACTGGTCTAAGCGCATCATCGTCATCTCAAGCCCCAGAGAATTGGAGCATGATTCACTCAGCAATTGACAGAGTCAAGATTAATTTTGATTCCGATAGCTCATCGTCTGTGAGAGCAATCACGCACCGCGACAAATATATCAGGGTCATCTTCTCGAGGTGCTTCATACTCTCCAACTCATTCGATTGGGCCTTGGACAATGACGCCAACATATCGATCAAGCTGTTTGATATACTCAATAAGAGGAAGTTGAAAGATCTTCTGATTGAGAATGTACACGATTTCCCATCATTTGTTAGAGAATACAACGATAGTCTCAACACCAAACTCGATAAAAGTGACACATCGTTTCATGTACTACTGAAAATGATCATGAAGTCAGTGATCAACATCAGACATAATGAACGACTCTCAATCAAGCATGTCAACAGATTTATATCGAGAGTATCCCCGACACGTAGTGTAGCGTTATCATCAAAGTCGGTTCAAGCGTCCAACGGTGAGTTATCAATCCTGATCAATCACTACAGTCTGGTTATAGTGCTGCTTCACGTTCAGCCTACTTCAGCCAAACCTCGACTCATCCAGGCGAAGAGCCTGTGTCATTTCCAGCATGTAGATTGGGGAAGCAGGAAGGTAATAGTGCGGGCAATGATGTATATACTCATTATATACAGACATCACGCACTTGATATACAAGGTGTAATGTCGTGGTTTGCGGAATGCATACACACGTTGTTGTCTGAACTGCATAATCTCGACCGTACGCTCGCGACCGTTGACGCGAATGATAACTATAAACGTAACGTCAATGTGAGGAATAGGAAGGAGGTTGTCGTCACGCTGCAGATGATACTCAGGTCGATTCAACACACTATCGTCACTCCGTCATTAGACAAATCCGTGACTGCGTACCCTGATGTAAAGCTGTTGCATGCTTGTGAGTGTTGTGTTTGCTGATCATTTAATCTAACGCTTCCAACCAGCTTGGACGAGAGATGTACTGCAATCACCGCTAGCATTAACGCAGGATATCGGCACGGAAGCGATCAAGTGTGTCGAAACATTTCTAGACATGCGTCGTGCAGCGATGCCATATAGATCAACTCAATATGCTCCTTTTCAGAACGACAACGAAGACGATGATGATGAGTTTGGCATGTTCGATTTCGATATCAATGACCCACATCTCAACAAACTGCTCGGCGCTGAGATCGAAGACGACCCCGTGCTGTCTCAAGACAAGGACGTCGCAAATATTATCAAATCCACAATATCTCCAGCTATTTATAAGTTGTTATCTGATATTCACATTGCTGGTGAAGACGGCCACTGTCCTGCTGCTCAGCGTCCGTTTTATGTCAGGAAACTTATTGACTGTTGGGCAAGTTGTGCTCAAGTGCTCGTACAGAACGAATTGGCGGTGGGTGTTTGCGCAGTTTTATCCATACAACTACTAACTTTGGCAGGACTGGTCGACATATATCATGTACGGCGCAGAGTCGTTTAGAAGAATCTCCGATGTCGATGGACGCAAGCACGTCGGTGAATGTTTCATGCAGAACATTAAATTGCTAGACCCAGCAGCTTATACTGTGAGCAAACCCTTTACTAATTACAAAAGCTCACTCAAGCAACAGAAACTACTACCTATGTACAACAATTAGTGTATTAACTGTATCAACTGTATTTACTGTCAAAATGTAACATATCATGCACCCGTAACTTATTATAGCCATCTGTCCACGCTTCAATATACTTTATGATGTTTTCTTTGCAAATCCGATATGTAGATCTTCATCTCATCTTTGATTGCATTTTATCGTTTAGTTATTTGCAGTCACTTCATTTCCTACAACTCTGCTCTACATCAATATTAATGATCTCAGTACGAGTTTCAAAGACGACAGGAGGCTTGAAGGCGAGATTCAAGAGGTTTTAATCTTTCGATTTAATTAAAATAGCTCAAATCACGCTGCAAATGACCAAATAAGTGAGAAGACGAATGCAAATATACCATATACTTGCAATTTGATGAATTTAGTAATACCATCAAATTTATTACACCTTCAGCATTACAAATACATCCTCATCTCAAGCCTCCGCTCAATATCCACGAACTTGGAATTCTGCTGTACCACCTATTTCATCCCAGATGGTGATTTACGAGTTTTGATAATCCGTGAACAAAATGTCGTGATAGGTAGCTCTGACTGAAAGAAATATGACTATGCCATATTTAGATATCTAGTGCTTCAAATCGCGCACTACACACTGATCGGAAGCAACGGTCCGAAAATGCTCTAGAGAACGCTATAGAATAAATAAGGAGAATTTGACACGCTCAATTGATGAAGCATAGTATTCTGACTATTATAGACTCACAATCACTCAAAAATGTCAATTATTTGGTCCTATAAAGGCGATTTACGTTTCCCGATGTGTAGCGTCCACAGGACTCAACGGTGGCTCCAGGGAAAAATATTGTTATTTCGGATTATCACAAGCCGATTAAGTGCAATTCATGGAGAGAAAAATGGGGGTCAGCCCAACTCTGAAACCCGTGGTTTGGCTTCACCTGGTGCAACTTCGAAGTTTCAAATAATGGGGGAGTAAAGGCGTTCAAGGCTGCGTTGGAATCTTAGAAGCCAGACTAGTATGAAGGTGTATTTCTGGATCTCTAATCAATCTCCCTGCGACTTGCCACATATAGCTGGACGAGCACAGAGCGCTGCACAACGCTAGTCAGGAGAGAAACATGTAATTTTAGGAAAACTACTCTAAAACGATATACTTTTGGAGATGTTGCGGAATGGCATCAACCAATCCCTTAGATTCGAGCCACTTGCGGGAAAAGAGACGAGACTGGTATCTGTAAGCGCCATCACAGAGAATAGTGACGATTTTACGTCTGGTTCCGTCCGCGTTTTTACCGAGATCTTTTCCGAGTTTGAAAGCAGCGGCTACGTTGAGAGCAGAAGAGGCACCGAGATAGATACCTTCTTCGTCCAACAATCTATACAACATAGCAATGGAATCAGCATCAGGGACTGTGAAACCACCATCAGCAATTTTGACGTCGTCTTTCATATTCTCAGTGATTCTACCTTGACCGATACCTTCAGTAATGGAGCCACCATCTCTGTCCATCTTCTGGCCATGGGATTGCACGTAGCTTGCTAAGACGGAACCTGGTGGATCAGCGATATAGCAGCCGATATCTTTATTCATAGACTTCAGGTAATTGGTAACGCCAGCAAAAGTACCACCAGTGCCTGTACTGCAAGTGAAAGCGTCAACGGTGCCATTAGTCTGCAACCAAATCTCAGGACCGGTGGTATGGAGGTGAATGGCGCGATTCCCGTCAGGATTATCGAACTGGTTTGTCCACACAGCATTCTCAATGTCGTCAGCATGTCTCTTAGCTTGATGATTGTAGTTCTGTGGATTGTCGAAAGCGACGGCGGGGACAGGGTGAACTTCTGCACCAAGCATGCGTAGCAAATCAATTTTTTCAGCTGATTGCGTGTTTGGCATATAGATGACGCATTTGTAGCCGCGTGCTCGACAGAGGTGCGCAAGACCGATACCTGTGTTACCAGCAGTACCTTCGACGACAGTGCCGCGTGGTTTGAGCAGACCTTTCTCTTCGGCGTCGAGAACAAGACCGAGTGCCTGTGAGTGGATGGAGTGAGCGGTGAAGTGCAAGGGGGAGAGAACGGACAGCGCGATCTTTAACGGAGCCACCTGGGTTCATGAATTCAGCCTTACCGAGAATCTCAGCGTCAGATTCTTCGGAAAGGGAGTTTAAGCGTATGAGGGGAGTGTTACCGATAGCGCCGATGAAGCCATTCGTCGTGGCTGATTGTTGGTTCCTGTAATAAAATTCAGGGATCGCCTTAGAAGATAAACACCTGGAAGATCTGATTGATAAGTTTATAAGTCTCTTAGGGAACATCATGGTATCAGTGAAAAGAGAAGACAGCGATAAACGAAAAAATTCAAGTGAATGTGAATGTTACAAGTACATCAAGTACATCTAAAGACGGTTACGTGACCACTTGCCTTCAGTACCAACTTGATCATTGTAGTTGAGGAGTTTCGCTGTGGGTGGAGTGAATTTAAGGGAGAAATCGGAGAGCTGTACAACGTACTGGTCTGGCCTGGCTTGATGTCCTGCCATGGGTGTGGCTGTATATGGCTTTAGAATTGGATGAAAATAATCAACCAGACAAACTAACGTTGTTTTTACGGTCCCAGACCTGGAATTTAGTTAGAATTGCCTTCTAATAGCCACAAAACACTCACAACTTCTGGTCCTTGTGCTAATCTAGCCAAGTACCATCCAGCACCGCCGATCTTAGCGCAATCAGCTTGGTTCGATCCAGCAAAAACACAACTCACGGCACCGCCAATGATGGCAATGATTGGATAAGTCTCTACTGGAACTGGTAATTTGCCCATTTGCGCTGTGATGAAAGTCGGAAACCAAGAAACTTGTCAACCCCCGCCATCATGTTCACTTCTATTGAATTTGATAACTTTACTATTAAAATAATAGACCAGTTGAAATTACCTAATGAGCTGTCTTATTTGCAAATCACTTCAATTGCTCAAGCCTGGCTGGCTATTAACAGGATGAATATTAGAGGCGCACCTGCATTAGCTTCTTTGGCCACTCTGTCTATAGCGCAGAAGGTGCACAATACACAGTACGCAGACATACATGCACTTAAGGCAGATATCAAAGAAGCGTGCGACTACCTCTACACATCCAGACCCACCGCCGTCAACCTCGGCATTGCACTCGATCAAGTGAGGCAATCTGCCGAAATAGATGCGGACGACCTGAACACACTCAAGCAATCTATCATCGACCAATCTATCCTCATCTGGTCTGAGGATGTTGAAAGAAACAAGAAAATGTCTGACAATGGCGCAAATTGGCTCATCAACCACTTAGAGTCGACAAACAAGATTGAAAAAGGTAGCAAACTATCCATCCTTACTGTATGCAACACTGGCTCACTAGCTACCTCCGTAAGTTGTCTTTTGGGTGCAGTACTGGGTGCACGACTAACGATACCAATGATACACAGGGCTATGGAACTGCTTTCGGCATGATCACACGTCTCCACGAGATGGGTAGACTAGAAAGAGCGTACTATGCCCAAACGACTCCTTACCACCAAGGTACTAGACTGACAGCTTTCGAATTCACCCAGCTGGGTATTCCAAGTTGTTTAGTTTGTGACACTGCTATCGGATCACTCATCTCCAACGGTCACGTGCACGCTGTGACTGTTGGTGCTGACAGAATAGCCTTGAATGGGGACACAGCCAACAAAATCGGGACTATGCAGTCTGCTCTATTCGCCAAGACATTCGATATTCCTTTCAGTGTCGTTGCCCCACGTGCTTCTGTCGACCGTAGCCTCCACGACGGGAAAGGTATCCCGATCGAATTGCGAGGGGCGAAAGAGGCAGTGACGGTGCGCGGGTTGGATACGGAAAGTGGTCACCAAGCAAGTGTGCGTATGGCTCCAAAAGAGGTCGGTGAAAGTGATCTGCATCAGGTTTATAACCCTGGTTTCGACGTCACTCCCGCTAATCTCATCTCCGCCGTCGTGTTAGAGACGGGTGTAGCTGTGAACCGTGGTGAGAATGTAGATGTTCAGTCGTTGCTATAGACAAGGATTTCACATTCTTTCTTTCAATTATATACTAGATTTACATTATTTACACACGCACAGCCAACACAAACGCATCTGTGCCTTTCTCATTCGCGATTTGCTGATGGGTGGCTATGAGCTCCCCTCTGGCCTCATACTCCTGCAGCAATTTGTACACCTGGCGATTACCGAGTACATTTGGCGTCATGTTGTTCGGATCGAGGAACGACCGAGCGTCCTGGATAGTGTTATCGATCACAATCATCGCGCCTGTGAGACGCGTTAGTGGGGTGGGCAGCGACTTGCTCGCATGTCATCTCCCACCTTTACGTGTCCGCTTCACGGATTCTGCGAGGTAGTTGGGACTGTTGCTTTTATCCGCATCTATGAAAACGAAATCAAATGGAATATCATCTAAGCGTGAGATGGTTTCCAAAGCTGCCCCAACTCTTATATCGACCTTGGGCGCCACTTTTGCATACTCCACATTAGATCTGGCTACTTGGGCGAAATCAGAGCTGCATTCGCAGCTAATAAGCTCGCCGTTGTGCGAGAGTGCTCTTGCCAGCCAGATGGTGCTGTATCTGGGGTGGTAGGGATGTTAGCGGAGTCTTAGCTTTAGCGACAAGCCAAGAGCTCAGCTCACTCCATCTCACTCGCCAATCAAAATCATCACTCACCCACCAAGCGTTCCAACCTCTAGAATGCGTCTAGCGCCTATCAGCTTGGCTTGCATCATGATAAACTTGCCCTGCATTGCACTGACGCGGATGGGCGGCAAGCCATTCTGTGTACAGTTCTCGATCGCATGTCCGAGTCCGTCGTCCTCTCCAATCAAGAAGCGCTCCGCGTACTTGTCGACTTGCTCGTATATAGACATTTGAATCGGTAGGTATTGTGGATAGTGTAATGAAAGCTTAGAAGCGTTCCTGTGTGGCTATTTATCGGTTGGAAGATAACCAATCTCCGATATCCGAATTTCGGCCAGGTACACAAGCGCAGGTGTCGGAGGATGTTATAAATAGAATAGTGCGTTACAATTCATGTCTTTAAAATGATTTATGAGTTATAGTGTCACTCAAAGGCGTACAGCAATAGCCAAACCGTCATGACCTTTACTTGAACATATTTGAATGTTGGTAGCCTCGATCAAGCCTTGGTCTTGGAGCTGCTGGAGGGCGGGATAGACAGCTCTAATGCCGATGCCGTAAGGATCCTGTGTATGTTCATCGAGGAGGATATTGTAGTTGCGAACAGTATTATCTACGTATATGACAGCTCCTGGGCGAGTCAGATCGATAGCCTTGCGGAGATATGCCGCGCTGTTCATCTTATCAGCATCTATAAACACCATATCGAAAGCACCCTGAAGCGTGTCGAGCGTTTCGAGTGCAGCGCCATGTTTTACTTCCACTCTGCAGCTTGGATTGGCGTACGCGATGTTCTCTCGCGAAAGCTGTGCAAATTTTTCATTTGACTCGAGCGAGATGAGCTCACCGTCGGCAGGAAGAGCCTTTGAGAGCCTATAGGAGTGCAATAGAGCATCCATTAGCTTGTGCGCTTCCCTCAATCTACAAACACCCCACTCACCAAATACTAGAATACCCGGCTAGGGTGCCTATTTCAAGCACCCTCTTTGCCCTCATCATCTTAGCCTGTATCATGAGAAACTTGCCTTGGATGGCGCTGACGCTGATATCGGGAAGGCCATTATTGGCGGCGTTTTGCATGCACTTGTCGAGCGCTGCGTCTGGTTTGATGATGTGCTGTTCGGAGAAGTTGTCTACTTGGGTAAAAGCTTCAGTCTGGGGGGAATGTTGGGGAGTAGGTGTGTGGTGAGTCTGTGTCGAGACCAAATTACTGAAACACCCACTGGAATCATTGAAAGTGACATGTTTATTGTCGCTGATTGAGAACAAGGATACCACGGCCAATATTCTAAAAGTCTTGGATACCATTCGACCTACTCCAAGTCATCACAATCCTGATTCAGAAGCGAGTGAAATTTTTAAATCCAACGATTCCAACGACCCAAAAAACACACGATTTCTCTCACATGTATGAAAACAAATGGATAATATATCAGTATCAACTTTTCTCCACTATTAGTCATCATTCCTTGGAGTCATTCCAAAGTTTGGGCAAGGGTATTTGAAGATTTTTGAGTGAACTACACACTCCAAAGCATACCCTTCCTGTCATAAAAACTGGCTGACATAATCAGTCCCTCTTTATTCCAATCGACACCATAAGCGAGGTTGTGATGTGTGTTGGTGTGCACGATAGCACTTGAGTGGAGATCCACAACATCGAATCCGCCATACATATTCGCCATGACTAGTTTGCTGTCATCAGTTTCATGATATTTGATACGCCAAATACCTCCACTCGTCTTGATACTACTGGTGGGTGTCTTGAGATTCCGTTTGTCGAAAATGCGCAACGTCTCATCGTAAGAGCCCACAGCGAGCTCATTTTGATTGTGTGGGGAGTTAGAGATGGTAGTTACGCCGCCATCGAATCTAATAAGAGTATAAGAGAGGATGATGCAGCTATATTGACAGAGACGTACTTCTTATTAGACGATACGGGTGCGTTTAATCCAACCCTAAGATCCCAAGCCTTGAAGACACAATCATCGGCACCTGTATAGAGGATATGGTTTGGAGAATAGTGATCCCACGCGGCAATCCACGTTTCGTAATCGTGTGCCTGCCAATCATGCACCAGCTGCTGTGTGGAAGTGTTTACGCTGATTGCACGACCATCTGACATGGAAACAGCGATCTGTGGATCAGTATCACAGCGCAAATTCGACCAATCGAGAGATAATGCTAAGGAGGAGGAGTGCGGAGAGCAATCGATGGTGTATAGATTAGAAAGAGAACTTTCAGAGAATTTGTCGACAGATAGCACTCCTTCTGCATCAACAAGACCTAGAAGCTGTTTCATCCACTTTATATCTAGCGTGCCTGGTGTTTGACGGCTATCCAAGTAATTAAATGTACGCTGAGTACAGTCATACACTAAACACTGCCCTTTGCGCTGCTGATGGCTAATTTTCCCGTCTTTGTCGGTCTGTGTATCAACGAGCTCATAAGTCCCAACAGCGTAGACGTCGAGTAAGTCATTGTATTCAACAGCACATGCTGTGTTTTGAAAATTAATTTCTGCGTGTGTTCGCATCTTATTCTTGTACGCTGAACAAGTGAAATGGATCCAATTAAGCAGGAATTGCTGAAATCTGGGAAAATCGACACAGTAAATTTGTGTACAGTGTTTTAATTAGATTAAGTCTAAGCAGCCACCTCAGTCTCGTATTCAGCACGTACCGGAGCAGAGACTGAGCCACTTCAACTCAGGCTCAAATTACAAGTCAGCAAGGGATAAGCAGAAGGAGGCAGACGAGCAACGAAGACTTGAAGAGGATACACAGACGCAGATGGCGTACAAAGAGTATTTGGACGCCTTTGATGACGTCAGGCAGTCTTCTTTTGTTAAATCTGGAAATGGCAGAGAATGTGGGTGTGGGGATTCTGTGTGATTGTGGCTTACGTTTCGGCAAGCTTATTCTCACCAACCCAAATCACACCCAGTTGAACTCAATTCTCAGGGGAAAATTAAAGGCAAGACGCAAATGGACAGCTTTTTACAGGAGTTGAAGAGAGAACAGACTGGAAGAGGCAGCAGAAGTGATCCTGACTTTCATAGCGATGCAGATCCTCACTCTACCAACCTCTACGTCGCTAACCTTCCAACTTGGATCGATGAACGAATTTTTGGTGAATACTTTGCTCAATTTGGTGCTATAGCTTCTGTGTGTGGCTTATGAAATTGGAAATACACCCCTGATTACCCAATCCAGGTCAAAATACTTTGGCCGCGACCAGAAGATCAGCATAAGCTGAAGCAACCTGGATACGCGGGATTTATTAGCTTCATGACACGCCATGATGCTGAAACAGCTTTGAAACAGCTAGATGGCTCAGATTGGCAGGGTCATATGTTAAAAGTGGGTTTTGCATTGTTTGTACGTAGATCAAACCTCAAACTACAGATCAGGTTGATTGGGGAAAACGCGTGAGAATACCTTCAAGACCACTATACGAGAGTACTGCCAAACGTCCCGCTCCATCACGATCAAGATCGCCAAGCAGCTTCGATCAGCGTGAAAGTAAGCGCAGTCGTGTTGAAGAAGAGGCGCCTGGTGTTGACGGAAAGACTCTCAATTTCTTGCTTAGCGTTGTGTCATATGCCAAGTCACACGACAAAGGACCTTCAGCCTGCTTGGAAGAGCTGAAATGGCTCAGTGAAGAGTATGCTTTCTTGAATAACGACAACGTAGGTTGTGTGTCATTAATTGATAACTTTAACACTTAATTTAAGGATACAAAATCCAGATTCGTGCTCAACCAACTAGATAACGATATACCATTCGACGATAGCAAGCCAACTGCTGATTCGGAAAACGATCTCAGCGAACAAGAGCAAAGTGAGCATGAATCAATACAGAAACAGAAGCAAAATATTCTAGGTGGAGTCGCCAAGAAGAAATTGGAAAGAATGCTACGCCAAATCACACCGAAGCGCTCGTCTATAGGTAAGGTGATGGCATTTGCAATAGACCATTCAGAAGCCTACGAGGGTGTAGTGGGTGTAGTCATCAAGTCGCTCCTCAACGTGTCTACACCTGTTCCACGAAAGATTGCACGACTACATCTAGTTTCTGACATACTCGCCAATAGTGCGGTTAGCATTTCCGGTGCTTGGAAGTATAGGGATGAGATACAGCGGCAATTGCCCAAGGTATTCGATCATCTGGGACTCGTTAGATCCACCTTCCCAAGCAAATTGAGTCAGAATTTCTTCAAGGAGCGCATTGAAGTTGTTTTAACAGTGTGGGCCGAATTATTTATCTTCCCGCAGAATATCCTCGATGATTATCTGATCAGATTGGAGGGAGTGGGCAGAAAACGTTTGGAATTGGATCGTAGCAGCACGCTAGTCAGTCGCAGCCAGAATCACAGCGATAGCGCATCTAGCCATCCAATTACACCAGTCGTGGAGGAAGTGGAGAAACCAACTGGATTTAAGCCATTTATACAAGGAGCGGAGGAAGTAGAAGAGGATATCGACGGTGCACCAATCGACGATATCGATGGTGAGCCTATGGAGGGAGATGGAGAGGACATTGACGGGGAGCCAATGGAGGACATTAATATTGACGGGCAATCATTGCACACATATCAAGAATAACTAAATTGAATCATTTCCTTGTTTATAATACATTAACTTTCCATCTGCAATATCGTCAGCTCATGTTTCGTGTCTTGACCAAACCAAAATCCCAAAGAGCACTTGTACTTGTATTATCAGAAAGCGATTGAATACATCGTTTTCCTCAAGAAAGATTAAGACTTAGCATGGAATATAAATGTATGTGTATCATCATATCAAAAAATTTGTGCTCTTTTTTGCGACTTGGTGAGGCGTAAAACTCACAATCTGGATAATTGTTAGTAAATATATTATATGCCACAAGAGCAAGGCCATTTAACAGCTTTTGATTCATTTCAGAAGTGCTGAGTTTGGAAGTGCGTGGTCAATCAGTCATCTATAGATCAGACTGGGGCGACAACAATGATCATCATTGAATTTGTATTGTGTACGATTGGCCTTACTCTTTTACCAAATTTACTCACTTTTGATTTCAATGTGAGGAAGAAGAAGATTTACTATGCGTGACTGATATACACATCTGTTAACGCACATTAACGACACTTTAACGTGAAGTTTTTCACTCTTATACAAGTACACGTATTGTTACACAAGCTTTAGTGGTATTCGATGGTGTTGTATACTTTGCTAGCTCTGTAGCCTGTGGAGGGTGTGAGCAATCTCGGTATCACACAATCACCGAGAACGACCATCACCCACCAAATGCTTTAACTCTGCTAGCATCGAATCTAGATCCATGTGAGTTGAGAAATCTTATCGCGAGATACCTTGTCGCCCTTCCTGGCTCTAAATCGATAGTCAGTTTTTGTGGTGGTGCGAATGCAACGGATTCAATGGGTTGAGCGTAGCTATTAAAGTATGCACATGGTGTTAGGTTAGTGGGGAATGGTAAATCTGGAGGAGAAGGAGATTGAGGTGGAGAAATAAATTGATCCCTTTTTACTCTCTTTTGAGGTCTTGGTGAGGTGGAAGGGTCTTCTAAAAGTCTGGTATGAGATTGACGTGGTGAAGAATGATAGTTTATTGGAGCGAATGAAGAAGAATGTGGTGGTGGTGTGGATGAAAATTTTTGATCAATACCCGGACCTAAAGGTTGCTTGAGTTGAGAACTATATCGTTCTAATAGGGGTAAAGATTGGCTGTGATAGACTGATAAATCGTCCAAAGAAATGTGATCTAAACTTGCGAAAATCAAGCCATCAGATTTATACGGAACGACTAATTCAAGTTTAGTGAGTAAGAAGCTGTCAGGAGGCTTATTATCGTTTAAAGTCATGATTATTGAATTTGGAGGATCAACGTCAAAGCGTATACGTATGTCTGGGAACAAAGGACCTTCACCATCGATAAAAACGCCTTGATTGTTATCAAGTACGTGTAAAGGAAGCTTTTCAATGTCTTGATGATTATCATTATAATCGTTATTATCATTATTTATCCTTCTCATTTGCCTAATTGATCTTCTCCTTTGTACAGCAGCTTCACCAGTTGCTAACAAATCTGAAGCAGCGGATCTCCATCCAGGTCCTAAAGGGGCAGAAGGTTGTCCATTTATTGTATCGCTTCTTCTGTATCTTCCTTGTATTGTTGAAATGCTGCGTACCATCCTCGTCGTTGGTGGGTAAAAGGGGTTTCTAGTCTACTTATAATTTATTTTATTTATTATGATTCAATTTTCATCTATTCACGACCACGGTAATTTCAGGAATTTAGTTATCATCGGGTATCCGAAATTCACCGAGGATCCGCTGATAAAGGTCTCTTTCCCGGGTATTCACACTTCAGCAGTAAACAACGATGACCGTAGAAATAAAGAGTGAGTTTGAGTACTTCCACATAAGCCATTCTAATAAACAACAGACGACGTTTCCCGTGAGCTAATTTTCATTGAAAACAATCAACTTCTCACGCTGCAATTTAGCACAGCACAAGGCAATTCTTAATGAAGGTGCTTTACAATTCCTTACAAAGTTACACCGTACTTTCAACAACACTAGAAAGCAACTCCTTGACACACGTAAACAACGTCAAACTAACCTCGATAACGGTAAAATTCATCTTGACTTTTTACCTGAAACAGAGCACATACGTCAAAATAAAGCTTGGATCTGTGCACCACCTGCGCCTGGTTTAAAGGATCGTAGAGTTGAAATCACTGGTCCAACTGAGCGTAAAATGGTTATAAATGCTTTAAATTCAGGCTGCAAGACTTTCATGGCTGACTTTGAAGACTCAAATTCACCAACTTGGTTTAACATGATCGATGGCCAACTCAACCTTCATGACGCAATTCGTAAACAGATTGATTTCACCGATAACAAATCTGGAAAATCTTACAAGTTATCCCCAAATCCTGCTGTGTTGATAGTAAGACCACGCGGATGGCACCTTGATGAAACCAGAATTCTAATTGACGGTGAACCTGTCTCAGGTGGTTTGTTCGACTTTGCAATGTACTTTTATCACAACGCTAAGGAGTACATTAATAGAGGTTACGGCCCTTATTTCTACCTCCCAAAATTGGAATCTCACCTTGAAGCTAGGCTTTGGAATGATATTTTCAACTTTGCTCAAGATAGTATTGATATTCCAAGAGGTACTATCAGAGCAACTGTCCTCATTGAAACAATCTACGCTGTCTTTGAAATGGATGAGATCTTATACGAATTAAGAAATCACTCTTCCGGCTTGAATTGCGGTAGATGGGATTACATATTCTCTTTCATCAAAGCTCAACGCGCCAAAAAATCTTGTGTTTTACCAAACAGATCAGACGTAACAATGACAGTTCCATTCATGGATGCTTATGTCAGATTACTCATTCAAACTTGTCATGGTCGTCAAGTTGCTGCAATGGGTGGTATGTCAGCTCAAATTCCAATAAAGAATGATGAGAAAGCAAATGATGCGGCTATGACTAAGGTTAAGAACGATAAAGCTAGAGAAGTTAATGCTGGTCATGATGGTACTTGGGTTGCACATCCCGCGTTAGTTAAGATTGCTTTGGATATCTTCAATGATAAGATGGTTGGACCAAATCAATATCACGTACGTCGTGAGGAAGTTAAGGTTAATGGAGGTGATCTATTAAATACTCAAGTACCTGGTGATATTAGTGAAAGTGGAGTACATGAGAATGCATCAGCAGGATTAGCATATTGTTCATCTTGGATTGAAGGCAATGGATGTGTACCAATCAATAATCTAATGGAGGATGCTGCAACTGCTGAAATAGCAAGAGTTCAATTATGGTCATGGGTAAAGTACGCAGCCAAGACAAGCTCAGGTAAAGTGATTAATGCGAGTTACGTTGATCAAGTGCTTAAAGAGGAAGGAAAGAAGGTTAAAGGGGTAAAGGAAAGCAGCATTAACAAGGCAATTGAGTATTTGAATGATCAAATCAAGTCAAATTGGCCATCAGACTTCTTAACTTCAGATTTATTAAATATCCTCGAATCTGGACAGAAGAAGGCGTCTCTTTGAGTTATTTGTTTGAGACATAGTGTATGTATTGTTAGTTATGATAAGATTATTTGTATTTTCTGATGAAATTTTTGAAATATTCTTGATAACAGACTACCAACGACAAGATGAAGGGGAAAAAGGATTTCAAGGAGAAGAAAGGAAATAAAAAAACACAGCCAAAGGAAATTACAAAAAAATATAAAAAGGGAGATGAATTGAATGTATTTGAATTGTCAAATGATAAAGAAGATTCATCTAGACGTTCAAATCTAACAACGAAACTTGATAAGGATGAAGATTATGATCAGCGTGGATTAGATAATGACAGTGATGATGATAAGCTTAGGGATATAAAAATTGATCATTTAAAGGACACCGTCGTTAACGATAGCGATGATGAAGAAATTGATAGTGATGATGCTTTTGAAGGCAGTGATGATGAAAAGTACGCAGATTGGCATTTTACTGGCTCAAAACATCCAAATCGGTTGGATGATGGTGTCGATGGTGTCGATGGTGTCGACGAGGACGATGAGGATGATGAGGAAATGGTCGATCTTGATACTATGCTTAACGATGATAATCAACTAGATCAAGATATCACAAAAGAAGATGTCGATGATAGCGATGTTGAGTTTGAACAAGATGAACAAGGCGATTCAACCAAACTAACGCAACTCGTTGACTCATTAGATCCTTCTTCTAAGAAATCTACCACTAATGACTCTCCTACTTCCAAAGATGGCTTTGTCGCGGGTAAAAATTCAGAATTTAGAGTACCTACGGATGGTTAGTAATAGTTATATTCAAAATTCATCAACACTAACAACTCACAGGTCCAGTTTCTTTGGATTCTCTTCTCGCTCCACTACCAACCAACATCGCTTCAACCATTAATCACCAAGTTAAACCTTTGAAACCTTCAGAATCAAAAACTGCAAAGAGAGGCGCCCTCGCTGCTCCTTTAGCAACTTTTTACAAAGAACGTGCTGATCGTCAAGCCGGTCAAAAAGTTGTCAAAGACGATATAAAGCAATGGGATGCATCTATGAAAGCTTTAGAGAACTCAAATACCCTTTCCTTTCCTCTACAAGGACCAGGTCAAGGTGGTGTAGTAGATGGTTCACACTCAGGTAAAGATTTGGTTAGTGAATTTAAACCAGCCAATCCACTTGAATCATCAGTTGACCATCTCCTCAAATCTAACAACTTGTCCACACAAGTTAATCCTTCTGATAGTCTCCCTCAGCAGGAACAATCAAAGTTATCTCAAGAACAAACTAAAGCTAAATTTCAAGCCTTGCGTCAGCAAAGACAACTCATGTACGAATCTGAGAAGAAAGCTGCAAGGATGAATAAGATCAAGAGCAAAACTTATAGAAGATTAAGGAGAAAGGAGAAGGAAGCTAACAAGCGTAAAGCTGCTGAAGCTGGTGTGCTTGATTCTGATGAAGAGAGAATGGGTGCGGAGAGAAATCGTGCACTTGAAAGAGCAACTCTCAGACACAAAGGTGGAAACAGCAAATGGGCGAAAGAGATGAAAGATCGTAGTGATGGTGACAAAGATACTCTCAATGAATTACATAGAATGGAAGAATTAGGTCAGAGAATTAGAGGCGAAAAGTTTGACAATGACAATGATGATGATGAAAGTGATGATAGTATTGGTGATAATGACGACGATGACGCTGTTAAGCTCGCTGCACTCAACAAAATGAGATCCTTACAGCATAATGGTGATAATAGCGTCGAAGACAACTTTAAGGGTATTGCCGGTATGAAGTTCATGAGAGATGCTCAAGCTCGCGAAAACAAAGCTATGGAAGATGAAGCTGAAGATTTTGCCAAAGAGATGAGAGGAGAAAAAGAAGAATCTGATGATAAGCTTAATATTGGTGGTAATCCTGGTAGATTCGTCGTTGGACCTGGAAAGAAAGCAAAGATTAGCGTCGATGACTCAGTGGAAGATAATGAGCCCACGTCTACAACGTCGTCGCACACCTTAGGTCGTGAAAAAGATAGTGATACCAACCCAGTATCATTCGATAAGTTTAAAGAACAGTACGAGGATGTAAACAATGTCAGTGATGAAGATGAGAGCAATCCTTGGCTGAAAGGTGACAATGAAGGCACAAAGAGGGCTAAGAAGAAGAATATTGCAACGCTATCCAAGGACTCAAAGAAAGCTGACAAGAGTCAGGCTGAATTTAAAAAGCGCAAGAGAGCTAATCAAGGCGGTAACGATGAAGAGGAGGTAGACATTGATCTTAATGCTACTATAACCAAAGAAGCGAAGAACAACAAAACAAACAAACCAAACAACCCAAAAAGCACTTCAAAGAAGCAAAAGAAGGGTAAAAAGAATGACAATGCCCAGGATGGGTTTGCATCAGAGTCAGACAGCGATGATGATATGGCTGGTGGTGGTGTACAAGCGTTCAAGCAGCGTGATTTGGTTGCCGAAGCATTTGCAGCTGATGATGTTGTAAAGGACTTTGAAGAAGAGAAGAAAATGGAAATTGAGGCAGAAGGACCACAACAAGTGGACACATCGCTTCCTGGATGGGGTAGCTGGTCTGGTAAGGGAGTGAAGAAGAACAAGGCAGCAGAAGAGAAGAAGCGTGCACGATTCCTCAAGACAACGGAAGGTGTAGACGCAGATAAGAGAAAGGACGCGAACAAGACGAATGTAATAATAAGCGAGAAGACAGAGAAGAGGCCAATGAATAAGTACTCAGTGAAGGATCTACCATATCCATTTACAAGCAGATCACAATACGAGTCAGCCATGTCTAATGCGATTGGACAAGAGTTCAACACGACGAGCGCACACAAGCGTGAAATAGCGCCAAAGATACAAACGAAGCCTGGACAAGTAATAAACCCAATTGTACGCAGATATTAGAAATTTATTTATTTAAATATTGTGTTTTATGTTGGCACTCATTGGGAGCGAGCGGAGAAGGCGGCATCTTGATTCGCTGCATTCATCAAGTAGAAATAGAAATATAAGATAGAAATAAAATAAAATGCCACTGACAGCAGCTCAAATACAATCCCTACACGACTCACCAGATCCATTTCCTAGCCTCGGAGATGACAGCTCATCGAAGCCAGCGGCAGCGGCAACGACTAAACCGATGCAGAAGGAAAATGTGGATCTAAACTCGGAGTCTGCATTTCCTAGTCTACCAACAGCCACGCCAAAGCAGCCTTCAGGTGCCTGGGCTAAGCCAGTAATACAAAGATCCATCTACCAATCCACATACACGATCCCACAGTCACAGCTTCTGAACGCTATAAGCAACCAGAAGTCAAGACAGTCACCAAAGACTATCTCTGAGCTCTTTAAGAGAGTTTCTAGTGCGTTTAATGTTAACGTAGACAGCTCAACGACTTCACAAACTAAGCAAACAACTTTCTTTGTAAAAGGACAGTCGCAGAAGTCTGTTAATGAGGCTATTGCTTATCTTACAAGCACCCTATCAACTAGAATTACTATCACCGTTGAAATTCCAAACTCTTCAAGAGCTCTACTCATTGGTCCAAAAGGTTAGCTTAGAATTGTTGAGGCGCAGGAATACGGTTATTAACACTTTTTAACAGGATCCACCCTTAAATCCATCACTGACTCCACTAAAACTCGCATTCAAGTTCCTCCAAAACCGGCCTCGGAATCTTTACCAAAGACTTCAAATTCTGAGGATTCTGATCAAGACAGCGAAGACGACTACTCCATCCCTATCACAATCGAAGGTTTAGAAGATTCTATTCAATTGGCCCAAGAGAAAGTTTACGATATCATTTCTCAAGTCATTAAGTCATACACCAAGCGTTTCACTTCTATACCTTCTTCATTCTACCCTTTGATTGCTTTAAAATCAGCTCAAATAGAGCAACAATATGCAGTTACTATCACTATTCCCTCACAAGCTAGATTGCGCGCTATTGCTCATCAAGCTATTGGTGAAGAATCCGATATTAATGAGAATGAACGCATCAAACAATCAGCTATCGTCATTAAGGGTGAAAAGTCTGCTGTAAAGGCTGCTATTCAATCTGTCGAGAGAGTCTACAACGATTGTCAACGTACAACCAAAACCATTTCCATCCCAATTCCCAAGCGTCAACATCGCACTTTGGTTGGTGTTATTGGTGACGAAATTTTAGAAAAGACTCAATGCATTGTCGAATTGCCAGCTGCTGATGATATTTCGGAGACGTGTACTATCCGCGGTCCTCAACTGAAATTGCCTGCTGCTTTGCAATTAGTCATGGAAAAAGCTAGTACATTGGCCGTCGAAATTGTTGATTTGCTCTCAGTCCACAGAGTCAAGACTGATTTAAACTATGGTGTCAACGTTTTAAGATACCTTCTGCGTGGTGGTAAATTAAACAAAATTGCTGATGCTTATCCAGGTGCAAAGATTTATCCTCCAAGATCTGCATATATAGAGAAATCTCAAACTGTCATCATTGATATCGTCAGTTCAGATTCATCAGCTGCTATCAGTGCCAGAGAGCAGGTTGAGAAGTTGGTATTTACAATCCCACCATCAGCTGTCACGTCAGTAGAGATTGACCATCTCCTTCACCGCCACTTGTTCGGTAAGCAGGCTCGTCAACTCGAAGACACCAAGAAAATCACTCTTATGTTCCCACATGAATCTGAACAGCACGATGAGGTTGGTTTGATATATACCGGTGCTTCGGAATTAGGATTGGATGGCAAGGCATTAGACAACAAGATTGGTGAAATTGTTCAACATGGTGTTAACACTGTTCTTGATTTGGCAAAAGCTGCATCAAACATCACCATTCAAATCGTCAAAGTTGATCCAAAGTTCCACAAATCAATCGTCGGTCCAGGAGGTACGACACTCAATGCCATTATTGGTGAGGATAAATTGGTAGATGTTCAGCTCGGTACAAGCAAACCAACAAACCGCAACAACTCAAAGAAGGAGATTAACGAGGATGAAATCTCGGTTCGTGGACAAAAGGAAGAAGTTGATAGGGTTGTTGGGGAGCTCAACAGAATTGCAGATGAAGCTGAGAACCACCATATCGTTTATGGTCATGAAACTGAAATATCTATTAACAGTCAATACGTGCCACACATTGTCGGCAAGAACGGATCCTCAATAACAAAGTTGAGAGAATCACTCGGCGTTCAAATTGACATTACCCAGCGTCAACCTAACGATAACTTGAAGAAATCACCACAAAAGGCTACCATCAAACTTGTCGGACGTAAGGAGAACGTTGAAGAAGCGACGCGTAGATTGAATGGATTGGTTGAACAATTAGCTGATCAAACTGCCGAGAAATTGACAATTGCTCGTCAATACCACGCATCTCTGATCGGTACAGGTGGTAAATATGCCACGAGATTGGAAGATAAGCATGGTGTCAAGATTACATTCCCAAAATCATCCAATGAAGAGGAACCTTCCGATATTGTTACTGTCAAGGGTGGCAAGAAGGGTGTTGCACAAGCTAAGGCTGAATTGTTGGAGGCTTTAGAGTTCGAAAAGGAGAACAACAACACGCTGAACATTTCAATCCCTTCATCATCAATTGCTAGAATAGTTGGTAAAGGTGGACAGCAAATCAATGAGATTAAGGAGAGCAGTGGCGCTCAAATTGATTTCGACAGATCAACCGAATCTCAACAAAAAGTTACTATCAATTTGAGAGGAACAAAGAAAGCAATCCAAGTTGCTAAGAGTGATATATTGGCAATCATTGATGAACTTAATGCGCAGCAGATAATTAACATCACCGACATTGATGGCAAGTACCACAAGTCAATCATCGGTCAAGGTGGATCGAAACTGCGTGAACTAATTGAGAAGGCTGGTGGACCAGCCGACAATCAATCACAGTCAGGAATGGTCCAATTCCCTAAGCCAAACTCAGAATCACAGACTATCGTAATCAAGGCAGAGAAGAGTTTAGCTGGAGCAATTGAGACTGAGATTAGAGGATTCGTTGCTGACTTGAGTGACAGAAAAACATACGTTATATCAATTCCAACCGCCTTGCATGGTGACTTGATTGGCAGAGGTGGAACAAAGCTGATGGCCATGCAAAGGGAATACAATGTTAGCATACATTTCCCAGGTTCTCGTGACTATAACAACATGGATGCACCAGTAAACGTCGATGAGTTGGCTGCAGTCGATCCAGCTACTATTGTCAAGGTCACTGGCAAGACTACATGTGTCGAGGCAGCGATTGAGGACTTGAAGAAGAAATCGACTGTCGTTAGCAAGACTATTAATGTTCCAAACAAGCATTATCATAGCATGAGTGAAAATGGACGTTTCTTCCGCGGTCTTAGATCATACGGTGTGACGGTAGATGTATCAAGCCCACCAGCCAAGACGAATAGCAGTGGATTGCCAGAGCCATCCGATCTCACACCACCAGAGCCAGTTTCTAGAGTTGACGTTGACGAGGAGGACGAGATAGCTCATAAATGGGAATCGTATGAATTGCAAAGTGGAGATGATGACTCGCAGTCTGAATGGAAGAGTGGGTTGGAAAGTGCGAGTGCAAAGATATACTGACACCCCCGACAGTCAATGGTAAAGACGACCAGTCAGTCAATAGGGCTGTCAAGGCAATAGAGAATGCTTTGGATAGGGTCAAGAGATCTGAATACATCGGATACCTTGTTTTACAGAACAGATCAACTTTCCCCAGAATTGTTGGGAGCAAGGGATCAGGGATTGAGCGTATCAAGAATGATAGTGGTGTCCAGTCGCTGACAGTGTCCAAGTCTGAACTACCATTAATCACATTCATTGGTAAGTGTTTTGAGGTTTGCTAGCGCACGTCTAACTTGCACGACAGGTTCAAAAGATGCTATTGAATATGCAAAAGAGTCGGTGCTGAACATCCGACCAGGAAACTCATACTAGACATATAATTGTTTTTTAATCTTCTACTGAATGCATATAATTAGGTTTACATGGGTATCTCCTGTAGTAATGTGGCTATCGCTGATCCAAATGAGCGAAAGTTTGAGCAAGGGTGACACTATCGACGATGTGCATGGTAGAAGTATCCAAAGATGACTCTTTGATTCTATCCAGCGTCTGCTTGCACCTCTTGAACGCTCTAACCTTGGCCTCCTTCTGATAAGCTGCGACTAGTCCGCTGGTAGAGGGGAGGGTAAAGAAAAGGGATTCATTGTTATCGTCGTGGACTATCTTAAAATTCTGCAAGAGAAATCCAGCCGTATGATCGCAGTCACCTGATTTTTCCACTATGTTAACTTTTTTATCCTTATTATCAAGTCTATAGTCGTAATTGAACGAATTGGACTTGAAGACAAAGTGTACATCGTCCCAGATAGATTTTCCAACGAGTGCGACTAATTTAGGTTTGTATTTGTGCACCTTCCAACACAACTCAGGCACCATAGCTCTGCTCTCTGCCTTTGATAGCTGAGATTGAGTGACAGTGGGGCGGTGATTGAGGTTCGTGATGCTGTAATTGAGTACTGGGAGGGTGTAATCCTGCTGTGGACGAAGTTTGGTTGGTGTAAGGCCTGTTTTGGGTATGCTTAGACTGATATTGTTCAAGCAGGTTGAAACGCACCAGATTCATACAAGCAACTATAAAATGAGTTGGATGGGTGTGCGAAATGGTGCCCAAGCGTCGCTGATGTCCTGCCTGGGTTTATACCGACCAGCATCAAATCGCACCCTTCTGTCATGTAATCAGGCACGCCTGTGAGTTGAGCGAATGATTCCGGTGGCTCGTAGGTATATTTCCTCTTTTTAGATTTGTTGGGTGTGTCTATTCCTGTGTCTGTGTCCGTATTCGATCTACTAAGCTGTGGCGTCGTGGAGGTGGATGGAGTAGTTGAACTTCTCCTGAGTGGAGTGTATTTACTAGTATAATCGCTAGAATTCCCTTTACTATACGCAAACCTCGATAAATCGAATGTCTTTGATGATGACATGATGGCTATCTATAACGTTATACAAATCCCTTCAAATCTCCTCCACTAATGCGCAAAGTCTATCAAAATCAAAGTCAGATTGGTTAAAGTGGAAGTTATGTAACAGCTTAGCTCTATCCTTGCTACTGTTATCGGTGAATTTGTGAGCGTTGTAGAAACGCTGCATGGTGAGAATCAGCAGTTGGGCATCTTTACTGTCTAGTACAGCCAACGCCTTATCATCTGCTTGCACTGCTGTCACCTCACCTCTCATCAGGACGGCGTCATGGGATTTTGCAAGATCAGTGTAGTGCGTGCAACTGACGAATGGCTGAGCGAATGCTTGTCTCTGTTTATACTCATTGAGGCTGGTGAAAATAAGTGTGCTCGGACGCGTACCACTTCCCAATGTATCTGGAAGGAATCCCCATTCGAGATAGAACACCTCATAGCCCGTCTTGTCTTCCTGCTTATCGCCCTTAACTTCACGTGGAATTGGTATAACGAATGCTGGATACTTTCTCGCCTGAGTGTACAACCCCTCGTAAGTATCTTTAGGGATTGTAGCACTGAGATAATTGTCCTTTGAAGAGTGGTGGGCATTCCACAGCTTTGAAATGTGGTCCAATGGTAGCTCAGCCATCTTGCCAACATTTATTATGCTGTCTAGTGGCTTAACGCCTGTACCGTCACCCTCTTTGCGCCCTTCAACTTTATCAACTGAGCCGACAAAATATTCGTCTTTGCCCGTATCTACTTTTAGCTGATCTGGGTTCGGTGTCACTGCGGCTGCTTTTGGATGCTTTTCTTTCATTGTCTCTGTCGCGTCTGGCTTCTCTTCTTCTACCGCTGCTGCTCCCGGTGCAAGCTTCTTCTTGAGCTCTTCAAGCGATTCAACGCCTTCTCTGAGAATTGTTTAGCTGGTGGATTTAGCGGATATAACAAACTCACTGCCTCAGTCGCTGTGACAGCTTATCCGCATACTTGAGATCATATTTGGCCTTGTTTTCATGTCCATCTCTTTCTAGCACTCTGAATGAATGAGTAAATGACCTCGTTTGTACAGGCAGGCGTGTAACCCGCGATATTTGCAGTCTTCTCAGCATGATAGTGATTGTCAAAAGACCAAAGGTAATCGAATAAAGTTTATATAAATATAATTATAATACATATTTGTTTAATGTATATTCATCGTCGTCCTCTTAGCGTCTTGTCAAAACGAAACATCCCTGAAAGTTTGGTTACTTGAGGCGAGTTGACATAGCAAACACAATACACACTTCATATCCGCTTAGCACTTCAGCTTTATGCTTTGTTAGATGTGATATACCTCGCTCTTCACCACTCACGCGTATAGGTATCGCGCCATCGACCAACCAATACTCCACCTGGTAGACTGTATCCTCTATAGAACCACTTACCACGTCCATCAGGCTGCGTAGGTGGATTAGTTGGAGTGAGTTTCCTCTCATTACTATTCACCCACCGTATACTCCTTGCCTAATCTCACTCATCAGCTTCCACTTTTTCTCAACTTGCACCCAAATCTCCACTTACATAACATAAACATCCCATCCCATGCTCTCACCTTCCCACGTAGCTTAAAGCGTCCCCAGGCGGAGTGTCCCTATGTGTACTCCGTGAGTATGTAAACTTACACCTTTATTTCCAACCCACCAAACCATTCAAGTGAATCTCTTTGCCGTCGTCGATGGTTTCTGGTTGTATTAGCAGTTCGTTCTTTGTATTACTCCTGGTACTCCTGGTATCGTCACTTCTTTTTATAGAGAGATGCTGATCGTCATGACCGCCGCAGATATCTTGTAGAGTTGACAATGAAGAGGGTTTCCTGTAGTCTTCCAATGTCTCATTTAGCCTCCACACTTGAGGTTGAATGGCGTGCACTCCATTGTATAGCGTGTCGATTGAGCCTGCTAGTATGTCTCGGTAATCGTCAAACTCATAATAACAGAAGAATCCTTCCCATGCACCTTGAAAGTGATTCTGGAATAGACTGGCGTGACAACCTGGTGAGCTGGACGGGTTTGTACACTGAGACAACCGAATAAATTCACTATCAAAGTCATAGCTCTTGAGATTTGGTTTTGGTAGATCATTCTTAAACTTGTATAGAGTGAGAAATGCAGCGTGAGAAGAAATTGGAGGTATCAGTTCAAGTTTAGATCCAAAATAATTTAAAGTGATTGATTGACTGTTTAATGACATATCAGTCAGGAATGGATCGTCAATTTGCGAGTCAAATTCAGCTGAAGGGAGAGTTGAGTATGGCCATGGAGCGTAGAACGAATCGTAAAGATGAGCAGCGAATAAGAATGGTTTATATGGTGTTATAGAAGATGGTTTATCATTAATCAAGTAATCCAACCAAAGGATGAGTGAGTTGACGTGCTTGTTGATGCTAGGGAAAGAGTCTGAATGTATAAACATACTTGTATACTCCGATATCACATTGTTATACTGAATATTGATCAAATCAGACTCAATAACGATGAGATAGAGTCTGAGGAGGTCCGTAATGAGATAATCATCATCGTAAACCCCATCTACACGCCTCCAAAAGAATCTTTTCAGCGCAATGCACCGCTCTTTCAATTCGCGTGATATACCCGATGCAGTGATGTGAAATCTTCTTTTCGGGGCGTTTAAATCGAAATAGATTGGGAATAAAGATGAATATAAGTTTTTATTGTAATGAAAGTTGAATTGGCTGTTGAATTGTTTTGAAGTTTGCAATACAGATACAATATCGCTCAAGGGAGTGAATTGTAAGCTGAAATTGAAGTGTTACCCGTGAGTAGACCTTTTAAAAACACCGCTTACACCCTCTCTAAGCATTCAACGGGTAAATGTTCAAATTTCATACGCAGAAACCAGAAAGCCAACGACGTCACTAAATCAAGCCAATATACAGCCTAAGCCATCGCCTAAACACAGGCTTAATTATATTTTGATTACAAAAATTATTTGAGTGCAGCTTCCAACTCGCTGTAGACTTCTAACTCAATTTCGGCCTCTGCCTTTTCAGCGTCGCTGGCAGATGAAGATGACTTTCTGGCGTCTGCGATGGATTGTTGAAGGGCCTGAGAAGCGTCTTAGTGGGAGAATACACCTACATACATACTCACGCTCTTGTCGAATGCACTCAAATCGTACGCTTCAACTGCGTTAATGGTGAGTGTGTTGTTTGGGTGGACACTGGCGAATCCAGAGGAGACTGAAATATGAAAATTAGCTCAGTACACGTATAAGAATACCCTCCCCACTGAAATACTTGGTGGATTGTCCAGCGCTCTCAATAACCTCTACAACGCCCGCTTTCAATGCTTCAACGGATGGAACGTGGTGCGAGAGAATTCCCATTTCACCAGTCTGCGCAGGTACACTGACTTGTAAAACTTCTTTATCTTGGAAGATTGTTTGGTGTGGTAATGCGAATTGCAATCTCAGCTTATCTGCTGCACCTGCCTCTGAAGCATACGAACGAGCTGAGATGCGTGGTATTTGTACGGCTTGCTTAATTGCTCTGCTGAACATTTCCCTTGAAATTTACTTGGTTGGAGCTGAACAGGAGGCGGCGGCGGCGTCGGTGGTAGTGAATATCCGCGAGGTTACTTTATTTATTTAAAATTTAAAACGCAGTACAAATACAACTTATGTTTTTATTTTATTCTTTTTTTTTTGCACATCTGTACACCTAGTACACCAATTGATGGTGTCTAAGCAGTGTATACACAATATACGATACCTATTTACATGCCAAATAAAGACGCTATCATGTACGATGCACATCCCAAAAACTTGATTCCCTATGATCCATATCAGTATCCGTTTCTCCCAAAAACAATCCACTTACACTCGTTATAGCCACAAACGCCAATATCGTTAACATATACGCTTGCACCTTCTTATTCTCATTGTTCCCAAATGCTCCATTTCCTCCTGTACCCACAAGCACTAATATTATAAGTGCCCCATTGCATAATATCCAACATAGCAGCACGTTGCTTCTAAACGACGCAAGATAATCTGCTGCCTGTCTCTCCTTATCTGCTGAACTTGGTGGCGGTGTCGGTACTGGCATCTTTGTACGAAGTTTATGTAACGCTTCTGCGTACTGTCCGTCTAAATCCGGTTTGTTGTCATACATCTCCACCTCCACTGTACCATCCTTCGATGTCTTGAACTTGCCTGTATTCTTCTCTGGTTCTGTCTCTCCTTTTGTTCCCCAAGTCAAGTCATGTAGATTTGAAAATGCAAATGTAGTAAGCACGTTGATATAACTTGCTGCAAGAAGTAGATACTGTGGGAAACTCGTAAACAAATGCCATGGGTCGAGCGATATTAGACTAGCTGCAACCCATAATCCATATGTCGCAATTAACGAGATCAACATCTGCGCATACATGGAGTTATGCTCCGACTGCTGTGCTACATGTACAGTACAGATAATTGCAGCTACTATCATGTATATTGACAGCATTGCGAACACGCAAATCACTGTCGTATATTTGAGACTCGCGCCTGCCGGTCTATTACCCATACTGAATGTGAAACATGCAATTATCATCGCTCCATAAACGGCCTGAGCTACGACATTGAAGTATTTGATATCCGGTACACCGAATGCTGGGTCTTCGAGTGCTCGAGTGAGGACAACGAAGAAACAGTAGAAATTACCGAGAGCGAACCAACTGAAGAATAAATTGATTGCAGCGTAGAATGTCTCAACTAATAACCACGCTTTGCGCGGTTTGGAATGCCCACTATTTAAAATCTGTTTCGTGTGTGTAAGAGCGTATATCGCTGCAAAGAACGACCCATTCAGCCAACGTCTTCTTTGACTTATCAGCTCAGGTACTCGGTCAGGTACATCCGTCACTCCAACTGCTGATTTAACATATTTCAATATCCACGCTTCTTTCCGTTTCGCGCATAACTCGAAACAGAGTATGCGATCCTCTGCCAACATCATATTACGCGTAAACACACTCTCGTCCTCCGACATGTGAATCGTTTCGCCCTTAAAGTAAGAATGCAGCGGTCCGAGTCCTAAGTGATCGTCGTCCTTCAGCGCTACGTATCTGTAAGCTGAGAATGCACCGGGCAGGACCGAAATGTAACCTGAACATGTGAGATAGGTAGCAGGCGCAATTAAATATTTCCCCACCAAATATAGACTCTGTAGGCTTGTCGAGGATGTTTGACATCTTGTATTCGAAGCTTTATTTTGAGTGAGCTTGCACCGAAATGATCAAGAGTCACTCACTTCTGAGACGCGACTATCGGGTTGAGCAGGGCAGAGCCATGTTTGCCAGTATCCGCACGTATCTCACCACATGCTCCTCCAACGTTGCTGTTCTTGTCGAAGGCTTTCCACAGATGATAAATAGATTTGGGATGTGGGCGTGTACCGACATCGAGCAGAACACAAATGTTGGGCTTTGATGGTGGTGAGTTTGCTGTATAGCCAAGAAATACCCAAACGCACCTGCAAAATAGGGCAGATAGCATTAAAGAACCATCTGTGCGAGTTGATCTTCTTAGCATTCTTCTCCTTGAGACAGAAAATAATCTAAAGTTGCTCACGTCAGCAGAGTATTTGAATAACGGCCAGACCAACCTGTGTCGGTACTATGCGTTTCTCTGGCCCTTTGAATTTCAAATCGGGACCAAGAGCGAGAGATGTAGTATATTCAAACAAATGTGCTTCAACGCCCTGATCGTTGACAGCACCCTTCGCCACGCCTTCCTGATAGACACCTAAACTAGCAAGACAGTCGAGGACACGCGGATGGACTTTGGTTCTACCATCAGCGACAATAACTACGACTACCTTGGTCCAAGCATCTGCGCCCCAATTGTTACTGTTCTTCCTACTGCACAGGTGACTAATATTCTTCATGACGCCGTACAGCGTGCGACAAAACAGCACCTCGTCCTCGTTATACATGGTTATGCAAATAGCCAGTTCAGTTCTGCGATTATGCAGTGCCTGGCGGAGAGTAAAGTTATTGCGCTCAAAGTGATCCGGGTCGCATGTAACTGCCGTATAGCGCACTTTGGACATATCATCCAAATCGCGCCGCATGATCACCTTATCGAGTGTGGATGGGATAGGAAGATCGACAACAAGGTTACCATCCGTAAGCGCAATCTTCTTCTTAGTCTTTCCGCGACGGCGTATGCGTTCTTCTGGAGGTGCACCATAGTGCGATGTGTCCATGTCGGGAGTGAGCATAGTGATGGCAGGCGCGGGCGACGTAATGTTTTCTTTCTTACTGTAAAGCCCCTCATAGCTGTCGTCGTCTGCTGGACTGGGCGAGCGCGATTGGTAGCTCAGCCCGTCACCTTGTTTTTCTATGTCGCTGTAAGAGAGGGGATGAGCTTGTGGGAGCGATACAGGCACCGGTGTTATGCTCTGCTGCTGTATGTATGGCGTGCGTTGATAATCCGTTGATGGGTCGAAAGATTGCGAGGTGCCCGTATAAGACGGTGCAGAAGTTTGGAAAGAGGGTTGGGGGTGAGTAAATATTGGTGTGTGCTCATCACTCGCACTCTGGTAATGCTGGTGGCCGACGTAGTGTGTCGCAGGTGTTTGTTGAAATGATAGGGGTGTACTCGTGGGATTTGAAGTGGGTGACGCGTATTCCCGCTCATCCTCAAAGGGATTACTGGCCCTGTGCTCGCTATACTCAACTTGCTCTTCGAGGTGCTGGGCTACCGCGTTGTCATCCGCGTTGTCGTCCGCGTCTTCTTGCTCCTGGAGTGGACTGTGCGCGTGAATTGGGATTGGCTTTACTTTGAAAGGATTGAAAGGCATTCTGTGCGTGTTTTACGCGCGTTTTTCTATTTCTCGATTCAGTCGGCGTGAAGGAAGATCGGTTACGCGAGTCACTCCGGTTTAATGAAACAAAGTAAAACTTTTTAAAAAGCACAAGCGCAATAATTACAGCTTTTTTATTTAAAGCGTGATACAAAAAGCGTGATATGCTGTGCATGAACGATCCTGGTCTGCTTTTGTGCAAATAAAGGTAGCGAACAGAGTCTCCCTTGAATCATACTTTGAGCTTGCTCCTTTAATTCCTCCCCTTTCCTCATTGTAAGCTTCAGATCATTAACTGGTCTATCATGCTATGTGCAGGGCGATTGGAGACGCAGCGACGCTCCTTCCCTTGGTTATACGCAGCTTCAAATGCTGGTGGCGTTTGCACGCAATGCTATAGAAGTTATAAACAAACCAATGTTTCATCTGGAACAGTCTCTTTCTCCGCTGTATTTCTAGCGTCAAAGATAAGACAACTTGCGACTCCATTGCCAACATTTTCACAACAGTTTCTAATTCAATCCCTTATGTATGCCAATTATACTCAATTCTCGCTATTATAGGCCTTATACGATGTAATTCAGCATTTCCCATGTCCTGTGGTCTCAAAGAGAGCCAGGACGTGTAAATCAAAAAATTATAAGCTCTTACAGATTAGACGGGTTAAAATGACTTGTTCAAACTTGTTTGCTCTTCAGTGGCCCATATCGATTAGCTAGTTCCGACTTTCAACTAGCCGATGAGGCAGTCGCTGGTATCTTTTCCGCTTTTAAAAACATCAGCTTCCTATTTAAAATAGAAGCTTTCCAATAAAACCTCTTTCACAGACCTTCCTCCTTTGTTTTGAAATTTCAAAATTCACTTAGTCGACCTTAACCCCTAATTTCAGATTTCGGTTGACCTCCACTTTTCTACACCTTAATGTCTCCTTCTAATCGTGAAGTGAGGTAGAATAGCAATTTTTCATTTCCTGTAGCCAGGTTTTATAGCTGTAGACGACATATTTTGTAAATCGTTTTTCGCGCTTATAGGGCCGTGAAATTAAGACATTTGAGCACTTGCCATTTCTAAAATTTGAGATTTTGTCTTCATCGATAAAGCGCGCCAGATCCTCCATATCTATCCTATTGCATGCTCTAGAGCGATTTCGGACTATTGCTTCTGATCGGCGTGCAGGGCGCAATTTGGAGCACGAAAGATCTGATTCTGGCAAAATCATATTTCTCCTATCCAGAGCTACCTATCGAGCCAGTTTCTTTGGATATCATTAAAACTCGCAAGTCACCATCAGATGAAATAGGTGGTAGAGGAGAATTTCAGATTGTTGGATATTGAGCGGAGGCTTGAGATGAGGGTGAATTTTGAATTCTGAAGGCATGATAAAATCGATGGTCTTACTAAATTGTTCAAATAGACAATATATGGTATCTCTGCATTCGTCTTCTTACTTGGTCATTTGTAGGGTTCCTTGAAAAAAAATCAATTTGTGGAAATAATTCAGAATACTAGCGTCCGATGTTACTAAAAGACCTATTCAAAGTGTCCTGTCATCCGGAGTGGGGCAGGGAGGAAGGCAAAGATAAGCAGGTGAGTAAACTGTTGAAAAATTTGTGTTGGAATTGGAAGTGTACACAAATATTGCCTCAATTTTTTGCTCAGGATGTCAATTAAGAGCATTCATGGAGTTAAGCAGATAGATTCACTAAACCAACGTAAATAAGCAAATTCACAAATCATACTCTGTTTTTCAATTTCCGCAGGCGCTCTATCTCTTCCTGGGTTGGTTTTGTAGTCGGCTTGCGTGTTTTAGCTTTGTGTGCTTTTGATGACAGGTGATTCTCGTACTCCATTCCCTCATTTAAGACGATAGGGTTGTGAGGGTCATTCGTGCATACACCACAGGTAATCTTTCGGTAACCAGTCTCTGCATTAGATGCAGCTAGTTTCGACTCTTTGCTGAACAGCCTCTCCGCCACTTCCGAGTAGCTTTTAGGGTCGGGCAATGGTTCATCGTTGAGAAACTCTGTAGATTTTGTTAGCTCAAACTTGTTACCGCACTCAAGCTCACTATCGAGAATGTCTTTAGCAGGGTGTACCACCATCTCATCCCATCTACTAATGTCAGACGAGTCAACCATGTATATGTCTATTGATGATGGTACTCCGTCACTGCTGGCACTCTTCTGGTGTGCCACTATCTCAGGTAAAAGTTTATTCTGTATCCATTTCAATTGCTTCATTGCATATCGTCGAGTGCCTATTTTCATCAGCTCAAGACCTTGTTTGAAAGCCTCATCCCGCTCCTTCTCCGTGGTAGCTTTAAAGTAAGCGTCAAATTCCTTGTATCCTGTATGCATCTATGTTATAGTGGTTGAAGCATAGAGCAAAGTACCTACCGATGGCTTGGAATAGACCGCGGGTATAGTCCTGTTGACCATTTGAAATGAAAGCATTCTCAAGCGCACGCAGCTCTTCAATTTCATTCAACAGACCTTGCTTGGGTGCTCTGGTTAGACAGGTGGATCCAACGAGCAACACACACACCTCAGTCATCTTCTCAACCCGCCTTTCGAGACGCTTAGACAGCGTATCAGGATCAGTGTACACCCAGAAAACCAAGTTTTTGTACTTGGTTTGTGAAAGTGCGTCGATTGACTTGGATGCTTTCTGTTCTTGTTCAATGTCCGAGCGCTTTCTGCCGTTCTCCCAGATAATGTCTAAGCTGCGTTTGACTTTTCTGAAGTCCCTCAAGTGCCATCTGCTGGCTGTTACAGGGTCAATGAGTGAGAGAATGCGGTGTAAGTGGGAATAGAGCGGGGTGTTGCTGCTGTCAACGTTGGTGTACTGGGACTCTTTTATTGATGGCAGGGCCATGATAAGATCCTTATCGCTGCTGCTAAGCGGACTGATCATGCTGTAGAAATCGGCATGTGGATTTGTGGTGAGCGAGTGAGGCTTATCGGAGATGTCGTCCGTCTTAATAAGATTATTCTGGAATATAAGGTGGTGAATATAATAATGAGTTCCCCCCGCCACGACCGGAAGTGTTTTCTGCGCCGACAGCTTATCAACGAGATAACCAGAGTCAGCGATGAATTGAGGAATTGAGTATTCCTTATCCTTATCTAGAAATGACATCATATGATGCTTAACTGAGTCCTGCTCACTCTCTGAAATCTTATTTGAGATAACATCCAATCCCTTATACACTTGAATAGAATCTGCGTTCAAGACGTGTCCATCTCTGTACTTTGCAAGCTGCACAGCTAAGTCTGATTTTCCCGTCGCTGTGGATCCAATTATCGTGATTAGTTTCTTCTTGTTGGTCATCTCCCATGAGAGGTTTAGATAGAGATGACGAGAAGCCAGGCGGCAGGCGTGAGAATGGAAATTATATTAAAATATACGCACTGGTCTTGCTCTCGCTGGCTTTGGCTGGCTGTACTTACACAAAAATGGTCGTCAACCTCCACAGTTGGCCACCTCATCACTACAAACCTCACTTGGCCTACGGCAAGAATGGCGCTGTAGCAACGGAATCCAAGGAGTGCTCCGATATGGGCGTTGATATCCTCAAAAGAGGTGGAAACGCAGTCGATTCCGCTGTAACGTCTACTCTCTGTATCGGCGTTATGAACATGTTCTCATCCGGTATCGGAGGCGGCGGTTTCGCGCTGCATAGAACACCATCCGGAAATATATCATCTCTTGACTTCAGAGAGACTGCTCCCGCTGCGGCTTACCCATACATGTTCTTCGATTCTCCGTTGCATGCTCAAATAGGCGGTTTGGCTACAGCTACACCTGGAGAATTGGCTGGATTGCAGGACCTGCATCAGGAGCACGGATCTATGGATTGGTACGATTTGGTTATGCCTGCCGCCCAATTGGCAAAGGGATGGGCTGTGCCGAAGGAGCTCGCTAGGAGGCTGGACGTGCGTTGCCTTTGTCTGATATTTTATTGCTGACAAGTAGAAAAAGTTGAGTAGTAATTGGATTCTCACAGACCCCGTATGGAGAGAATGGTTAGCACCAAATGGCACAACATTGGCCGAGGGCGACTGGATAGAGAGACCAGCTTACGCCAAGACATTGGAGACGATCGCAGAGTATGGCGTTGATGCCTTTTACAAGGTATGTTTGGATCTTGATTTCATTTGCTATCTAACACATCACAGGGCCACATTGGTGACTCATTTGTTGAAACTACAGCCAAATCTGGCGGTATTCTCTCCAAATCAGACCTCGAAAGCTACAGCGTTGTCAAGGATCAAGGTCACAGTATGAATCTGCGCGGATTGGATATTCACACTTGCGGGTTTCCGACATCTGGGCCGGTGATGTTATTCATGCTGAACGCACTGGACGAGCTGGATATGTATCCGTCGCGTTCCAACAGCCCCGATGATCTGCACAAATTCATTGAAGTGATGAAATGTATGTGTCATGTTACGCTCATTCCTCTTGTTAATGCAGCATCCTAAAGTTGGATTTGCAGAACGCACCCGTATCGGCGATGAACCGTTTATGAATGACACTGCCCCAATGATGAACATGCTCAACAAGACATACGCTCAGGAAACTGCTGACCTCATCACGGACAAAACGCACACATGGGAGTATTATGAGCCAGACTTCGAAGTACAGGATACACACGGTACTACCCACCTAACAATTGTAGATGAACAAGGGGGAGTAGTTACACTCACATCAACGATTAACGGCTGGTTCGGATCCCATGTGCTGGACACAGAAACAGGTATAATACTGAACAACGAAATGGACGACTTTAGTATACCTGGTCATCCTAACATGTTTGGTTTGTGGCCATCGCCTTACAACCACCCAGAGCCATTCAAGAGACCGTTATCATCGACGGCGCCGACGATTGTTCAGCGGGATGGAAAAATGCTAACTGCGATGGGTGGCAGTGGAGGTAGTCGTATATTCACCAGCGTATTCCAAACCCTCCTGCACATTCTCGGTGGCTCCGATCCATCATCGGCAATTGAAGCACCGCGAGTCCACGATCAGCTTTTCCCACCAATTGCAACATTTGAAAGCGGATTCAGTCCCAGGCTAATCAATGAAATGAAAGAGAGAGGGCACAACACTACAGTGTTTGATTTCAACCTCGGCGCGGCGAATGTCCAAGCCATAACGGCAGAAGATGGCACCTTGTTCGCGGCTTCTGATTCACGTAAAAATGGCATTGCAGCTGCTTACTAGATTGTCAACGACCTTAGTATCGAAATTTATATGTTGTATAAAATACATTATTAGAGTTCTATCAATCTGTGCTTTTGGTGGGTATTCTTAAACTTGGATAGCAGGGGAAGTCATGGTTACCAGTATGTCCCAGACATATACGAATCCTGTGAGAGTGAGAGGGGGTGAGGAGACAGGTGAAAATCCTCACCGAAAAGAATAAATAGGGCAGAGCCACCATATGTGACTGGAGGGAAGATGAGAATAAGACTTGCGAATGAATGTGTCACCGACCTGATTTTATAGATATTCTCGATGCGACAATGCGTCCGCCAAGCACTGCGACAGCAGTGCACATAGCGTGACCCAAACTAGTACCAAATGCAACAGTTTTCCATCCATGAGCGGCAGCCAAAGCGATGGTAGATATTTGGCTACGATCACCCCACTCGCCTAGGAAAGTGAGAGCAAAAGCCTGTACGAAAGCGGGGCTGAATACGGTGATTAATAACTCCCTAAAAGTGTCAAAAGTTGTCTTTTTGCGTGATTGAGCAGTGGGTTTGGGGAGTTCGTCGTCTTTGTGTTCTATTTCTTGTATCGCTTCTTGCATATCCTCCTCAACTTCCTTACTGCCACCCTGCATCGCTTTGGCATCCAAGTACATCTTTATTCCAAATACGAGGAATAGGACAGCTGCCATTACTTGTGTATAAGTCTTGGGGAGGATTGCGGGTAGTATTTGTCCCAGCAGCGCTGAGAGTACAGACATGGCGGCAAGTGCACCAAATGAACCACTAAATACGATTAGTTGCGGGCTTCTCATAGCGAGAATTGCAGCTGGACGCGTAATTAGGCTGGAGTGCCTGAGCAGTGAACAAGCCCACCGATCAGAAATGTCTTATCACCGACTTCAGAAACGACTATCATAGCAATAGACTTGGATTGATTGTTATTGGGATGAATTGTGAGTAAAATTGCACTGACCTGCCATAGTACACTCATATCTATTCCTCCAGTCGCTGAGCTCTTCGAAGTCGTGGAACAACTCATTTACGTACTAAGCGCAGTAATTTCAAACAAAAGAATATATTTATACGCATTTGGCGTTTTTTATACACATCGTTCTATACTTTGGTATTACTTTACTCCAGTTTCGTAGTGTTTTAGCTGGATTAGCGAGGATCCTCGATCTTGCAAGTGACGAATATCTGAACAGGCGCGTTAGTATGCCTCACCGCATAAACACCACTTACATCATCAACATCTTTAAATTGTCGCTCGCTATCACCCTCTCTGCGCGATCTACCAACCGACTCTCTTTCACTCCAGTACTCAATCTGATTGTGGCCATTGTCCGTCTTGGTAGTTGTTGGCATCCACACTCTCTCGCCAGTGTCAGGATCTTGAACTGCGTTGAACCATCTAGGCTTGTGTGGAGGTAATTTACCCATTTCTCTCTCTTTACGCGTCCCACGTTGTTTCTCTTCGTTGCGAATCTTGAGATCATTGGCGAGATCATACAGTCCAATTTCAAATGCACGCTGATCTGGTCGAAGTCTACAATCCGTAGATGGCAACCAAGGTCTCAGGTCAGGTCGATCAATTGGTTTCATTGTCGATAATCTATCGCCGGGTAAATCGTTCAACGTTATTGCGAATTGCGGTAAATTGAATGGTGTCTTTGGTTTTGCTGAATTCTTCCAAAGCAGCAAGTACTCTGAAGAATTTTCTACTTGCTGATCGGCATTGATTTCATCAGTCTCGTTGTCAACCTTCTTCGCAACAAGCTGAGTCACCCATCTACCCGCAATCACCCACTCGCGTTTCTTCTGGCTGTTAGTTACAAATCCTTTTATTTCCTGCCCCTTGCCCCTCCATGGACGAGCCTTGAATGTCAAAGTGCATGACTCGCCAGTGCGGTGATTAAGGACAACCATATCGCCAAAGTGATCAATAACTGGAGATGCTGTTACAAACCCAGTAACTGCCGTTGTAACCTTTTTCCAACTGTAATGCTCAATTATCAACTCTTCTCCAGTAACTTTGCATTTCTCTCTTGGGTATGTTACACCTTCCTTGGCCCAAGCTGCAGGAATCTTCAACTCAGCATGTGCAATACCAGTTGGACGAATCTCAAATGAGGTACCCATAAATTTATTTTTTGCATCAACTTCTCCCTTGTAAATCCATCTTGGATTCTCACCCCAACAAGCTGACATGGGAGGATGATGGCTGACCTGCTCGCTAAAGTAACGATACTGCTTGTCAAATCTGCAGTACTCAAACGTTTCACCGAGCATTGGATTGAAAGGTTTAGCTATTCTGTTCATTGTCGAACTGTAATTGGATGCTGCGAACGCTGCAACGTATGCAACTCTTTTGAGTGGATCTTGACTATTTACTGCAGCATCTAAACACTCAGTGAACTCCATATCCTCAGCCATTCTTTGAAGCATCGATGTAGGCTCATTGAATGTCACGGGGAATGATATCTTTGTAAGATCTTTGCCAATTGAGCTTTTTAATACACTCCACAAACTCATTGGCGGACGTTTGTCATCTGATATCGGCATACCATCTCTAAGCTTTTCGTATGGTACGTATGGAGTGAGATCTTCAACAGGTGGATCATGCTTCTTTTCTGTCTCGCTGACCTCCTGTGTCATGGGCAAATTACCTTCTTCTACGGCATCGAAAAAGTCATCATCATCATCATCATCATCTTCTGAAGATGACGTAACTCTGGCCATGGGAGATGGACGTTGATCATCGTTGATAGGAGCGTGATGAGCAGCTTGTGGAGGTGCACTAACACCACTTTCATCTTGTTTGTGTGCGGCGTAAATGTTACCTTCTGCTCTAGCAGGTGCTGATTCCTTTGAATCAATAACAGCTGCTTTCATCGGTGGAGAGAGAGTCGAAGTGCCTGCAGCAGCACCATGTAAATGATGCTTAGTGTGCTTGAGAGCCTTGCGACGATCCTCTTGAGCTTTGTGAACGTTTTCCAATTCGCCTTCAACTTTGGCAGTTTCTACGGCGATAGTTGCAATATTCTCCTCCCACAGTTTAGCAGTCTCACGTTCGTGTTGAAGTGACTTTCTGTAGTAAATTTCTCTTTCATTAACCATTGATTGCCATCCAGCGATGAGTGAGCTTAGCGTTTGTATTGATCCCTTCAACGCTTCTTTCCGTTCATTGTGCGTGTCGTTATCACCCTCAAAGTCATCCTTGAGGAAGGTGTTGATAAGCTTTTATGGTGTTAGTTTTTTTTATAGAAATTGGATTGCAATGACTGACACTTTCAGTGGCTTCAATGTGCGCAGAGAGCTTTTGACCCTCATGTTCAAATGTACCGTTATGTGGAACAGCATTTACATTGTAGCTCTCAACAGTCTCGGCAATAGAGTTTGAGTCAGAACCACCCTTCTGACTCTGGAAATCAGCAAGCGAAGTTCTTGAATCGTGGCGGCCATGAATGCTGGAAGACGAGTCATAAAGGAAGGGGGATCTTGGTGCATCCATAGAAGGATTTTTATCACCATTGTTGATATCTTGCACAGTGAGACTGATTGCCTGCTTCCATGATGCGGCATCGGTTGGATGGTCAGCTCTGACTAAGAATTTGTTGTTGTGGGAGTGAATTTCGAATTTTCTGCTATCACCGCCTTTGTCTTCCTTCAATTTACCATACTCCAAGTTAATGGCACCTCTAGACAGCTGCTTGGCTTCATCTTCAGCTGAGAGGTAGTAGTTGAGGATGCCATCTTGGAGGACAAAGTGTCGGTTATGCCAACCAGTGGCGAGATTAACGTACTTCTTAAGGGTACCTTTCTTATTTCTACTTTGGAAGTTGTGAGCGTTAGGTTTTTGCCTCTCCTGGAGTTTAACGAAGGATTTAATCTGATCGTCTTTGCAAGAACTCAAGAGGGACAGGTTACGACTGTCAACGATTGACGAAGATGCATTAGCGTTTTCGAAGGCAGCTTTTAAGAGAGGAAAGTCTTTGTTTGTAACTGCGGAATGTAAGAGGGTAGAACCGGAGTGGCTGTCAATGTAACTGAGATCGATAATGGGAGAGCAGGGGAGTTTGAGGAGGTCAATGAGGTCCTGGCCAGTATTTTTGTCCTGTGAAGACGGCCGTATGTACTCGGCCACTAGGTGACGAAATTCGTCGTTCAACTTGGATTGAGAGTCATGGATAATCAAAGCGCAAGCGTCAGATTTACAGACTTGGATAGCAGAGCGAGAGTGGTTGTTGCGTATAGAGTCGTTGATGGAAGGGCTGTTGATCAGCAATTCAACTACGTCAGATCTACCGAGGGAAGAAGCGATGTGGAGTGGAGTGTTGCCATCGGGATCAGTCTCATTAATGTCGATACCGTTAAAAGAGATAATTTGTTGGATTGTGGATGGATTTGCAGCTTTTACGGCGAGGAGGAGGATTCCTTGGGTGGAATTGGATGAATCCTTTGAATCAGAGGAATCAGAGTGAAGTAATTGAGAAATAGCGTCTGTATCATTTGATTGGAAATATTTAAGTAAATTAAACGTTTTCATGGGATCAACTCCCTCGGCGGACATGATGGCTGTATCCTTCCAAGATTCCAGTCATGTCGAATATACCAGGCAAAGATGGTGAGTTTTTTTATTTCTAGTCTCAAATCAAAGCCGACTATTAGAATCTCAGTCGATCGCAATCAAGAGGCTACTATTTACATCGGAAATATCCCAGAAGCTGTATCTGACGCTATTATATGGGAATTGATGCTACAAGCTGGTCCTGTCTCTAGTGTCCACCTGCCTAAAGATCGTGTCTCCATGTCCCATCAAGGATTTGGTTTCTGCGAGTTTGTCAACGATGAAGACGCTGAGTATGCGTGTAAGATTATGAACCAGATAAAGCTATACGGCAAGCCAATAAGAGTTAATAAGGTGGGTAGTTTATTCGGAATCCCCTGTACCCCGCTAAGTACGCTCAAATCCCAGGCATCAACTGATAGGAAGCAAATGGACGTCGGCGCTAACCTCTTTATCGGTAATCTTGATCCTTCAGTCGATGAGCGCTTGCTCTTTGACACTTTCTCTACATTTGGCCTTATGATGGATGTTGCAAAGGTGTGTTGCTTTCTTTTATGCCTTTTTTCACCTCTGAAACCTCAAAGATAGCGCGGGATGACACAGGTTACTCAAAAGGCTACGGTTTCATTCAGTACAACGACTTTGACAGCTCGGATCAGGCGATAACCGCAATGAATGGTCAATATCTCGTTAACAAGCCACTTACTGTCGATTACGCATTCAAGAAGGACGGAAAGGGTGAGAGACATGGTACAGACGCAGAGAGAATGCTGGCTGGTGAGGCTAAACGCAACAATGCACTTCCAATGCCTGGCGCTATTCCTGGTCAGCCATTCATGCAATATCAGGGTATGTTTGCAGGTGCATTATCTGGTAATCAAGGTGCTATGTCTGCTCAACCACCTGGTGCACCACTGCCATTTGGATTCACACCTGCACCACCACCGCCTGCACCTTATGGATTTAGCTAAATTTGTACATGTATATTGATTATTTATTGGAACATTCACCCAGACCGGTATCCAAACCCGGCACCGAAACCGAGACCGAGACCGAGACCGAAATCCCCAACGAGATTTGGAAGGGGGCTGTGAGATAGGTGTATGATTCATATGTGGAGGTATGAAATATAAGGTATGAGGTATGAGATATGAGATATTCGCTTATTCGGTATCTTTTGGATTGTTGTAGTGTCAGTGGCAATGGGAAATTCAACGGCAATGTCAATTAATATATGCAAAACAGTCTCAATTGTATTTAATAATGTTTGATAGTATTTAATTACATCCCAGCCATCTCCGTAGAATGGCCGTCGAATGCATGTCTTGAGGCGGTGTAATTGGCATACAGATAAGCTGCAGCACCAGCAACGATTAAATCCATTATATAAATATACATCTCCACATCCAATCCCGATACGCCTGCCTGCCCGGATGATTCAGTTACAAAAGATTGCGTGGGCTGAAGTTTGAACAGAGCCAATAGCGGTATTGACGGTAGCAGTGGAATCAGCGTTATCATCCACACGCAAAGTACAGCCGTATTTATTTGTGTAATTTTTGACTATTTAAGATATTTCATTGGGGATGATAGCTTCTTTAGATTAAACCGCGATCAAGTAAAGGATAATCTCAGCAATGGCGTTTGAGCAAGTTGTACCGCCACCAGCAGCTACGGCAGCTACTCCAGCTACTCCAGCTTCCCCAGTCTCCTCAATGAGCGCACCAATGTCACCGCCTTTGACGGACCAGAAGGGCGAATCAGACGCATATATCAGTGACAACGAGCTGCCACCTCCTTTGAACAAGGATACAGATCGTCGGTTGTTTCTTTTCGCCACACGAACCATTCTCACATCCCTTGTAGGCCCTGCAGACGCTGATATCGAAGACAACTACGTTCAGAGAACTCTAGCAAATGCAAAGCCTAAGCCACCAATCACTTGGTCTACTTTGCTGGGTGAAATTAATTACATTTCGACTACACTTTTACTTGGAGTGCCCATCATTTCCATCTATGGCGCTTTAACTACAGAGTTGAAATGGCAAACAGCCCTTTTCAGTGTTCTCTACTATTTCTTCACTGGTTTGGGTATCACTGCTGGATACCACAGATTATGGGCTCATAGAGCATATAACGCTTCTTTACCCCTTCAATATTTCCTTTGTCTCGCTGGCTCGGGCGCTTGTGAAGGTTCCATCAAGTGGTGGTCTAGAGGCCACAGAGCCCATCACAGATATACCGATACCGAACTTGACCCTTACAACGCTCATCGCGGTTTCTGGTACTCTCACGTTGGTTGGATGCTTGTCAAACCACGTATCAAGCCAGGTGTTGCTGATATCTCTGATTTGATCAAGAACCCTGTGATTAGATTCCAACAAAAGCATTACGTTAAGTTATTGCTCATCATGGGTTTCATTATTCCAACTGTTTTACCTGGTTTATTATGGGGTGATTACCGCGGTGGTTACTTTTACGCTGGTGCTGCTCGCTTGTTATTCGTTCACCACTCCACATTCTGTGTAAACAGTTTAGCACATTGGTTAGGTGAACAACCATTCGATGATAAAAACACACCAAGAAATCACTTTATCACTGCTTTATGTACTGTCGGTGAAGGCTACCACAACTTCCATCATCAATTCCCAATGGACTTTAGAAACGCTATCAGATGGTACCAATATGACCCAACTAAATGGTTCATTAGCGTTTGTTACGCACTCGGTTTAGCCACGCATTTGAAAATGTTCCCATCAAATGAGATTAAGAAGGGTGAATACACAATGGAATTGAAAAAATTGGAAAGAGTTGGTGAAGAAATCAATTGGCCAATTGACTCGAATGAGTTACCAGTTATTTCATGGACTTCATTTCAACAGCAAGCTAAAGAGAGACCACTGGTTTTGATTCATGGTTTCATTCATGATGTGTCTTCATTTATGGATGAACACCCAGGTGGAAAGCACCTCTTGTCAAAGCAAGTTGGTAAGGATGGTACAACGGCCTTCTTTGGTGGTGTATACGATCACTCCAATGCCGCTCACAACCTGCTCGCAATGATGAGAGTTGGTATTCTCGATGGTGGTATGGAAGTGGAGATACTCAAGATAGAAGAAGCACAAGCTAAGAAGAAGGAGCAAGCGCTGTCTATTGTTAAGGATATAGAGAATGAGCAAGACAGGAAGCGTGCGCACGACGAAGCAATGAAGGATGTCAAGAGGATTGAGCATGAGATGCAATTAGCCTTGCTGAGAGCACCACCTCAACAAGTGAGATCGAGGAAGGCCACGGATTACTTCCCACCATCCCAACAACTCAGCATAAAGAAGCAGGCTGATAGTTAGCTGTGCTGCTTCTTTTTTGCTATATTCTTGATGTCACTTTAACGTTCTTCTTTTGGCTATCTTTGTCTCTATTTCAACTCACTTCTCTATTTTTAACGATCTAGAATTGCAAATGTTTTCTTGCTGTGGTTATAACGAAAATCTTCAAATAAATTTCGAAACGTGTATTTGATTTGATATATTGAATTATTACATAAAATTACAAATTGTGAAGATGTTGGAGATAATTACTCATCCCAATCGAATTCTGGTTGTTCAGTCTCACCAGCATCTTGGGCCTTGCTAGCAAGAGAAGCTTGATGATGACGAAATTTAGCCAAATAAATTCTGAGAAGCTGAGTGTAATTCTCAAATCCCAATGCGGACATGGAGTGAATCAGGTCTTCGCCGTTAATCGTCTTCCTCTTTTCCAACAAAGATCTCTCTTGAGCTTCAGAGGTGATGAAAGAGATGAACTCAGAAACGCATTCTTGAACAGATTCCTTTGAATCTTTAGAAATTTTAACGTTATCAGGTAGAGAATTTTTCATAATTCTAGCGACGTTTGCGATCTGAGGTGGGTGAGTGGATATAGGTATAATAGGTGTAAATTACAGGGAGGAATCTGTCTTGCTCTTTAAACTCGCCTAATTCCGAATCAGTGAAATTTGGTGTATGCTTTAATGGCTGTATTGGATTAATTGGAATTGACATGATTGTTGTCCAGAGCAGCCATGTCGAATAAGATCGTTGAAGACGTCTATAGCGGCGTTATAAATGACGTTTCAAAGAACGTTAAATACGATTTTGAGGAGATGGGTATTGAAGATATCGTTTTACAGGAATTGCTAAGCGTTGGTCCACGAATTGGATTTATAGGTTGGGCTAATGATTTGTTAGATATGGCAGCATAAACTGGATGATAACAATAACAACAATCCATCAAACGATGATAATAACATTCTACAGTCTTTGATTAATCAGCAGCAGTCATTACAACAACAAGCAACTTCTTCAACCAATTTCAAGCAAGATTCAAATAAAATAAGCCTCGATGATTTCGACGATAATAAGGATTCTAAATCAAATGATAAGATTAAAGAGATGGATAATGACGATGACAACGCTATAAACTCAGATCTAGACGACGACGACGACGACGACGATAACGATTTGGATTCTAATGATGATATAGTACTCTGCTTATACGATAAAGTACAAAGGGTTAAAAACAAGTGGAGAATGCAACTAAAGGATGGTATTATATCGATAAACAACAAAGATTACTTATTCTCAAAGTGCTCTGGTGAATTCGAGTGGTAAAGCACAATGTACTTAACATATATATCCTCTTTCTCTTTTTCTTTGTTTTTCATTCGATCAGATGATGTTCCACCTCTTCCACCACCTCTATGACCAACCCACCCCCGCGACTAATCGCTCTCTCCCAATCCCAGCTAATCCTCATAAATGACGTTAACAAGCTCGATTACGTGGCTTTGAACAAGGATCTCAATTTACTCTTCAACTCCCCTAACAACCTCGTCTTGGCTGGTCATGACGGCGTTTTTCAATTTGATCCCTCAATTTCCAATTTATCAAATCTAGTTTTACCTGTTACCGTTGAGTAGTTAATTTGACGCGTTATTCATCCCTTACTTACCCCCCACAAGTCCCCTTCCTCCCCACATCACATTGAACCAATCACCGCTATTGACGCGTCTTCAAACACCCTCTACTTTGCTAGAGAACATAATGTTTACGCCTCTGATACTCTCCATAAGCGTATCCAACTCCTTTATCAAGGCCACACTGGTATAATCCTAGAGCTATCCCTATCAACCCACCAAACCCACCTCGCTAGCTGCTCAAAAGCAGGCGCTTTAATCCTCCACGATTTGATCCAACACTCGTACCACATCCTTAATTACTCCCCACGTGAATCCTTATCCTGTTGCGCGTTTTCCCCGCACTTCAATTTCATCCTATGCACTGCTACTGCGTCAGGAACACTCCTCATACACAACACGTCATTCTTAAATGACCCTCCTTACTTGATCTTCCCCAAGCTTCACCCCTCCCCAATCACCTCCATCGCCTACTCTCACGCTTCAAAATCTTTAATAGCAACTGTCTCAAAGGACGGCTGGATCGCTGTGATCGATATCGAGACTAAATCCGTAATAAGAGTCATCAACACCACTCACAATCTCACTTCACTAGCCTTCGAAGGCGCTCTTCTCGTAGCTGGTACTGCTGATGGTAGAATTTTCATTTACAATTTAAGATCTGGTTCATCTCCACAGACTATTAACTGCTCTAGCCATCCCATCGATGCACTCATCTTTCAAAAAGATAAGCGGAAGCCAGTTGGTCTTAAAGCGCGCGATTATGCTGTACATTTCGCTGAGCCGCTAGTGACTGATCAATCAAAGGATGATCGCTTGACACGTGATAAAAAGAGCAACTCTTCTTCTAACCTCTCAGCGTTAGCGATGAATCCTGCTCGCCATTCACTATCCTCTCTCATATCTTCAAGTGCAGTTCCACTACCACCTTCTAAAGATCCACCAAGAGACACACAAAAAGATACACAAAACAAAGAACTTTCAACTCAAAACCTACCAGTGTACATGCCCTCAAGCGCAGGTGCACTGCGTCCTAACGCCAATCTCACCGATAAAGTTAACTCTGACGAGCAACTTCATACAAGATCTAGGCGTACATCTGGCAACGCCGTCTCTCAACCACGTCCAGTCTCTATGGCCAACAGCACAGACAGTCACCTCGCCACAGTTAATGCCTCACTTAATCCAAATGCTAGTCTACCAAGAAGGCGCAGACATAGCAGCAGATCTGAGAATAGACCGCGCATCGATGAGGTAGATTGGTTTAAGGATCTTCGAGAGAATCGAGAGAAAGAAAAGACTTCGAAGCAAACAGCTGCGCCGGTTAGTTATCACAACAACAGTTTAAAAAGGAGTGGAAGCAGCAGCTCGTTGCGTCAATACGGCCACAATCATAGCCGCACCAATTCCATTGACAGGAACGCTGAGAAACCGGCATCCTTACAATCCACTCAGCCGTCACAAGAGGAAACGCTCAAAAAGTTGATTGAAAGCGCCAACGCTCTGAGCTTAAGCACTGAAATTCAGAAAGCTAGGGATGTACTGGAAGTGGGTGTCGTGAATTTTATTTTTAACATACTAACGAACAGCTCTCAGGGTGATTACAAAATCAAACTAGAGAGTTACTCTCAAGAGATACGTAAGCTTCGTTCAGAAAATGCACTGCTCAGGAGAGAAAACGATAGAATTCGGCGACAATGAATCGGATTATACCAATAAAAGTGATCTGACATAGTAGGCTAGGATGAGCCTCCTCTTATGTGGATTACATAATAATGTAGTATACACTTCAACTCTTTCCCCCCTTTTCCCCAAAACCATAACATCACAAGCGATGAAATATAAGTTATAATAGTCTTAATATCAAACAGTTGTATTATTTTAAATTATCAATACACGCAGTCATACACGCATCATAGCATCAATTGATTGAGTTTGACGTAGAAATTTTTAGCTCGCTGCAAGCTATTAGCACCACTTTAAGAGGGCAGAGAGTTTTGAGCGGTCAACCTATATTTCAGGTAGGTATTCATAATGAGGCTTCGTCAAATTAATTGAATCTGGTCAAGGCACCCTGCAAATAACCAAGTAAAAAAAGATTACGAATGCAGAGATACCATATAATGACAATTTGAACAATTTAACAAGATAATCGATTTTAACACGCCTTCAGCATTCCAAATTCATCCTCATATCAGGCCTCCCCTTAATAACCACTAACTTGAAATTCTCCCCTACCACCTAGTTCATCTCAGATGGTGATTTAAAAGTTATGATGATCTCCAAATAAAATAGCTTGATAGATAGCTGTGGCTGGGAAGAAAAGCAATTAGCCAGATTTATATCTTTGGTGCACCGAATTGCACTCAGCACGCCGATCGGAAACAATGGTCCGAAATCGCTTTAGAGCTCGCTATACGATAGATATGGTCGACTACACGCGATTTATCGATAGGGTGAAACTTCTCTAGCTGAAGGAGACCGCCAACACACAAAATTCTCTTTTATTCGGCTTGATAATCGCGATTTACGTTTTATGACTTGGCGTCCACAGGGCTTAATGCCGGCTCCAGGGAAAAAGTAAGGTCGTTCTGGATTATCGCAAGAGTATTAACTGCGATTTACGCAAAGAAAGGAGGGTCCACCCAGCCCTGAAATCGGGGGTTAGGTCGACCAAATGCATTTCGACATTTCAAATAATGGGAGTGTGAAGGCGATTAAGGCTGCTTTGGAATCTCAGAAAGTATTTTATTTGGAATTTTAATTTTAGATACCGCTTTATACTCCCTGAAACATGTGACATCTATCAGGACAAGTACAAAGCACATAACTAAGCCATTCATCATAGACAAACTATAATTTATCGCAAAATCAGTCGCTACTGGAGGATACCAATATTACTCAATTTTGCATTAACTACAGTGCTATTGGAAATACGCAATTGAGCATGCCATTCTGTGACCACATCACTACTTGAATTCATGCATATCGCGCACTGGAAGTCGTTCGTAAGTCGAACTCAAGATAGTTAAACTGTTGAATATAAGTAAAGCGTTTTATGAAAATCATCTATACAAGCGTCATATATCTAGTCGATCTCAACCACAAGGCTTATCTATCAAGGTTGATGGAATCCTAGTATATCTGTTAGCAGTAATCTAATATTTCACACCCAGCCCACCTTGAACTTGCTCTTCAGATGCACCTTCAATTCCGACATACTCCTCTCACAATCCTCAGCTCGGGATTTGAGTCCATCGATAATGGCGTCCAGAGCGTTGCAATCGGCCTCAATTTGCGACTGAGCTTTCTCTAGACTTATGTACACGAAAGAGTCACCAAGTTTGTATCTTTAAGAAGAGTAAGGACGTTATTTGGTACACAGCTCGGTTACTCACAACACGGGCTGATCTTCGTCAGCCAATTCCAATTCCATACTCAAGTCATCTATCTGCTCTCTTTCAGTCTGTGCGCGCTCTTTGTTAGCTTTGTGATTACCAGTGATAGCAGCTGCATACTTTTTTATCTGTCAACGCTTCTTCAATGTCTTCGAGGCGTTTGTTGTACTTTGAGAATTCATTTATTCTCGACTGGTCCTCTAATTGCCTGTGAGTGGAGTGTATTGAATATAAGTATCACTACTAACGCCATGTAACTTCCTCTGAAGCGTCTTCTTGGTTTTTCTCGAGCTGTTGCACAATGTAAACACAATGTGGCTCTTTACTGTACGGCAAATCCTCACCATACTCAGCGATGACATGTTCACCTAATCAAATCACTTGGATCAAGTCAAGCAGGTTGATCCGCTACGACGACCAAATCAGGAATAAAAATCAGTGAAATCCAAAGGAAAATGGATCCAGTGGATATTATTAATAGGGCTAATATAAAAAAAACATGGTTAATGACCCAGCCCATCAAGTATATATACATATTCGGCGTATGCTTATCTATAGCACTCTTATCACCAATTTGGGCACTTATTGATTATCCACTTAGTAACAGGCCAAACAAGGATTGGCCTTTGAGTAGATGTATACGCATTCGAGCATTTAGAATGATTGAACCCGTCATACCGCTCTGCGCATTCGATAGAGATTTGGGGAGGATACCAACAGAGCTACCTTACGCACATCTACTTAAGCGGTCTAAGTTTACCTATATACCTCCACTTGCAGAGGAGTATATCAGTGGGTGGCTTCGCAATCTCATTGAGAGTGTGGAAACGCTTCGGATAGAGAATGAGACAAAAGTCGGTGTTATTAATGAAAGATGGCTGCAGGATTACACACCAAAATTGGAAACATGTAGGCCAATTCAAATACCCTGTTACGTCTACTTTGATGAAAGAGTCTCACCTGCAAAAGCATCAACACTTGACTTAAACTTGGATTTGGAGGAAGATGATAAAGTCATGTTGCAGTTTCACGGCGGTGGATATATTGTAGGCAGTGCTCACGAAAACGATGTGACAGCAACGCTTTGTAAAGACTTTATCAAGTTTGGGTCAGTCAAGAAAATATTTAGCGTAGATTATAGATTAGCGTGGTATGCTCCATTCCCAGCTGCTCTGATAGATGCTATCAGCTCGTGGTCTTACCTGGTTAACCAACTTGAAATCAAACCACATCAGATAGTATTTAGTGGTGACAGCGCAGGTGCTAATCTCGCACTCGCATTGACAAGATATTTGATAGAAAACGAACTGCCGGGACCTTCAGGTTTAGTACTACATTCACCGTGGTCAGATATGACATTTTCACGTAGAGTGATGTCTACTTCATTCACCACGAACAAATACAAGGATATTCTCGAATCAACATTTTCGCCTTATGCCGTCAAGATGCTGACGCGTTATGTGGGAGTTGAGATGATTAATTCAGTGTATCTATCACCAATGTCTCAACGGAATGGTAAGGATGTTGAAACATTCAAACAATTTCCGTCAACGTTCATAATTGCTGGTGAATGTGAGATGTTACTGGATGAGTGCGTTGATTTGCACGAATCAATGATTAGAAGTGGCGTTGGATGTAGATTGCACATTGTTGGCCGTGGTGTACATGATCCAGCCATGTTCAGCTCATGGCAAGAACCAGAACGGAGTGAAATGTTTTATACATTAGCAAGGTAAGTACTACAAGAATAATTGATATCGATATTGAAAAATAAAACGCAGCTGGATTGATGGATTATTTGGGGTTCCCAAACCGGATTACGGGGATTCAAATCAAGTTTAAAGATGTAAAAATCATGTAAATTGTATTTTCAAATACCCAAACGCTGTTCCATAGTTTGCTGCTGACGACGTTTCTCATTTGCTTCGATAGCGTTGTATGGTGTACTGCTATCAATGCTTCTATCGAGGCTAGTATCTTGGCCGTCTCTTTGGAAATTCTTTTTATTCAAATCTTTTGAGAAATCCAATAAATCTTGTTGGGTTAGCGCTATCTTTGTCGGATCGCGTCTGAGCATTCTGATTGGTCAATTTTGAAGAGAGGCGAAGAGAAGAAATTTCACAAAGCGGAAATGTTCTTCTCGTACACCCAAGTGCATGCTTCTTACTGGCACAACATCTGGAGAGTAAGTAAAGCGTTAGACCAAGGAATCAATCTAATCAGAGTATTTAGCTACATTTCTGACGCTGTATACAAATCACTCAATTACTAAGAATGTTACTCAAGCAATTTGCTAAACAAATCAATCTCAATTCAATTCGTCAATTCGCAACTCAAGCCAGTTTGACTCAATTCAATCCAGCCACTCTTCACTTGAAGTCTGGCCAATCCTTCTCCGGGCGTGGATTCGGTGCAAATAACTCAAGCTTTGGTGAAACTGTATTCACCACCTCAGTTACATCTTACACAGAATCTATGACTGATCCTTCTTACAAAGGTCAGCTCTTGGTTTTCACTACTCCTTTGATTGGTAATTATGGTGTACCAAAAAACCCTTCCGGTGATCAAGGTCAATTTACTCCTGAAATGATGTTAGAATCTTCTGGTATTCAATGTTCAGGTGTTGTTGTTGCTGACGTCGCCGAGAAATTTTCACACTATGAAGCTGTTGAAAGCTTACACGATTGGTGTAAGAGACATAATATACCTGGTATCACAGGTGTTGACACTCGCGCCATTACAACGATTTTGAGAGATCAAGGTACTACTCTTGGTCAGATCGCTGTTGGAGAGACACATGAAACAAAGCCTGTTGAATATTTTGATCCATCACCTATCAATTTAATTGCAGAAGCTAGCACCAAGTCACCATACACTATAAATGAAAATGGCGATGTACACGTCGCCATCATGGACTTTGGATCAAAGGCAAACATTATTAGATCACTTATTAAAAGAAATGCAAAGGTCACAGTGTTGCCTTGGGACTACGACTTCCATAGTAACAGAGATAGCTTTGATGCGCTCTTTTTGTCAAATGGACCAGGTGATCCACGTCATGCATCAGTAGCTGTCGAGAACCTCAAGAAGACAATTCAAGATTACAAGAAGCCAATATTTGGTATTTGTATGGGTCATCAGTTACTTGGTTTGGCAGCAGGTTTGGAAGCTTACAGAATGACTTTTGGTAACAGAGGACACAACCAACCAGTTTTAGCGTTGGGTAGTTCAGGATCGATAAAGCAAGGTAGAGTTTATGTGACGTCGCAAAATCATCAGTACGCACTAAAGTTGGAGGAGCAGTTCCCAAGTGGATGGGAACCGTTCTTCATCAACTGCAATGATTCGTCTGTTGAGGGAATCAAGTCTAGCGAGGATTCAGGTAGAAAGATATGGGGAGTACAATTCCACCCTGAAGCGTACGGAGGACCATTAGATACGATAGAAATGTTTAGCGATTTCGTAAACTCAGCTAAGAGGATGCAAAATTCATAGAATAAATTATTTAAATGATGCAATAACTTGATCAGTACATTCGTATAAAGACTTTAGAGTTGAAACGCATTCCTTCTCAAGAGTTTCGTCGGAGCTATTTTTGTGCTTTTGAAGACAAGCGTCGTAGTCGTTGATAATATGACCACAGGATTGCTTAACGGCTTTGAGCTGAGGAACGCTGATAAGAGAGGGTCAGATGGAGGAAGAGCGAGTGAAGATATAGACCAACTTGTCATCAGCGCATTTAGTTAAATCTTCTCTTTGAGTTTTGCAGATGTTGTGCCAGTCATTGGATTGATTCTTGACGATACATTGCTGATAGTTATTCAGGAAAGTAGAGCACTTGTCTGCGACGATATCCAGGCTGCCTTCCATCGTTATATGGTTATTTACAGCCACCGTACAATGAACTTTTGGGAGTCCACCCAGCTAAATAAAATAATAAATAAATCTGAATTGAACAAAATAAATAAATTAGATAAGACAGTGCTACAGGGAGATTATTATAAGCTAGAGATTTATGCAATAAACACGCTTTATAAGTTTGGCAAGAAGATGACCAATAGGCAACGGGTGTTAAGTACAGCCGCAGTGTATTTGAAGAGGTTTTATCTGGAAAACAATTACTTAGAAACTGATTTGAATTTGATTATAATAACATGCTTATACTTATCAAGCAAGGTAGAGGAGTTACCTATTTCGATACGCGTACTATCTGCAGAGTCAAATAAGTACTTTAAGATGGAATATAGCCAGCAATCAATCGGTAAAATGGAATTTAATCTTATAAACGATTTAGATTGCCAGCTGATAGTACATCACCCCTTAATTAAGCAGTTTAATATTGAAGACAGTATAAAATCTTTAAGTCATTATATACTCAACGATATCTACAAGACGAACATAATTCTACAATATCAGCCATACAACATTACAATCTCAATCATTATATTCGCTTACTCGATTCAATCCAAATTAAACCAGCCAATTCAGCTGCTTCGTGATCTAAACTGCGATTTAAGCGTGGTGGATGAAATTATAAAGCAGATATATAACTTCTATAGCACGCTACCAAATGTCGTTGACGATGAAATTAAATTGTTATACTTAAATTCTCACTTGTAATTCATTTAAACGATTTCTTTCTTTTCAACTACTTCCATGCTGAGTAGAATATCAAGGAATTTTAAATTTGTTAGAAATATGTCCACAGTACCACTTCCTTCTGATTACAACTCTTTCCTCTACAAATCACTTAACCAAGCTGACCCTGAGATTGATCAAATCATCAAAGACGAAACTCATCGTCAATTCACCGGGTTAGAACTTATTGCCTCTGAAAATCTCACTTCCCTTGCCGTATTAGAAGCAAACGGCTCTATCCTCTCAAACAAGTACTCTGAAGGTTTACCTGGCGCTCGTTACTACGGTGGCAATCAACACATTGACAGATTAGAAAAATTATGTCAAAAGAGAGCCTTGGAAGCTTTCGACTTGGATGAAAACGTCTGGGGCGTTAACGTACAACCTTACTCGTGCGTTCAAATACTTAACACTTTTCTATCTTCTGACTTACTTTTAAAGCGGCTCTACTGCTAACTTTGCTGCTTTCACCGCTCTCTTACAACCTCAAGATAGAATTATGGGTTTAGGCTTGCCTGACGGTGGTCACCTTACTCACGGTTATTATACCGCAAAGAAGAAGATCACTGCCTCTTCCATCTACTTCCAATCATTCCCTTACCAAGTCGACAGATCAACTGGTCTTATCGACTACGACACTTTGGAAACCAACGCTAATCTTTTCAAGCCTCGCTTACTGGTTTGCGGTGGTTCTGCTTACCCTCGCGACTGGGACTACGAAAGATTGCGCAAGGTCGCTGACCAGCATGGCTCTTACCTTTTAATGGACATGGCTCACATTTCCGGTTTGGTCTCTGGTAAAGTTCAAAACTCTCCATTCGATTTGTGTGATGTCGTCACTACTACTACACATAAAACCTTGAGAGGTCCAAGAGCTGGTTTAATCTTCTTCCGTAAAGATAAGGAGTCCGATTTAGAATCAAGAGTTAATGCCGCTGTCTTCCCTGCTTGTCAAGGTGGTCCACACAACAACACTATCGCTGGTATCGCGGTTGCTTTGAAGCAAGCCTCCTCACCTGAATTCAAGGACTACGCAAAGGCTGTCATTGACAACAGCAGAATCATCGCTGAAGAACTCCTCAAACATGGCTACAAACTTCAAACATCTGGCTCCGATAACCACTTAGTGTTGTGGGATCTGAGACCTTTAGGTATTGCTGGCTCAAAGATTGAAACCATTTGCGATTTATTGCACATCACCCTCAATAAGAATGCTGTTGCCGGTGACACCTCCGCTGTCGTACCAGGTGGTGTAAGAATTGGTACAGCTGCTTTGACTTCTAGATCTATGAAGGGTGAAGAAATGAAGCAAGTCGCTCAATTCCTTCATCGTAGCGTTCAAATCGCGATTGAAGCTCAAAAATTGGCTGGAAATAAATTATTGAAGAACTTTGTCAATGTCGTCAACACTAACGAAAAGATTAGCAACGATGTCAAGACTCTTAACAAGGAAGTTCACGACTTTAGTGTCAAATTCCCATTACCAGGTGTTCCAGACACTTCAGTCATCCAGCCACCAAGCGTTTAGATTCTCTAACCAACTGGATTTGTTTCGTTTTCAATTTGCAGAGGCTTATTTTTTTTTTTAAAAAAAGCTATTTCTCTCTCAAAATTTGTATAAAATTATGATACATTTCAACATATGTAAAAAAAATTATCATTTAAAGTTTTCATCTTTTCCATTGACAAAATGGCGTAGAGATCTTCGCGATCATATTTGAATCGTGGTAGGGGGTCAACATATATGTCCCTCTTAGTTTGTTGTCCTCGCTGTCCAGCAGGCGGCGACTTCATGTAGTCCATTGACTCGTCTTGTGAATTGTCATAAACATCATCCATTATATCTATTGTCTGTTGATGTAATTGAGATGCTGTTATCGGTTGAGAATCAAAATCAGGGTCTGCATGTTCCTGAGTTGTTGCATTTGGCAGTAGACTATTATTGCCATTACTTGTATCAAACTGAGAGCGATCTTGAGACAAGTCTTGTGAATGACCCTGTGAATGCTGTTGAGACTGCTCATATAAATTCTTCTGTGATTGTTGCGACATTGCTAAAGAGGTATCTCGTTCCTGTGATTGCTGAGACATATCTTCAAACGCCTCTCGTGACTCTGGTACAAGAGTCTCATCTGCTACCACTTGTGTACCTTTAAAGAATGTTCCATCTTCTCCCACTTTGTCATTACTGTTATTGATAATTGGGAATTGACTTTGTGAGAGGTTAAAACTGACCTGAGATTCAACTACTTGAGATTGAGGTTGAGATTGCGATCGAGATTGTGAGTGCGGCTTCTGAGACTGTGACATCTGCAAATGCTCACGTCGTTGCGATTCAGTCATGGACTCAGGCATATAGTCATATACAGCCTGCATCGGAAAGCTCGATTCAATGCTACCTAAGGATGGTATGGGTGAGGATGTAAACTCATTTTCGTTACTCTCAAGTTTCCGTCGAACTTTACGTGGTGAAGATGCGACTTTGTTTGTCAATAAGCTCGATGGTTCACTCGTATTAATTACTTTCACCAGCGGTGTATTTAACACTACTTCACCAGATGAGCTAAAGTACTGTGTCTTTGAGGATGGGGTGGAAACGATTTCAGCACTATTAGTACTATCGTTCATATCTTCTGCCTCTTCGCGCTCTATATCTGCTGGAAAATCTAGCGGCCGCTTTCCTTTGTCTAGTCTTTCAATCTTCTTGAACCCTTTACGCTTCCTTTGTATCCCAATCCCTCTGCCTGGTTTACGTATTTGCATCTCACAGTCTTCTTCTTCAAATGCTGGACTGCTGAATGGTAGCAATTGATTTAAATACTTTAATCTTGTCTGTCTCTCTGGCGATTGAGGTTGTTGTGAGGGTTTTTTCGGCTTTTCCTGCAATGATTCCTGTATTTCCATCGGCAGTGAAAGAGCTGCCGCCTCAGCTTTATGATTTTGATGCTGCAACTCTAGCAAAGACCGTGTATTTGGAGATGAACTTGATGGTCGAGGTATCGGTAGGTTATTAATAGATGACGTCGAGTAATCCCCGGGTTGCTTCGACGATGTAGCTCTGACGTCTTTATTCACAATTTCTAAACCTTCATTGCTATCATTCGTTGCAGTATCAGCACTATAATTGGATCTTCGCAGCTGTTCAAGGACTATATCGGTCCCCGTAGAAGATCTATTCGAGGTTTTGGCTAATCCAGTCTTTAGCAATAATGGCGCTGGCCTTATTATTCTTGATTTGTAACCTTCATTGGAGCTACCAGCATCAGCATCCCCTTTACTTATACTATTACTGTTATCTTCTTCAAATTTCCTAGCACTAGTCTCGGTCATTTGTACGTCCATGCTCTTGTGATTACTATCAATAACAGGCATGATATCATGACTCTGACCACTACTATCTTCGTCATTACGCATTTCTGTATCAGCAGAGTGCCTAGAGCTTCGTTCATCAGCCTCGTCTCCTTCTATTAGATTCTGCTGATGCATTTTAATGCTTTGTTGCATGTTATAAGGTACCTGAGATTCATTAGGTAATGGAAAGGAAGAGTCTATTCCGTCGGTTGAGAGTAATTGATTATTTATACATTGCTGTGAATGCTGTGAATTATTTGAGCGTTGTGAAAGTTGCAAATACTTCTGTACTTGATTGGATTGTGATGGAGGATGTCGCGTAGTTGACAGCTTGGCCTGCGACGGCACATTGGGCAGATCTTGCATGTTCTGCAAATCATGGTTTAATCTCTCGATAGACTCTTCGTTCTTCATTTTCTTTTCTTTAGAGTTAACATCATTAGGCGTTTTCTCTTTTTCGAGCGATCTATCAATCGATTGGGGCATTTGCTGGGAGCTGAAATAGCCCTCATAGCCAATTTGGTTGAATGGTAGTTCTTTACTTGAATTTCCTGAAAAGTTGGGGTTGTATACTGTATCATGTTATCAATTGTGTCTTTCAATTGAAGAACACACACCTCCGGTCTTGGATAAAAGCAACTCTTCGTCTTCTGACATCCAGCATATTTCTTCGTCAAGTGTCATCCACTGCGAAATCATAAGACTGAAACATGGTAAGAGATGTAACTCACGACCGGCCATTGAGAGTGTCTAAACAGATGCACATTAGGGTGACGAGTTAAACCAGGATTACTTCCATGGAGTTTTGGTGCAGCTAGATTGGTATCGGGATTTAATCTCGAGATATTCGTGTCATTTGTGTATGGCGACATGCTTTTGTTTACCGCTTGCCTTTGTTCGTCATTCTCATCAAGTGTTGCATGTCTTGACAGTGGCTTTGATTTTGTTAAATTGGAGAGCAAATGGTATTACATACTCACGGCAATTTTTGATGACTTTCTGCCGAGAATACTCGACTTTCTTGAGAGTGCACCAGCAGATACACTCGAGCTGCCACTGCGACTAACGAGATAATTAGACACATAAAAGGGGATCAGTATTACCACACACAGTTGATTTAAAGTGAAGTCGCTGATGAGTTGCTCGCCCATGATATCTGTAGGATCGCCGAAGACAGGTTCACCGAGGCAACCTTTGATGACAAAGTCATCAACGACAAAGTAAAGAGAAGGCTTGTGTCTAATGCGATTCGTTCCATCGCTTATTTGGTTGAGGGAGTCGATCTTACCGATCTGAGCTTTCCATTGTAATAGAAAGACAATGGATCCACCCAGTTGGGTGAATCTCAAGTCATCGTTAGCACCTTCAAAAGCGATTAAAGCATTTCGAGTGAAGTAACACGGTATCCTAATATCTTTATCGCTGGCGATAGCCCACCAACTTTCACTGGAATTGGTGCCTTCTTCGATGGGAGTTTGGGTGCATAGAAATTTACGGAACTAGAAGATTAAATTAGATTATGTCTTTTCGCCATCTAAAACCACTCACTTCGATCAGCTGGACTTTCTTGGGTTTGCAGTTAGTGTATTCATTTATCGCGATATTCTCTTGGACATTTTTATTGTAATATTCCAGGAACCATGCTTTTATCCATGGATTCAAACTCTCCATTGGCTGCTCTCTATCGCGATGATGACCGTTTAGCTTCAATACACGTTTAATACTGCTTTTAATTTTTATATTTTCCGAGTTTCATTGGTGCTTACGTTCTCTAAACACCCACTTTCTGTTTAACCGCGTTTTACTTCCCTTCGATAAGCACAAGACGGGCACGTGATAGCAACGAGGCATAATATGACTTTGAGGAACAAGCATGTACTAGGTTAGAATTAAAGGTCTATAATTAACATTTTAAACTATACAAACACTGTGATAAGCAATAAAGACAATTACAACTGATTAGACTATCGATAAAAAGCTTTCGAGATGGATTTTGTGGGACTTTAGCGTGATTGAGATGGGCATATGGCTGACGGTGGTTTCATGCCTGTTCATTCCCGACTTCATGCTTGACTTCATGTCCCCCAGACTGAGAATCGTTGTTTACTTTTTCGGTTGTTGGGTTTGAATGAACCCCAAAGTTTTGAATTGAATGTTCACCTTGAAGCAACGCTGGAACATCAGCAGTGAGAACGTCATAAAGATCAGACTCTGGTTCTCCCAGTTCAGCCAAATCCATACCCATTATTTCGTCATCATCGTCTGCTCTGAACTGACATCCTGGAATGAGGTTGATGAGGAATAGAAGGATGTAAGTCATAACGAATGAGTACGCAATAACAGTAACTGTGTCAGCGAGCTGGTAGCCTAACTGAACAAAGTGACCATCGAGCCTTCGCAATGTTAGCAGAAATTCATTAGAAAAGTCAAACTCACCATCCACCGTCAATGGGGTCTGATCCATCGAAACTTGCAACACTCGATTGAGCAAAGATTGCGGTGAGGATGTTGCCGCATATACCAGCAACAGCTAGTCAAAATTAAGTAAATTCTTTTCAAATTATTCCATATATACTCACCGTGAGCACTGAAAATATCCAATGCGTCGTCAATGCGCACGAGGTCTTTCAGCTTAGTTCCGAAGTTGCTTGCTAATGCGCCAATGAAACCAAAGAGGAATGATGCAGGAGTTCCAACATAGCCCGAGGCAGGTGTAATGCAAACCAAACCAGAAATAGCACCAGAGCAGAAACCAACGACTGAAATTTTTCTTTCAAGCCTGTAGTCGAGTAAAACCCAAGTGAGACCACCCATTGATGCAGCTGTGTTTGTGACAATACATGCTTGAGCTGCACGGAGGTTTGCGCCAAATGCAGATCCACCGTTGAAGCCAAACCATCCAATCCAAAGAAAAACAGTACCTAGAAAGACAAGGACAGGGGAGTGTGGTCTGAATGCGATTTGATTTGTGCCATATCCTCTTCTCTTGCCAACAAAAAGTGAAATTGCGAGGGCAGCAACACCAGCGTTGATGTGAACAGGAGAACCACCGGCGAAATCCAGTGATCCCAAAACAGCCATCCAACCATCTGAATTCCAGGTCCAGTGAGCTATTGGATTGTATACAATGATCGTCCAACACAAGATGAAGAGCATTGAAGGAAGTAATCTGCCTCTTTCTGCGAGCGCTCCAAGAGCAATAACAATAGTGATACACGCAAAAGTACCTTGGTACCAAGCGTGAACGAGCATAGGTAAGTTTGATTGATCCTGATCTAAAATATCTTTGAAACCACCAAAAGACTGTAGGTCACCAATGTAACCGCCGTGAGAGTTTCCAAAAGTTAAGCTGTAGCCCATGCAGACCCATTCCAAGGAGACAACTGCGATACCGATCAAAGACATAAAAAGGAGGTGCATTGCGTTTTTTCTGCGGGTAAGACCGGCATAGAAGAGGCCAAGACCAGGTATCATTAGCCAGACCTAGCAGAGGTTTAGTGAGAGAGCCTGGAAGCAGGAAGATTACTGACAAGGAATGTGGAAGTGAGCTGCCATGCAATATCGCCCTGACTGTATACCTGTGGATTACCGGAAGACATTGGTAAGTTGGCTAATCAGTTGATAAGAGGGATGGATGTAGATTGAATAGAATACTCACGGTCTGGAAAAGCGACCATGTCCTGAAAGATATCAGCGTGGTTTACATAAGGAAAATTGAGGACTTACAGAGGTCGTTGGTGAAACTGAACCATCTTGCTGGAGAGCGCCATATAAAATGTTAACCATAATGTTTCTTGGATGAAGAAGGGGCAAGAGCTCTCAAATATAAAGACTTCTTATCTGCATGATTGATTTTTTTTCATTGATAAGATAAGTACCTGAATGGGCCAAGAGGGTGGGATGATACACCGATAGCTGATATGTGATGAGATAAGGCTGATGTAATGCTTCTAAATGGCTTCTGCATGGCTACTAAATGGCTCAGGCTGGTATCGTAGTGTGCTGGTTTTGGAAGGTGTTGTAGATAAGGAATTTGAGGCGTGGGTATTTGAGGGTATAATGGCTTAAGCAATAAAATTAGGAGTATACAGATGTAAATCCAATAGTAGATAATTGTAATTTAGCTGATAAGTACAGGATAATTTGATTGGTCAAGGGGATAGATATTGACGATAAATGATACTAAGACCGCCTAAACTGCAAAGATGTATATTGAGTAAGGTAGAATAATATTTTAAATTAAAATATTCGAACTATGTCATCATCACGGCTCCAACTCAAATCAACTCTTTTTCCCTACTAGATCATCCTTAAAAATGTCAGCAATTGCTCAATTAGTTGAAGTAAGTAGATTAAATCTTATTGCTCCCTTTTAATCAAATTTCGCAGAAAACAATCGCAGAGAACGTTATCGCTGTATTCTCTAAGGCCTATTGTGTGAGCCTATTTAGTCTTAATTTATGAGACTTATTTACATGTTACAGCCATTCTGTACTCGCACTAAGAGCTTAATATCAACACTCCCAGTTAAGAAGGAAGATGTGGCTATTTTAGAGTTAGTTTATTGCTTATGAATCGAGGATATCATAACTGAAGGTCACAGGTTAGACCAAATGTCCAATGGCTCAGATATACAAGATTACCTTCACAAGAAGACTAATCAGGTTGGTTAATGGTCAGGTTATGTCATCAAACTCTAACAACCTCAAAAGAGATCTGTTCCAAACGTTTTCGTTAAACAGCAGCGTAAGTTCAGTAGTCGGACCACATATTTTGACTTATATTTCCACTATAGACATCGGTGGTAACGACGACTTCCATGCTGCTCACTCCGCAGGAAAGATTCAAAAGTTATTAGAGTAAATCGTTCATTGCAAATACACTATTGATGATCTAACTATTGGTCCGTTTACTTGTAATCTTTCCTCAATCTGCCCTTGATGCTCATTCTGCGCTCCTTCTCCATCTAAACATCGTGGTGACGAAGAAGATGACGGCGTAGATGCTGATGTTCTTATAACGCCGTCTAAATAATTTGACTGTGTTTTATCCAAGTATTCAAAGCTGTACTCCCTCGAACGTCTTCTCATTATCGATGGAGTCGCTCTCTGCTTCTTCTCGATCTTCTTGCTTAAAAATTCTCTGCCCATTATAAAAAAACCAACTATAAATACTTCAATTTGTTGATCTTGAGATCCTTTTAAGTTGTTTCATTTTAATTTACTCACCAAAATGTTGGGCGTAGAATTTGAACCAACTGTTAATTCCAATCATTGGTTGTCTCTTTTTTCTTCAACCGCTTTGCCCTTGCCATTCTATTCACTCAGAACAAAATAACAACACATCAGTATTCCAAATTCCATCTCAAAATGCGGTAGACGAATTTCAAGGACTACATAGCAATGCTTGCATAATTGTTGATATTTATCAATACTACCCTATTTATGAATCCGTTTCTGATGTCCTTCGTTCGTCAGTGGAACGAATCAATCCGATTGATCAAGGGTGTACAGCTCTAAAATTTCCCAAACACTTTAAAAACAACTTGAGTTGATTCCTATCATTTGCTTGAGGGGCTAATCAATGAGGGGGTTGAGTAGCAGCTTTTCTAAGCGTGTAACGCCATATCAAGATTGTATCAATGCTCTAAAGTCTATTACGAAATACCTGGTTCCTGCAATACGTATTTCTGCTGAGATTGCAAGATACCACAAAACTCCCAAAACATTTAGTGGAAATCAGGGCTCTTGGGTTATATCGAGTTCTGAAAACTATGTGGAAGTGATGATCCGGCACTACTCTTGGGCACGCAATAAAGGAGATACGGCAGATTTCACCTGTATTGACAGCTAGAATAATTTGAAATTCACACGTTTCAAGCATTTTTAAATTAAAGCTTCTAAGATGTATCTTGCATGTTAAGACACGTTGCGTCCACGGGTGACTTAATTTGGGTTCTTGGATAAGTATCAGTGGAAGCCCTCGCCTATCACCTCTCAACAATAAATTTTGTAAGATAAACTCGGCTCAGACCAACTCTCCAATTTAGATTTCGAATCTGGTTGATAATAAGAAAAAAATATCGTAAGTAAAACACTGAGGGCAGAGATGAAGTTCGAAATCTGAGTAAAACCTTAGAGGCTGTAATTTTTTTACGTCTTAAATAACGGTTAGTAATGCCGGATAAAAACTAAAAACCCTGTCCTGTAATTATTTCCAAATAATTCAAGAATCATGAGATGCTTTACAGTTTTTTCTCATAATGATCGCCTTCGAAACATTTAGAAGATCAACCACATCAGAGCGATATCGCTCTTTCCTTTTGTCTGGTACCTATTTTGACCCTATGAAGTATGAATCATTATGTATGCATTTAGTTTCTGAATTTCCAGGAGGTTTTGGCACGACGAGTTCAGAACCAAAAGAGTGCATATAACTTGAATGATCGAAATCGATAATTATGGCAAATACTCACTGGCAAAGTTAGGATAAACCAGTCTACTTATTGCTAAGAGAGTAAATCGACTACACCTAACCCGCTAAACAAGTAAAAGGAGTTATCTTTGTAGATATATCAAAATCCCCGAAAAGGATAGGATAGGGTATGCTCAAAAGTGACCGGATTGGAGTGCCAATTGGGCCACTTGAATTCAATTGTGTCAAGATGGCAGACAATGAACATAAAGACTGACCTTGGCCATTAAGTGTAGGGTGTCATTCGGTTGTTCAGATGAGTGGAGGTGGAACTGAAGTGAGAAAGACATAGCGTTCGTGGTATGAGAAAGCCCATAATTTTGCTATATTAATTTTTTCAATTATGCTTTCCCGTCCTCATCTCTATTATTACAACATCCTTAATGTTGTTTTGTTCCACTTGTACATTTCGTCTGAACTATGAAAGTTGGAATGCACCTACTGTTGCAAATGTGTGAATTAATTTAGCATGTTGATTACTTTCTAAACTATACAGTTCGTCATAAAGTTTTAAGTATAAAGTTGAAATGAAATTAACCTTTTGAAAATCATCGTCTAGAAGTTGAACTGAGGCTCCTGAAAACAGTCAGCTCTAGTGAAATGATTAGGAACAGTATTCCTAAACTCGAAACCTTTTATCGTCACTTTATGAAGACGTCACGCGATGTTTCCGCCAAGTATCCGCCAAGTATCCGCCCACTGATCTAAAAAGGTACGAACGAAGTATTTGTCTACGTATCGTATCTGTGGTTCCTTATAACTCATAAAAGCTCAGTCTTATCATATGCTGATGCTTAAACCACATACCCTTCAAGTAAAGTCTGACGCGGATGAATTGAGGCTAGCTGTGGCTAATATGATGATGAAATAGTATTTACAACTTAAGGCAAGCAGGATCAGAGATACGAATTCAGATTCGAAGAGAAATAATATTTATAACAAGCTCTGCTTGACTCTGGGAACACGAGTTGCAACGAAGGCCTTCGAGGGTAACATTTTGATGTTTTCGTGTCGATCTAAGCGCATGTTTACAAGATTATGAGAGGCCAGCAAGCCGCAATAGCCCCCAAACATTAATCGGAAAGGCTGAAATGAAAAGTGGACAAAAAATGAAACTTTTTTGGAGCCCAGAAGTCTAATAATTTAAAGCACATCATTAACTGTTCATCGCAGTTTACCCACGAGGACTCATAATGCCAAAATGCGTGCACTAGGTTAAGGTAAAGTTACCCGATTATTCATCTGTTCGCCTTTTATCATTATCGCGATAACTATGCGAAAATTAGAGTCGCAATCGACATCGTCTTCTATTCTGCCAAAACGCGTACACTAGGTAACTTTAACCTTAGGAGCAATTGAAGGTATATCCGAACAGACACTTATTTGGCTGTATCGTATCGTCTTCTTAGATCCAAGAATCACTCTTCACTTAACAGAATCGTACTTCAACATGCTTGACCCGAGCTCTAGAAAATGTTGAGGAAAGATGCATTGATTCTCATGCTGAGTAATGTAGGCTTTTGTTAAGCTTAGTTTAATAGGTATACGGCTTTGTTGTCAACTTTTCCGCTTCGCTGATACTTACTCATCATCGTAAGGGGGTAATGGTACCAACTTTAGAAAACGGCCATGATCACATGTCATTAATGTATATGATTGACAGGCTAGATTTCTTATCTAAACTTAGCAAGTCACTCGTACATGTCGCAGCTAAGCTAATACGAAAAAGTGGTTTAAGACACATTAGGCTTTAACGCATGTGTTAGAGCAATTTCATCGTAGCTAAAACATCATTGTCAATATGACATCGCAATTATTTGAGTTAGATCACGAAATAACTTTATCTTTCCAGCAGAAAAAGCTCACATATTGCGAGTAGCGGGATGAACATAAGATAAAAGTAGAAGCACAACTATCAAACATTAAATATCACTTGACCACACCAGCAATTATGGGTAATACCTCTCTTAGATTTGAAACCTTGCCGAATGGGGCGTCATTCAATCATTTCTCCCAGGACAATCTTTATCGCTTACTTGACCTCATCGAATTTAGCAAATGGTCAGGGTAGTCAAGAGTAATTTCGAGAATTACTCATAAAAACCTATTGGGTTGGAAAGTAGTGAACATCAAAATTGTTGAACGAGTAGCTTTATAGTGTGGCCCATCTATAATTACGATCTCATTACTTGCAGTAGATCTCAAGTGCGTCACGCTATCAACGTTAGAGAATGTCACACTTACATAACTGAAGCGCTCTATATCATTTTGTAAGTGGCTTAGCGCGCTAGATGCTAACCTCGTCAATATTATTGATGAAGTTGGCATATGTGACATCGTTCTACTGACAATTATGCATTTGGCTCAATGCTAAGAAAACAAAGTGCTTATCTATACTCAAGAGAGAGTATACAATTTACTGAGATTTCCGTTGCAGGCAATCGTTTGTTAAGATATTCATTTTAAATGGAAACTGTTACGAATTGATCTAAATTTGACGCTAAGAGTTAAACTGCACTAAATATTAGGGCAAGAGAGAATGAAATAGAGCTAACATCCTTGACCTGTGCTTGTCACACTAGTGAGACAAAGTCCGAGATAAACTTCTTACTCAAATGAGCTACTTCACTTAACTGTTGGCGACCCAAATCATACTTGTATTACATTGATGAAACTCCAAATCTATCAAAACATAACTGATAGAGCCCTACAAGGCTAACAATTTATCAGTATGTTAAATAATAATTATTTCCAAGCGGAAGACACGAGGTACTGCATAATCCGTGATTGGCGAAACAAACTGCTTCGAACATTTCTTTTTCGCTATAAAAAAGTCATCATGACACGCTCAGAAAAAGTATTTAAAGGCTCTTCAAGAAATAAGAACTATTGTTTAGTTCCAACTTCAAAAGTCAAAACTGGGTTTTTTTCTACTTACATATCTATAAAAGCCGTCAAATAAGTAATTCTTCTTGGGCGCTTTACCTACCTTGTCGAAAAAAAAAATACTCATTCGCCTGTTTGATTTGTTGGGATGTATTTCATTTGAATTGCCTTTATCGGTCTATTAAAAACTGTTTGATCGAGTGAGGTGAGAAACCCGTTGTGTAACCAATGTGAGAAAAACACAAAATTTATGTCGGTCGGAGATAAAAACGATGAAAGTACTATATGCTACAGTTATGACACAAGCATGAATGGCGATTTGACTTCATAATTCAACCTAAACTTCCTTAGATGATTGACAAAAACGTCGTGATAACCTCCTTCAAGACTATTACCCCCTACTACAAGTCCTGATATACCTTTAGATTATTATTTTTATCGTTTATAATATCCTACTTTATTTAGATCTCACAAACTATGAAAACGTAATGATTTTTTCAAAGTAAATTTCATTCTTTGAGAAGAACAATTTTCTCGAAAGCGTTAGAAGTGTAATTATGAAATGAAGTTAGTGTTTTTCTTTTTTTTCGCCATGGTTAGCTTTGGTCGTAAAATATGTCTCCCAGATGTGAAATTCATTGTCGATAACATGATTTCTTAATAATTCATACAACTTTAAAGGAGGTTGATTTGGGCACTCTAGATTTTTTTACCTTTAAAGTCCTAAAGTTTGAACGTTTACTTCGGTACTCAACTGAATGCTTCTTTTTTTTTTCTTGCTCTTCTCTCGTTTTAATTTAGATAGGTCTTTCAGAGGTTAAACATTTCGATTGATAAAATCCTAGACTTAATTTTTTTTAGTTCACGTTTATCATTATGATTTGTAATAGTTGGTTTATAGTGAAATAATAGTAATTACTTGACTTCAAAATTCAAAGATTCATCATTGTACAATCCAGAAAAATTCAAAGTTGTAAAACTTGTAGGGCTCCAACAGTTATATTTTGATAGATTTGGAGTTTCATCAATGTAATACAAGTATGATTTGGGTCGCCAACAGTTAAGTGAAGTAGCTCATTTGAGTAAGAAGTTTATCTCGGACTTTGTCTCACTAGTGTGACAAGCACAGGTCAAGGATGTTAGCTCTATTTCATTCTCTCTTGCCCTAATATTTAGTGCAGTTTAACTCTTAGCGTCAAATTTAGATCAATTCGTAACAGTTTCCATTTAAAATGAATATCTTAACAAACGATTGCCTGCAACGGAAATCTCAGTAAATTGTATACTCTCTCTTGAGTATAGATAAGCACTTTGTTTTCTTAGCATTGAGCCAAATGCATAATTGTCAGTAGAACGATGTCACATATGCCAACTTCATCAATAATATTGACGAGGTTAGCATCTAGCGCGCTAAGCCACTTACAAAATGATATAGAGCGCTTCAGTTATGTAAGTGTGACATTCTCTAACGTTGATAGCGTGACGCACTTGAGATCTACTGCAAGTAATGAGATCGTAATTATAGATGGGCCACACTATAAAGCTACTCGTTCAACAATTTTGATGTTCACTACTTTCCAACCCAATAGGTTTTTATGAGTAATTCTCGAAATTACTCTTGACTACCCTGACCATTTGCTAAATTCGATGAGGTCAAGTAAGCGATAAAGATTGTCCTGGGAGAAATGATTGAATGACGCCCCATTCGGCAAGGTTTCAAATCTAAGAGAGGTATTACCCATAATTGCTGGTGTGGTCAAGTGATATTTAATGTTTGATAGTTGTGCTTCTACTTTTATCTTATGTTCATCCCGCTACTCGCAATATGTGAGCTTTTTCTGCTGGAAAGATAAAGTTATTTCGTGATCTAACTCAAATAATTGCGATGTCATATTGACAATGATGTTTTAGCTACGATGAAATTGCTCTAACACATGCGTTAAAGCCTAATGTGTCTTAAACCACTTTTTCGTATTAGCTTAGCTGCGACATGTACGAGTGACTTGCTAAGTTTAGATAAGAAATCTAGCCTGTCAATCATATACATTAATGACATGTGATCATGGCCGTTTTCTAAAGTTGGTACCATTACCCCCTTACGATGATGAGTAAGTATCAGCGAAGCGGAAAAGTTGACAACAAAGCCGTATACCTATTAAACTAAGCTTAACAAAAGCCTACATTACTCAGCATGAGAATCAATGCATCTTTCCTCAACATTTTCTAGAGCTCGGGTCAAGCATGTTGAAGTACGATTCTGTTAAGTGAAGAGTGATTCTTGGATCTAAGAAGACGATACGATACAGCCAAATAAGTGTCTGTTCGGATATACCTTCAATTGCTCCTAAGGTTAAAGTTACCTAGTGTACGCGTTTTGGCAGAATAGAAGACGATGTCGATTGCGACTCTAATTTTCGCATAGTTATCGCGATAATGATAAAAGGCGAACAGATGAATAATCGGGTAACTTTACCTTAACCTAGTGCACGCATTTTGGCATTATGAGTCCTCGTGGGTAAACTGCGATGAACAGTTAATGATGTGCTTTAAATTATTAGACTTCTGGGCTCCAAAAAAGTTTCATTTTTTGTCCACTTTTCATTTCAGCCTTTCCGATTAATGTTTGGGGGCTATTGCGGCTTGCTGGCCTCTCATAATCTTGTAAACATGCGCTTAGATCGACACGAAAACATCAAAATGTTACCCTCGAAGGCCTTCGTTGCAACTCGTGTTCCCAGAGTCAAGCAGAGCTTGTTATAAATATTATTTCTCTTCGAATCTGAATTCGTATCTCTGATCCTGCTTGCCTTAAGTTGTAAATACTATTTCATCATCATATTAGCCACAGCTAGCCTCAATTCATCCGCGTCAGACTTTACTTGAAGGGTATGTGGTTTAAGCATCAGCATATGATAAGACTGAGCTTTTATGAGTTATAAGGAACCACAGATACGATACGTAGACAAATACTTCGTTCGTACCTTTTTAGATCAGTGGGCGGATACTTGGCGGATACTTGGCGGAAACATCGCGTGACGTCTTCATAAAGTGACGATAAAAGGTTTCGAGTTTAGGAATACTGTTCCTAATCATTTCACTAGAGCTGACTGTTTTCAGGAGCCTCAGTTCAACTTCTAGACGATGATTTTCAAAAGGTTAATTTCATTTCAACTTTATACTTAAAACTTTATGACGAACTGTATAGTTTAGAAAGTAATCAACATGCTAAATTAATTCACACATTTGCAACAGTAGGTGCATTCCAACTTTCATAGTTCAGACGAAATGTACAAGTGGAACAAAACAACATTAAGGATGTTGTAATAATAGAGATGAGGACGGGAAAGCATAATTGAAAAAATTAATATAGCAAAATTATGGGCTTTCTCATACCACGAACGCTATGTCTTTCTCACTTCAGTTCCACCTCCACTCATCTGAACAACCGAATGACACCCTACACTTAATGGCCAAGGTCAGTCTTTATGTTCATTGTCTGCCATCTTGACACAATTGAATTCAAGTGGCCCAATTGGCACTCCAATCCGGTCACTTTTGAGCATACCCTATCCTATCCTTTTCGGGGATTTTGATATATCTACAAAGATAACTCCTTTTACTTGTTTAGCGGGTTAGGTGTAGTCGATTTACTCTCTTAGCAATAAGTAGACTGGTTTATCCTAACTTTGCCAGTGAGTATTTGCCATAATTATCGATTTCGATCATTCAAGTTATATGCACTCTTTTGGTTCTGAACTCGTCGTGCCAAAACCTCCTGGAAATTCAGAAACTAAATGCATACATAATGATTCATACTTCATAGGGTCAAAATAGGTACCAGACAAAAGGAAAGAGCGATATCGCTCTGATGTGGTTGATCTTCTAAATGTTTCGAAGGCGATCATTATGAGAAAAAACTGTAAAGCATCTCATGATTCTTGAATTATTTGGAAATAATTACAGGACAGGGTTTTTAGTTTTTATCCGGCATTACTAACCGTTATTTAAGACGTAAAAAAATTACAGCCTCTAAGGTTTTACTCAGATTTCGAACTTCATCTCTGCCCTCAGTGTTTTACTTACGATATTTTTTTCTTATTATCAACCAGATTCGAAATCTAAATTGGAGAGTTGGTCTGAGCCGAGTTTATCTTACAAAATTTATTGTTGAGAGGTGATAGGCGAGGGCTTCCACTGATACTTATCCAAGAACCCAAATTAAGTCACCCGTGGACGCAACGTGTCTTAACATGCAAGATACATCTTAGAAGCTTTAATTTAAAAATGCTTGAAACGTGTGAATTTCAAATTATTCTAGCTGTCAATACAGGTGAAATCTGCCGTATCTCCTTTATTGCGTGCCCAAGAGTAGTGCCGGATCATCACTTCCACATAGTTTTCAGAACTCGATATAACCCAAGAGCCCTGATTTCCACTAAATGTTTTACTGCTCAATCCTTGTAACCTTGATATGTTGCCGAAGTTTTAAAGAATGTTCCAAATTTTCGCACTCGTGAGCAAATCTAATGACTTACCTAAACTTTCTCGGTCACTTGCGAGTGTCTTCGCGGCTTTATAGCTCTGCTTCAATAGAAGCTTGCGGCCAGGCAGATGGGCCGGAGTTATTTAACGCGTCCATCGAATACGTCATCAAAGACATCTATTCAGGCTGATCGGTTAGGCTGACTTTGTGTAACGCCAACGTGATTACAAAATGTAGGCGGGATTGTTTATCGGTATCCCTATCCAAGGTTGCACTAGACTCATAACGATCCACTAGCGAAAACATTGTTCTTTGTTATACTTCGCTTCCTGAATAATAATCGCAACAAAAGGCACCTTAGCGGAGCCTTGATCCATTCGAACGGATGTACTATAGTACTAAGGTATGTTGAACATCACCTATATGCTCTACAAACTGAAACAAAATAACTAGAGTATCAACAATGCCAAATCAAGAGCAAACACGAGCACGACGTTGGCGGATGAAATTGAGGACAAATTTGTCACGGAAAGAGATCACAATGGAGTTAATAACGGCACTCAAGAGCCGCAATCTTATTTACCGATGATTCTTGCTGAAAATATTCCATCTTACTACGAGGGCTATGGATATGAGCACATCAACAGTACAGAAACTGGAACATACTTTTCTTCACCACCAGCAAGCAGTTATCAATTTCAACAGCCTAGCATGCAAACTCATTACGAGGACGATCAAGCAACGACACGACTGGTTAGTCACGGTCCCATAGATGCAGCACTGCTTCAATACAATGACAAAAGTAATTTTGAGATCTCTCCACAAAATACTGTTGCTCTTATGGACCTTCATGGAATTAATAATTATCAATACCCATCGCCATCACCATGTAAGTTCGCACCGAAATTAAAAGAGCTTGACGACCTGACACCACAAAGACACCAACAGGTGTGATGTGCACCAGTATCCGGCGCATTATTGTACGTGTCAGCTAAGTCGAGAAAGTTTCTTCTGAACACACAGCCTAAGGGAGTCAGACAAATGATTTAAGTCAACAGGATCTTTCAGGTGAGTCTTTGATCGTAGATCAGCGCATTATTTGAACAGTTTAGCCTATGCGATAAATGACGCTGCCTTATGTGATTATACAGGTGTAGATCACACCTTGGCTGACGATGGAATATATAGACATATGAAACCACCTCCACAAATCTCACAATCACCTCAGTACTACTTCCAGCCTTTTTTCAATCAAGCGTACCCTGCTAGCGGTTCACAAAGAACCCCATCGATTCCATTCCGCATCTCGACTGAAACAGAGTCACCCAAAGGGGGTGTTTATAGTGCGTGAAAACTAATCACTGTATTATAAGCTAACAAGGGCACTAGCAGTGAACAATGCTAAGATGCATGCTTCGTCATCGATTCCACAAGAGTCAGCTTCAAGAAACAACGATGCTACTGCTAAGCCAAGCGCGACTTCATCCAGCAGTATACGTAGCGCTGAATTAAGAACAGCTTCGAGATCAACAGATTCTGTTACATCTAATTCACCAACTTCAACCTCAGCTACAAACCTATCAACGGCCAATTCAAAGAACGGCAGGAGATCGAGAAAGTGTCCCTTTCCTGGCTGCAGTAAGGTATTCGGCTATGAAATTGACATATAAATGAGCTGACATGTTTTTAGAAGTTTGTTCGTGACTCGACACTGGATGTAAGTAGAGAATCACGATAGCGTCGTTGTTGCTGACTCATGTGTTGAAGAGTCACTACAAATCCCACACAGTCCCGCGCCCGTACATTTGTAGTGTGTGTTCAAGGTCATTTGCACGAAAGCACGACGCAGAAAGACATTTCCGCATGCACAATGATGATAGGTAATTACTAAAGAGCTTTTCGCAGTTGAAGTTGACCACCAAATCAGACCCTACTGCTGTCCGAACTGTGAAGCGACATTTCCCCGCTCAGACGCACTCAGGAGGTGAGTACGCGGTTCTAAGAAAGCAAAGCTGAATGCTGGGCATGTAGACATTGGAATTCACAGCCAAAGTGCGCTCAGAAGGCAAAAGAAGGTGCCAAAGTGGAAGAGGACGGTAAATCTAGTCAGCTTGCAAAGGGACAATCACCAAAGGCGAGGAGAATTGCAGCTAAGAAGATGTTAGATATTAGTTCAGATGAGAACGAAAACGAAGAGAGAAGTGAAGGTGATGGTGTTGGAATTGGAACGGAAAGTACACTTCCGAAAGCGTCAACGTCTTCACCACAGAAGAGATCAGCGAAGAAACGCAGAATAGAAAAGCAGTGATGTATGCTTGAACGATTCAGCGCAGAATAGAAAATCAATGACAATTTCTTGAATAACTACTCAACACACGGCGACCAATGACGACTATTGACAAGTCGAATTTCTTGGACAAAACATAACCTTCACGACGCTTGTATAAATTCTTGTATTTTACAAATAATTGTTTGTACTATTGAAGTTGGGTGGGAATAGCGATACCTTGTAACTCTGTTAACGACGGCGAGGATTGTGATTTGTGAAAATATGTAAGCGGTTATCGGAAGGCATTGTTCATGTGTTTAAGCTACAACAGGTCTAGCGAAGAAATCAGCCAGTACGAATTGCAGCTTGAGCAAGTCAAGGAGACGCTTACAGCTGATCCGACAAACGCAGATCTACTTGGACTTAAGGATGAATTAATGAACATTATCGATCTACTTAAAGCAGCTTCGGCTCCTGCTCCATCCGCATCCACCTCATCTCAAGCAGAATCATCACGCTCTAGCACTGCAATTGAGCCCGAGGCTGTTTCGTTTAAGGCAGGTGAAGACGTATTGGCAAAATATAAAGATGGTAAATTCTACCCAGCGACAATCAAAGCCGTTTCAGGCATACATCCAAAGATAGTATACACGATCAACTTCAGAGGATATCAGGGTACAGAGCAAGTACAGCCGAACATGATAAAAGCTATGGATGCCCATACAAAAATAAATATGACTAACAAGCGACAAAGAGATTCACAGAAATCCTTGACGTCGATTGAGGATGATAAGGAGAAAGACAAAAAGCGTAAGAAGAACGAGAAGAAGGCGGTAGTTAGAGAGCAGAAGAATAGTGAAATGAGTAGGCCTTTGGATAATTTGGTGGTCTACCTGACTAACGCATTTTAGATGATAAGCAGAACAACTGGCAAAAGTTCGCGAAGAAGGCAAACAAGAAAGGTATACACATTGCTGGATCTGAAGGCAAAAGCATGTGAGTCGAAAGGGCTGTTTTCATTCAGATTTTGATAGAATTTCTTCTAGATTTAAAACACCCGACAATCCATACGGCAGAGGTGTGTTTGGATTATGCGGTGTTCTAATCTAACAAACCCGATTTAGTTGGTGTTACAGGCTCAGGTAAACCGATGACCGAGCAAAAAACTGTAAGAGATAAGCACATATTCAACCAAAGCTTAGAAGATCAATGAATTTGTATCGTGTACATTTGCATCTGCATCTACATTAGATCTCTCAGTTCGTATCATACAGTGTCACAATTTTACCATGCTTCAGATTTGCCGTGTGCGTAATGCTTGCGATATACTTACAAACGAGCTTTGGTAAGCGGAATCTCAAAACGTCATTCTTCATGACGTAATCGGCCTTGGAAGGTGTGTGTAACAAATATCACGAATATCAGGAAATGTTCTTTGAAATGCATGTAGATGTAAATTACCCTGTATTCAATAGCAATATGGGCGTTGAAAATTGGTCTGGTACCCAACTTACTCCAAGATTCTTAATCTTCCTCAATTACGACCACGTAATTTAAAAATGGGAGCAGAATACTTTATTGGTATCGATGTCGGTACAGGATCAGCAAGATCAGCTTTATTATCAACCAGCGGTGATATTATTGCTGAATCAACTTACAACACACATACTTGGAGAGACGCGAACGACGCCAACATCTTTGAGCAATCATCTGCCAACATCTGGGGTAATATCAGTCAATCTGTCAGGGATGTCGTCAAACAAGCTCAAATTCCAAAAGAAGCTGTAAAGGGTATTGCTTTTGATGCTACATGCTCATTGGCAGTTACCGACCGAGACGGTAACCCAATAACTGTATCCAATAATGATAAGCTTGGTAAATCCGGCGAAAGAAACATTATCTTATGGGCAGATCATAGAGCTGAAAAGGAAGCCAACCTGATCAACTCAACAGGTGCAATGCCTTTACAATTCGTCGGTGGTACCGTAAGCTTGGAAATGGAGATACCAAAGACTTTATGGCTCAAAAACCACATGGATCCTGAAGATTTTAGAAGGTGTATGTTCTTTGATTTACCTGATTGGTTGTCATACAGAGCAACTCGCTCATTAGCAAGATCTAACAACTCACTTGGTTCTAAATTCACTTACGTAACACCTTCAATTTCTGGTGCCTATCCATCTGGATGGGATCCAAAGTTTTTGGAGCAGATTGGCCTCGGTGACCTCGTTCATCAAGACTTTATTCCAATTGGTGGTGCACCAAACAAGAACGGTCTTGTCTTAACTGGTGGATTACCTGTTGGCAAGGGTTTGACAAAGGAAGCTGCCGAGGAGTTGGGCTTAGCTGAAGGCACAGCAGTTGGAAGCTCAGTTATCGATGCCTATGCTGGATGGATTGGTACAGTTGCTGCCAAGTCGGCTAAAAAGGGCGAAGATTTACCAAAAGACGCTGTCGCCTTTGAGGAGTGTGCACACAGATTAGCTGCTTGTGCAGGTACATCCACATGTCACATTGTACAAGTGAGTGATATATTTCGATTAAAGCACCGTCTAATCAAGCTACACAAAGTCACCAGAAGGTGTATTCGTTCAAGGTGTCTGGGGACCTTACAAAAATGCAGTCTTCCCAGGCTGGTGGATGAATGAGGGAGGCCAGTCATCCACGGGACAACTTATAGATTTTATTTTGAAAACACACGTCGCTTATCCCGAATTAGAGAAGGTTGCAAATGAAAGAAAGACAAACATCTTTACCATACTCGGAGAATTATTGGAGAAAGCAAGGGTAGAAGAAGGTGTAGAGACGGTTAACCAAATAAACAGAAACATGCACTTCTACCCAGATTTGCACGGTAATAGATCACCATTGGCTGACTCAAGAATGAGAGGTATGATAACTGGGTTGGGATTAGACGGAACGTTAGGAGACTTGGCTAGAAAGTTTCAACTTACACTTGAAGCTATTGCGTTACAAACTCGTCACATAGTCGATCAAATGAATGAATCAGGACACAAGGTGAACTCAATCTATATGTCAGGTGGACAAGTAAAGAATAGGGCATTAATGCAATTAATTGCGGACGTTTGTCAAATGCCATTAATCTTACCTGCATCAGCATCTGGACCAGTCGTTGCTGGATGTGCAATCCTTGGAAGGTATGCATATGAATTATCGCAAATGAAGGATTTCGATGAGATCGCTAAGCAACAGCAAGCGGAGCAAACTGGAGAGAATAACAAGAGAAGGTTATGGCAATTGATGACGGAAATGACAAAGCCTGGTGAAACAATCGAACCAAACTGTCCTAAGAAGGATAGCTTGTTGCTTGGTGCAAAATACAAAATCTTCAGAGAATCGATTGACATTCAAAGAAGATGGAGAAAAGAGGTTGAAGATGCTATTAAAGAGTGAAGGAAAAGAGTGATAAAAGTGCAATGTATATTGATAAATTGAAATGAAATAAATTGAAAGTTATGAAGATTCGAAGTCCTTATAATAGATGATTGCGTCGTCGTAGTATTCATTACCTTGAGTATCGAGGAGTCTACCCGCCTTTGGAACGAGACCTGCCCTTGTAAAACCAAGACCATCCCAAATGCGTGAGCTAGCGACATTTGATTGATAAACAAGGTTGAATATGGCTGATGAGATGGGTTAAGTGATGTCTTGCTGAGTATGTTTGAGCAAACTTACAGCCTTTGTATCCCAATTTAGGACCGTAGTGTAAGTAGCTTTTTCCTAGTGTAGATCCTAATCCAAGACCTCTTTTGTGAAGATTGACAATGAAACCGGCATTGCATATCTGAATAATTGATTGAGTAAATTGCGGTGAGGTATAGCATAAAGTACACACATGATTAGATCTACCGACATAGTTTGGTTTGACGTAGTAGCATCCACCTAAAACATGATCCCATTCATTATCGCTTATTTGGTTGATCGGCTTATCGGTAAGTAACCCGATGAAAAGGTCAGCAGTGAAAAAGTAGGAAGTAAATTGTTCTTGAGTCATAGGCTGTTCAATTGGGTATGTGCGACCTTGATCGATTATGCTATTAAACAACTGATGCAGCCTGCTTAAGAGCTGTTTTGGCGCGATTGAGGGATCATTTAAGTGATGTATGTGTAATTTCAATTGACCTGGTAAGTTCCAGGTGGTGGAATCTAACTTTGTAGATGAATTTCTTGATTCTGCTGGGTACACCATCTGACAGTATGTTTTAAAGGTTAGTGAGGTTATCAGGGTAATAATAAGTTTAAATTTAGAGGACATGTCTGGATAAATCCCTACAAGCACGGTCAAGCTATCCGCACATTAGAAGTGCTACAGAACAGAATGCTCAGGAAGGCTCTGGGAGCAGTACAAACAACTCCATTATACATGCTCCACTTCGACACCGCAGTGTTGTCGTCAACCGAGAGGCTTCGCATGAGAAATGAATCTTACCTGTTGAGAACGCTCACTCGACCTAGCGATCACCCCGCACACGTCATCACCGCAAGCATTCTGCGGAGGTTAAGGAAGAAGTTCGTCTCGCCCTTGAACGCAGTATTACTCGCCAAACCAATGCTCGAGGGCCTGAAGGAGATGGAAACCATAGTACCTCATCCTTTCGTGCCGTGGGTACCTGCAACACTAAGCTTTTCACATGCGAAGAATAAGGAACGAGCAAAAGCAGAGAATACGTAATTATGCAATCAATACAATACGTCATGACCCTTCTACACAGATGGATCTCTGGCCGAGGGGCAAGTTGCGGCAGGCTATGCAGCTAAACTTCCACACAGACGAGACTGGAATAGCTCATCTTACAAATGAGGTACTGACAGCCAATTCACAATCTACGAAGCAGAGATATTGGGAGTATATCTCGCTCTAGAATTGGTCGAAGAAGAGTTAATCCACACATCCCTACACCGCCAGTAGTCTCTATCCATAGCGACAGTCAGGCGGTTCTTTCGGCAATGGTTTAACTGCAAACAACAAAAACAGGTCAATATTTGATAAAGCAAGTACTTGACAAAATCGATTGGATCAAACGAACAAAGAGAAAAAACCTAGTTGTCCAATTGGGCTGGATCCCAAGACATGTGGATATCTAAGTTAACGAACTAGCGGACAGAATCGCCAGCGAGGGAAGGACACGGTCAACCCACCAGACTATGTGGAGTGACCTGACACTCAAAGCTTCTTACTCAGCTATGCGACGCAGAATGCGCGAGCGGTATACAGCACCCCTAAAAGTAGAAGCCTCTATAATATCAGACATTAATGCCAACGCCGCAAAAAGTATCAGCTGGAAAGCTGACAGCAGCAAAAGAAAAACGGCCAGGGTACTCAACGAGATGCCTAGCCACCCAGCTACGCTCAGGGGATTTCTCCCACGACCAAATCCTACCGTTTCCGTTTCCGTCTGATTGATTCACCTAAATGCAGTGCGCGTGGAACAAAGGACACCATCTCGCATAGAATTTTCATATGCAAAAGACATAATGGCCAGAATCACATTAAGAAGAAAGATTACCAAGATCGACATTCGGTTCACCTTAAGTCCAATACTCAGAAACGCACACTCTCTACAAGCCCTTTACGAGTTCTTCAAACCGCAATTGACTACATACCAAAGATACTTCGGTAGTTCGGCATAAGTGAGAACCACCAACAGATTAAAAATTACGACACAAGTCAAAAAATGCTTCAAGTAAATTCGGAACTCCCTTTGAATCCTCATGCTTTAAGAAGTATTATGGACGCAGTTTAAACATGTATCGTCTTGACAACATATTCAGATTTAATCATCATAATAAAATATAATATAATTTAGTGTACAAATAAGCTATTGATCCATTGCGCTATCATCCTGTTCATCTTCATCATCTTGTTCCCACCAACTGACAATACCAAGACCTTGGCCATCGATTGAAGCAGTTAATCTATATGCTGTTGGTACGGCTTCCTCTTGATCATCAAGTTGCTTCTTTTTGGGTGTTGGATAGACGTTTTCAAAGTGCTCAGCTTCAACCCTGATTCTGATTTGTTCACCGATATCAATGTAAGCTCTTTGTTCAGGTGAAGAAGTGAATGGATCACCATCTTCCCAACCAGCGAGCCAAAAGAAGGTATTCTCAGCGCTATCGAATTCTGAAATTTCAGGTAACTGATTCTTAGGTATCCAGATGTCATCGAAGAAGTCTATAGATGCGATGATACCATGTTGATTTGTAGATTTAACTTTAGCAAGCAAGATTTCACCGATAAAAGGCCTAAAAACGAGTAAGTTGAAAGTAACTTTGTAGTATACGTTGCCATTAGAGTGCTGTAGGTAGCCTTGACTAGATTGAATGATAGAATGTAAAGAAATGGATAAACCGACATCTTGTAATATTTTATTAGAATATTTAGAGTTAATGCTATCTCTAATAGCGATTGAAGGTTCTAAATTGAGATTTGAAGGGATAACAGGGATCGTGTCCTTGACTAGAGATAAGATGAACATGGTAAGAGGAATCAAGAAGGGTTGTTTAGTAAATTGATAAAATAATTATGAAGCTCAGATTTTATTTGAGTTGGTAGAGCGTCTGTGGGGCGATAAGTACTTGATATACTCTATAGCCCAAGCGAACCTTTAGCGTTTGAATGAATAAATTCAATCAAATTAAAAACATTTAAATTTGATTGGTTGGATAATTTGTCTGTAAGAATGAATAAAAGGCTTTAGAATAAATAATTAACTCACTTAGAACATCACACCTGACCTGATCATTCCATCCAAATGAGTTTAGCTTGTCTTTTATAACGGATTGCAACCTGAACCACTCCCCGTTCTCGACCAATTTTCTAATTTATTGAGTAATTCGCTATAGCTAGCACAGTTGAACAAACCTTTGTATATCAACATCCATCACGGTGAACTGACTTGAAATGGAATTATTGACGAATTTAGATGAAAATTATTTATTATCAGATGATTTCAATCTATCAAAGTTCTTATTAACTAAGAATATAAATAAAATTGATGACTATGAGAAGGATCTAGTTGTGTTACAACATAATATCAGCATAAACACAGTAAATCAAATCTATAGCAATTACAATAAATTAGTAAATAGCTCAAATATATTACAAGATGATAGAGTCTACTTGGATATCCTAAACAATCACATCAATCAGTTCAAAATTAGGTTGAAAGTGGGTCGATATCGTTGGATTTATCCTTTTAAACTTTTAACATTATCTTAGTCTAAGATACACGAAATCAAATCCAACAAGTCGGATGTCGAGATGAGTCTACAACATCGTCATTCTATAAAGATTGAAATTTCGAGATTAAATAATATTATAGACTTTACTAATTACAGCAACCACATAACCACACTCATCGACTCTGTTGATCAAGATAAACCAAAACATTTGAAAAGAATTTCACTTCAATTCAATCAATTGGTCTACTTGTTCAATAAATCATCTACCTATATTCAAAGCAACTCAACTGAAACACTAAAGTCATCCTTATTAAACAAAATCGATCTTACTTTCATCCAACTACTGTTCAACTACGATAAATCTCTAGATAACGACTTGATTGAAATTATTAGATCATATGAGATTCTAAGCTGTCTAGATAGAGCTCAATTCACTTTCAAACAATTCTCGTATAAAGTTCTAAACTCACTCGATGATTCTCATCTCTTTAATAACATCGTTAACTTGATCAAACAAAGAATATCCCCAATCACTAACCTATTCGAATCCTGTCACAACTCTACAAAGATACGTGAATCCTTGAATCCATCAAAAACATCCATCTCAAACTCTTCTGATGATCTCATAACTGATTATGACTTTTATGAAAACACTTTATACTCTCAAATTGAACTCATCATCTTAAACAGACTCGGATTAGACTTATTCGCTGTTGGTCGACCCAACGAATTCCAACACAACTACAAATCTTTCATTTCATTCCTTCAATCAATTGAATCTTTATCCCCTTCAATCGATTCTGTTATAAAATTGAGGCAGAACGCAAGAAAAGGTTTACTACAAAGATTTCAATTGAGTAGCTACTTTCAGCTAAGATTTAAGGAGGTAGTTGGTGTCGTTGAGGGTGCTTTTCATTCTCCACTTATTTATTGTCAACCAGGTGAAAGCTACACGATTAAACAATCTGAAAGATTAGATTGGGCTTTAAGTAGATGCTGGAATGATCAAGTCATCATTATTGATATTATTGGTAAATTTTGGAAACTCACTTTACAGTTGCTGTCGAGATATAAAGTCTGGCTAGATGATCAAATGAATCAATACTTATTACAAAAAAGCACTGAAGGCAGTGATGATGAGTTGTTCGACTTTCTAGTAAACTCTAGAGTCGATATCGATAGAATATGTGATACTATGATGAATTTATGGAACACCTTTATCAAACAAAAGATTCACTTAATAGTTCAAGATGAAATTGAAATCATGGAAGAGTCTTTAATTGAGTCAGTTGACCTAATCAAAGATGACTTTGGTCAGAGCTGTTTGAATCTGCTCACTTCAATACTCATCTCACGTTCGAGTAAACATCTAAGTGGAATAAAAGGAGTGTATAGGCTATCGTCTCCACAAAAGCAACAAGATAAGCCATCAGAATTTATCTATCTGATGATGAATGATATCAACCAATTCAATAAACTCGATAAACTAAGTAGATACCACAATCAAATAAATCAAAGGGTGCTTAATGAATTAATGGAAAGATACGTCAACCAAATCAATGAAATTAAATCTCAGGAATCCAACTTAATGAAATACAAGCGGGGACTAGGTTCAACCAAAGATAGTAATCAAATAAATAAGCAAATAGAGCTTGATAAAGAATTTTTAAAAACTATTCTACCACAATTTAACGTTTCAGTGGATAAATTGTAGGAACTCAAAAGTGATGATGTGTACAATGCGTTCCTGAAGACGTAGTAACAAGAAATGATTGCATTGATGATAAAGCATAAGTTGCGATTTTCATAAATTTTTTGTCGCAATTCAAGTAGATTTAGATTTCTGAACAATACTTTGGTTAGAATCGAATCATCAACGAAATTTGAAATTATAAATAGAAGGCGTATGCAAAGACATAATATTGATGAAAATAATAGACAAAGTGTGATTAGCTGGGATATTAAGGACGATTCCTACGTTCAGCACTTGGGTCGTGATACGCAACGATACTCAAATATCGCAAAAAGCTCAGTCAAACAACATTCTATCGATAACTACAATGAGCTTAAGCCAAGCTATCAATGGTTTGAAAGACCAGATAAGGATAATCCACTTGAATTTGATAGCAAAGTTAAACTACTCTATCCGAAGGATTCAAATGACTTGGTCGATCAGTTAAGGTCCAAAATGTCTATCTCCTCACCAATTAGACTGTAAGATGTTGTTACAGATACGCACCCTTAATGCTAACAATGCTCTTCAGTCACAAATTTCATTACAAAGACGCAGCTCAAGTTAATGAAGAATTAGTTCCTATAAGACTTGATTTCGACTTGGATTACTTGAAATTGAAGGAAGTCTTTTGTTACAACCTCAAAGAACCTCATCTCTCACCAAAATTATTGGCTGTTTCATTATGTCACGATTTCGGTTTAAATGAGGTTACCGCTGCTCATCTGATTGAAAAATCCATAAATGATCAACTCGATGAATGGAAATCTTTCGTACATGAATACTCATCGATACACAGTCCATCAACCTCCACCAATACTCAAGGTACGCTCAATAACTCCGACTGTGAATGGTGGCAAGCTTTCAAGGACAACAATATACCCGAGAAATACGATGATCAAGTCAAATCCGTAAAGGATGAGAAATTCATCCACGAAGATATCAGAATTCTAATCAAGTTGGACATTATTCACACCCCTCATCACTTGATCGATCAATTTGAATGGCCACTTTTCACAACCCTTCAACCAAACGCGCCAGAGTTATTCGCAGTGAATTTTGCTGCAGAGATGGGCTTGCCGGGTGAATTCGTCACTTCAATATCTCATAATATACGAGAACAATCCTCATTCTACTTGAAATCTCTCTCAAGGTTGAATTACCCAATACTTAACGGAAATTCAGTTGAAGGAATACCAGATGACGAGTTGCGCAAGTCATTCTTACCACATTTGTCAGAGCATTCAATCGAACGTTCGACCAAAGATAGTATAGATCATACGCCGAAGTTGGACTTGCTTTCACACGAGGACATAATCAATTACGAAAAAGAGTTAGAAAAGGAGAGTAAAAGGAGAAAAAGAGCACAGAGAAATAGGAGATCAAATCTGACACTTCTTCCCCAAGACAGAGAGCCTATCAAAACTTACAGAACTCCGCCAAAGTTCCCAGAGACTTTCATATCTGTTCCTCACTCATTCCTTAAAGAGCAACCAATCGCTATCAACCAGCAAACCCAACAGAATCAACAATTGTCTACCAACTATCCACGAAGAGCAGCTGCAGCTAAAGCAAGCTTGAACATTTCTTCATCAGCTCAAGCCGAGTTGGCGGAAATAGATAACAACGCAGAAGATGAAGATTATGGTGCAGACGATAGTCAATTCGATAACTTTACGTCAACTATGGAATTTGATGAGCATGAAAATAAATATGTTAAGAAACCTATGCAGTTACAACCCTTCGATCAATCAAAGATGGCTATCACGAAAAGACCCAGATTCATTGAAAATATTCCAACCAAGCTTGAATACACACCTACATCTAGGTTGAGACCAGATGCAAAGATTTTCGTTTCAAACCAAGAAAAACCAAACAATTTAATGAAGTTTGGGCACGGTAAAGCTTTTAGAGGAGAATTGTCGCCGGGAACTGAAGTTAAGAAGCTATCAGCGGCTACTTTGAGCATATATTCTTATTTCTCCACTGAGAATCAACACGAGAACATGATCAATGGAGTATGGCACTGTTCGAATTGTGGTGTACCTGAAATGTTCGCCATTGGTCGTAGGAAAGGACCTATGGGTGATAAGAGTTTGTGTGGGGATTGTGGAAAGTATTTGCATAAAATACGCAAGAACAAGCCTGTCATTTACAATAATGATATTGAATATCATCGTAATCTACGCTTGCAAGTGGAAAAAGAGGCTGAAGAGAGACTTAATAACCAAAAAACTAATGCTCAACGCTATAGAAAAGAACTCAAAGCTTCAAGACAAGCCCAGAAAGTTGCGAAAGAAGCTGAGCACCTAGATTATTACAGTCAAAACAAACGCAAGCAAATCATCGATGATAGTGATGAAGATGATAGCTTCGATTTTGGCAAGCGCAATAAACATAAATCTTATGATGACGACGACGATGATGAGTCGTATAACGAAGATGATGACAGTTAGTGTTCCATATATTAACAAAATCTTTCAACTAACACAAAGTAGGCGCACCATCACGTCCACAACGGGTTAGAAAAGTACCATCACACCAAGCAAGGTCACCATCAAGTAGTCAATCTGAAGCTAATGGTGATACAACGAGGCTGTCGGTAGATAGGCCAACACGTCAATCGGCATCAACTCCACAATGGTTAACAGATGCAGCGCGCTTACTTAGGCATCGGTATCCCAACGATCGATTCGTTATAATCGACAAGCCACCACAAAGCGCTGACGGATCTCCAGAATGGCGTATAAAATGTCTTGATTGTCCAGGAAAGATGTACACTCCAGGCCCAGGTTTGAATGTTGAGAATTTCGAAAAGCACTTAAAAAATCGTCAACATAAGCAGAAGGTTGGAATACGATTAGGCTTTCCGATGGGCAATAACGGTATCAGTCCAATTGGACAGCCAAGTGTACTCAGTCCAAGTCAACCTGTGATAAGTCCAATTTCTCATCCATTACAGTTGCAATCACAGCCTGCATCTAGACCACCATCTAGTCAACAGCAGCATCCTCAACACGTGCAACACCAGCAGCACTTGAAAGCGTCACCAATGTACCCAACAATGGGTATGCCTATGTCTCAATCACCTGCACAGCAAACTGATGTATTGGCTGCTGCTATGTATCAATCTCATTCGCAGAACCTCAACCATGGACATCATTCAATTCCACATTCACAATCAATTACACCGCAACCCCAACCGCCACCAATCCATCATCAACCACAGTCATCTATTCATGCAATGCAAGAAGCACCTACACAGTCTCAACATCATCACCTATACAACCATCAACAATTTGTTAATATCCCTCACGAAACGGCAAGACCTGCAGAGTCAATACCAAGCAGTCTAGACATATCCAGTATGGATATGAATTTGATTGGAATGCCTTCCTTCGATTTTGAAAGTGGTATTGGTGGTAATGAGCATGCTGGTTCAGGCACTTACTAATTTAGAGTCGAAACTTGTTGTAAACATATTTTTTTTTTCTCTTTGTAAAAGTCAATCATACTATTTCATAATTTTATAACAAAAGCGTAAGAGCGTAAATTTAAGCTTCAAAATGTTTTAACCGTATATTCGGGCGTTCTATGATAACACCTGGCATAATATGGGGATAGTCTATGCATTTGCTGCCATGATAGCACCGATGAAAGTAAGAACCAACTTTTGTCTAACCTCGACAAGATCTTCAGGTACAACAAAGACAAGGCAACCAATCTTACGTGCTACACTGATAGCAAGCTTATTGTTCAAGAATGCATCATCGTCAGTTCTACCATCATTAACCAAACTGTAATCAACGTAGCCTGGTTTGAGCGCGTCAAGAAGATCAAGGAAGAAATGGCCTGATCTCAATGTAGAATCCTTGAATGAGCGCATAGAAGATTTCTTTCCAGCTTGTGCTACTCTCTCATTCGCCCATTTGACCATGTCAACATCAGTGATTTGGCGACCATTCTTGCTAAGACTGCTGAGGGTGGCACCTATTGAAAGTCTCATAATCTATATCATTTGTATTAGTAAAAAATAACGTAACTGTGGTAGAACTTACCTGCCAAACAGTACCCAAGACAAGTGTACGTGTACCATCTACAATATCAGAACCTTGGATACCAACAAGGTGCATACCATTCTTAATGCAAAGTTCGCAAACATAATTGGTGTTCTCAACTTTTTTGAATCTACTCAATTCTGGACGTGTACTGTCTTCTTCAGAATAAGGGTTTGGCTTTGGCTTGGCAACACGCCTCCAAGCAACGGAGCCAGGTGCAATTTTATCAAATGCTTGTAATAATATGAGACCATCACTGAGATTATCAAAGAGGTTGTGAACAGTTGGATCAACATTCAAGCTGTTTAACCAAAGTATGAATACTCTAGCTTCACGTTCACCTTCAGCATCAAACTCTTCTATCTCGGGAACTTCTTCAATGTTAATTGGTTCTAATCCTGGATGAGTGTTGAAGAGATGGGCAACAAACGCAAGATTAAGTTTTGAGTTACCGCCAATCATTGCATTAGGAGTAAGATATTTCCTCACACCAATTTTGTCAGCATTGTCAAGGATCATTTCCGCTCTTCTGTATAAATCGGATTGATTAAGTGGATCTCTTGAACATTGAGCTGGTTTGAGTTGATTAAGTAAAACAGTGTAATTTTCACCATCGCAAACATCCTTGCTGAAGTTGCCTACGCGTCTGTGCCAGCCAGCATTCTTGAGGTGGTAGTTGAACCATCTAAGAAGAATTTGGTCTGGTGGTAATCTCAAGAAATCTTCAAGCTGTTCATCTTGTTCCAAAAGTCTGTATAGCTCAGGGTGGTTCTTAATATCGATTCTAGAAAGTAAACCTTTTCTAATAATCTGCCAAATAAGACCAAGGATGAGGATTTCTCTACCTTCAACCAGGTCCTGTGAACCGATATTGACGACTTGACAGCCAATAGCTTTAGCAGATTGAATAACGATGTTGTTGTTCTCTGTGGCTTGGAAAGCGTTGAGTGTTGGTGTGCGAGTTTTTGGCTTGTTCAGGACACGCTCATCGATAGTGTCTGGAACTGCGTCATTTATGAGTTTAGAAAGAATGAGACCGTCTCTAGTTTCATCGAAAAGTTGAAAGTTATCTGTAGGCAATGGCAACTTGTCTTTGACGTCAGCGTCACCGTCCAAGACCTGATTTATGTGTCTAGTGAATTCTGATCTTTCATCTTCGTTGATTGTATGTGAAACGTTCGAAGAAGTTCCTTTAACTGTTACTTTTCCTTTCTGAACAACACCTGCGTTGGCATTTTGTCCTGATCTAAGCTTAGAAATGAGCTAATTAAATGTTAAAAGTGAGTTAAATGGTTTTATATTCCAATAAGCTACTCACGTCCACGTAATCCTCAATTTCTACTCTTCCACTCGCATCCAAGCTAACATCCTTGAGTGTCTCTCTCACTTGATCATAAGTTGCTTCATTCTGTAGTGATTTGATTACATCCTGCTGGGCAACGCCCTTTCCTTCAAGGTCAAGCTGTCTAGTAGCTTTGTGAGCTTTACACTCTCCACGTGCACAGCCCACTCACTGGAAAGAGTCAACGAGCTTGAGTACTTCCTCTTGGCTAAATTGTGGGTGCTTTCTTTGTAACTTTATCTGGTTTATTATTAATTTTACCTTTCCGCTGTCAATAATCACTCACGGCGATCATAGTCGATGAAGTAAGAGCTCTGACGTGCTATGCATCGTGGGCGAGTGGAGATCGATAAAACATTTTCAATAAACATTTAAACTTTTAATTGGAATTTTCCTACAAATGTAAAACTTTGCAATGCTAGCTCGGCATCATCTAATTCGAGGAGAATTGCAAACCAGTCTAGGCTTTGTTAGGATGTATTGCTTGGATACTGGTAGCACTCACTTTTTCTTTACGCAGATAATTTGCTTCGCTTTCCAACACCTCAGCCTACATTATCATTCGATTAATTACTTTTTCGAACGATTGCTTCCACTGCTTTTTTCTATCTCTAGTTTTGATGTTTGCCGTATAAGAAGATTTCCCTTGATAAACCAATGTGCACCTGAAGCTAATGTATTTTCTCGTCTTTTGTCGTCCTCTGTTGGAGCTTGAGGTGCGGTAGAGGCTGAAAATGCTGGAATGACTTTTCCTTTCTTACTTGTTACCGTTAATTTTGCTGTTGCTGTTGATGCTTGTGGTATAGATGAGGGTGCAAATGATAAATAATTATCGTACGCGTGGGGGTATGGTATGACTAAATGATGAAGGCGTAAGGAATTATAAAGGATATTTAGACGGACTTGAACTCCTAATAATGTTCGGGTTCGATGTAACTGCGCTGTCAGGTCTCGTTAGTGAGAGTTTGCTGATTGTATCATCTTTAAGAGGTTGACGTGATTGAAATGATTGAAACGGAGAAATATTACCAAAATTAATCAATTAAAGGTCAGATCAAACGTGGAATCGTTGATGTTGTGATAGAAAGAAGGTTGAATATTTTCACCTGGATTGTTATCATTCACCAATGATAGCATACCCCATGTAGCTAGATCTTCGTTGCTAAATTCTAATGAGGGCAGTTCCTCCTCAGTAGGTCTAAGCGGACAATCTGGATGAGCTCTTGAGTGACCAGTTTGATGACATCTTGAACATTTGATGGGCTTTCTCTTTGTTTGGGATTGTTGTGATTGATGAGTCGAAGGTGATTTGCGCTTTTTAGTGGATTCGGAAGTGTATTCTGATGAATTGTTATTCAAAGAAGCAACCAAAGATTCTAAACTATCTATGGTAGATTCCTTTGAATCCTTTGAATCTGTATTTGAAATGAACTTTTTCATTATATTATGAACGTCTTTGATTGTAATTGGTGGTAGATCACTTGATTTGAAGTAATTCACTATCTCAATCGGCTTAGATCCTTCAGACCTCATCTTTTTAACCAACAACTTCTGATTTTCATCTAATCTTCTCAAAATAGAATGATCTTTAAGATTATTTGAAGGCGTATGATTATGATCAGATTCTAAGATACTCAATTGCCATTCACTGTCTTCCCCACTTAATTCCTTTCCTCTAAGCATGAATGGACATCCAGTGCACTTGCTATTAGGTTTACGCTTTCTAGTTTCCTCAGTTAAATTTCTATTATTCTTGAATTGTCCGCCTTTATCACATTGCAAGTAAAGTAATCCTTTACGCGATGATCTAGTGACAACTGCATATCCTTGTAGTTGAGCGTGTTCTTGTACTCTCTTAAACAATTCTTCTTTGCTTTGAAACTTTTCTTCTGCCGGGGGTTCCAAAGGCATTGATGATGTTCACTGTCTAATCGAAAGATATATTATATTCATTACAATCAATAACTTTACATTCTAAATGGATTTATTTGAGTGTTATTTGTTTTATTACTATCATTGTTGGTATATGGGTTGCTCAAATCAAATTGCTTTTCTAATGTTGTTCCAAATGAAGACGTTGGTTGGAACTTTTTGCTGCTTAAGTTTCCTTGCCCAGTCATTTGTCCTTGTAGTCCTGTCGTCTGTGATGGTAATCCTGTACTTTGTGCTTGAATTCCTGTTGCTTGAGATTGCAGTCCTGTGGGCTGCGGCTGTAATCCAAAGTTTCCAACATCAAAATTACCAAATGAGTTAAAAGCTTGCTGTTCTTGCTGCATCTGCATTTGCTGCTGCTGTTGCTGTTGCTCTTGTTTATTGAAAGCATTGAAAGCAAGACTGTTCAATGTGGGTCCTACATTATCATTAGAAAATGAATTCACTTGTTGAGGTCTGTCCTGTAAGCCATTAGAAAATGGGTTGCGTGATCCAGTTTTTTGCGCTGTAACTGGCTTAACAGTTTGAGGTGGAGTAGGTATCTGAGATTGAAATTGCGTTCTTAATGGGTTATTGGCATTCTGTTGTCCATCTCCATACGTGTTACCAGTCTGCATAGGCATTAAAGATGCCCTAAATGGATTAAATCCTGTTGTTTGAGTTTGTAGACCTGTCTGTTGAATACCCATACCTGTCCCTTGTGGTTGGAGTTGTTGAATGCCTGTTTGTTGTTGCTGTAAAGGTGTAAATGGTGATTGCGGTTGTGGTTGTGGTTGTAATTGTTGCTGTTGCTGTTGCTGTTGTGGTTGCATTTGAGTTTGTAATTGTTGCTGGTATGGATTCTGCACACCAAATCCAGTAAATTGTGGTTGAATGGTTTGTGGTGGCGCAAATGGTAAGAATCCTGTATTTTGTGGTTGGATAAAGGATTGTTGTGGTTGGAAGAATGATGATTGTTGTTGAATGTTTTGTGATGGCATCTGTTGTTGAGGATAAGGTTGTTGATATTCATTCATGTTACCACCATTATCACTTTCAATAGAATCTAGGAAATCTTCTGTTTAAAATTAGTAAAGGAATTAAAGAGAGTATTTTTAACATACCTGCTGCTGGAAGTGCCTTATTAGTCTGAAGTTGAGGTTGAGGTTGAGGTTGTGATTGAGATTGAGATTGTGGTGAAGGTGCTTTAGGAGGAGCTTATGTAACGCTTCAGTTTAAACAAGTATGATTAGGTATCACTCACGTTGATAACTAGTATGACTTGCACGATTTGAACTACCAGATTCACCATCAATGACAGATTTATTATGCTTATACTCAATTCTGTTCTGCTCAAAGTTAGGATCTTCCAAATACTCCTTTAAAGCACCATACAAAGATAGAGGTGCATGCTTGATATTTGGTACCATAACATTTAGAACATTATGAAGGCGTCTAGCAATACTGAGGTACTGAACAACACTTTCGGTTTGTCTACAGAAAGTTCTGTATATAGATAAAGCTTCAGTAGCGTCAACCTTACTCATTTCAAAGTAAGATTCAAGAACGTTAATAACGCCCTCATTAAGTGCAGTGAAAAGTTGAAGAAGATCCTTTACGTTGAGTTGGAGAGCAGCAACAGTAACGTCATCCTCAAGGTCATCGAGGAAGAATCTACAAGCAGTAATAGAATCGATTAGCTTCTGGACATGCTTGACTTCACGTAGGAGACCCTTTTCAACAGTAAGTAACCGTAATTGAGAAGGTCTGCCAGTTGGATCAAAGGAAGATCGTGGACGTCGGCTGTTAGCGGAAGAGCCCCTTGTCTCAGATTGAACTTTAATAACGTCGTGTTTAAGATCACGATAAGCTTTTATGCGTAAATCCAAGTAAGTTGCATAAGCTTGGATGTTCTGCGGAGTAGTACGACCATCCCAGTCAATGGAAGCGACTCTACGTAACTTGAGGTGATCGTGATGAGAGAGAAGGTCTAAGATGTTATCAGTATCGCCATTTCTGAATAGAGAGTGGGCAATAACGAGGGATTTGAAAACGATCTGGGGTGTTGGTGAGTGTGAGGGTGATGTACACAGAAACTGAGTTACTAACGATAGAATTTGGTTCACGGAGTCTATCCGAGAGGGCGCGTAGGATATCCGATAGAGTAGCTTGATCTGTGAAGGAAGCAGAAATGATTGGTTCAAGTACCTTTGAATGTAACTTAGATTAAATCACTAGTAAATAACGCTCTCCCACTTTAGATTTTGGTAAATGATTCTGATAGTAAAAAAGTGAATAACTCGCTATTAAATTATTAGTTTCCTTACCTTTGGCTTTGTTGCTGCTTTAACGAGCTTGTTGGCAGAGGACATGGCCGTGGGTGATAGAGAGTACAATAAATCAAGTAAAACACACATAACACATAATAACAGTCATTTGGATAATTTAAAACAAAGTAAACGTGCATTGCTTTGATTGGATGGGTTGCCTGTATTAAGACTCTTTCAAGTTATTTATCCTATCCACGCTACTCATCCACTGAGTTACTTGCATACCATTACTGTACGAATTGTTAGCATCTTTCCTCTTTAAATTTAACTCGTTTAACCCACCTTGGAACGTGCACGCATGGCACGACGCTTGCGGCGGAGACGGCGCATACGCTTCTTTGCCCACTTATCTCTCATCTATAAGCCTTGTTAGTATCCTATCATTGGAATTTATTCTTTTCCCCACTTTGCGAAAACTTCGAGCGTGTAGAGGAAAGAAGTTGAGATTCAAACAAAGTTTATTTGGGGCTAAATTTTCAGATGAAGATTTTAATTCACTGACAGTGTATCTTCAATTCAAGCTGATTTCTACTAATTACACTACCCATTAAACTCTAATCTTTCTACTCTCTCTTTCAGTGACGTCGACGATGTCATCCTCATCAAATTCAAGTGAAATTGACTCTACAACTTCCTCTGATATTAATAGGCAAAGAGGTTGGCGCTTATTACCCATAATCACTCCCACTCACCCACTTTAAGAGTTCGAACAGGCCATCGAGCAGCTTCAGCTAATCATTTCAGTTGTGGCATTACCTTTCTTTGGAAAATGGCTTGGTAGAAAGTTCAGCTTCTGGAGTTTGTAATCTTATCTTTGATATTCCTATCACTAACACATACCCAGTCTACTCACGCTTTAAACTATTCGGCTGGTCTTCGAATCTTCTGTTTGGTCCAAAGGTTGCATTAAGCTCAAAACTAAGTTAATTAAAGACTTTTAGTTTAGTCTTACAATTACAACTCCTCCACCTAATTTGGCATCTTGTATCGTCTCTTTTCCTTGATTGAGTGCCTTTGTTGGGAATGAAGTGGTCAATTCATATCCAATACCTCTCAAGCTAGGCGTGTTACTATATTTCATTTAAGATTAGTATGCTACATCTTTTTCAGCCCAACTCACCTTTCGATTTCCTGTCTGAGATTATCTATCGTATGATCTGTATTCAATCTAACTACTGTTCTGCTACCATCATTCAATCTTACTTGAACTCGCGTCGTTGGTTTACTCTCATCAACCTTTACTTTTTCTCCTATACTTGTTGGTGCACTTGCTGATGCTCTCTCTGGTTGCCTAATTGATGCAGTAACTGGTGCACCCAATCTCTGTCCAGATGCTCCCTCGAATGGCTTAAAAACCTTTGGTGGTGCCACGTAATCCTCATCTGTCCTCTGACTAACGCCAAGGTTCACTCTCTGTCCAAATCTTATGTTTAGCAATGAAAGTGGTGCACGCCCAGAGTTGAGCGCGTCTAATGTCTCTTGATGCTCATCGTAACGCATCAATGAACCATCATCAATACTAAATCCATCTCTCCAGAATGTGAGACTTCTATTAACTGGTTCCTCGTCATCTACTTCCTCCCAATCATCATCGGTTTCAAATGAATTGCCTTGATTGCTATCGACAGGCTCTTCCTCTGAACCAAGTCTATTTCCTCTACCAGAAAAAGCATTAGGCTGTTCTTTGTTAGACTTTGTCAAAGTCTCGCTAGCTTCTTCATTTGAATCTGCTGCTTTCTTCATTATATCACCAACTATGTCATTCGGTCCTCTAGGGCCACCCTTTGAAGGTCCTTGAACACTCAGACCGCTAAGAACGTTTAGTGACGCTCGTTCGCCCTCCAATTAACTCACGATCTTTCACCACCAGCGTAGAGCTTCTCACGTTTACCAGGATCTTCCTCGTCATCGCTGTCGTCGTCATTGTTGACATCTTTGAGTGTTGCGATACCAGACGATTTCTTTCCCTTCCTGAGGATAATGATGAGTAAAATTAAGCACTGAATATTGATGTACTCACTTGGAAGATTCCGGCTTCTGCTTACGTTGGCCCCATCCAGAAGGTAAAGGTTCAGCAGGTGCTCCACCGAGAGTGGTAGGACCTGAGTGCTGACGTTGTGTATCTCTAGATTCAGCCATAGGCTGTGGCTGTGCTGCAGCGCTGAAATCATCTGCGTAAAACAAATCCAACGCCGACTGTGCATCACCATTCGTTGCTTCAAGGAGTTGCTCTGCGGTTTGTTGATCAGTTCCTGTGATTCCAATGATCTGGTCAATTGCTGTTTTTGTTGTTAGATGCGTGTTTGGCTTGAATGTGTGCTCACATGGAGAAGACATGATGGTAACTAATCAAGAGGACTTGTATATAATGATCAGATATCAATACATAGAAGACAAAACATATAAAACTTATCCAAGCAATACCTGTGTGTTGGCTGATCCTTGTAAGAGCATAAACAGACACCCAATGGACCTTGATCTAAAACCAATATTAATCGTAGCATTTGATCCAATCATACTTAAAATCTCCATTTCAAGTTCATTTAATCTGCATTAGTGTATATTTTGAATACTGGCACCATTAAGAGTTCCACAGCTGCGTGAAATTTTTCAGTCAACACTCTTTCCAAGCCATCGACCATACTTACAACTAAATTGGAGTATGATTTGTGTCCTAATATAATGACAGCTATTATCAGTTTTTAAACACTACCAATTCTTGATTCCTCGCTGATGCTTATCATTTTGTGCAACTTCTCCAGTAAACAAACCGCGATCCAAATAAAGTCCATTGGAAAATTACTACCTTTCACTAACAGGAATAAGAATTCATGTGCAAGTGAGTCTTCGTGAGTATTAAAAGCTTTAGGTAATATGATTGAGATATAAAACGAGGCAACGTTACAAACGCTTTTGAGATCTTCGTTGCCTGCAATTACATAATTATTCGCTCTTTACATTTCACAAGAAATTTCAGAGCTTCACTTAATTTGGAACCTTAATCAGCAGACCATTAGCCAAAGATAAACATTGTCTCATCAAGGCTGAAACTGTTTCTTACTACTATATGGAGCTTAACTCACAAGCAAAGCTTACGCTTAATCTAATCTAACTTATAAAGTAAGTCACATGATTGATAACGACTTGGTTGACCATCGCTTAGCATTGCCAAGGTAATCGACTTGAGAGTTTAACCGCCTCATTTACGCACTTTGATCTAAACATACCAACTCAGGTATGCTTCTTCTTAAGGAATGTCAAGACTGTTTGCTTCTACACAGATACTGCTTCACTCAATATACTGTGTCTTTTCGAACAACAATAAATTGAATACCCTTCAACTACAATCACAACTTAAATATAATTTATCCTCCTTCGCTCCTTTAACTCATAGTTTAAGATTTCTCAAAACTCAAAAATGTCTCATTCGATGCAAGCTACAAGTTTGAATTTTAGAGGTGGTTGTTTTAAGGGATATGTTTCACAAACGATATGAGCCAGGAACTTGAATTAAGCCCTCTCTGTAGATGCAGGTACTGCAAATTATCCTATGAAATTGCTCGTGAAATTTGCAGAAACTAGTAAAATGTACATGAATCCCAGCGGAAAATCGTTTACCAATCGTTGTCAACGTTAACTTTTGCGTCTTTTTTTTTTGTTACTATTTGGATCTATTTATGTGTACGTGTACTCACTTTGTTTCCATTTGTGTCCTTTCGCTTTACCTGCTTCTCTAGTAGATTTTCTGCCGTGGTGTTTACGAGCTTTGCGAGAAGATTGCTTGTGTAGATCCAAAGCAACCTTCTCTGCTACAGAAGTACCCTCCTCTTCGTTATTTCTGTTGTTTGCACGATGCTCTTTCCTTCGGCTTTGGAGTTTGAGCGACTTCATGAGATTTGTTGGCACTCCTTTGTCATCTGTAACCTGCTCTTCACTTTGATCTCCATTGCCATTGCTTCCTGAGTCACTACCCTCTTCTTCCTCTTCATCTTCATCATCATCATCCTCATTCTCACTACTCTCATTTTCACTATTTTCATCCTCACTACCCTCTATATCCTCATCTCCGTCCTTCGGCTTGTTGTTTTGTTCTTCTATATAATGTTGATCCAACATTGACTGCTCTCTAGCGCCAAAACCGGTTGTCATAACCTCAGCAAGAAGAGCAACCTGGCTTTTATCAACTACATCATCGAAAGAAGGCCAAGAATCAGGCTGATACCTGAATCTTTTATCGAAAAACTTGACGATGCAATGAACATCGCGATCAAAGTACTCTTCAGCATTTGGATGACTAACTGAAATCATTTGTGGGAAATCAATGAGCACAGGCTGACCATCAGCTGATCTAATAAGAATGTTAAACTCGTTGAAATCACCATGAACGAGACCAGCTTCTGCCAGACGAACAATCAAGTCGAATAACTGAGTGCATAGTTTTGCTGGATCTTCAACTTGAGCAATAGATCGAAGTGGTAAGGCATCCTCCAAAGACATTAAAACAGTGTGCCGTACTTGATCAAGGGGAGTTGGAACAGGGAAGCCGTGCTTATGAAGAACTTGCATGAAAGCATATTCTTTCTGAGCAGATAATCTGGACATGTACATCCAAGTTGCAGATTTACGTTTGCCGAGGTAGTCTCTTTTTGACTTTATAGCTCTGAAAGAGACACGACCAAGTCTATTGGGTGTGTTAGACGAATGAGGAGTTGAGAAAGAGCGACAAACCTATGTATCTTCAACACACGCTGTTCACCCTCTTTATTAGCAACAACGAAAATGTCAGATTCTTTACCGACACCGATCTGATTACCGACAGAGTAAACAGTATCGCGCTTGCTCATTGCCCTGAGAGCCAAGTAATCATAACCACCGTAAGTGAGTCTATAACCATCGTATTTAGTATTTTGAACGCGGGCAACGAGGTTACGCTTGGCAAGTACACCAAGCATCTTATTAGCGCCACCGGATCTAAGCCCAGAGATCTGATTGATCAAAGAAGAAGGCACAACTTCGTGGTTCTTTGAGCCCATCTCGCAAGCGGTGAGAACTCTAAACTCTACAAAGCCAATTAGAATGAAATAATAAATCAAAGCCAGTTCTAACCATCGTTTGTAATATATCTCAAATCTGTTGCGTCTAAGCGCATTGTGGTAGTTAAGCAAGGAGAGATATACAAAGAAATATAATTTTATTTAAATTTATTTCATTAACACCAAATCATTAAATCCACCGAAATCCCATCTTACCCCCAAACAGCCAACATGCCGACGGTGAAACGGCGTCCAGTGGATCTAATCCCAAATCCAGCCAATGACGATCCACACGCTCAAGTATTTTTTATAGACAGTACTTCAGAGATATTCCTGGATTACACTTCATATCTTTCACGTATTCTTTTCTTAAGAGAGCACATATTCCAATGCTCTAATTCTGGCAAGAATAATCTCACTTATGCTGAGGCTTTGGCCTCCGAGTTATCCGAAGCTAAGAAGATGGAAGCTCGTTTCCAGCCAGCCATAAGAGGCCCAATCCTCCGCTCTGCTGCTTTTCGTGGGTTATTCAACAATCTAATCATTCACTCGCTTATCCTCCTCCAGAGGTCATGGGCCGTCTCGACAGCCTCGTCGATCATATCTTTGAACGCTTCAAGAATCGTTTCTGGCCAGGCGAGAGCTTATTCGTTGATTTACAAGGCCAAAAGTACTTTGCCAGAGTTATTAACGTCTATCCACCCAAGGAAATCGTCCATTACATCCAACAACATCGCGAGCCTGATGCTAAACGTGTCAAGACGGATCCTACTGACGATTCTATAAGAGAAGCTAGCGGCCTCAAAACCTCTGAGCTACATAGAATGGGCGTTGACTTGGAAATCCCTCAAGCAGAAGCAGACGCTGCAGACCCTCCACTTTCCTATTACTACACTGTTCAATTAGCTGGAAAGGATGACAAATTTAGTGGCTCTTACATGGAGTTGAAAGCTGCTTCGTTATCGTAGGTAGATTTGGTCTTCATAATTTTCCCCTAACCTTCCTTCTAGACGTGATAGATTGATGTTCTCAAAGTCTATTCTTCGCAGATATCTTCGTGATACTCTCTATCGCTCAACGGCTGTAGGCGCCCCTTGGCGTGTCAAGCCTGAAATTGCCAGAACTTTCAATATACCTGAGGAAGTCACCCTTGAAGCAAAACATAAAAGTGATGTTGACCGTAAATTTAAGCTCGAAGAGATGAAGAAGCTTTTAGAAGGCAAGCCACGGGAGCCAATAATTGAACAGCCACAATTACCTGCTCCTGATCTAAAACCACGTGCTAAACCGCGAACAAAGGCTGTCAAAAAAGAATATGGTATCCTCCCCGACGTAAAAACTGTAGTGGCTGCAGTCAGAGATAAGGAAAAGAAGAAATCAACAAAATACCCCTGCGAAGATTTAGATATAATACTCACTACACGAGAGATCAACGCTAGATCAAAAGAGAATTCATTAGTTAGACCAACACCTACAATCCCCATTTCTGCATCGCATAGCACATTTGATAAATTATTACAAGTATGGTCATTCTTAAATATATTCGAGATTCCACTGCATTTGTCAATCTTCACTTTGGATGATTTGACCAACGTTTTACAACTAACAACTACAGAACAGGGCGTACCTGAACTTTTGACGGAAATTCACGTATGTTTAGTTAACATGCTCATTCGCGAACGTGATCATGTTGAAGGTATGACAGAAGCTCCACTTAATGAAGAGGCTTCTGCCGATCAAGAATGGGTACTTGGGACTGTTGATAGATATGGTAACGCTTGGACCCGCAAGCTTATCAGTGAACAATCCGAGCGTAAAGAACAATGGTTGAGGGCAACTGTGGGATGTCTGAGAGGAGTAAGTGCGCTTTGATTACCTTGAAACACAATTTTAATATCATGTAGCATCTCACTAATGAGACACATGCTCAGTACAGGCGAATCTTTGCCCATCTTTTTCCTCCAAAGATCCTTGACTCGAATTCTGATAAAAAACATGGTTCAACGTCTTCGTTGTCGTCAATGGAAGATGAAGCAAGGCCCGAAGAGAGATACTTTACTCTTTCATTCGATGACAAGCTCCTTCTGCTGTCGGCTTTAATCGATAGAGTAAAAATGACAAAACATATAAGGAACTTTGTCGACAAGGCTGAACCTCAATTGACAGAGCTTCGAAAGGAAAAGGTAGATCTTAACAGAGAGAAAAAGAAGTTGACGGAAAAGTTAGAAGGAAATGACAAGTCCAATTCGCAAGCACCACCTGCTGGAGCTGATGGGGCACCCGAGATTGCTCCTGATTCTGTTCCAGCGCAGCCATCTACTTCAGAACAAGCTTCCGAACCAGTAGCCGATAATCATTCTGAGGGTTTGAGCGAACCTCCACCAGCCGACGAAGAAGCTAATGGAGAGGATGAAGATGACGAGGAGGTGGACCAGCTCGAATCTGACAGTAATGAAGACAAGGAAGAAAACGAAGTAGAAGATGATGCAATGGAAACTGAAGACAACACAAAAGCAGAACCAGAGCCAGTAGAGCTTACGCCGGAGGAAGAAGTCGTGCGCTTGTCTAACAGAGTTGAGGAAGTTGACAATGAATTTAGATCTACTCACGGAACTCTGCGCTTGAGACCACTTGGTGAAGACAGATTTTATAACACTTATTGGTTCTTTGATGGACTTGGTAGTCGACCATTACAAGGTACGGCCTCAAAACCAGGAGATGGTTACGAGACGGGCAGACTGTTCGTTCATAGGCCACATCTGCCAGATCCTGCTGTTATGTCAGCGTCTCACGAGTTAATTTCACGCTTGATGGAGGACACAGAAAGTGATTTACGTAAAGACGAGAATCTCTATGCGCAAGTGGAGAAGGACATAACGAATTTGCTGACCGATAGGAGGAAAGAGGAGGAAGGTGAGCCGGGTATGCTTCAACCAGGTGAATGGGGTGCATTTGACTCAATGGGTGAGATCAGGAGTCTCATGAACTGGTTTCAGCAGAAGGGTAATCGTGAGCTTGCACTAAGAAATTCGATACAAAGATGGTGGCCTTGGTTAGAGCGTAGCATCAATAGCCGTAGAGAGCATCTAGATGGAAATGCGCAAGATGTCAAGATGGAGATCGATGGCATGTCATCTTCTATGTCTTATCGCAGCTGGAAAAATAAGCGAAGAAATTAGTAATTCATTTTGTATACTAATTATTAGCTTAAAGGCTGTTTATGTATTTAATCGCTTGTCACGTATCTCACTTAGCCTGATTGTGTGCCGGCCAGAGGTACTAAAAGCAAAATTTTTCATAAAAAAATATAGGCAAAAGACGTAATTCAGTTCACGTTGTTTACATATTAGCATACCTAACAGATACCTGAGGTTTTTCAACTCATTTTAAATTAAAGTCCGGAAAAGGAAAGTCAAAACAGATGTGGAGCTTTTAGTGCGAAAGGGGTTTACTTCAGACTAGCAACACGCGCGACAGGCAAGTACAAGTATTTCGAAAAAGTAGACAGCCGGACTGTTTGTAAGTGCATTAATGTTGCGCGTGTACAATGAATTGATCGTGTATTGATTTAGATCACTTACTCTCACTCACTTGAATCTCAAACACATCCGTATTTTTTAAAAGTCGTTGACCGACTCGAAACTATATATTACAGCATATCTAAATAACGCAGGACGTTTACTTAATATCAAAGAATGTACACTCAATACGAACAAGAATCGAGATTCCAGGAGCACTTCAAGACTCCACCCTCATACGACCCTAAAGCTGCGCTTGCAAAGGTCGATGAGATTATTGAATCCAATCAAAAAGCTTATGAGAGTCGTAAGGGCAAGGGGTTAGGATTGGGTTTCGAGATTGGTGATTATGACATGCAACGAAGTGTCTCACAAATGCAAGAGAAGGAGGATAACCTTAATGACGTTAGTGTTGTCAACAGTACCGCTCAAGACAGAAGCATGTCAGCAGATTCAGTCCCCACTCTCATTTCGGACTCTGACGCGTCTTTTTCGACTGACGAGAGCATGGCTATCACACCCGACAAACATGTCAACAAAACGATACGCCCTGTCGAGAAGCAAAGGCCTGTTACTATCAGTCTTCATCCTAACAACGAGTCCAAGTCGTCTTCTGAGAGTGAAGATGACGATGAAAAAGAGGAACTACAGAATGAAGATGACGAAGTGCTTGACGGTCATGATCTTGCAAACTTTTACAGATCCCATTCACGTCAAACAACACCAACCAGCCCTACACCAACGAACAATCAACCATTCAAGTTCGAACAAGAGAGTGCAAAAGAGGACAATGTGGAAGAGCAAGAAACTTCCATTTATACTTCGTTCGTAGCTGCAAGAAGATCAAAGTGGTTGGATAAGAGGGCAACAATAACGAGGTCGCTATCGATTCAAACACCATCCAAGCCAACAGCAATTGAGCAATCAAAACCAATCAAAGTAACGATTGAAGAAGAAGATGAGGAAGAAGCTGATGATGATCTGAATTGGTTGGGACCGCTTATCGAGAAAGCAACTCCAGTGAAGAAAAACAGACCACCACCAATTTGGGCGCAATTTGCCAAGGTCAAGGGGTTAACAACAGATGACAATTCAGGAGCAAGTAAGGATGTACACTCGGTGTTAGATAGACCAAGACCTCGCACGTCGTCATATGCATTTGGCAGTGGAACCGTGAAGACTGATTCGTCGCGTAAATGTTCCGAGAAGACGTCGGTTGTGGCGATGAAGAAAACACCACGTAAGCCAGATGCAAGAGAATTGTTCAAGACCAAGTCTAAAGACGAGCAACTTCCATTCCCTTCAAGCTACGCGAGTCTTCCAATGGGGCCAATGCCATCAGTTGATAGAAAGACGTCGTCCTCAACCGATACATTTGAAAGAATGCCAAAGGATGCCAGAAGATCAATAACACCAACAGAAATAGTAAAAACGCGTGTTAGTAAAGATCCAACGGTTCGCCTTGTCGGTCACAAGCATGGAGTAGATTTATCAAGGCACTCATCGACAGCAACGATGCCTTTAATGCCAGAATCCCAAGCATTGCGTGATTTAGAGAATATGCTTGTCGCATATACAGAAGACGAAGTACTGATGCGTTTGTCGAATATGTTCCAAGCCTAGGGACAAATAAGAAATACTTGTACTTTAATTGATGAATTAATTGTTGTTGTCTGAATATTTTGATATTTTTGCTGTTTTTGCTGTTTCCATAATACTTTCATCATGGCCGCTCGACAAGCACCAATCGTAATAGATAATGGAACTGGGTGAGTGAAATTATAAATTTTATTATCCCAATTAATACACGTACAGCTGGACAAAGATGGGGTTAGTATCCCTCTCCACGGCTTCATTACCCTGCTGACGCAATTTGCAGTTTCGCTGGCAATTCGGAGCCCAGCTTGTGCGTTGGCTACTTAATATTTCAATTTATATCTTACATTTCCTTCAGCGTATTTCCAACAGTCATGGGTCTCCCTCACTCTCAATCCGCTACTGGCTCCTCAGGTCCTGGCCGCCCAAGCGTTGCGGCTAAACCATCACACTTGGCTTCAAAGAGGGGAATTGACGATTTAGACTTCTACATTGGTGACGAAGCTATCAAAAACTCTAAAAGCTACGGCCTCAATTACCCTATTAGACATGGTCAGATTGATAACTGGGATTTAATGGAAAGGTTCTGGGAGAAATCCATCTTCCAATACCTCAGAGCCGAGCCTGAAGATCACCATGTCCTGTTGACTGAACCTCCTCTTAACGCCCCAGAGAACAGAGAGTCGATGGCTGAAATCATGTTCGAATCTTTCAATGTTCAGGGTTTGTACATTGCCGTACAAGCTGTCTTGGCTTTGGCTGCAAGCTGGACATCCTCTAAAGTCACTGATCGTACTCTCACTGGTACCGTTGTCGATTCTGGTGACGGTGTTACTCACGTCATTCCAGTCGTAAGTCTAGTTATTCAATGTTAGTCTAAAAGCTGACGCTTTTACAGGCCGAAGGTTACGTTATCGGCTCATCCATTAAACACATCCCAATTGCAGGTAGAGATATTACCAACTTCGTTCAACAACTGCTTAGAGAGCGTGGTGAAACTGTGAATATCCCTCCAGAAGACCAAATGAGAGTTAGTGAAAGGATCAAAGAAGACTACTCGTACGTCTGCCAAGATATCGTTAAGGAATTCAGAAAGTACGATCAAGATCCTTACAACTGGTTCGAAAGATATCAGGGTGAGCATTCTGTGACAGGCAGACAATACGGCGTGGATGTAGGATACGAAAGATTTTTAGCACCGGAGATTTTTTTTAATCCTGAAATATACTCGAGTGACTTCTTAACGCCATTACCAAATGTAGTCGATGAAGTCATTTCAAGCTCACCAATTGATGTCAGAAGAGGACTTTACAAGAACATAGTTTTATCCGGCGGATCAACAATGTTCGACCACTTTGGCGCCAGGCTGAAGAGAGATTTGCGTCAATTGGTCGATACCAGATTGACAAACTCGGAATTGCAGTCAGGAAACTTGCAAAAGTCATCTGGCGTTGAAGTCAACGTTATTTCACACAAAAGACAGAGACACGCTGTCTGGTTTGGTGGTTCTCTGTTGGCTGGTTTGCCAGACTTCTATACGAGCTGCTATTCTAAAGCTGACTATGATGAGATTGGGCCATCGATTTGTCGTCGCTATTCTATCTTTGGTAGCAGCACTTAGAGCTGATGACTATCACTAAAAGTATTTGATATCCAATTTCCCACTTGTTATGAAGAATACAAAATGAATCCGTATACTTGCTTATTGTGTTAAAATTGGGTGTTCATCTCCTACGACAATTGTCAAAAGTCATTTCTCTTGCATTGTACCACCCAAAAGCATTATCTGAGAATCTTCACATATCCGATGACTGCAAGATGTTTTTATGGGATGAAAAGGTACTTTTAGTAGTATTATTTGTACAATTAAATGATACATTATTAAATTGAATTTAGTTTGCTCAAGGAACCCTAAAAATGACCAAACAAGTGAGAAGACGAACATAGGGATACCATGTACTGACAATTTGAGCGATTGAGCTATGCTATCAATCTTGTTTTAGCTTCAGAATTTCAAATTCATCCTCATCTCAAGCCTCCGCTCAATATCCACCAATTTAGAATTCTCCTCTGACACCTATCTCATCTCAGATGGTGAAATACGAGTTTTGATGATCTCCAAATTAATTGGCTTGATAGATAACTATGGCTGTAAGCATATTATTTCGCCAGATTTAGATCCCTGACGCTCCAATCGCGCGCTGCACGCTGATCGAAAGCAATGATTCAAAATCGCTCTAGAGCACGCTATAGGATATAAATGGAGTATTTCACGCGTTTCATCGATATATACAATTCATTCTGACTTTTAAAAACTGCAAGTCCTACAAATATCATTTATTCGGCTCAATAAATGCGAAAAACGTTTCACTTTGCTTGGCGTCTACAAGACTCAAACCTGGCACCAGGATATAAATATGGCTACTCCGCCTCATTTCGCAATTTAAAGAAGAGATTTAGCTAAAGAAAAGGGGGGGGCATCAAAACTCTGAAATCGGGGTTTTGGCTTTTGATCAGTAAGTTTCGAAATCCTAACCAGTGGGGGTAAAAGGGTTTTTGAATTTGCATTAGAGTATTAGATGTCAGGATAGTAGGAACATTAATTTTCACGTTCAATATTCCTTTCTTTAAGACATGTCAAACTAACACTTTATAACTCTTCGCAAACCTAGTCGCTACAGAATGATATTAAGATTGCTCAAAGTCTGCACAAGAGTAGATATTAAATAACCAAATATGTATAAATAAGTAGCAAGTAAATAGCTTTATGATTAGTCCTTTAGGGTTTTTGCTTTTGGCTCTTCAATCTTGACTTTTCACTCTAATTAATCTATTTGACTTCGACCAATTTGACTTCGAAAGTCATGTCAGCGTTCTTACCAATACCTGGCAAGGCTTGGTTACCGTAAGCCTGCTTTGATGGGATGTAAAGGGTTCTTTCACCTCCGACGCGCATTGGTTGGCCACCTTTACCATTGACAGCGCCCAACACACCAGTGTCCCAGCCCGAGATGACTTCACCGGTGCCAACACGGAAGCTGAAAGGCTTTCCACTGTGAACGAGTGTTAAAATTATGAGTCAAATGTCAGAGAAAAACGCACCTAGTGTTCTGGTCAAACACCTTCTTTTGTGGTTTGCCATCCTTTAGAACGCGACCGATATATCTCATGCCAATTCTCTTACCAGATTTGGCGACAGGGCCATCACCGATCTTTGCATCTTTGTAGGAGACGCCGTTGGAGAGAGTTACACGTTTGTCTTCCTTCTTTTCATCTTTGTTTTCTTTCTTTTCGGTCTTCTCAATCTTCTCAGCCTTCTTTGGTTCTTCCTTCTTTTCAGCAGCAGCCTCCTTCTTCTCCTTCTTGGATGGCTTGGCTGGAGCTTCTTCCGCGGCGCGCTTCTTTGATGGCTTGGAGATAGGCTCGTCAGGAAGTTCCTCAATCTTAGGGCCATCTTCTTGATCGTCGTCTTCCTCGTCATCATCCATGCTAACATCTTGACCGTAGAGGGCGCGCATTTCATCCTCATCCAAGTCACTCTCGTCATCATCGCTGTCGCCGTCTTGTGGGTGTGGGAGATTTGGAGAGACGAGGTTACCGAGGAGGTGAACTTCGTTGTTGCCGGTGACAGAGATAGAAACGAGATCGTTTGCGGTGATGGTGAGGTCAAGTGAGACTTGTTCGATTTGGCCAGGGATTAAAGAGCAAAGGACAACTTCTTGGGAAGTCTTATCAGCAGCTTGCTCTTCAGCTTCTTCATCGCTTTCAGAATCGTCTTGTGGCTCGTACATTAACTTGATAACAGATTTTGACTTGGAGGAAGAAGACTCAGAGAGAGCGACATTGGTTATTCTAATGTCGTCATCAATTTCCAAGATTGAGGGAGAGTTTGGGAGTAAAACTTGTGACCAGAGACCGAGAGTTGTCATGTTGGTTGTTTCTAAAGGAGAAGATTTTAGACTTGTAGGTTTATAGTGTTAATTTGAATTTAATAGTAAAATGAGTTTTACAATTAAAATTAATTTCAAGCTAGTAATTTACTAGTGTCTGGTTAGGTATCACCTTGGATTTCAACGTCACAGTCACAGCCATGGTGGGATATAGGAATATAGAAATACGCAGCTAATCAACAACCCAAGTCAAACACACTTAGACCATATCTTGGTACAGTTAGAGCCTCACTCACTGCAGCACTCAACTTGTCCAATTTCAGTTCACAGGTATATAAATCTATTCATGGGATACACCAACTAACTCAATAAACAGATCGTTGAGCGTCACAACAAGCCAGAGATTGAAATAACCAATTCCCGTGAAGTTATTCTCCAACCATTGCTTATCACTAGAACAGCAATGGAGAAGGTCTTAATAGAGCCTTCAGTAAACTCTGTTAGACTTTCTATTAAAATCAAGCAGGCTGATGATATTGAACGGATTTTGGCACATAAGTTTACACGTTTCATGATGATGAGAGCTGAGGGATTTGTAGTTTTAAGAAGGAAGGCTATTCAAGTGAGTTTGGTGGTTGTTTATATACGTTATATAACTCAAAATACTTTTAAGGGCTACGATATTTCATTCTTAATCACAAATCAACACACTGAAACACTCTTAAAACATAAAATTGTTGATTTCATTATTCAGTAAGTACTCTTACTTGAGTTAGAAATCAAATTAAACAGCCTTTCACAGATTCATGGAAGACGTTGACAAAGAAATTAGTGAAATGAAACTTAGCTTGAACGCTAGAGCAAGAATCGTTGCAGAAACCTATTTGAGTACATTTGGAAACTAAACTGATTAGATAAGCTCAATGCATATACCTTTGATTACTTGAACTGATTCCTATTATCAACAAACGCACTGACCTCTACACCTTACCACTTTTACAATCATGTCTCTCAATTTAGTTGACCCGAATATAAGCAAAGCACATAACAATCTATTAGATAATGGTGAAGGTAGTTGGTTTACACTAGGCTACCCTTCTGATTCAAAGGATCAGCTTGTTGTGATGTCTTGCGGAGAAGGTGGTTTGGATTCCATTAAGCATTCACTACCAGATGATCATATACTTTTCTTCATTCTTTGCCAACATACCAAACTAATTGAAATTCTCTGGTGTCCAGAAGTTGGCGGCGTGAAAAAGGCTAGAGCCATGGTACATGCAAGGGCTGTAGCTGCACACTTTAATGTGGGTTTCGTGAATTTTATTTTCTCTCAGCTTAACAAGAAAAACCCAACAGATATCAACTTCTAACACACACTCCGCATCCTCGGTTGACGATTTAAGCGCAGCCAAAGCAAAGAATGACACAACTTTAAATGGATCTGCGCCACCTTCACGTCCGCCACCACAACCCAAGCAAGTTATAGAACCTCCAACAACTGTACAAAACTTGGACACAGAAGAAGATGATACCGATTCAATCGTAGATGGATACCACGATGTAGATGATACACCGCAGGGAGTTGAGCAAGAGGACTTGGTTGAGAGGCAGAGGATAGAGGAAGCCAAACGTATTGAATTTGAGCTCGAGCAGAAGCGCAAGGGGGAAGTTGAGGAAAGGAGGAGAGTGGATGAAGAGAGGAGGAGAGTGGAACAAGAGCACAAGATTAGAGTGGAACAGGAGCAAAGGATGAGAGTGGATGCAGAGGATAAGCGTAAAGCTGGTATAGTGAAACAAAAGAGTTTAGAGCAAGAAAGGATGAATAAAATGATTAGTTCTGGTCAAGTTGCACTCATGGGGAAGCTTTCTGCTCTCACGAAATCTAATATCTGGCGCAGAAGATACTTTGAGCTCTCGTCGAAAGCATTGGTGCTGTATAAGGAGGATTTGAGTTCAAAGACGCCTATACAAGCGATACCGTTGAACAAGAGCACAGAGGTTGTGGACAGCTATGAAGAAGTACTCGTAAAGAACTCATTCAAGTTGTCTAACAAAGAGGAAGACCTGTTTGTGTACGTCGATGACGCTATTTCAAAGGCCAAGTTGATGGAAGCGGTACAATCAGCTGTCAATTGTTAGAATTCGCTAAAATGATTTGGATATTGTAAAATATTTTGAAGACCATCTCTTGAAACACAACAGCCATCGATTACGCACGATTACCCAGAAGATGGACGATATAATATCAATTGGTTAGTTTCTTGATAGATTTAATAGCTCGACTCTAATAAATTACTAGTGAATCGCTTACAGTGAGTTGTACGCGTAAAATATCCAGCACTAACGAAATTACAGGGATACCTTCAACACTATCGGTGAGCTAGTTATTCAACATTCAAGGCTATTATCTTACTAGTCTCCAATCTAAAGGCGGTAATTCAATCGATTTGCCTCAAATCGCCGTCGTTGGATCACAGTCTTCTGGTAAATCGAGTGTATTGGAGACTATAGTTGGTAGAGACTTCCTTCCACGTGGATCAGGAATCGTTACACGCCGTCCACTCATTCTCCAACTAATACACACCAATAAATCTCAAGATTACGCTGAATTCCTTCACATGGACAAGCGCTATACTGACTTTGAAGAGGTCAGAAGCGAAATCCAATCTGAAACATTTAGAGTTGCTGGTCAGAATAAGGGCATCTCAAAACTACCTATAAACCTCAAAATATACTCCAATAACGTCGTTAACTTGACTTTGGTCGACTTGCCGGGATTAACAAAGATCCCGGTTGGTGATCAGCCATCTGATATTGAGAGGCAAATCAGACAACTCGTCCTAGATTTCATTCAAAAACCAAATTGGTAGGTTGTAGACTATGTCATACGTCATTCCTCCTACTCACACATTTCTAATCACTCTATAGCGTCATTCTCGCCGTCTCTCCCGCTAATGTTGACCTCGCTAACTCTGACTCCCTTAAACTTGCCCGCTCTGTCGATCCACAGGGCAGAAGAACTATCGGCGTTCTCACAAAGCTCGATTTGATGGATGCCGGCACACACGCTCTCGATGTTCTCAACGGTCGCGTCTACCCGCTCAAGCTTGGTTTCATTGGCGTCGTTAACCGCTCCCAACAAGACATCAACTCCAATTTAGACATTGGTGAAGCGCGCAAACGTGAAGAGGAATTCTTTGCCGAATCACCTTCCTATCGTAACATTGCGCACAGATGCGGTACAAAGTATCTCGCAAAGACACTCAACAATGTCCTCATGGCGCATATCCGGGAAAAGTTACCTGACATGAAGGCAAAATTGAACACTTTGATGGGTCAAACGCAGCAGGAGCTCAATGCTTTTGGTGATTCAACCTTTTTCGGCAAACCGCATAGAGCCTCGCTGATACTCAAGCTCATGACACAATTTGGTCGCGACTTTGTCTCATCGGTTGACGGCACATCGAGTGAAATATCAACCAAGGAGCTTGGTGGAGGTGCTAGAATATACTATATATTCAATGATGTCTTCGGTCAAGCTCTCGAGTCTATCAACCCCAACCACAACCTCAGTAATCACGACATTAGGACCGCAATTCGCAACAGCACCGGCCCAAGACCTAGCCTGTTTGTACCAGAGGTAGCATTTGAGCTGCTTGTGAAGCCGCAAATTAAGCTCCTCGAACCTCCTTCTTTGCGCTGTGTTGAATTGGTGTATGAGGAATTAATGAAGATGTGCCATAACAGCTCAAATGCTGAGCTCGCACGCTTCCCACGTCTCCATGCACAACTTATTGAGGTAGTTTCCGATCTACTCAGAGAGAGACTCGGACCTACGGCGGAATACGTTCAGTCACTCATCGCAATCCAGTCTGCGTACATCAACACCAATCATCCATCATTTGCGCCCGGTACAGCGCAGTACGCAGCCGAGGCGCAGAAGGAGAAGCAAAAGCAACAGCAGCTCAAATACGCATCTATGACAAGCAGTATTGACGAGGAGAGGGAAAGGGAGAGTGAAGGGGAGCGTTCGAGTGGTGCAGTAGACGACAGCATGGCGATTGAAGCTAGACCTGGTAACAATGCGCAGAATGATGCTCGTCATCAATCGCTTACGGCGCAACTTCTTAGTGGTGGTGGAGAGGAGAGTGCTTTTGGACAGTCGCAGTCACAAGGACAGTCGCAGTCACACCTCCAGTCTCAACCTCACACTCAATCAAGGAGGAGACACGGTATGCAGCACCCTCACGCACACACCCATGCGCCATCACAGAGTCAGACAGCGCGCGATACATTTCTCAACTACTTCTTCGGCGGTGCAGACGCCGCAAGCTCCGTAAGCAATGGCGCATCTAATACACGCACACCCGTTAGAGATGTGGACGGAGAGGCGCGTGAGCAGCGTAATTACACTCACTCTCACACCCCCTCCAAATCTCACACTAATCCCCTCAACGGCCGCAGCGGACTTGAGGGCTCAGCTGCGGCTTATGACATGAAGAGTCTCGGCAGGCACCTCGAGCCTGTGCCCACTATTGACGAGGGCGGCAGTGCTGTTTCCGAGAGAGAGGATATGGAGACGACTCTTATTCGCAGCCTCATTGCGTCATATTTCGCTATCGTTAGGCAGTCGATTGAGGACCTCGTACCTAAGGCTATCATGCATCTCTTGGTGAATTTCTCTAAAGATCTCATTCAAGATAGGTTGGTTGCCTCGCTATATAATCCTGATGTGAGTATGAAGAGTACACCGTTTGCGAGCATGCTTTCTAATTTTGTTAAAGATATTCGACGAGCTCCTCTACGAGGATGAGAATATCGTGAATGAACGCAACCGCGTTAAGAACCTCATGGATGCTTATAAACAGGCTTTCACTGTCCTCGCTGAAGTTAATATGCCAAAGAGTGGCGCGGACAGTGTAAGCAGTACCACTATGAACAGTACCGTGTAGATCATATGTACACTCTTATGTAACTATTCAACCTCTATGGATTTCACTCTTCTTTAAATACACAAAATGTTACGATTCCATCTCACCCTCTTCGACACTATCATCAGTACGAGCTTTCTACGGGACATGTCAGTACATTCGCACACACACAAGCACCTATACTCACCTTTATCTCCCTTTCGTCTGGATGCGGACTCTTAGATCTGCGTCTCTCAGCCCTCCTCTCATCCCTTTCCTTTTCTCTCTCCTTATCTTTAAGCGATGTGCTATCTCTCCTCTCTCGCCTTCTGGAATCAGCCCTGTCACGCTCTCTATCTTTGAGGCGTTTCATAAAACGTTCGAAAGCTGTCTGGAATGCCTCTGTGTCATCCTGGAGGTGTCTCCCTTCAGGCAGCTCCTTGAGACGTGGGAGGACATCAATGAAGGCGTCATCAGCATCCAGTGGTGGATCCAAGTAGCGCATCGCACTGCGCATGTCATCAATCATTATTCGACGCTTGCGTTCGGCTTGCTGCGTCGCCTCTAACTTCTGTGCTGCATATTGCTGATTTATCTGCACATCACGTTAGTTGAGTGTTTGTGTGTATGTATGTGGAGTACTCCCAACTCACCACTCGGTGTATATCCGCAACGGACCATTCATCCCACTCTACACTCACATTCACTCCGTGCTGCTCGAGTAGTGACGCAAAGTGATCGTAATCGACCTCCTCATTAAATTTCACATTCTTTTGTAACAGCGCTTCCTCAACTCTTTGCGCTACTTGTTCAGCACGTACTTGGAATTCATCGACCGTGTCCCAAAATAACTCAAGCGCAGTCGAGCCTGAGTTACCGGCGATTTGGAAGAGACGCGGATCATCTTTGATGTCGTCGATAATGTCTTTCCATTTCGTGTGTATGTTGATCTTGCCTGAGTTTACGAGATCTTTGAGAAGTGTCTATGGTGGTTTAGTGGGTTAGCAATGTTTAATCCGTAGTGCGTTCTACTCACAACAAACGCCTCCCTCTTTCTTCGTTGATCGCGCTTCCTCTCAGTTTTCATCTTCTTCTTGCGCTCTTGCCAAGCTTTCTCGGCAGCTATCAAACTGTCCTCGTACATGTTGAGGACATCGACCATATCAATACGCTGCAACTCGCTATCATTCCGCCACTCTCTCGACGACTTCAAATCGCTTTTGAATTCAGCCCACTTTGTGTCCATCGAGATTGCAGTTGTATCAATATACTTCCTCATCTTGTTTAAATTCCTCTGTTTCATCTTCACCTCTTCTTCCTCTTCTTGTCTCTGGATATGTTTGAGATACTCATCGAACAGCATCTTGCGCTCGACGTCGTCTCTGCAATTCTGCCAGCTACGCTCTTTGGTTAATTTGGGATCTGTTGAGATAACAGCGCGTAATGTGCTCCATTTTGTATAAGGGTGTACTCTACCACTCCGCGCGAGCATGTCTCTGAACTGTGGACGTAATTTATCCATTCTGCGTGACTTTTCAGCGCGCTCTTCTTCAGAAACAGTGCGAATATATTCTGCGAAATAGTCTTTCTTCATTGAGAGTGATGGTTCGAGTTTCCAAGCAGGACTTGTAATGAGCTCTCTCATAGTAGCTTCCCAAGTCCAATCTGGAGCGACCTGTTTCTTTTTGAAGAGATCCATTAACGCCAACTTGGCTTCGTATGGTGTAACTTCGGAGGGTAAACCGGGGGTTACTGAACCAGGACCTGCGCCGATAGCTAGTGGTGTTCCTGAACCTTCTAAGGTTGGTGTACCTGTTGCACTTACACTTGCACCTGCACCTGAACCAGCACCAATTTGAAGCATGGGTGATTGCGCACTCGCTTTCAACTCTTCTCGCTTCCTCTCATCTTCAGCAGCCTTATTCTCCTCATCGATACGCTTCTCTTCTGCTTCTCTCTCGGCAGCAATTCGATCAGCAGCTGCCTTCTCTTCTGCATCGATGGCGTCCTTTAATTGACGCAATTCATCTGGAATATTCCAAGTTGATTGCTTTGTAGATTTATTATACCAGTATGTTTTATCATTAACTGTATTTAATCCCCACTCAGAAGAATCCACAGCGTGCTGCGATTGGGTAAGCACACATACTCAAATATCCATCAACTCACATCAAATCTAGTCTTGAGCTCAGTTGGCTTAACCCAACTACTAGCCTTTGTCACTCTATTATGCCAATACACTTTCCCATTCGTTGCTTTATGCTCTGTCCAATGTGATGGCTCTGACGGCTCTGATGACATGGTTGCTTGTGTTAAACGAGTATAAGTACCAAAATTATGCATGTATTAGATTATTTTCTTCACAGAAATCTGATTATTATCTTTATTTGTCATTTTAAACGCAGTTACGTTTAAAACCCTCCGATGAAAATTTTGTATCTTTAGTGAGACCTGGATAATTGAAAGAAGCGCTTGATTTAAGCTGTTTAATGAGTGAATGAGTGAGTGTGTCGATTAATGAGCGTGTCAGCGTGGTTATACGTGATTGAATGCTGGGAAATGAATGTTTGAATAGCAGGCATACGCAATGCAAGGCATTATTTAGTGTGTGTAGGGGTATATTATTGTTGGTATCTTCTGAGTCTTGTTGTGATTAATCTTATTGTGATCATTGCTTCCATCTTGTTACTCCATCTTGGGGCGTTGAGTCAAGTCTGCACCTCTTACTATAGATTTCATAAATTGAATGAATCGATCTCCATATTGCTGCGCTGGTACTGCCGATATCATTTGTGATTCATGCGTCAAAGATTTCCACCGATGTTCGATCCGTTTGACGAAATTGTACGGTGTACAGATATCTATTACACCAAGCTGTAAAAGAAGATTAGTTTGTTTCTTCACTTATAAACTAAAGCTCACGTAGTATATCATATTCAAATCTTCGTTGTTATCATCAGTAGCTCTGTACCCTCCTTCATCTTGATAGAACCAGAAATGACGTCGTTCAGCAATATCTGCATTATTCAAAGCGCGCGTTGGATCCTTGTCGAGATTCTTAGGCTCTGTTCGTTTAATAGACATACGGACATTACGACCTTCGCCTCTATGGATAGCGCTTGACATTCGTCTTTGAATTGATGTACTACCCGTGTTCAAAGGCTGATCTTCAGGTACTGGCTCTTCTAGTTGAGGCTGGTATACTTTGAGTGTCTCCTTGCGTCGACCTTCAGAGTTTCCCCTGGTCATATCATGAATACCCAACAAGAGTGAATAATCCATGATGCCCAATTTCTGTAGCAACATGGTATCTCTTTGGAGTTGAGTAAGGAATAGAGCGCGCTTTTCAGGTCCTAACTCAAGTGAGCGATGTCGATTAACCCAATTCTTGTCTTTTAGTACCGCGCCTGGCTTTTCTCTGGCCTTCTCTTCTGGATACTCTCTACCTATGGCTGAACCTTTGAGGTCGTAAGTCTCATGAATATCTCTATGCGGAGGGAAGAGGTTGTTCATGATAACAAAGTGAATTTTGCGACCACGAGGTAATTTAACACGATGTAAACCGTAGAAACGAGAGAGTAGAGTGTGTGGGTTGCTCTTTACGTGATTATAATAATCTTTGAGTATAGATCGGAGGAATTTATGTTCGGTATGTGATACGGTTTTGATTATGTACTTGAAATCACGGGAAAAGTAGAAGAAAGAGCCAGATTTACCTGGACTACCGAGTTCAGTGAGGATATATTTAGCAGTGAGAGAGAGTAGGTAATCAGCGGGGTCTAGATGAAAGTAATCATCACGTAAGCTTCTAAAGACCCAAGGAGCGTAATCTTTAAACTTGAAGTCGTATTTTGCAGACGGAGTAAGCTCATTACCGATAATATCGAAACTGAATTTGTGCTTTGCTTTGAAATCAGCGTCAGAAAGGGGCTTTCTGAGTTTAGCCTGGCAGCGAGAGACGCCAATGCGTATACCAGTGAGCATATTGTACATAAGGACGTAATTTGCGTGGTCTTCGCCGATCAAGTTGCCAACGAGGGGTTGTTCAGAGGACTGACGCTTCTTTATAGCCTGAGACTCGTGTTGCTCTTGAGCTTGTTGAGCCTGCTGAGCGACTTTAACTTTATCAGCGCGTTCTTGCTTCAATTGAGCCTGTCTAAGAGCGATATCGTCGTCAACGTTTGAAGTGGAAGAGAGTGGAGGAGATAAAGGCTGTGGGGAAGGAACAAGGGAATTTAAAGATTTCTGCTTTATATTTGGTTTGGTGGTGGTGATTGCTGCCGAAGACGGGTGGAGGTGGTCAATAGAGGGTTCATTCAAGCTAACGGGTGGACTCGGTGGAGGTTCAAATGATCTGTGCTCACACTCCTTCCACTGCTGATCGATTTGCATTTTTATATTTAAAATTCAATTATCCAAGTTGGTGGTCGTTGAGTCTAGACGCCGGCTGCGTCCTTTGATCCAGTGCAGTGATTCAAGGAAAACAAGGAAATTGAAGTAAAATGGTAAATTATCTTTCTAAATTAAAAATTAAATATAATTAAAAGATTTACAGGGACTTCTCTCGCTTGGTACTCCACTTGATTGGCCAGAAGCAAAGAAGCTGGCTGATTACGTGAGATCTAACGGTGTACACCAGTTCTTGTCTATATTCTACAATTACAAGAATAGACAAGGTGAGCCATTATTATGGGGTGATGAGGTTGGTCGCGCTTTTCCCGCTTTCTGGCTGGCTAACTTGGTGTAAGATTGAGTACATGGTTATCCTGCTCGACGAGCAGTCTCAATCTGCTAAACTCAGTTTAAGACAATCTGAGATTTTGGAGAACCTTAACAATGTTACCCAACACATCGCAGACGACTCGTCCTCCTCCTTCGTTAAATCTCAAGTCCCCGGTTTTCACCCCGAATTCGGCCGTTACATGATTGAGTCCACCCCCGGTGTTCCTTACTCGGCCGGTTTAAAGGAGCTTCTCACCGTAGAAGTTAATATGCGTCTTCGGAGGAATATCACTAAGCATCATTTGCCACCGAACCACCTTCCACTCACTCTAACCTCTTTCCCCACTCTCGGCGTCAATTACCCCTTCCTGGATCCTCATTATCCTCCTAAAGGCAAAGTCTCCGGCTCCCTCTTTCTCCCCGATGAGCTCATCAACCCTCACGTCCGTTTTCCAACTCTAGCTGGTAATATTAGAAAGAGAAGAGGCGCTAAAGTTGAAATCAATGTTCCTATCTTCTTTGACACAAACACTCCACGCCCTTTTATCGATAAATCTATTCCATACGACAGAAACCTCTTCGAAGGTGATAACGAGGCTAAAAACGGCGCTGCAAAGCCTGATCACATATACATGGATGCAACCGGCTTTGGTATGGGCTGCTCTTGTCTCCAACTCACTTTCCAGGCTTGTAGCGTCAATGAGGCTTTCAACGTCTACGACGCTCTCGCTCCTGTTGCTCCAATCATGCTTGCTCTCACCGCCGCTGCTCCTGTCTACCGCGGTTACCTAGCCGATGTTGACGCTCGCTGGAATGTCATCTCAGCCGCTGTCGACGATCGCACCAAGGAGGAAAGAGGCGAGGAGCCACTGAAACACGACAAATATAGAATTCCAAAGAGTCGATACGATAGTATAGATTCTTATTTATCCACCTCTAAACGCAATAGACCTGAGTATAACGACAATCCATTGCCTATGAATAAAGATGTCTATGATGAGCTTATAGCTGCTGGTATAGAGACACCACTCGCTAAACATATTGCACATCTCTTTATACGTGATCCACTTGCTATCTTTAGTGAACTTCTTCAGCAGGACAACTCAAAGTCTTCCGACCATTTCGAAAACCTACAATCGACTAATTGGCAGACACTGCGTTTTAAACCTCCACCTCCGCAGTCAAATATTGGATGGAGGGTTGAGTTTAGATCTATGGAAGTTCAGCTCACCGATTTTGAGAACGCTGCCTTCTCAGTTTTCATAGTACTCCTCACTCGAGCTATTCTCTCATTCGATCTCAACTTTTACATGCCTATCTCAAAAGTGGATGTTAATATGCAGAGGGCACAGGAAAGAGATGCTGCCAAAACTGGTAAATTCTACTTCCGCAAGAATGTCTTCCCTAAGCGTGACAAGACGGAGTATAGTTTCGACAGTCCGAGATTAGGGCCTATCAAGTCGTTCGATAATGTAAAAGGGTTGAAAGAGGAGGAGTCGCATTTGAACGGGAAGAGAACAGCTTCTTCAGACAGCCTCTATTCAAATTACAACTCCTCCATCAACCCCGATGAGGAGATAGAGGAGATGTCAATGGACGACATTATAAATGGGAAAGAAGACTCATCATTCCCTGGTCTGATGGGCTTGGTGTATGCTTATCTCCACTCACTGAATGTGGATATCGAGACAAAGTGCGAACTGAAGAAGTATCTCCAATTCATCAAGGATAGAGCATCAGGAAAGTATGTCACCTTCGCGACGTGGATACGCAACTTTATGAGATCGCATCCAGACTACAAGGGTGATAGTGTCGTCACTGCAAAGATGAATTACGATTTCATCATTGCTGCTGACGAAATAGAGAGAGGGGTGCGTCACGAACCAACACTCCTACCACCGACGTACATTGGCAGTGACAAAGTGAAGGAGCCATCAGTGAGCGACCTCTGCAACTCAGTCTCGAACGACCCCGAACCACCAAAAAGACCAACTCCAACTGATGGTTTGGCTAGATTGAAGGGAAGCAATTATTATACCGTTTAACGTCGTTTCGTATCTCATTTCTGTTGTTTATCTATGTATAAATACTTTTTTCACAAGGTTAGATAGTGTCTTGTTTTGTATATCCTTGTGTACGTTGCAGCTTTACACTGAAACGGTCTTTGCAGCCGAGATGTGTGACCTGGCCACGAGGGGAGTGTACAGAAATGACACTATTCCCTAAACGTTTTAGGCATTCCGGACAGCTATGTTTGTTAGCTTTGCAGTGTACAGGGGCGTAAAAGATTTTAACTCACACTCTGTTGTCATCCACAACAACATACCTGCTCTCCAAATCTACCAGCTTCGCAGCCAGTCGTGTATCTTCAGCTTTACGAATATTAGCAGTGACAGAGTTCCATCTTTGTTTTCCAACGATAGCTTTGTAGCTGCGCAGCAAGAATACGTTCAACTCATCGACCGTAGTGATGCTTGGAATGAGGTTAAGCACCTCGCTGAGATTGAACTTGGTGGGAAACGCGGTGAGCAAAAGGACTGCTTCTTTCATATAGAGTGCATTGGGTGCATTGAGCGGATTGGAAGTGTCATCAGAGATAGGCGTGCGCGACGGGGTCGGTGACGGCGACACCGAAGCCGACGCGGACGAAGTCTTGTAATAGCTCGCCGGTGCTGTACGTTCATCACACCGGAGATATAGCTTGAGCAGCTTTGTGTATATCGACCGATCCTTGCTCTCGACGTGATTGCAGTACTTCTTGGCGCTATCATAGTCGCGCAAGTCGAGTGCGTACAGGCGCAGCGCGTCATCGTGCCGCCCCAGACGGTCGGCGAGGATAGCGCGCGCGAGGAGGAGAGCTTTTACTAGTTAGCATAAAGTGCAACAACGAAAACAACAAGATGAAACCACCCACCATCCGCTGGAATACCTCTGAGCCGTTCTTTCGGTGCATACTGCTGACTACGTGATAAGAAGGCGACATAAGAAGCGTATGTGCTGTCGAAAGAGGGTGTGTTTCGACTATGTAATGTAGCTTGTAGGAGCGCGTCAGCATAGTAGTCATGCAGCGCTGGATCCTGGTCGTTAATCTCCTCTGTGGCGTATTTGAGATAGCGCAGGCTGAGATGGCTGTCGATGTCGTGAAGGTAGTGCGCGACGCGCAGACGCGGCAGACTCTCCACCCTCTCGTCGTCTGCTATAAATATCTGGTACAGGTTTGAGAGAGGTACACAGAAGAAAGCCGCTCACATACCTGTATCGCTATGTCTTTGTTCACGTCGAACATCCATCTCGATTTGTCGAGTATGAGATCGATATACTCTCGACCTAGCTGTTGCGTGTAGGCGATGCACGGCTCTAAGTCACTTTCCTCATTACCATTCTCATTCTCATTCTCACTTTCGCTCTCAAGACACAATCTGTGGTGATAATGAGAGCTGATCAATTCAACGAGAACAACCATACCTTTTGAGCAGGTCGAGAGCTTTGCCATGCATATTTTTACTCTTGTAGAGGGACACTAATTCACTGTATTTCTGGAGTGTGGGTGTGTGTTAGCCAGATGAGTATTTGGGAAGCATATCACACACTCTTCTGTCGAGGAGTGAAACCTCCACCTCCTCAGGCTGACAGTGATTCTCGAGCCGACACAGAGAGCCAACGAGTGCAGGTCTAGTTTCTATATAAGCTTTGAACAGCGCAGTGTCGACGACAGCAGCCAACACAGCGAGCTCACTGCCGTTAAGGCTCTCTGCCGGGCTGCTCGGGAGGTCGAGGAGCTGCTGTTTGGTGAGATCGGTGAGTTTCACGTTGAGAGATGTGCACGCAGAGTGCTTCTTCTGGCTCATGCTCCCCTTCAATTTCTGCCTTCTGTCAGTGAGATAGCGCAGTAGGGCTTCAATAGAGCTCTTCTCTTTTTTTGCTGTCCGAGCAGTGCCATTGCTCTTAACCGACGCGGAGTCCGTGTCGCTCTTGATTGAGGACATAGAGGCAGAGTTGTGGATAGCGTCTTCGCACTCACTCTCCCCCCTCTCGTCGACGTGTTTGTACAGCTTGGCGAAGTCCCCGAAGAGGATGCTCCACTCGTGCGTCGGTGTGTACAGCCTACCTGAGATGTTTTCGGGGAAGAGTGCAATCACTTTGGCGGGGTTGGTGTGCAGTTCGATAAAAATATCAATCGCGTCGTCAACCAACCCCGCATCGACGAGACTGATGGAGTAAAGTTGAAGTATTTTAAGGCGCAGTTCCGCCTGCTCAGCTTGGGTAATGTCAATACCGCTACCACTGTCGAGGAGCGCGAGCGCCTCGTCATATTTACCCTGCTTGACGCTGCTGTCGATGAGCAGCTTAGTGTTGACCAGTTCTATAGTAGAGACACCGTCCGGGGCATCAACGTAAAGTACAGAGGAGGATTTGTGGAGAAAGCTGCATACGACTGGGAGGACCTGCACCAGTTCGAGAGTATAGGAGGAGTAGACGTGGGTGGAACCCGTCTCGTTGGAGTATGGAGGAATAGTGATGTATATGAATGGCCTGGCTGAAGCTATGTCATCTGCGGATGCAGGTATCGTCGTAGATTTCGCAATGACGCCATCCTGATCGATGACGAGGACTTGGGTGCCATCGACGAGGATAATGTGCTCACTGTCGAGAGGAGTCATAAGAGGCTTGGAGCGGTAGAGAAAGCCGGTGAGGTTTGCAGTGAGGGAGGATTTGTTGGTGCTGGGGAGAATGACGTCATTTATCGAGTAAACGGATTGAGACTTGATATCGAATTGGATGAGGGAGTATTCAGAAGCTGAGTAAGCGATGAATGTGGTGTAAGGGTTGAGTATCTTCACCAGTTTGGGAGTGTTGGGCAGTGGAATGTCGGTGTGTTGAGCTGTGTCTTGTGTCCAGGTGTAGACAGACACCTTACGTTTGGTGACCACAGCGAGAAGGGATTGGATGGGCGTGGGCGTTTCTAGCGGATCTATCGGCCGTAGCCGTATGCGCCGTTTAGATGTGCCCCTCTTACGGCCTTGCATCGCAGCCTCCGCGGAGAGAGAAGAGTGAGTGGAATTGAGAGTAGAAATAGCGACAACGTTCTTAATAGAGAGGTTTATATCGCGTAAATCAGCCATTTTGTGTAGACTGAGCGTCGAATCACCCAAAATGGCCATTAGCTGTGGCTGCTGGAGGATTTCAAGGGATTCAAGTAATTTCCTAGTGTCCTTGTAAGAGTCCAAGATAGTCCAGTCCATAGAGTAGCTAAGTATAGAGGAAGCACTGGCTAGACATATCCGCTGATTATCTACGTGTTGATTGCGTTAGCGGGAGATTACTTATCGCTACAATGACATACGCTCGACCAAACCATTTGTGTGTGTGTTGTTGATTTTTAATTTCAATTCCACAGCCATCGTCGTGGTCGTCGTGGTCGTCGTCGTCGTATCGGTACAGCCATGGACAAGTACAGCGTAATACTGCCCACCTTCAATGAGCGTAAGAATCTGCCCATCATCATTTACCTCATTGCGCAGACGATGATGCATTCGAATTTGGACTGGGAAGTTATCATCGTCGACGACAACAGCCCAGACGGCACGCAGGAGGTGTCTAGGCAGCTGCAGGGTGTATACGGGGCAGACAGGATTGTTCTCAAGCCAAGGCCGGGTAAATTAGGGCTTGGGTGGGTGAAATGGGTGAAATTGTGTGTATACGTGTTTATAATACACTCACAGCACCGCATATATTCACGGCCTACGTTTCTGTTCTGGCAACTTTATCATTATTATGGACGCTGACTTCTCCCATCACGTGTGTCTTGGGTGTCTTGCTTTCCTCAAGGCTCACGCTAACGACACGCGCAGCCGAAATTTATACCCGCGTTCATAAAGCTCCAGCAGCAGCACAACCACGATATCGTCACAGGTACGCGCTATTCTACCACACAGTCTGGCGGCGGCGTATATGGGTGGGACCTCACACGCAAGCTCATCAGCAGAGGTGCCAATTTTCTGGCCCTCACTGTGCTTCAGCCGGGCGTATCCGATGTGACTGGGTCGTTCAGGTGAGTGATTTGCTTGGTGTTGCACCCACTCACACTGCACAGACTATACAAGAAGCACGTCCTCGAGCATCTCATCACCACTTGCGAATCCAAGGGCTACGTATTCCAGATGGAAATGATTGTCAGAGCCAAAGCGAGCAAGCTTTCTATAGGCGAGGTGCCTATCACTTTCGTCGATCGTCTATACGGCGATAGCAAGCTGGGTGGATCTGAAGTGATAAACTATGCCAGTGGGGTTTGGAAGCTGTTTAGCTGTATTTGAAAATACATGAGTACTTGAAAATACATGAGTACTTTACAATATTTGGTTCTTCTACACAATTCCACCAATTCTCCTCCTGTCGAGATCTGCATTGACGCTGTCGTGTATTTGCTTGGCCAGAGTGTGTGCACGTTCAGTAGCATATCCAACGCACTCTAGTACACGCTCCACCGATAGCACTTTCCCGCCTTGTTTGTTCAGCGTGAGTAATTCTTTCTGGGGCGTAGTGGTGACCATAAAGCACGCGTCGCTGAGCTGGGCCTCGATAGCGTTGGGATCGAGTACGGCGATATCCCCGCCGCCTTGAGTGTCTTGAGTGTCTTGAGTGTCCAAGAAAGCAAATGTAAAGCTAATGGGGGTGTGGTTTATAGCCAGAGGAACGGGAGTGCGTTCGTCGAGGGGATGGTACGTCACCTCGCCGCCCACGACGGTAGCTTCAGGCTTACGGAAATGGAGGAGAGCCGCTGTGCACGCTGTCACGCCCGCGTCTACGAGGTTGCCGTCGTCGGCCATGTAATGCAGAGTGAGAGCGATCGACCACACTTTCTCTCCGCCGACAATACACAGCGCTTCACGGTCAACCATTCCACTCCGCCGGATAGCCTTGTCGAGTTGACGGTTCAGCGTCGCTTCTTCTTCGGCCGTGTTGCCGCGTAGCCCTGACTCGTAGTGCGCCATCGCCATCGCTGATAACTCACTGCTAATGCTCATCTGTCCCTCGTACGGCCGCTCGGGGAGTGGAGACGTCACCGTGCAGCTCACTGAGCACATGACTTTGCTTTCTCCCAGCTTCACCGTTACGCTGCCTAGCCCTTCCCCGTATTCTAGCTCTAGCCTCCGCGCTTCGAGGAGTGAGCGGCCGTCAAGACGCTTGTTGTCTTTGAGTGCATTTATTATAAACTCCTTGTTGTTCACGTTCACCTCGAGTTTTCTGGGCATTTTCGTGGTTTCGATTCGAGGAAGCGAGAAGACAGGAAGACATGAAGACACAGACAAAACGACAAAGAGACAAAGAATAAATGCATTTATATTCCTACATGTAACACGCTTAACGACGTCTATTCCCACCCTGGCCATTCATAAGAATCGTAAGAATCCTGATAAAGAGGTTTATAAAGTTAAGTTCGAGGGAAATGGATTCATTGAGTGGGTCGTATGGGATAGGTGCACCACCCTCAATCATTCTAGCCTTTTGCAATATTCTCTGTGTATCGTAAAGCGTGAATCCACCAAAGACGGCTAATCCACCGTAGAGACTGACGTTGCTAGCAGCATTAGCAACACCAGCGCCGACTCTAAACATTGGAATGAGGCTGGAGATCGCGATAACGACGCATCCAGCGAGTAATGGGCCACCGAGATAGAGGTATGTGTCGTTCTTGCTGGTGGCGCCGACGTAGCTAAGACTGCCAATCACGCCAGCCGTGTAAAGGCCAGCTCTAACCATGAGAGCTGGTGGGGCGACATAGAGGAGTGGTGAGAGTGTGGCAGCCTGTGCGGCGTTGAACAGGAACCAGAAAGCAGTTTTTCCGCCCTTATTATCTGGCGCAGTCATCCTCATACCCATCAGAGATCCGATAGAGCCCACGAGCGAGATACCGGCGAAAGCCCATGGATTCATAGCCATTAGTCTCGCTGTTACATTCGATCTGAACAGCCCGACGGAGAAGGCGGTGACGGTAGCGAGTCCTCCGCCAAGCCACGTGAATGTTTCGTTGAGATACTTGGCCTCGAATGGCGATAGACCGCCTTCGCGCGTCTCTCTATTCAGCACAAAGTGCGTTCCCAGTATCGTACCACCCACTGCGAGCGCTGCGGTTGCGTACTTGCTTTTGGCTTCGGCGGATGTGCCCGATGTGCCCGTTCCTTGCTGCTGGTTGAACGTATAGCCAGCGCCACCACTACCGCCACCGCCACCGCCCATACGCGGCAGAAGACGGCGTGTAGTGGTGTTAAAGCTGCGCTGGGGAATGCTGCTCTTCAGGCATCCAAATCCTCCCCGCTGCAGCTGTAGATTTTTACTTAAAGACTGTAATCCAACTTTAATCATGGCAGTTATGATGAAACCAATGACGAAATTTCTGGAAAGTTGCAAGTGGAAGAGTGAACTTTTTCACAATCAGAAAGGCAGAAACGATCAAATGTCTTTATGTGATGTGTACATGATGTATATGTGATTTCTGTATAGTCTATTATGTAATGCAATATGTGAAATGCAGTAAAATGCAGTTATCCAATGAAAAGCGCGAGAATCCGAGGTATTCAATCAATCAACCCATATACTCCTCAGCTACTCCCCAAACTTAGATCTAGCTCTAAAAGCCGGCCCTTTCCAAATAAGCACCCAGGGGACGAAAGCGAGGATAATTTGAACGACGCCCAGGATAGTGCAAGCCCAGCGTGGTCCAATGCTACCGTACATCTAATGTATATGGTTAGTGAATGAGCATTTTACCCCGCAGACCCACCTTATTAGCAAAAAGAGGAAAAACAGCACCGAAGACACTGCGACACATCACCAGTCCGCTCAGCGCACTAGCAGCACTGATAGAGTAGCAGTCGTTGATGTAGCTGACCTGAGCGAGGTAGACCATGCACTGGGCGCTGTCTTTTGTCAGGCTATGCGGTGCGAGAAGGAAACGACGAAGCATCTACTCACGCTCCCCATAGTGTGCTGGCGACTATTGGCGACCACGGGCTGATCCACGGGTAGCTGGTCCACCCGAACCTGTTTGTGGACTGTGAGACGAGACAGGCGCCGCCTGCATCTGCCACCTACCAGAAAAAGAAGACAACTCCAAACACTCCGCCAAGGCATGCGCCCTCGAGGCGAATCTCCGGCGGGGGCTTCTCCCCAGTCTCTTCCATCTTTTTCACGTAACGGCGATTGAAAAAGAGCGCAGTGACGAGCGCCGCGAGAGCGCTACCAATAGACAGTGGCAGAAACGTCAGACCGCGCACGCCATTGCTCATGTCGTGTCCGCCCCGCTCGGCCGAGTAAACGAACTGAAAAGCTTCAAAGAGGAGATACTGGACACCGTACACGAAAGAGCTATAGAAGGAGAGAGCAGCGAGCATGGGCTCCCGCGCGAGCATGATGAAAGGTTTGGAGAAGATGAGTGAGGCTGTATCGGCGAGTCCCTTGCTAGTGAGCTCTTTGGGTGCGACGCAGTTGCTATCGCCTGCCTTGCGTCGCCGCTTTGCCTCGCGCGTCAGCAGCACAGGCTCGTACGTCTCCGGCAGCAGCACTAGAGCGGCGAGGGCGCAGCTTGCGCAGAAAATAGTCACCACCCAGAACACCCACCGCCACCCAACCCCGCTGTCGTGGATGAACCCACTAACTATCGGCGCTATGCTCGGTCCTAGGTATGGACAGCACGCGTATATCGCCAATGCTAGCTGCTTGTCTTTCGCTGTGAACATGTCGCCGATGAGTGGGCCGACGACTATGATCATACACCCGCCGAAGAACCCGGCAAAGAAACGACATACGTAGAGCGCGGCGGGTGTGTGTGCGAGTGCATCACCTATGTTGAAGAGAGTGAGTATCCAGAGACAGGATATTAGCGTGTATTTACGGCCGAATGCCTCGCTCGCTGGTCCCCAAATTGGGCCGAGTACATAACCGAGCATGTACAGACTGAGGCAGAGCGTGGCATCAATATCGTCGCTGAAATTGAACTCGGCCATTATGTCCTCGGCTATACCGGTTGTGCAGGCAGAGGTGAAAGCAGACGCAATGGCGATAACACCCGTGAAGACAGTCAGCGACCACCGCTTCCAGGCTGGCCAGAGCTTGGGTGATTTGTCACCGAGGCTGTCGATCAGAATGTATGGGTGCTGTTTCTCAGCGTCGAGGGATTCCTTAGGAATTGAAAAGGACATTTGAATAATTCAAGTGACTTGGAATAACTTGAAATGACTTCAAATTCCAACGTTTGCTTCAATATTCCAAGTAAATTAATAATTCGGTCAAGTATCGGCTGCTCGTTTCGGACGACGTACCAACTTATCAACGAATCAGCTAAAGGGTTTATAAATAATTTTACATTTCTACCAATCTTTGTCGTCGACGAGTGTGATAGGGTTTTCTGGGGCAGTAGCAGGAGTATCACTTACTGCAGTTGGAATATCAGCAGAAACAGTCTTGTCAGGTTTATCAGGGATATCAGCCAAATCACTCCCAATTCCACTGTCACCAACCATCCTGCGCTTCTTAAAATCGCTATCGTCCTTGTCATTTGAAAGCCTCGTTTTTGCATCAGATTTGCCCAATTTCCGTTTATTTCTTCTATTCCTGTTCTTGGAGGTTTTATCGTTGGCCAGCTTCTCTCTCTCTAGTCTCCTTTGCTCGAAATCCCTGGCATTGGCTTCCTAGTGGGTGTATTAGCCGCGAATAACTCAACATCAGCAATCCCACCTCCACTTTCTCCTCTTCCATGAGCTGTATACGGTCATACTCTCTCCTTCGCGATTGCTTGTATACGTGAAATTCACCACTGCCTGCACCTGCCGACGATCCTTGGACGTGGGCGAACATTTCTCTCGCGGGCGCAATTTCCTTCTTTCTAGGTGCATCTGGTAATTCAACAGGCTTTGTGGGATCTTTGAGCAGTTTATTCAGCTCTTCCCGCTGTATTTGAGACGGATTTATGTTGTGGCTCATGAAGGTAGTACGTCAACAGAGTTTAGAGTATTCATCTTATCATCTTTATCTACATTTCATCTTGATGTTCAAACAGGTAGTTGGCTGCGAGATTCTCATCGCCTTCAAATGCAAGTAACGCCTGTGCAGACATTTCCCTTGTGAAACCCAACGCTTCTAACCGTGAAACAGCCTCGCCCTGTTCTTCAGTGAGGTGTATAACCTGACCAGGACCTTCACTGTCTTCAAATTCACCATCGCCGCCTTCACCACTGAGTAATTCCACTAATGCTTGTGGGTTTTGAGTCAATAACTGCGCCAATGTTGGATTTGATTGGGCTATCTCTTGTATAAGTGATTGTAACAATGCTGGGTTCTCTTGTGCGGCTTGAACTAGTTGAGCTAGTTGAGCTGGTTGTCCACCTGCAGTGCTATCTAATCCAGATGGTTGTGATTGAGCGGGTTGTTGTGTAGTAGCGGGAGTATTTTGCTGACGAGCTGCGTCAAAAAGGTTGAGAGGTGCTTGTTGTGATTGCCCTGATTGCCCTGATTGCCCTGATTGCTCTGGTTGCTCTGGCTGCTCTGTCTCACCTACACCCCCGGGAATACCGTTCATAAGATACTCAACTGCTCTCTCAGGGTTATTAAATGAAGCTCTCATTGCTTTCATAACCAAATCCCTATCAAAGCCCATCTCAACCATATTCCCAACGGCTGTTTCCAATTCAGAGCCCATAGCGAGGTTGTTACCGGGGGCCGAGGAGGATGGCTGGGGTTGTGATTCTGGTTGTGTTTGTGTTTGTGGCTGTTCCGGTGCCTGTGCCTGCACCTGTCCCTCTGCTTGGGTTGCAGGTTCTTCCTTCTTAGGCGTGGGCTTTGGCTTGCTTACCATAACGACGAGAAAGTCCTTGTCCTTAATATCAAGACTCTCAATAGACCTATCGTCCGCTAATATTTTACCAGAGAAGATTAGTTTCTGTGTATCAACAGCGAAACCCTGATTATCGTGTATAAGCTGCTTGAGGGTGGCTATCTGGGTGAAATTTAGATATCTGTATAGATAATCCCAGTCCACTCACAGTCGCACCCAAATCAATTTCAATTTTGAATACTTTCTGTTGTAAAGTTTTTATAGTCAATTCCACCATGGTTGTATAGCTCCAACGATGACTGCCATTAACAAAAGGTCTTGCGAGGAACCTGATTCTGGTGATTCAATATCAAAGAAGCTAAATCCCAATTCTTCCGAGTTCGTTCCAAGGACCAAGCCAACCGCCCCTGAACTAAATCCACAACAACCACGTATCCCAAAGACTAAATCTGATAAGGAGAATGCTAGGAGGTTAATTGTCGTCTTGGAGAATGCTTGCTTGGAGACTTACAAGCTTAGTACTGGTTCCTCTACTAGAAACGGTGAAGCCAAGTACGCGCTACTCAACTGCGATGAACATCAAGGAATACTTGCTAAAATGAAGAGAGACATTTCTGACGCTAGACCTGATATAACCCATCAATGTCTACTCACTTTGCTTGATTCCCCACTTAACAAGGCTGGTATGATGCAAGTTTTCATACATACAGCCCAAGGTGTATTAATCGAGGTTAATCCGCAGGTTAGAATTCCTCGTACTTTCAAGCGTTTCTCTGGTCTCATGGTTCAACTCCTACACAAGCTATCCATCAGGTCTATGAATGGAAGTGAAAAACTTCTCAAAGTTATAAAAAACCCTATCACCGACCACCTACCCATCAATTGCCATAAGATTACCCTCTCCGGTGACGCTCCTACCACCAAAATATCTGATTACCTACCAAGCATACCACAAGACAAGTCTATTTGTGTGTTTGTGGGTGCAATGGCGCATGGGTGAGTGGGGACAAGGCCTGTTCCATTATACTCACACCCCCACAGCCAAGATAACTTTGCCGATGCCGTCGTCGATGAAAAAGTCTCCATCTCGAATTACTCCCTGTCGGCTTCTGTCGCTTGTGGAAAATTTTGCACGACACTTGAAGATATTTGGGATGTCGTTTAAACGTTCTATTCAACCTGTTCAACCTATAATTATTAATGCTCACCTCTTGTACTAGACGTGGATGACGCTCATCCGTCCTTTGAATTTCTTTTATCTAAACCATCATGACATCATCCTGCCAGAAATGCCGTAAACGTATCAAATTCGATGAAAGTTTGGAAAATGTGGATAGTACAAGCCTTAGTATGATACAGAGCACTCTTAGCCAGAGTTATATAAATATATCCGATGCTGGTGATGGACGTGATACACGGGAGGCACATGACGCACGCAACTCAAATACCCCCGACTTGTCCACCCAGTCTCCCTCCGCTATACGTATCAAGCTTTTTGCTCTACTAAACAGCAACTCGGACATGAAACACCCACTCTGCGTCGATTGCGCTAACGTTGCTCTCCAGCTGCTTGCTGGTGAGTTGGATGACTTGAAGCGTGAGCGCGATGCGTACATGTCTTTTGACAGTCAAGCTGCACTTCTCCACAAGCAGTTTGATAAGAAAGACGATGACAATCGCAATGAAAAGGGTGACGATGACGATATCGATAAGCACCATCTACTTGAGCAGGTTGGTTTCTTGGTCGATGCGTGGATTACTGTCTAACCAGTCCGCGCAGCTGCAAAGGGAGACGAGCGAGAAGAGCATGCAGCTCGATCGTCTCGAGGCGGAGAAGAGGGATATGGAGAGTGAGATGCACGCGCTAGCCGTCGAAGAAGACGCTCTAGAAGCAGAGGAGACGGCACACCTACGTCGTCATTCACTGCGTATACTGCAGCAGAAAGAATCTCAACAATCTGCCATTGCCTCCCAACACACCCTAGCCACCGCACAAAATGAACTAGATCGCCTAGAAAAGACTAATGTCTGGGCAGACGTCTTTCGTATTTCTTCCGATGGCGGTATTGGCACTATTTGCGGTCTAAGGCTAGGCAGAATTGATCAGAATGTCGAGTGGAGTGAGATCAATGCGGCGTGGGGTCACGTAGCTTTTCTCCTCTACTCGGTCGCCAACAAGCTCCAATTTGAATTTAGCGGGTGGGTGAAAGTGGTTTGTAAATTGTGTATCGCGTTGCTTACACCTTATCGACCTGCAACTACAGCTCCAGGATAATCCCTCTCGGTTCTTACTCGCGGATAGAAAGGGCAACGCAGACGCAGAACGGGGTTAAATGGGAGACACTTGAGTTGTGTGTACACTCAAGTCAATTTTATAACTACTAAATGATTATTATTACAGACACCACCCTGGCAGCGCCCTATCGATGCTGCATACCCGCCGATTCGATCAGGCTATGGTGACGTTCCTCGATATGCTTAGGCAGCTGGTGGATGACATTAGCGCGCGAGACACGTGCGTGCGCTGGCCATACAAAATTGGGCGTGAGAAGCTGGCTGATCACTCTATTCGCCTTCCCGGTCAATTCACAAGCGACAGGGCTGCGGAGGAGGAATGGACAAGGGCGCTGCGTGGGTTGCTGGGTACGTGCAAGGTACTTGTGCAGTGGGCGACGTCGGAGTAGGGAGAATGGGCTGTTAAGTTGTTGAGTCGTTGAGTTGTAGAAGTGAATATTTTCATTTGGATTGTCTCAAGTGGGAATACCGAGGATTGAGATATACAGCTTAACCGTAGGCTTATAGCTGGGTAACCAACCACTTTTTATAGAAAAAGAATATTTATAACACGCCTATAAATAAATACCTTCTCTTGGCTGCGTATATCTTTGGAAATGCTTGGACAGCCGACGACATAACTAGACAAGGTATTCAACACACAAACAGTCAAACGGTCGTTCCAAAGAAGAATTCGACTTAATGTCACAAGACAAAGAGGACGTCGAATTTCAGCAGAGGGCGGTTACTGGTGGTGGTAGCCAGGAGAAAGACAGTAGCAACGACAGCAACGACAGCAACGACAGCAACAATAGTAACAGTAACAATATCAACAACACCAATAACACCAATAACACTCATAGGAAACTCAGCAGACGCGAGAAGAAGTTCTACAAGTCACAGGACCAGCTCATCGAATCTTATTTGCACAACGACAACGCGAGTACGCATACAAGCAACGACAACCTCCGAGTACAGCTGGCCATCTACGGTTCCATGGCAGCCGCCTTCTTCCTCACCGGTCTCCAGCTCTATGCGGCGATAAGCAGTCTCAGCTTGAGTTTCTTCTCGACGCTAATAAACACGCTATTCGACCCAATATCCAACATCCTCCTCGACTGGTTCTACAAGAAGTCACTCAAGCTGAACAAGAACAAATGGCCCGATGGCGGATCGCGGCTGACGAGCATAGCCAATTGCTGTTTTAGCTTTATAATGATAATGGTCAACTTCTCCCTCATAGTTGAGTCTGTCCGCTCGCTGATAGTTGGCAAATCGAGTACGCAAGCGAGCAGCGAGAGCGGGGTGGTGAATGGGCTACACGTCCCCTCTATAGCAGCCGTAGGAGTGGCATTCCTCGTGAAGATAGTCCTCTTTGTCTACTGTGGGCTGTGCAAACACCTCAGCTCACAAGTGGAGATGCTTTTCATCGACCATCGCAACGATCTCCCTGTGAACGGCTTCGGTATCCTCACCAGCGCCGGTGGCAGCGTGCTGCGATGGTGGATCGACCCACTGGGCTCGATTGTGATCAGCATAGCCGTAATTACTGTCTGGATCGTTACTCTCGTCCGCCAGTTCAATTGTCTCGCCGGCGTAAGCGCTGTAGAGAAAGTACGCAAGCGCGTCCTCTACAAGACTATCAAACTCGATGCGAGGATAATGTATATCGACTCGTGCTACGTCTATCACTGCGGTCATGACCTAAATGTGAGAGTAGCTGTCGCGCTCGATCGATCCACGCAGCTTCACTCGGCTCAACAACTCGCTCTTAACCTCCAGAACGAACTGCGGGGGATTGAGAATGTAAATGGGGTATTTGTGGAGCTATTAGCGGCGGAGGCAACCAACACAACCAACTTATTTCAACCACAGCATATCTTTATGCCATACGATCTCAGCACTATCGATGAGACGGAGAGTGGTAGTGCTAGCCGCACTCATAGCACTTCTAGTGGGCGGATTAGTCTGGAGACTGGATACCCCTCGCGCTCGGATGACTCAGTGCGCTCCTACAACTCTCAAGGATATACACACAACCGCCTTACTCTCACACATCCACACCCTCATTCACTCGTTTAGGACACCATAATACTGCATTGTTCACATTAGCATCGATATCAAATTCTTGTACACTAAATTAATGGCTTACAATATTTACACGCTAATAACTAATATCACATTTAAAGGCCATTGTTTGCGAGATTATCTGCAATCTCCATGTAGAAAGTCGCTGGTTTGTACTGAAGTGGGGGTTAAGTGTAAGCATGCACCATAGACACCACAAATTCCACTCACTTTTATAGCCCTGCCTGTGAGCTCAGACCAGGCATATCGAGCGTGATTCACCCACCCAACCAGATCAAGGTGGTTAGCGCCATCAATAGTGCCCATAAAATTACCCCATTGGGCGCTTCTCACCGAAACCAGTCCATCGTTTTCGCCCTCACGTTCAACAATCACGCTCCACGGATAGCGCCAAGTGTCGAAAATGCCTGGGTCGTGTCTAGCAGCATAACTAAAGTACTTGATAGTGGGGAGATTAGGAGTGTTTTTGTTGAAATGCTCCATCGCTCGCGTCGTCAATCCCTCAAATGCCTTTCCATCCCCGCTGAGCAGTGGAACTACACGGTTGGGCAGGTTGGAGAGTAGTGTCGGCAGACGGTGTCTTCCGATGACATCATCTATCATGTAGTCAGCAAACGTCGAGCCGCGATGAGGAGTGCTGATGGTGGAAATGGAGAGTATGTTGTAGCGTATTGGGTTTAGGTGGGATGCAAGATGACGACAGTCGAGACCACCCATAGAATGGGCTACGAGATTCACATCCCGTCCTGGAAAACTCGCGGCTATTTGTTCGTCGAGCACTTTAGCTCGATCTTGCACAGATGACGTTGCGGGGACTCTCGTCATCAACACCTCGACACCATTTTCCTCTAAAACCTCCTTTATCCCCCGCCAATGGGATATCTGCAGCGCCGGCATGTTCATCGGTCCGATTAGATCGAAGCCTAGTAAGCCATGGCAGAAAACGAGTGGGTTTTTGGGTATATTGTCTGTGCGTAGTGGTGTGAGAAAAATTTGGGTGAAAATGTCTCAGTTTAGAAACGCACATTTAGACTTTAGGTCGCCGTGCTTGCTTTGGATGGAGTTATCTGGAGTGTCTAAGTAGCGTTCCTGGGACTTTTGGGTTGTGGTTGAGGGAGTGAGCCAATCACGCCAACTAGCGGTGGGGGGAGACGGAGCAGCCAACTCTTTCAAGCGTGAAGCAGCATCTGAAGAAGAACGAGTACGTGTGGCTGGAGTAGAGTCTAGACTGAGGCTTGTGGTGGGTGATAGGTTGGTCATGATGGATGCTGGAGGGGGGGAATGAGAGGAAGAGAGACCTGCGAAGCTCCGGCGTAGTTGATCGCGTCGGAGCATTTCATTTGAGTCTTCTGGGTTCTCCACTTGGTCGTTCATCCGATACCGCCAACAGCCAACACCACCAAGATGAATCTTCTGGAGAATAATAAAAATTTATTCAAAGACATCTTTATAGGCGCTGTGCTGTTTAGTTATTTGAGTAAAGCTGCCAGGGAAATCTATATCTACGGTGTGGCTCACTCGATTAGAAGCGTCTTCAAGGGATTTTCAAGGAGGGCGCTGCTTCTACTTACTAGCCTACCTTGGACAAAAAAGCAGATTGATGACGAGCTCAATAGCGCGCTGAGTGATTTGGATAGCAAAATGGTTATCAGGGATCCTTCTCTGCCCACCCACCACAAACTCCCAACAATTGGCCACGATAAGCACTCCGTACACCACCAGCTATCCTCTCTCGCCAATATTCCTCACTCTCGCTGGGAAGACGGCCGTGTTTCTGGCGCTGTCTACTATGGCGACAGCGGCGACATCAACGACGTCATCATCGAAGCCTTTTCTCGCTTCTCCGTATCAAATCCTCTCCACCCAGACGTATTCCCTGGCATCAGAGCAATGGAAGCTCAAGTTGTTAGTATGGTCTTGAATATGTACAACGCCCCCCAAGATGCCGCCGGTACAACCACTTCTGGCGGTACTGAATCTATTCTCCTTGCTTGTCTCGCTTATCGCAACTGGTCACGCCAGACCCAAGGCGTTAGCCACCCCGAAATGTGAGAATTTTCATGTCTCACATCGAACCATCCCTAACACTCAATCAAGGGTCGTCCCCGAAACCGCACATGCTGCATTCAGCAAGGTGGGTTGTGCTACTTCACTTGGGCTTCACTGATACAGTCAGGCGTCCTTCTACTTCGGCATCACTCTCCGCCGCGTCCCCGTTGACCCACACACTCGTAAAGCCAGTCTGAAGCATGTCAAGCGGGCCATTAATGGTAACACATGCATGCTCGTTGCCTCTGCCCCCAATTTCCCTGTGAGTTGGTTATTGTGCACTAGCCACACCTGCTGAGAACACGCCACACGCAGGACGGGAACGTCGACGACATAGTCGAGATGGGCGCACTTGCGAAGCGCTACAAAGTCGGTCTGCATGGTAGGGCCGTTTTAGCGTACACACACTCAAACTCACACTCCTCAGTCGACTGCTGTCTCGGCAGCTTCATCATGCCCTTCCTTCAAAGCGCCGGGTTTGCCACAACGCCTTTTGATTTCCGCGTTAATGGCGTGACGTCCATTTCCTGCGACACGCACAAATACGGTTTCGCTCCAAAGGTAGGGATGCATACATGCACACACGCTCATACACTCACACACCCTCACTAAAGGGCTCTTCTGTTATCATGTACGCCAACAAGACATGGCGCTCTTTCCAGTACTACTCGCAGCCAGACTGGACGGGCGGGGTGTACGCGTCGCCTACGCTAGCAGGATCGCGGTGAGTGCGAGGTAGCTAGAGCGCCATATTCTAACGCCCCTTTAGTCCTGGTGCACTCATAGCAGGCACGTGGGCGGTGCTCACCCATGTCGGCGTGGACGGGTATGTGCGTTCGTGTGGCGAGATAGTGCGCGCGCGCCAGCGTATCCAGCGTGCTATTGAAACCGACTACCAAGCTGACCTCGCCGTCATGGGACAGCCGCTTGGCTCAGTCGTCGCTTTCACATCTGTTAACCCCGCACTGAATATTTATACAGTCGGTGATCTCCTGCATGAGAAGGGATTCTCGCTTAATGCCGTGGCCAATCCGCCCGCACTGCATATCGCTTGCACTCGCCCCACTGTGGCGGCAGTTGACGATATACTTTCCTCCCTCAGATGGGCTGTCGACCAGGCTAAGAGTCGCACGTTTGGCAAAGAGGATGAGGGCTCTATGGTGGCTTTGTACGGCGTAGGAAGCTCTACCGCTATCGGACCCGACCTCGTCGATTATCTCGCAAGAGGCTTCCTCGATACTATGTATGTGGTATCGTAATTGTATGAGTATTAAAATATGAATGTAACTATCAGTGGAGTAACAGGACTTAATGGGTGGGTGTTGATTAGCTGGTAAGGCTGGTGGGTTGTGCTACTGTAAAACAAATAACTGCTTGCGGTTATAAACTGCGTAGAAGAGAAGAGAGGGGCAAAAAGAACAAGGATGAAAGGTGAACCGGTGAAGCGACACCACAACATCCACAAGCAACACAAGCTACACTCACGCACCCTCCTCATCCTCACTATCGTGCTCAAGGGTGAATTTGACATGAGGACGACGAGAGTGGGAGTGATCGGAGGAGCGCGATGCTCTGCTAGGTGATCTCGACGGGATGTGTGAAGTCTGTGAAGTCTGCGCACCGCCCTGCTGACCGAGATTCATATGGCTGAGGCTCTCATTAAGGGACTGATTCTGTGTGCTGCCTGAGACAACGCCTTGGTTTTGTCTGTTCATAGCCTCGCGCAGTTTCTTCATGCTGTCTGCGTCGAGCGTGGACGATCTCTGAACGTCGTTCGTCTGGCTCTCGTCGTAAGTCGGTAGTCCCTCACTGAGACGCGCGGTTAGAATTTGTCGTAAAGCGCACTATGTACTCCACTCACGGTAACGGGACAACTCCGCCGCCTAAGAAACCGCGGCTGGCGACATCGTATGATGGGACGCGATTGAGGGCGCTGACGTCGTCTCCCTCTCCCTCCTCTCCTCTCTCGCCCTTTTTGCCCTCCTCCTGCTCTGCAACCTGACCGCCCTGCTCCGCGAAATGCGACGCCGTGGGCGAGTGTAGCTTGGAGCTGCCGGCCGAGTTATTCTGAGAAGGCGAATGAGAGTATGAGTGTGAATGGCTCTTAAAGCTAGTCAGCGGTCTGAGAGCCTTAGGGAGATGCAAATTAAGTTTGCTGCCAGAATGTGGGCCTCCGAAGAGGTTATTGAGCGAATGCGACGAGCCGAAAGACGGTCTGGATGGTTTATGTGAGTGTGAAGAGGTGTCGCGCCCCTCCGACGGCGCTGGCAGCACGTCGTCATCATCATTCAAACTGATCGCATTTGCAGTGTCCCCTTCTTGCTCCTGTTGCTGTTCACTTCCTCTGCGCCCAATCCCACTCCCACTCTCGCGCTCCCCGGGTTCCGGCGAGCCTGCACGGCTGGACGCGTGCGATTGGCTGCGAGAAACGTTGCGCGAGCTGCCCGGCGAGCGAGCTTGCGAGGGGAGTTGTGAGTAAGAGAGTGCGTGTGCGTTTGACTGTGAGTTTGAATTGTGGTTTGCATGCTTAGGCGACCCATTCCCACTCCCACCCGCGCCTGGTTGGTTGCGTCTCTGAGCACGTTCAATCTCGCCTAGACTGAGGTAAAACTCGCTATCAGCCCAGCTCATCTGCGGGCGGGTCGGCAACGTCTGTCCTGCAGCTGAGGGAGAAAGTTGGTCTGGGGGAGTAGCCGCACCGCTGCCAGTGCTGCCGCCAGTGCTGCGCACGGCGAACGAGGACGCACCGGGCGTCGCGGGTCTTGAAGCAACGGGTGACATGTGCGCACCGGGGGATCCGAGCGGGGAGTAAGTATGGTTGCCGTATCCAGAAGGGACAGTACCGCTAGTGACGACATTGGCATTCGGGACGCGGTCATAGATGTGATTTGAGTATGAGGGCAGATCCGCTGTCGCTGCCGCTGTTGCAGCTTCATCTGCCGTTTGGGGGTCTGGCGCTCCAGCTGATTCACCGAAAAGAGCGCGGCGCGCATTTGCGGTACTTACCACCGTTTCCTGTAACAGCTCCCGTGATAGAATGTGGATCGGCAACGCACAGCGTAACTCCGATTGGTGTCCGTCACGATTCTGGATCATGCAGGACCATTTTATCTTGTGGTTTATGTATACGGGCCCTATAGAGGGCTTGTTAGCAATGTCTCAGTGGTCAATACTCACACCCACAGTACTGGTGGGAGGGGACTGCTGTAGTCGGGAGGTGGACATTGATAACCGTGTCAACCTCGCCGTCATTGAGCTCAGTGAGATCCTCAGGGCCCTCGGCGAAACGGGGATCGTTATCGGCCCACCCCACCATAGCTCTTCTCGAAGATCTGGACGGGTCGGCGGCGGGAGTTGGAGGATTGGACAGATCAAGAGAGCGGACAGGCTCGAGATTGGAGTTTGAAACAGGGCGTGATGACGGACTAGAAGGAAGAGACCTATTGGGGGGAGTGGAAGCGGCGGTAGAGTCAGCTCTACGGAAAGCGGCGACTTCAACGGGAATAGGCTCGCCATCGGAGGAGAAGTGGTGCCTATAGGTAGACACGATCCTAGATGAATCCTGCTTACAATGCTTGCCGTTCGACTGAGCATATTCCTTGATGATCGTGGTGAGCTGCGTAACCTTGACACCCTTTAGAATGGGGGTGAGCTTGATGGATATGGGTATAGAGTCACCAGCGGCGAAGGCCTTGTGTGGAAGGGTGATGGCGTACAAAATTTTCTGTGGCCAAATGTTCTCAATGTCGAGAGTTTGAGAGAACTCGAGGGCTTCCGAGGGGAGACCGTGGATGATATTGATGGGTTGCGAAGAGTGGAGGTCTTTCTGGAAAGTGTGGGGCCTGTAGGCGTGGGCTTTGAGCTTGTATTTGATTTCAGCGGAGCCATTGATGAGCTGAAGGGAGGCAGGGAGTTCAGAAGGAAGATCGAGCTGGAAGGAGAAGGTGTGCCTGCCAGCAGCCAGCGTCTGGTGATGCTTGCCAGACTTGGTGAGTACAGAGTGCTTGTGGTCGATGAGTACGTGCGTGTCGGAGGTGGTGTGCGATCTGAAAGACTCCTGAACGTTGGTTCTACACTTGCCAGACACTTGGATAACGATATCCTTGAACTCGGTGGAGTGACTCAAGTGGATTTTAACAAGTCCGCGGAGAGTGTACGGAGTCGAGTCGCCGGGGAGACCTTGTAGAACGACGTTGGTCACTTGAGGCTCGATTTCAATCTTTGAAGGGCCGTTGGGGTGATCGGTGCAAGTCCTCGGAGTTGGCGGTGGAATCGCTGAGGCTGAGGCTGAGGCTGAGGCTGCAGAAGGGACATCTGTGCGGGAGGAAGATCTGGATAGGTTGGACCATATGGCAGGCATTTATAAGTGAATGACTAGTAAGTTTCAAGTGAATTACGAATTTCAATTGAGATCAAGTGAGTTCAAGTAAAATTCAAACGCAGCACAGATACGAGAATCGATAAGGAATGAAAAAATTTAATTCAAGTCAGGGAAACAGCCAACGATATAATATTTACGCTTGAAGTGATCTCTGGGTGATTGTGAGTAGAAACACTAGCAATGAGTACTAGCACTCACATCCACTCATTCATTGCGATTCTATGGGTGATTGTGAGTCGTTTGTAGTCAGTATCACAATATCACTCACACTTGATCCGCCGTTAGATCTTGAAGCTTATCAGGTGGCTGATCGATAGGCGTGAGTACTTGATCATCGAATGAATGCATGGCCATCCCCCTAGACGCGTCTCTGCCTGCGAAATTACCATATGGACCATCTAGTTGTAGTGGTTAGTGTTTAGCTCATACACACGCCCATTCAAACCACCAACCTGGGCCATAGAAACTCGCCCCTTTCGACACATCAAATACAATCCCACCAATCGCTATCAAGATGGGCTTGTGCGGGTGTGTTCCGTTGTACTCGTACAGCTCTCTAGGCCCGTACTTGCGATAGAGTGTACTCGTCTTCCTAGGTGCATCAACCAGCATTTGATATTTTATAGATGGATACAGCAATCGATATATATCGTAGAGTACTTTCAATGTGAGTAGTGTGTTCAAATAGGTCATCTGCGGACAGCCTCGTCTTGGTGGTTGAGGATAGATAGACCAAGCGATGATAGCAACGTACTGCGAGTGTTGCTCAAAGCAGTCTTTAAACGGACCGCCACGTCTTCTTTGAAGGTCAGAGAGTGTTGAACGAGTGCATATAAAGCTTACTGGGAGTACCGCAGACTATTTGCAGGGAAAGGGTTATACCCGCCTTAATATGGCCCCAGGGCGTTTACCGCAAGGAAAAGACGAAATGCTTGTGGTCCGCTTACATATCACAGCGGCGGTCAAGAAGCACGTGACTCGCGGCTTGTGTTTGTTGTGTTTCACAAACCCGGCTACCTTCGTTCCTACTCACTTGGCTATCGGCATGCACAGCATCCGCTCAGTCGTAGCAAATACACGTTTATCTATACTGGTAGGGCTCGCAGTGCCTTTTGTATTTGACTGCCTGTCATCACGCAAGCAAACCAACAAACATACTGCGCCATCAATGGTAATCTTCCTCTAGTCAAATGACTTGATTCACAACTGTATTCACAACTCATTATGTCCAAGGAGAATTTCTTAAGAATCACAAGAAGAAGCAAAGTAAGAAAGCAAGTTTTGATATTTCAGCTTCCGATGATTTCGACGGTAATTACCTCCGCTTGGTGTTTTGCCAAGAATAAAGTTGGTTGATCCTTCAATTCGTAATGAGGATCAATTAGGTTTAAATAATATCCCGAGGTTGCCGCGTGGGTGCTATCGAAGGAAGCCTTAACGCGTGGCGTTTCAGTTGAAAAGCTTGGCACTGAGTTGTGCCAGAATTGGGAGAAAACATACCCCGTTCGTAAAGCATCCCCCCTTTAGCACTATCTAACGATACCAGCGGCTCAAAGAAGACGAGTTATGCGCACTCACCAGCAACAACACACAAGCAGAAGATTAGTAAGAAGCCCAAGAAGAGCAGCACCGGTACTCCTTCCCCACTTTTAAAAAACATTTCTCCTCAAAACAAGACAAGTCCATTTTTTATTCTTTTATTTCCAACGCGTCTATCGCGTGTTCATAGAGCACCGCCATCCACACCACCGAACACCCGATGAAATGATAAAATTCAGTTTAATTGAAAGCCTAAACGAGTACAAAGATGATGTGTTCATCGACGACGACGACAATCTCAGCGAGGATCTCCTCCTCGAGCAGATTCTCAACTGTGCCATCTCCCAGGATGACCATTTGTGGTACAATACGCTGGGTTTTATACAGCGAATATCCCCTGCCACCGCCAGATCTTCGTTGAAGCTCCTCGATGGCCTAGTCCACTCTCTCCACCAATCCACAGACGACAAACTCAGCTTGGAGGTCCTCGCGTATCTAATTTCCGCCTTTTTAATCAAATTCAGTAAAATCTCATCTCTAAATAAGCAGGATTTGGCCGCGTGGCAGAGTGTCCTCACTTCGTCATACGCCTCCATATACAGCCTCCTCAACAACTCAAACGCCCTCAAGTTATGGGGCAACTCCGTTGAGAAGGATACCTTTGTTAGGTGAGTGTGCTTTTACGCGCTTTTCCCTCTTTTTACGCGTGTTTGACGCGTCTTCTAGCTGCTTCACTAAACCTATTTGGATCCTAATGGAAAACGAGCTATACATCAAGAACGCCGACACAAAGGCAGTTTTCTTCAACATTCTCTCCATATCCATCATCTCACACGGTCAATCCTTCTCAGCGCAGACGTCCATAATCCAGAATCTCGAGTATTTCGACCACCTAGGCGAGCCCATGGCTGAGCTACTTAGCCACCTCTACCACAACTACGACGATGCTACACTCACCCACAACTGCCTGGTAGATGTCTCCAACCGCTCATTCTCAGGTGCCGATCTCAAAGCACCGCGAGCGTTTTCCAAATTCATTACCACGCTCACGCATCACGCACCCGCGCTCGTGCTCAAGCATGTAGTGCTTCTACAGACGCACATGGACAGCGACGCGTACACGATGCGCAACGCCATCATAGAGGCGTTCGCCATCCTCATCGCGCACCTCTCCGCACTCGACAGTAGTGAGAGTGAGAGTGAAACAACGCAGACGCAAATCGCATCCTTCTTCACTGTCCTTATGGATCGCTTTCTCGACAACAACTCATACGTGCGGTCGAAAGTGATAGCCACATTTATCAAACTCGTTGAACTGCCGACAAAATTCCCTAAGCAGCGCATCGAGTTGCTCGAGAACACCATACGTCATCTCAGCGATAAGAGTAGTATGGTGAGGAAGAATGCGACTGGTCTGATCACCAAGATGATTCTAACGCATCCGTACGGGATGCTTCATGGCGGGCGTCTGTGTGGGGAAGAGTGGCAGGAGCGACTGTCAGCTGTGGACGGGGAACTGCAGAGTGTTGCGCCAAAGCTGGATGGCGATCTGGAGCACGAATCTGAGCAAGAGGAAGGAGAAAGCGAGGAGAGTTCAAACAGACGCAGATCTAAAAAGTTTGCTCGTAAGTCGGTCGCCGCCGCCACAAACCTCGCACAGTATGACAGCGAGCAAATCTCTCGATTGCAACTAACACGCTCGTACTACGCCGACGCAATCCGCTTCATCGGTCTAATAGACAAGAGCATCTTAACTATAGCAACGCTTCTCTCCAGCACCAATAAGTCAGAGGTGCTTGAAGCGATAGAGTTTTTCCGGGTAGCGCACGAGTACGGTGTGACGAGTGCGCATGTAGGTGTACGTCGCATGCTGCATCTGATCTGGGCGAAAGACAATACGGTGATAGAGGAAGGCAAGACGGTGAAGGGGGTGCGTGCGCGGGTGATTGACACATACCGCTCTCTGTACCTCGACCCACTCAACGACCCCGCCATGAGTGCACAGGCGCAAGTATCGCGCATTTGCAAGAATCTTATTCAACTCACCTTCAACGCCACCCTCGCGGAGCTCACCTCGCTCGAAGCTCTCGTTAGTACGGTAATGGCGAATGATGGGATACACCCAGATGTGATATCCAAATTGTGGCAGGTGTACGCTGTACAGAAGGACATACCGCGCGCGCAGCGCAGAGGTGCCGTTATTATCATCGGTATGCTCGCAGTGTCACGCGCGGATATCGTGCACGAGCGCATCGATACGCTCATTCGCATTGGGCTCGGCCAGCTAGGTAAGGCGGACCTCGCGCTTGCGCGTTACACTTGCATCGCCCTGCAGCGGATATCGGGGTCGGTGAAGAAAGTGAAGGGATCGCTACAGGATGCTTCTATTCGCCTGCCCATGTCAGAACCTATATTTAGGAGGCTGCAGGAGGCTCTAGAACACCCCACTACGTCCCAGGCGTGGTTCGGGATGGCGGAGCAGGCTATCAATGCCATCTACGTCCTCGGCGAACAGCCTGACATACTGTGCAATGTGATGATCAAGCATATGGCCCAGCGGGCGTTTAGCGCGGAGAAGAAGGAGGGGGATGCCCAGATGGATGTGGATGGTGATGGTGATGGACAAGACAGCCAAACCAATCAAGACGCCCAAGAGAATGGGAAGCAACACGTCACCGGTAATGCGTTTCTTCTCAGCCAGCTCGTCTTCACTGTCGGACACGTCGCGATTCGCCACATAGTCTACCTCGAGCTGGTCGAGCGGGAGCTGAAGCGGCGCAAGGCAGATGCGGATGCCGAGAAGGGTGAGTAACGAAAATTGTGCAAAAGCCCCCGTTAATACTTCCCCAGACTCGAAGAAGAACAGCAAGCAGAAGCAGAGCGAGGGTATAGACGAGGTGGCAGGTAATGCAGAAGACGACATTGGCGATGGGATAGCGGCAGTGAAAGAACGCGAGCTGCTGTATGGCCCACGCAGCTTACTAGCCACTTTCGGTCCTATTCTCGCTCATATTTGCTACAATCCACGTCAATATTCTTTCCCAATGCTGCGCTCAGCCGCTACGCTATCACTGTCGAAATTTATGTGCGTCAGTTCTAAATTCTGCGAGGAGCATTTGTTGTTGCTGTTCAAGATATTCGAGACAACAGCCGATGCTACGATCCGTTGCAATATCGTTATCGCATTAGGGGACATAGCGGTATGTTTCTCTAACCTGATTGACGAGAACAGTGATAAGTTATATGCGGGGTTGAGTGATTCGGAGATAGTAGTGAAGAAGAATACGTTCATGGTGCTCACGCACTTGATTCTGAATGGGATGGTCAAAGTGAAAGGGCAGCTTGGTGAGATGGCGAAATGTCTAGACGATACAGAGCAGCGTATTTCGGATCTTGCCAAGTTGTTCTTCACAGAGCTGTCGACTAAGGACAATGCAGTGTACAATAACCTCCCAGACATCATCTCACATCTATCCGTCGGCGTGCATGCAGTCGACGAGGAGACTTTCAAGAGCACGATGAAGTTCATATTCAAATTCATCGAGAAGGAGAAACAGGCTGAGAATATCATCGATAAGCTTTGTCAGCGATTCAGGCTAGCGAGAGATGAAAAACAGTGGCGCGATGTCGCATTTTGTCTCTCGCTCTTGCCGTTCAAGAGCGAGCGGTCGATTAAGAAGCTGATGGAGGGACTGCCTTTCTACACTGACAAGCTGCACGAACCAGTCGTCTTCAAGCGGTTTGTGGAGATACTCGCCAAGGCGCGTTCGAACAAGGCGATGAAGAACGATGCGGAGATGAAGGAGTACGAGGAGACGCTGAATAAGGCGCGCGCACAGGGCGAGGAAGAGGCGCGTTTGGCGGGTAGAGCTGCTGGCGACAAGCGCTACGACAGACGCAAGTCGAAGAGGCTGTCAGTGCATGTTTCAAGCAACTCGCTCAAGTCAGAGGGGGAGAATGAGGGTGAGGCGGAGGAGAAGGAGGACAGTCAACCCCCACTATCGAGACAGAGCACTAAACCACTGTCGAGACAGAGCAGCAAGACGAATCAGCCGTTCGATTTTACGTCGGAAGAGGAGGTTGATGAAGCCAATGATAATGCTAAAGTGGAAGCCAATGACAATGCTAAAGTAGAAGCCAAACGCCTCGCTGAAGCTAAAGAGGTGAAAAAAGGTAACAGAAAACCAGCCAAACGAGGAAAAGCAGTTACACAACCAACACAACGCTCACAACCACCTCGGAGGACACGTCGACAGAAGCAGATAAGCTCTAGTGAAGAGGATTGAGTTTAAGGAAAGAAATAAATGAATGTAAATTGATTATAAAGATAATTTCACATAGAAAGTGGTGGACAATGCTGGTTGCGAGAGTACTATGACGCAAGTGGTGGGTGTTTATGCGTGATTGATAGGAGTGAGACTAAAATGATCATTATAGTACACCCACACGCTTCTCCTTATAATAGCCTTAGTTTTAGGAAGTTTGGTTGTCTCAGCGATGGCACAGAGCGAGAGCAAGGAGTTAAAGACACACACAGCTAATTTTGAGAGAGTTGTAGATGGACTTATGTTTGTAGGCTTTGTCGGTGTCCCATTGGCTACGACTGTGTATCCGGTAATGTCAGTCCTAGCACCAGATGCAGCGAGGGAGTTTAAGGAGGCGGTAGAGCGTATGTTAAAGGCACCGATACGCTGGTGGAAAGGGGAATAAGGTGTGTGTTTGGGTGTGTCAAAGTAAATATCAAGTTTTATCAAGTGTTTTTCAAGTGTGCAAGTGAATCTGAAGCGTTCAAGTAACTTCAACTATTTTCCAAGTATTCATAAGCACACTGGAGCGTCTTCCAAATGAATAGAAATGCATGTAAAAATTAAAAGCCAGGCTACCAATATTCCTTCCTCTTCAGTCTTTGATGGCGTGAGAGATGCTTATTGAATCCCCAGGTAGACTGTTGCTGCTGCTGGTTGATGACGTGCTCGATTCTATTCTGCTTGGAAGCAGGTGCAACAACAGCAATTAAACCTTTACTACAATTGAATTTTCTAGATATGGCATTAGCACTGTGACCAGCTCTACGCATTTCCTTTATTTCTCCAATTTGATCACTTGATAGGTTGAAATTGAGTGATTTCTTACGCGAGTGTAGAGTGGGTGCGTTAAGTGTGTCTACTCTAGTTGCCATATTACTATCTAATAATCCACTAACCACGCTATTTCCATCTGGATACGCTTCTGCGGATGAAGGTGGGGGATTGAAGAAGAATTCTGCGCCGTCGTCTAAGTCAACTTTGGTGGCATTCGATAGACGATTAGGGCGGGTGATTGGACGAGTAACATTGTGCCTAATTGAGGTAGTAAACAGCCTTGTATTATGCTTAAACATGGTTGAACCTAACCAAGAATGTTCAAACCAGGGAATATCCGTCTAGATTCACGTAGATTGGATGAAATGCGTAAAATAACCTACTCAAAGCAATCAAATACACGCGTTGATGCTTCCGTTCAGTTTGGATTTGGGGAAGTACAAGTTTTAGCCTCAGTTACAGGACCTTTGGAGGTTAGCATACGTGATGAGATAGTCGATAAGAGTACAATAGAAGTTGAATTTCGTTCTTTGAATGGCGTTGTTGGTGTACAGTATACGTCTTTGGCCAATCAAGTAGAAGAATCGCTCAAAAGCGTTATAATTGGAGAGCAACACCCACGCTCCCTGATACGCTTCGTTGTACAAACACTTTCATCACCCATGACACCCAGTTATCTAGTCAAACAAGCCATTGGTGCACCTCCATTTAGAATCCCAGTCAGTGAAAAAGCAGCGGCAATAAATGGTGCTATCATGGCTGCTTTAGAGGGCTCAATTCCAATGTCTGGAATTGTTATAGCTGTCAGTCTGGCAGTTATAAACAATACAATCATCCTTGACCCAACTAGCTACGAAGAAGCAAATGCCACAAGCGTACACTTGATAGCTTATAAATACAGTACAAGTACACGCGCTATCACACTGATGGACAGCGTTGGAGAATTTGGCGATGACGTCGTGAGTCAGTCGCCGCACACAACACACACAACTAACGCACAATACAGCTCGCGACTATTATAAAGAAATCCACACACCACTCCACCCTCCTGTACGAATACATTCGATCAATCAAAGTTTGAAGATTTTATTTTGTATCAAATGTCTTCCATCCTCCTTCATAATACACACCCAATGCCTAAAAACAAGGGAAAGGGCGGTAAGAACCGCAGGCGTGGAAAGAATGACAACGAGAATGATAAGCGTGAGCTTATATTCAAGGAGGAAGGACAAGAGTATGCGCAGGTATCGCGTATGCTGGGTAATGGAAGACTAGAAGCGAGCTGCTTCGATGGGAATAAACGTCTTGGACATATACGTGGTAAGATGAGAAAGAAGGTTTGGATTGGAAATGGGGATATCGTTCTACTCAGTTTGCGTGAATTTGAAGATGAGAAGGCGGATATAATACACAAATACTCACCAGATGAGGCAAGAGCGTTGAAGCAATACGGCGAACTGCCTAATGAAGCACGTATCAACGAGAATGAAGCATTTGGTGATGATGATTTGGAGGGTGAAATTGAATTCGGCGAGCAGCAAGACGAACAAGGGGATGAAGACAGTGAAGAGAGTGAAGTTGATATAAATGATCTGTAACATGTATTCATCTGCCCCACCCCTTTTTATACAAATGGATTTGAAATTTGTTCATGGCCTTGTGTCGGATTAAGCACTGTTATCGAAGGTCCACGAAACACAACCAAACCTAAGCGTCGCTTTGAATCTGGCAACACCTCCACCACATCATCCATGACAAGATTCATTAGCTGATCGTAGCCCTTGAGAATACCGGTCGCTTGTCTGCCGCCTTGGAATTGCAATGACAAGGACGTATCAACATGCTTTGACAGATCGAGGATACTCTCCTTCTTGTACTTCTTCTGGTCCTTCTACATATCCACGTCAGATAGCCCAAACACCCGCACAAAACACACGCTAGCCATGGAAGTTTCAATCAAGGAATAAATAAAGTTGATTACTGTTTGAATTGCTTATATTGGTCACTGTACTTGTTCTGTATAACCTCGAAAAGATTCTCTAGATCCCCTAAGCCCTTATACAAGGCATCGACGCTGCTCAACCCGCTATACATCTGTATACGCAGGTTCACCACGGGTTCTGATGGATGCGGGATTGAGTATCCACAGAATTCTACGTTTGGGCTGTGATATTTGTTAGCCATGCCTGCTATTTATGCACCAACCAACTTTTTCATTATGATATACCGCAACGAATTCCCAATAGTATGATCCTCATTGAAAAGCTTGAAAGTGGCATTACTGAGGTCATTCGAGTAACCATCCACTAGCTCTATCTTTGTTGGAAACTCCTTCACATCCGTATCGATCCTTTCGTGGTTGATGAGCGTGGACATGGCAGTACTATCTCTACCGTCATGAAGGTATTCTCCATCAACTTGAGAAATATAAGCCGATTCTCAACTTCAACTACTAAATTTTATATTCCTCTCTGCGATTCCAAGTACTATAGCGTCCTATTCCAAGGTTCAGACACCAGCACACCACCACACGCCTTCAACTTATCCAATACCACCCTCAAGCAAAATTACCTATCCAAGCAGAAGCAATTTCATCCTGATAAGCCAAATATCGACCACGACTACGCCTTGCAAACGTCGTCATTGATCAACAAAGCGTATGAGACACTGCTTCACCCACTCTCCCGCGCTGTCTATCTCCTCGAGCTGAACGGTATTGAGATAGCTGAATCTGACTCCATTCACGATAGCACCTTGCTCATGGATATGCTCGAACTGCGAGAACAACTCGAAGATGCACAGTCCGAGGAGGAGGTGACGCAATTGAGACACGATAATGGTCAGTCTATTCAGCAAACCACCCATTTACTCTCACAGGCTTTTGAAAATAACGACTTGGAATCAGCGAAAAACTTGACTATCAAGCTTCGTTATTTGTGTAATCTTGACGTTGCAGCGAGGGATTGGCAACCAGGTGCTCCTGTGGTTATACAGCACTAAATGGTGTCATTTCTTGTAATTTGCTATAAGTTATCATGTATTTTTGGCAGATATAGTTTAGATACTTTGATATACACCTTGTACACCTACTAAACCTTGTCAGCGGTGTTTTCGTTGTCCTTGTTTACACTTTTGTTGTCATCGTTGTTGTCTTGCTCCTTTTCTTCCTCATTTTCTTCTTCTTTTTCTTCCTCATTTTCTTCCTCCTTTTCTTCCTCCTTCATATCATCCACACACCCCATTATACTCTTATATGCTTGCTCAGCAAGCTTAGCATTGCCAAACTGCAGTGTAGTCAGTCAAACAGTCCCATCTCCTCATCAAAACACTACCCACCTTGACAGTGAAATGTTCAAGTCTGTTATCCTCACTAGGTGCGCTAAACCTGACAAACTTATCCTGTGCGAGCTGCACGGGCATTTTAGGAAAGAGAGCAACGTTAAGAATAACCCTGAGAACACCATCTGCCCTCATAACGAGTCTAGACCTCCGATTTGAATTTTTATTCAACTTGAATAGCCCAACTCCTCTCTCCTTCCAATTACCCTCTTTGTCATGAAGTATGTAGAGCTTAGAGCGAATCTGAAACACATTTTGCTCATCTTCTTCACCAGTTTTAGTTTCCTTAGGAGCCAGATTGAGATGGTGCTTGTGGTCCACTAAGCTTTCTCCTTGTGTAGAAGACAGCTTGTCGTCGAATGTCGTCTTGCTGCTGTTATCCTCTGTTTTGGGTGCGCTGCTGCTCTTAGCGAATGCTGAGAAGGCTGTTGGTGGATTTTTGTCATTGTCCTTGTTATCGCCTTGTTTGGTAGTGGTATTGCTACTGCTGCTCGCAAATGGTGACGCTGTGCTTGCAAATGAAGCGAAAGTAGATTGCTTTGGTTTCTTTTCATTCTCTTGTGTATTGATGCTGTGCTGGTGTTGTTCTTGTTTTTGTTCTTGTTTCTGTTCTGTTCTTGTTTTTGTTCTTGTGTTCTTGTTGTTGTTCTTGCTCCTGCTCCTGCTCCTGCTTGCTCTCCTGCTTCTCCTCAGCGCCCACATCATTCTCCCCCTTATGCCAGTCAATATCCTCCACTTTATCACGAATTTGGTTGATATTCTGCTCATTAAGCTCAGTTTTACCACGTTTCGCAGCGAGATCATCTCCAGACTGTGGGAGTGTAAGCGGGGATAATGAGAATAAGATTGAGGCGCACATGATCAGCCTTGGGTTCAACGCTCGCCTCTCTATCCCTCTTCCTCGTCTGCTTATCCAGCTCATTCAACTCATTCTGATCGACTGGATTTGAGTTAAAGTTGAATCAGATAAAGCAACCGATAACACTAATGACGTACTTGGTTTATCCTCTACTCGCTCTCTATCGCTCATTTTTATTCTCAATGATCCTCGGCGTAAGATGGGAACCCAGAGTACCCAATCAACCATCAACACCACTGAAAATAATAAATTATGTCACAGCTCACTATCCTCCGCGGCTACAAAGATCCCGATAAGAATGATCTTCTGTGTGATTACCTCCGACTCCCACAGTCCTCAACACCGCTGATAGATCTAAGCGCAACGTTTGGTGTACACGGCACAAACCAAGTATTTTACGGGAATATCTATCTATTCGACCATTTCTTATGCTTCAAATCTTATGATTTGCGTTCTTGCGTCGCTACAATCCCCCTTTACTCCATACGCAGAGTTGAAAGACTTTCTACCATCAATCAGCCTGGTACTCTCGCACTCAGCTTCATTCTCTGGCACGGTTTGAAGCTTGTTGTACAGCTAAACACCCTCAAACCAAACTCTGATGACTTTTGCAATCACCTCAAGCGTTGTCTCAGAGATCAACTTGGTTTAATGAAGTCTGTAAAGGGATTTGCTAAAGGCTGTTACTCTGAGTGGCTCGTTGGTGAGGATATCGATGATACCAACGATGCCAACGATGCCAACGATGATATCAATCATGATCCTACCTCCACTCACCACCACGGCCTCGGCTTCCTATTCAAATTCCCCGGTGACCCTAAGAAACTTCGCGAGAAATCCAAACTCAGACTCTGGAAAGACTACTTTAGACTGCACGGTCGCAATATCACTCTCGTTCGATACCCTCAATTCACCAGACTCGTTCAAGTCGGTCTCCCCTCCAAATTGCGCGGTGAAATGTGGGAAATATTGTCTGGTTCTATCTACGACAGGTTCTCTCACCCTGGCTTATACCAACAGATTCTCGATGAACATGCAGGCGAGTCGACGATGGCTACTGACGAAATTGAAAAAGATTTGAATAGAAGTTTGCCGGAGTATGGTGCATACCAAGATCCCGTCGGTATCAACGCTCTTAGAAGGGTGTTGACGGCGTACAGCTGGCGCAATCAGGTGGGTTATTCCTACACATTCCACCCCCGCTCATCCACCCCAAGGAACTAGGATACTGTCAAGCTATGAATATACTCGTCGCAGCTTTGTTGATGTGAGTGTTTTGCTTTTTACATAATCATGATCATACTCACACCAAACCCTACCCAGCTATATGTCGGAAGAACAGACATTCTGGTTCTTGGACAAAATCTGCACTCGCATTCTGCCAGGCTACTACAGTGCATCCATGTACGGTACACTACTCGACCAGAAAGTATTCGAGCATCTCGTACAAAGGACAATGCCAAGTCTACACGAACACTTTACAGCATCGGACATTCAACTATCAGTCTCTTCACTACCTTGGTTTTTGTCTCTCTACATTAACTCGATGCCACTCGTCTTCGCATTCAGGATTATTGACTGTTTCGTCGCTTTCGGCCCTCGCGTTCTCTTCCAAGTTGGATTGGCAGCACTCAAAGTGAACTCGGACAAGCTTATGGATGCCACGGATGATGGCATGGTGTTAAGTATCTTCCGCGACTATTTTGCTAATCTCGAAGAATCAGTCTCGCCCCAGTCATCCGATCCGAAAGTGCTCAATATTACAAACTTTTCAGAGCTGCTTGTTGTCGCATTTAGAGAGGTAGGCGGATAGTCTATGAAAGTGAATCCTTTCTCACGCACACACCAGTTCAGTGTCATCACCGATGACACCATTATAGAAGAAAGGAGGAGATTCCGTGGTGGAATTATCAAATCAATTGAATTGTTCTCCAAACGATCTGCTATTCGCAATCTCAAAGACTATGGAAAGTTTGGTGTGGACGGCGTTAATAAGATCTTTGACCACTTTTTCTACGCTCTCTGCAAAACTCCTACTCCTCTAGCCGCCCTTCCTCCATCGACACCGTCTAAGCTGCGCATCAGTGAGGAGCTCTCAGACCGTACGGAGACAGTGATCGACTTGACCACGTTCAGAGTTTTTCTCAGTGACATTGCAAGTTGGGCGCGTGACGAGAAGATGATTACGAATGGTTTTCAGCAACGTGTCGTGCGCTCAGTACCTGAAAACGAGATATACACTAAGATGTTTCATAAGTGGGACTACACGGGGAGAGCTGCGCTTGGATTGCAAGATTTAGTGAAGGGTTTGAATGGCGTCATGTTCAATGGACTACTTGACAATATTGAGTGGTTCTTCACGTTGCATGACAGCGACAATGATGGCTATCTCACTAAGGATGAGTTGGTGCAGTTGTCAGAGAGTCTTTTGGTAAGTTTGGTATGTTGTACTGCAAACACTTCTCACCATTCCACTTCACTCCCTCACAGTTCATCTTCCGCGCTGAACCTGGCGACGCTTACCTGGGAGCCGTCAGCAAATTTATGACCAATGCCTTCGAGTATGCCGACAGCTTGATCGAGCAGCCGCAAGCGGTGAAGGAGGGCGACAAAGATAAAGCTGAAACAGTAAAAAAAGAAGCTAAACAAAAAGACCCTCTAAGCGCTACAGAAGCGTCTGACAACTGCATCCCTGGTTCCCCACAGGTTAACAATGACGACCCATACATCAATCTTCCGACATTTCGGATGGTCTGTCTAGCTGATGAGCTGTTAGAGGCCTTCTTCGATCAGGATCTCACACGCAGTTTCAGTTTCGAGCACGTGCCCCAATCTGCCATAGACCATCCCCTGATTGACCTCAGTACGCTCGACGATATTGGCATCGGCAGCACCGGTCTAGTGGGTAACATACTTGGCGGAATATTCAGCAAGGACAACAAAGAGATGCTCAATGGGCTAGCGGATGAGATTGGCAAATCATTCGGTAAACACCACGTTGAATACAGACCTGCTTTCGGTCGCGTCAATAGTCAGGTGGAGGTGGAAGAGAAGCGTCGACCTGCGCCTGAAGAGAAGGACAGCAGTATCGTAAGTGGAATGGCTAACCTCCTTTCAAGCACACCGTCATGGTTCTCGAGATCTAAATCCGATCACGGCAGGCAGGAGCAGGAGCAGGTACATGAGCGTGAAATGGTGGAGAAGCCATCGAGCGGCACTATTAGCAGCGGCGGTGGCAGCGGTGAACAAGCAGAAGAGGAGGCACTTCTCGATCACCAACACACCTCCACAAACGGCGAATCGCACTTGGCTTCCATTAAAGCTGCTCAGGAGGCCTTGGCTAATCGTCAAGCATTTGCTATCGATCAGCGCGACGATAATGACGACGACGATACCTTGGACGACTCCCTTCATTCCACTGAAGAAGCAGGTGGAGAGTTCGCAATTGGCAGCGATGAGGATGAAGATATGATGGATGAAGTCGACGCTATCGATCTCGATGACCAGCATGCTATTGGTGCCGAGGAGGCTGCCAAGATTCTTAACGCACCCGTCGATAAAGATCAGAGGATCTAGATAGACACGAACAAGATGATGATGATGACAACTTTTCTTTATATCAATTACAAACTACTTATACATTAGATTAAAATACACTTTTCTCACTTGCCTAATCCTTTCGGGCATTTGGCAGGTTGTGCGGAGCTTTCTTGTTGATGCAGCTGCCCATCACCCGATTTAACGCTCACACTCTCTTTCTCCCACTCATCGAGAAGCTGCTGATCATGAACCTTGTGCTCCCTATTAATCAGTCTCGCGTCGTGAGGGAGGTCGTGAGGAAAGTATTCCTGGTGTACTGGATGAGCATAGGCTGGGTTATAGAGGTACTCTCTACCGTAACCTAAACTTTTCATGAGCTGAGTAGGTGCGTTTCTCAGATGAATCGGAACGGGATACTGGGGGTGATTCCTGACAGCGTCGACTGCATTGTTATAACCTACATAGCTCCTAATCGATTTCGCTGCTTCAGCGAGATATACGGTGCAGTGAGCGAGGTTGATTCTGCACTCGGGCAGTCCAATAAATTGACAAGCTTGGTATGTGGCAGTAGCGAGGGGAAGAGCGGCGCAATCGGCCATTCCTACATCCTCTGAAGCGATAACGACCATTCTGCGAGCGATGTAGAGTGCATCTTCACCCGCCTCCACCATCCGCGCGAGCCAGTAAAGCGCGCCATCTACACAAGACCCGCGCACGGCTTTGTGGAAAGCAGATATAGAGTCGTAGTGGAAGTCACCGTCTCGGTCGTATTTGAGCACCATCGAACGTTTCAGAGATCCTAGTAGATCTTCTTTCGTTGTAGGCTTAGTGGTGGTCGACCGATGACGTATTTCAACAGCGCGTAGTACCATTTCGAGTGAGTTGAGCGCTGCGCGTCCATCTCCATCACTTATACTGGATAGGTAACGCAGAAAGTCTGCATCTATAATCTCTTCTATAGCTTGGTGAGCGTGATGAGCGTTCTGGTCGCGCCATTTGTGCAGTGCGTTGCGTAGCATGGTTGTTATGTCCTCCCCACTGAGCTTGGTAAGGCAGTAGACATGGCAGCGGGATAAGAGAGCATTGTTAATTTTGAATGAGGGGTTCTCTGTTGTGGCGCCTATTACCACACACGCTCCACTCTCCATATACGGCAGAAAGGTGTCTTGCTGTGATTTGGAATAGCGGTGTATTTCATCGATGAAGAGAATAGTACGCGTGCCATTCAATTTCAGCGTCGTTTTGGCCTGATCAAGGATTTGTTTCGCCTCAGCAACGCCAGAGTTGGTAGCGGACAATTCCTTCAGCTTGGCATTGCTGCGATGAGCAATAATTCTAGCTAGCGTTGTCTTTCCAGATCCAGGTGGTCCCCAGAAGATAGAGCTGGGGATATTGTCGCTCAGTATCATGCTGCGCAATATCCCATTCTCGCCCATGAGGTCCTCCTGACCGACGTAACCATCTATTGTCGTCGGTCGGACTCTCTCAGCTAGTGGCTGAGCTTGAATTAGATTATTCGGTGTACTTTGCGTCGCCTTAGTTGTGAATATTGGAGCTGGTGGTACATCTGTCTTCTGCTTGTTCTGCCTGTGCGTTGTATTTTCTGCCTTTTTCTTCTTTGATTGTGTGGGTATAATTTCGAGATCGCTGTCGCTGTCATTTTTATCGTTGTCGTTGTCTTTGTCGTTGTCGTCGACACGACTAGCAGGTTTCTTCGCGTCCGATTTGCTAGCTGATTTTCTCTTCTTGGTCTTGCTGCCGCTCACGCTTCCGCTCGCTGGGGTCATGAAAGACCAATCACCATTCTCATTCTTAATCTGATTCTGAATCGCGCTGGTACGCGGCTTACTGGGAGACTTTGCAAGTGTGCAGCTTTTATCGAGATGATCATTTATCGCGTCACTCGGTAGATCTATCGCGCAGACTGGACATTTCACGGTGGTCATGGGTGGTGGCAGCGATGGCAGCGGATAATGAACGAGTGAGGGTGGTTTTGGGTGCTCTGAGTGTTTATACAGCACTACAGTGAGCTTTAAGCAAATTTAAGTTGAGAAGCCGGCAAGTAGATACCTTGATAACTTGAAAAGTCGACAAGACGCGTGATGTCATTTTAAAAAAGTTGATAAACTTTATTTGTTTATTTAAGCTTGATGAGAGAGTAGTGGCTGGTTATTTAACAGCTTCACACCTTCACAATATGTCGTATGTACCTAGACACGGCAAGCCTGGCGAATGTAACACAATATTCGAAACATATTAAATTAAAGACCCTAATAATGTTCCAGGCTGACCAGCTTACAGCTCACAACTGCGCATGCTCACCTTCCATTTCTGTCGTTTGTGTTCAAAATTCGCCGATAAAATTTTCCGCAAATTGAATTAATTAACTTAGGAGAATAAATAGAGAAAGAGATATGCACTAAACTCTCACAACTCAACAATCAACACTCAACACTCACCGCAATGCAATTCTCGACTATCGCACTCACCGCAACAGCCTTCTTCTCCGCATCACTCGCTTCCAAGCTGCAAATGAGAGCGGGTGACTGCTCCACGGAGAACGTCAAGTGCTGCAACCAAGTCAAGGACGCTTCCTCTATCGACACTGGTACGCTTGGATTGCTCGGCATTGACGAACTCGCTGGCCAAGTCGGACTCGAGTGTACCCAAGTCGCTGCTGCCATCGGTGTACCTATCTCTGACCAATGCAAGACTACCGCTGCATGCTGCAGTGGTCAAACCCAAAACGGTGTTGCCAACTTGGTACGTAGGATGCTGGCTTCTAACACATTGTCTAACCATGCTGCTTCTAGGGCTGCACTCCAATCTCTATCATCTAGGCTACTACCACTTGTATTTTTCTATAGTGAAACCAATTTGAGACATTCGTGTTGATGTGATGTGTATGTAAGGAATGCATGAAACGGAAAAAGACGTCTATAATCTCGAGTCTATCTCTTGACCCAAGTTCTTTGTTTGCGAGCTTTGACGAGATTAGTTTTCTTCCTCTCGACTTGTCTAGGGTCACGCAGGAGAAGACCAGCTGGTGTGGAGTGTGAGTGTGAGTGTCAACGCCAATAAAGAGGGAAAACTCACCCTTCTTCAAAACCCTCTTAACGCTGCGTTCATCATCCGACTGCAAACCGAATCGCTGATCAATCTGACCGAGCAAACCTTTAGCGATACCATGCGCAAGAGCTCCCGCCTGCCCCGACGTACCACCCCCTCTAACGAGAGCAAAGATGTTAAATGAGCCTAGCTGACCGGTGACTTTGAGAGGGAGGGTGATGTGTTCTCTGTCGTGAAGACGCGGGAAGAAGGCGCTTACGGGTTGGTTGTTGACCAGAATTTCACTTGTGCGTACTTGCTTATCGTTACAAGTAGGCAACAGCCAAACTCTGGCGGAACTCTCTTTACGTTTGCCTACGGTGTAACTCCTGCCAATGTCGTCGATTTCAACGGGTTTGCGCTGGGCTACGTGCACCTCTCTGCCACCAGGAGGTTCGTAGTTTCTGAGGGAGAGTTGAATGTCGTCGACGATCTGCGCCGTCTGTGCACCACCAGAGTTAGCGGCGGGGAGGAGCTTTGTGATGGAATTGAGGAGGTCGATCAGGCGGCGGTATTCGGAAGCTTTGAGGTGGGTTTCGAGTCTCTTCTCGATGGCGTCCTGGCTGAGCCATTTGAACAAGACGCGGGAGTCCTCGGAGCGGAGAAGGTGGAGCTTGTTTGTAGGCAAGGCGAGGGCATTGGAGATGGATCTTTGTGAGTGTCTCTTCAACGATTCTAGATTGGCGATAGAAGACTCAAATAACGGGCGTCCAGTGAAGTAGAACGAGTTTGTTGGTTTAGGCTGGGGCTTGAGGGGAGAAACGGGGGAATTACGGGGAGTGTAAGTGTTTGTTGAATATTGCCTTGAAATAGGTCTATTAATACACCTAGGAATTCTCAACATTGTAGCCTCGTCGTCGTCAAGTAAAAACGCTGAAAATGCACCAAAAAAGATCATCGATACATCCATCAATTAGCAGAGGATCGCAGAAGCAATCCACTCCAATTTCCACAATACTCCCTGCCAAAGCGCTTGAGCTGCATGGATTGGAGCAAGTGAAGGAGGCGAGTGGTGAGCTGCTAGAACGCGTGGAAGGACTCGCAGATGAAGCGCATAAGCTTGCACAAGGTGGAGAAGCAGTGGGGAAAGTATTGGGGGTTTGGGAGGAGTTATTCAGTGTTATTCGATTGATGGGATGTGAGTTGTTGTCTTTGGCGGTGCTTCACGAGTCTTACGCGTATTTAAGCTGTAAGCGGTAATCAGCAGGGGACAGAGACAGCGACAGCGACAACGACAGCAACAACGACAGCGACAAGGGATGGTGATGGATACGCCGATCAAAACACAGACACAGAAACACAGAAGCCAATTGAGAAATTAGTCCGTGTACCCGTAGATGGACACTCCATAAAGTGATGTATTCCTGTAGATATCCCTTGAATTGTTACAATTATGGTTAAATCGACTGATATTTTGCTTATGGTGGTGTGTACATGATCTGATATTCTACTCAACCCTTTAAATTTCCTAGGTTACAATAATATTCCCACCCGCTGCTGTTGGTTTCATTTCTGGCTGCTCATGCGATTTGGTGGGTGAATTTACCCAAAACACACTCAGCCAACAACACACAGCTTATAAATATCGGTCTATGCCTCCTTGGCTACCTTCCTGGCCATATTCACGCTTTCTGGCTCATCTACAAGCGTATGGCCGCAGAAGAGCAATACGGTTACAAAGGCTTTAAATATCTTGGGAATGGAAAGTATGAGAGCGTTGAATATATATCTCAACAACCACAACATCCTCCACCTGCTTACGGTGCAACTGAGAATGCTTAATTTATCGTTATTGTAATTTTATCCTTTTTTTCTGATCGACTCTATCACAATGCCCGCTTATATCTATCAATTATCAAATCTATCAAGCTGTACATACGAAGAAGAGGGACGCCATTAAAGAATTCCTAGAGAAACAAGCTCAAATCAGCAAACAACTCAAAGAAATCAGGTCGAGTAAGGATCATCCATTAGGCTGTTCAAAGAAATCGATGATTCGAGACGTTTAATTGAGATGAATCTACTTGGAAACGCTTCGTTGATGCTTATAAAACCTCCGCGAGCCGAGAATCATCTATCCTGACCTTTACATCACCGAGGAGAGTGAAATTAGAATAGGAGAGGCCATGAATCACGCAAACAGAAACGCTGAAAACAGTCATCTGATTGGCGCACAAAACGACGTCATATAGAACACCCGAAACACCACGGAATCGCCCCTTGATCATCCCACCAGCGGTCTCAAAGAGGTTATCGACGACGACGATCAGTCCTCCAAAGACAAGCCCCGCGATTTCTTAACAAACGGCAAAGCTGTATTCACGAAACAGTCTTCATCTACTGACTTGCTTTGTTACACGACGTGTGCTCAAAGTTTGCATGACACTTGCACAGCTACATCCCAAGTAATTCTACTTGACAGCTCGAGAAAAAGAAATTTATAACTTTAAACATTTTAAGCTTCCCCCTAAGCACCAACAAGGGTGAGGTTAAACTTGACAGCGCCAATTTCCTGATCTTCAGTCGCGATAACCTGAGCGTTTTCTTTATCAGAGAGAGGGTTACTCTTGGTAGATCTAACGATAGTATCTTTGTGCATCTCAATGGCATTCTGCAGTCCACTTATATCACCGTCCTCGCCAAGATATTTGACGACGACATCGACGTCTTGAATTTGCAGGAGATTGGCCTTCTTGCGCAATCTCTGAATTCTATTAATGAATTCTCTAGCCAACCCTTCAGACTCAAGTTCAGGGTGAAGTCTGTAATCCAAGACGATAGTGATGTTCGAATCTGAAATAGGTTCAAACCCTTCCATCGATTCAGGCAAATCTACGTAATGTTGCACTGTCAAATCTCCAGCTTGTAACTCAATACCGTCTACTGTCAACTTTCCATTCTGCATGTACCCCTTAGCATCATCGTTGGACACCTTAGGCAAGTTGTTCTTCACGCGCGGCATGTCCTTGCGCAGCTTCCTGCCAAGCACTGGCCAGTCAGCCGACACCTTGTACTTGATTCCGATGAATTCCTCTTCAGAGGTGACAACCAACTCTCTGACGTTGAGCTCCTCTTTAATGTAGCCCTCAAGATGGCGCACATCCGACAAATACTCCTCTTTGTGATGGAACACTATCAATGTCTTGAGAGGAGTCTTGACGGCTATTCTCTTTCTCTCTCTAATAACCCTGCCCAATTCGATAACATTCTGCATTCTAGACACGCGTCTCTCGATGACGCTGTCAAAGTAATCCTCACGCACATCAGGGAATGGTAGGAAATGTACCGATCGAGTGTCAGTTGCGCCTGGAATATTGTCACCAATGAATGGTCTTAAACCCTGGTAGAGGTTCTCAGTGATGAACGGAGTGAACGAGGACATGGTCCTGCAGAGCGTGAATAGAGCTTCAAAGAGTGTGCGCAACGCGGCAATCGTATCCTCCTTGCCATTCTCTCCTTTCAGTCTCCTCCTGTTGAATCTAATGTACCAGTTGGTGAGCTCGTCGATAAGTGAAAGCAGTCTTGGTATAACCGTGTATAGTCTGTATGCTGCCATTTCCTCCTTAACTATCTTGATGAGCGATTGACATCTCGCGAGTACCCATCTGTCCATCAAGTTCTCAGAACGTGGTGCAGACGCATCATACATGAATTCAATGCCCTGCTCTTTCTTTGCTAATGCTGCCTGACCGAGGAAGAAACGGAACGAGTTGAGCCAAGGAAGCATCACACGCGACGTTACTTCTTTCACTCCCTCCTCTCTGAATCTGAGATTGTCACCACGCACAATTGGTGAGTTGACAAGGAACATTCTGGCAAATTGTGTTAGCTGATATTAAATTAAGTCGTTAAAACCCACCTAACAGCATCAGCGCCGTACTTGTCAATGATGTGGTTAGGATCAGGGTAATTCTTCAGACTCTTGGACATCTTTTTACCATCTGCAGCCAACACCAAACCAGTAACAATAAGGTTTTTCCAAGGAGCCTTTCCAAGGAGGTGTGTTCCGAGAACAAGGAGTGTGTAGAACCATCCACGAGTCTGGTCGAGACCCTCTGAAACGAAATCTGCAGGGAAAGACTTCTCAAACTCCTCCTTGTTTTCGAATGGATAGTGTGCTTGTGCATAAGGCATAGATCCACTCTCGAACCAGCAGTCAAAGACTTCATCAACACGCTTGAGAACGCCCTTGCCTTTCTTTGAAGGGATGGTGATGTGATCTATTTTGTCTCTGTGAATATCTGAGATGTTAGAAACACCGGAAAGCTGCTCGAGCTGCTCAATAGAGCTGATTGCCACAATCTCCTCGTAATCTTCAGACACCCAGAGAGGCATAGGAGTACCCCAGTATCTGTTACGTGAAACATTCCAATCCCTAGCATTTTGTAACCAATTACCGAATCTGTTTTCACCAATGTTGGCAGGTACCCATCTAGTCTCCTTGTTATTTTCGATCAAGTCGTTGGTGATTTGCGAAACCTTGACAAACCAGACGGGGATAGCTTTGTAGATCAGTGGGGTACCTGATCTCCAACAAAATGGGTACGAGTGGTTAATGGTCGATTGTACAATCAATCTGTTGATAGACTTAAGGTACTTTTGGATATCTTTGTCAGCCTCCTTGACGTGCACGCCCTTGTAATCAGAAACACGCTCCGTGTACTTGCCGCTGTCGTCTACAGGGCAAGGTGGCATTTGGTCTGGAGTGATGATACCGTTAGCGATAGCGATACGATGGTCATCATCACCGAATGCAGGTGCTTGATGGACAATACCAGTACCAGCATCTGCAGAAACGTAGTCATCATTGAGTACTTGGAAAGCAACGTCCTTGAATTCATCGTAGAAGTAATTGAAAAGTGGCTCATACTTCCAACCTTTCATATCGCTACCTTTGTACTGAGCGACTTTCTGGAACTTGGCCTTCTTTGGATCTTTGTAGAGAGTAGTGAGAAGTTTTTCGTGGATAATAAAGTCGCGGTTCTTCTCCTCATCGTGGATTTTGAGGTAGGTGTGAGATGGATTGACACATAGGGCGAGGTTGGAAGGCAGAGTCCAAGGAGTTGTAGTCCAAGCGAGGAACGAAGTCGAAGGATCGTTGACAAGAGGGAAAGAGACGACGACAGCAGGATCTGAGACATCCTTGTATGCCTGACCAGCTTCAAAGTTAGAAAGCGGGGTAGTGCAAGCGGTTGAGTAAGGCATAACGCGGAGACCTCTATAAACAAGATCTTTATTGAACAGTTCCCCGAAAGCCCACCAAACGGATTCCATAAAGGATGTGTTCAGAGTCTTGTAATCATGGTCAAAGTCAATCCACCTGCCCATTCTCTCTACAGTATTACGCCATTCAGCTGAGTAACGCATGACGATGGCTCTGCACTCCTCATTGTACTTATCGATCCCCATATTGAGAACGTCTTCTCTGCCAGAAATGCCGAGTTTCTTGTCAATTTCGTGCTCAACGGGTAACCCGTGGCAATCCCAGCCAAAACGACGTGGAACGTGATAGCCAGAAGAAGCAGCGTGGCGGGTAACGATATCTTTTACGGTACCTGCGAGTAAATGACCGTAATGAGGCAAACCAGTTGCAAAAGGAGGACCATCGTAGAAAGAGAAAGTCTGTTTGCCTTCAGAATGCTTGAGTTGAGTTCTAAAGGCGTCAATATCACGCCAATAAGCGAGTACTTTAGATTCCTAGGGGTTGCTTGAGTTTTTCAAGTGTATCAAGTCGAACGACTTACCTCCACGGGGAAATTGAACTGAGAATTTACTATCATATTTTATAAGAATCCCTTAAAATTAAAAGCCCTCACTTACTCTCATAAGAACCGAAATCTTTGCTATCTCTCGACATGGCTGGTAAAAACGAAGACGTCGGATTTCACCAACGACGATGACCACTAAAAATTTAAAAAGAGAGGGCAGTAACGGTGATAGTGGAGATGGCGCTGTCACTGGTGATACACAGCCACCAAAAAGGCAAAAGACAGATCTCATTCAACTCACTGACGACGACATTGACAAGATCTACGATGAATTCAATCTAGAGAGTAATCTACCACCTTCCACGAGATTGCTGAGAAATGAGTATGGTCCACCGCCGAAGAAGCTTTTTCTCCAAGAAGCTGACGCAGGTTTACTCGAATACATGGATAGATCAGTTTCAGCAATTTCTGGTATTGTAAAGCACAGATTTACTGATTTCTTTGTTAATGAGATCAACGAGCTCGATGACGTTGTCAGACTTAGTGATTTGTCTTTACCTGCTGATCAATTGGTTGATTCACGCCTCAAAGCCCAGGAACAGGCTGACAAGCTCGATGTTAAGGTGTGTAGGCGCTTTTACTATTTCTCACCTTAACAAGACCCTAGCAATGGCCTGAAGACGCCTACGACCACCTCTCAAACAAGCTAAACAATGAAACAATCGAGAAAATTAAACATCTCACTCTTGCTGGTCCTTCAGACGATACAGTCACTACAGAATCACTCGGAGATGACAAAGAAGCGAGAAGAAGTGTTCATGATATCGTACGCGCTGTTTTTGGTGGTAGATTCGATACATCTGCTACACCTGCCTCTGAAATAACTATTAAGTGGGTCAGAGGTGGTAAACCACGCAAGGAGCCAAACCAATTCGATAAAGAACACCCTTACATTCACTTTACTCTCCAGAAAAGCAATAGAGACTCGAGTGATACTATGAATCACCTCTCACGCATGCTGAAAATTAAAGACAAACTTATCAACGTTGCCGGTACAAAAGACAAGCGTGGTATTACAACTCAGCGCGTCTGTATCAAGAGAGGCGGCTTGACATTGCAAGACGTTTGGAAAAGAGTTAACAACGCAGGCACTGCTGAAGAGAAGGAGAGGAAGAAGTGCAGAAGGACTATTGAAGAGGCCTTATCAGAGAGGGGAGAGAGAGGCTGCAGGATTGGTGACCTTTCGTACGCAACTAAGAACTTCGATTTGGGTAATTTGAATGGCAACAGATTTGGAATAATTTTGAGAGACGTTGAGTGCGACAGTGAGGAAACTATCCACGCATCACTCAAAGTACTATCGGAAAGAGGTTTCATTAATTACTTTGGTATGCAGAGATTCGGTACTTCAGTAGTACCAACTCACTATATTGGATGGCTTCTCCTGAAAATGGACTGGGAAGGTGCATGTAGCAGCATACTCCGCGTACAACCCAACGAAGATGAAGAATGCGTTAGAGGAAGGAAGGCATGGCTGGATGATAACAACGCCAACGCCGCGCTCAAGATACTGCCAAGGAAAATGGTAGCAGAGAGATCAATAATCGATCACCTCAAGAAGCAACCAAAAGACTTTTTGGGTGCATTGGGAAAAATACCGCGCAACTTACGCACAATGTATGTACACGCGTACCAATCCTACATCTGGAACGCAGCGGTTAGTAAGAGAATTAAAGATTTCGGGTTAAGTGTAGTTGCTGGAGATCTAGTGATGGAGGGTGAGCAAGTAAAAAGAGTTGAAGACGGGGAATTAGACAAATACAAGATATATGACGTGATTATGCCACTTGCAGGCCATAACACCATGTATCCAGGTGGACAAGTTGGAGACAAGTACAAGGAGATGCTCAAGACGGATCATTTGGATTGGGAAAAGCTTTGGAGACCTCAAAGGGAGTATTCGATGGAGGGTAGCTATAGAAAGATGGTACACCTACCAAAGGATGTTAAGTGGGAAGTGATAAAGTATGTTACAGGTGACGAGCAGCTTCTCAAGTCAGCAGAGGAGGAGATGTTAGGACTACCAGTCGACAAGGTGGAAGGGGAGAAGAGAAATACGGCAGTAAGCATGAGCTTCAACTTGGGAAGTGGAACTTATGCGACGATGCTGCTGAGGGAGATACTCAAAGGAAATGAGAAAAGGGTGCATGGGTGAAAACACGCAAGATGCATGAAATTTTTACTTTAGTTGACTAACGTTGTCTAATCTATCTAAGAAGGATTGAGTAGTTTTGATGGAGTGCTTTCTAACATCTCTAGCTTGGTTAAACTCGGAAGGCAAGATTATGGAGTCTAATTTGAGGATGGATTGAAGGAGAAGTTCCTGTAAGACCAGTTTGGACTGCTCAGTAGGGGAAGACTCAAACTGCTCTAGCTGTGGCTGTAGAGGAAGAACGTTGTTGTTCAGAATGTTCTCAATAGTGTTTACGAGTTGCTGCTGCTTATCGATGTTCTGCGAGTGGTTGACGAGGACCATGATGGTAGAGTTATTTGAAATTTTCAAATCGTCAAGTGATCTACTAGAGTCTCTAATGACTAAACCTTTGTAAATAAGCTTGAATTGGTCTTGTGGGATGCTTAGCTGAGTCGATAGCTTTTCCAAGAGTTGATAGAGCGGCTGGCTTGAATTATTGAAGGGAATCTGAATATTAGAAGCCTTGTAGTTAAAATTAATTTTTTTATTTATATTCAAAACCATTAGAAGGAATATAAGTGTTGTGAGTGTTAGAATCACGGTGACCAACATCGACTAAGAAATGAATTCACCGGAGAGTGTTTATATGTCCCCGTATTTGGGTGGATATAGTAGGGGATATGGCTGGACGAGTGGTAGTCAAGATGCCAATACACAGGCTATGAGCAGCACCACGGGCACAACGGGGACAACACCGATCCCAACGAATCCAACGACGTCACTCACTCTAAACCTATCCAACGTATACAACAAATGCAACAACCTTTACAACTATAAACCTTCTAATAACCCCCGCCGCGTACTCACAAAACCTTCAAAGCCAATTCATAATCAAGGATACGATAATCAGGATAATGACTATATTTTATATGTCAATGATTGGTTGGGTGGCGGTGGTAACAATAATTATCTTATTATTGATATTCTCGGTCAAGGGACCTTCGGTCAGGTTGCTAAGTGCCAGAATGTAAACACTGGTGAAATTGTCGCGATAAAGGTTATTAAGAATAAACCTGCGTACTTTAATCAATCTATGATGGAGGTTACGATACTTGAATTACTCAACAATCAGTTCGATTTCAAAGACAATCATCATATTCTTCGTTTACTGGATCAATTCATCCACTGTAAACATCTATGTTTAGTCTTCGAGCTTCTCTCCTCCAACCTCTACGAATTGATCAAACAGAATTCCTTTAGAGGCCTTTCCACTTCCCTCGTCAAAGTTTTCACTGCTCAACTTCTCGACGCGCTCGTCATCCTTAATCAAGCGAGACTCATCCACTGCGATCTGAAACCTGAGAATATCCTCCTCAAATCCCTCCAATCCCCTCAGATTAAGATTATCGACTTTGGCTCTGCATGTCATGAAAGACAGACTGTCTACACTTACATTCAGTCTAGATTCTATCGCTCTCCTGAAGTTTTACTTGGCATGCCTTACTCCTCCGCCATCGACATCTGGTCCTTGGGTTGTATTGCTGTCGAACTCTTTCTTGGTTTGCCTCTCTTCCCAGGCACATCCGAGTATAATCAGATTTCTAGAATCGTTGACATGCTCGGTCTACCTCCCGCTTTCATGCTTCAGTCTGGTAAGCAGTCGGCTGAATTTTTCGAACAATATATCGATCAATTCGGACAACCCCAGTTTAAGCTCAAAAGTCTCGAAAAATTTTCTCAAGAACACAACACTCAGGAGCAGCCTTCAAAGAAATACTTCTCTGCTTCCACTCTCCCAGAAATTATCAAGCAATACCCTATTCCTTCCTCCAAGGCCAGGTCTGACAGTGATTTGCAGAAGGAGCATGCAAACAGACTGAGCTTCATTCATTTTGTTCAGGGTTTGTTGAATATGAATCCTATTGAGGTGCGTGATATCTATATTGCGCTGTGCCATAATTAACACACCTTCCAGCGCTGGTCTCCTCAGCAAGCCAGACTCCACCCCTTTATTACTGGTGAGCAGTTCACTGGAAGCTGGTCACCGCCCAACCTTCCCTCTGGAAACAAGTCGGGCTCTCCTTCAGGTTCTACTTTACACTCCAACAGCAGCGCTACCATGTCACCCAGCTCATCCTCACAATACAACGCCAACGCTAGCGCTATGCCAACAGCCGCTCCAGCAAGCGTACCTACCACACCCAACGTTGATCAGATGAGACCTTATGGCGGTCTCCAGACGTCAAAGTCACCTCAACGTCCGTCTTACCAATCTGCTCAGGCGTACAACCAGCAGTTGGCAAGCCAAAGCAACTATATGGGCCAGCAAACATCATCTCAAATGGCCAATGCTAATGCCTATAGAAATCCTTTCCCTCCTCCTCCCTCTGCTCAGACCAACAAAGCTCAACCTCCGCTTCCACCAGGTGCACCAAGATACCAGAAACAAAACGTCTATCCGGGTGAGTTGGATGGTTTGTTGGTGATCAAGTATGCTAACTTTACCTTGCAGTAAGCTACCAAACTATGCCACCACCACCACCACCACCTCAAACTAAACAATGGGGCTCAACGCAATCAGCTCACCCTGCACAGATGGATGTCATACCTCCGCAGCTCGCTAGAATCGCCGCCATGTCAAGTCACGAGAATCTCGGCAGAGGATCGTCGATGACACCAATAATCAACAGAGACGAAGCGATGCGCGAGTGGGAAAGACGTAATAAGCCAGTATCACTTGGAGGAGGAGGAAATGCCGGAGCGACGACGACAGCCGCAGTCACCACAACGCCTGGTGGGCACCAAAAGAGAAACAGTTGGCAGCAGTACCAGCAGTATCCGCAGCTTGAATATCTTCAGGAACAAGCTGAGAGGGCAGCGTCGCAGAGCTACATGAATCAAGCGAGGGCTTATGCAGGTGTAGGTATGGGTGTGGGAGCGAATGCAAGTGCACCACACCAACCCCCACCACCACCACCAGCTAGCAATATGAATGTCGTTATGGATCCCATGGTGAACATGCGCCCGGGTTACTTCGACAGCTACACGGCACCACCCCCATCTGGAAATGGAGATATGGGTGCGATGTATGTCCCTCTCGCACAGCCACAGAATAGCATGAGTATGAATATGTATAACTCTCAACCACCTACACCGTCAAGTTACCAATCTCCAGCTACTGCCCCCGTCAATCCGAGCGCACCTGCAAGCACCACCAACGTTAACGTTAACGCTAACAATAACGCTAACGCTTACATGATACCTCCACCACAATCTCACGCTCATCCTCACGCTCATCCTCACACTCACCCTCAAACTCACATGCATCCCCCAGCCGCGCCTCAGTCCTCCCTCGTCAGGAGCTACTCCAACTCAAATACCGCTTACTACGATCCTAGATACCCAAGACAGGCTAGGTGAGTGTGTCGCTGGACTACTTGACGAACATGACTAGAAGATGCTCGAATATGAAATTTCAAATGAGATATACAAAATGCTTCCCTGATGAATTCTTTTTTTTTTTTTCTCACACAATACTCTCATGTAAGATGAATGATTTTTTTAGATGTCTTGGTTGAATACAAGAAAAACATTAGTTTACCTCTTTGGACAGAATATCGTAGTAGTTGCCATTATTCAGAGCTAGATTCTGCATCAAAGTGTGGCTAACATCAGCAGCATCATCAACACCAGCTTGTACATGCGCGAACAGCTCACTTGCAAATTTTTCACTCGTTGCTATCCGTTCTGCTGAATCGCGCGCACCGGCAAGGTTGTAGCCAGAAGGGCCCAGCTGCAAAGCGGCGAGACCGCCAGTGACAAAGAGTGGTGTTTGGTGATCTCCAGGTATATCACTCTCCAATTCCAAATTAAGATTTTCCGTTATATGCGGCAGGCCCTGTGTGCTCTTAACTGGGTTCTCGCTGAGGAACTGTTTCAGAAAGTCTATTTTGTTTATGTCAATACTCGAGCCAGTAGCAGCGACGAGATAATCAAATTTGAGATTGTCCATGTGGTGCACGTGGGGTGTTTCGCGAGAGCGACTGGTATTCTTCCTAGTCACTGCACATACATCCCACAAACACTCATCGCGTACAAGCTTGGTTACTTGCGTACACGTGTGTATCTTGAGCACTCCGCAACTCTCCAGCTCGCGCAACCTCTTGTAGTAGGGTACGTTGACGCTGCCACCATTGCGCGCATTCTTGATCATCTCCATCCGCGCATTCATGCACTCCTCCTGCCAGAAAATCATCTTGTTCAAGTTCTGGTATTTATCGATCCACTGTGTGTCGAAATCGAACGGCTTGACGGAGATGTCTGAGCGAATCAAAAGTGTTATATCGCGCACGCCGTTCTTGTACGCTTTATCGACAACTTGCGCAGACGTGAGACTGTTGGGGAGAGTTAGAAGAGGCCGTTAATAAAGACAACTCACTCACCCTCCTCCTATCACTAACAGACGTGATCCTGGTTTTTGCAGGGCTGGTCCCGGGAAAGTATACCCAGGGCGCGCAAATACTGATGTGTGGCACCATCCTTCGCCCTCTAAACCAATCTGATTGTTATTGTGCGTTGTTTTGTCGCTGAGATAAGTTGGCAAATTTGCACAATTGTTGTTCCCTATAGCCAAAACGACAGTCTTGGCAAGGGCATGCTCGCCATCCTGCTTGATCACCTTGAAAAGTTTCTCAGGGTGGTTCTCGTCATGGTAGTCGTAGCTGAGGTTCGTAATTTCACCGTGCTCCACCACCCCATCCAACCCGTAATACTTCTCTATATCGTCGCGACAAAAATCGAAGAAACAGCCAGAAGTTGCCGTCTGGAAATCTTCCCGGTAGCGCTCATTAATTGGATCCTCGTTCGTCGCCCTCTTTCCGTTCTTCGCCTGTCGCTTCTTGTGCTTGCTCACCTCTTTGCCGACAACGCCGGGAATTTCCCTGAGGTGGTAATTGTTCGCGTAAGCATAGCTCAGTAAGGCGTCGACATCCCGAGGATTCGAGTGGAAGAACATAGGCGAGCGCATGTACTCTATTTCCAAACCTTTGAAGAGATTGTGAAAATTCGCACAGAACTTCTTCTCAGGCGTGCCGTTGGTGTGAGTCCATGGGCTTTTATCAAATACGCGGACGTTTAATCCACTCAGTGTGTTTCGATGTCTTATCAGTTTCCGTTTGTTGCCTTTAGGTCCACGACGGTGATTTTTCTGTTTGTTGAGAAAGGATAATCTGACATGCTCTAGGTCTGAATAGAGTGCACTGGGAGATGGCTCTAATAGACGACTGCATACTGCCAGCGAATGCGGGCCTGCGCCTATTACGATCACGTCACTTATCTCTGCTTGCTTCTGCTCTAGCTTCGGATTGACCATTTTTTAAGAGTGTTTGGGTGTGTTTGACGTATCGGTAATGAGAGCTGCGCGTGAAGCCCCTAAATGCTAAGCACGCCCATGTACCACCACCGTTATCGCTGCCGGACCATCACAGTAATGAGGTCATAGCAGTAATGGCTGATCGTGTGATGTTCTTAGTGAAATATGTACGTCTCCGTTTGCAGCTTTATGAAAGTTTTGGTCTCGAATCAGTTTGTCTTCTTCCCTCACCTCCCATGACCTCTAGGGAAGGCAAGTCAAACTTCCTACACACACTTCTGCCTTTGCAAAAGCTGACCTCGCTTAAATACAAGTCAAATACTCTAATAAATGCATAGTTTTAAAACAAAATCTACTTGTAAAATGGATATGTAGTATAGCCTTCAGCTTCGGTGGTGTAGAATGTCTCTGGATCCGCTTTGTTAAGTGGCAAGTTGTGTTTAGCCCTCTGTGGCAAATCTGGGTTAGCTATGAATGTTTTACCAAACGCAGTGATATCATCGGCGCGCTCAGATATCTCATTCGCATCCTCGAGCGACTTGTTCTGGTTGCTAATCACAGAGATCCCCTTGGCTCTGACGACGTCCTTGAGTATATCGCCGTGCTGAAGATCCTCAGGCGTCGATCCATCAATAAAGTGAATGTAAGCAAGCTTGTGTGCATACGTGTTGACAATCTTCTCGACCAATGGCTTGAAAGTGGATAGTGGTGAAAATTCTCCACGTTCACGCATGCCTTGGAACGTACCGAAGGGGCTCAAACGCAAACCAACGCGGTCAGCGCCAACTACTTGAACCACATTCTCAAGAACTTCTAGAGCAAATTTGTAGTCATTTGCAGCTCTGTACTCATCTGTGCGCTGATTAGATATATGCTGAATAAACTGGTCGATGAGGTAGCCATTTCTAGCGGCGTTTTAGTGGCGTTGCGACTGTTTGTAGAAACCACCTACGCCATGTGAACTTCTACACCATCGAAACCAGATTTTTGAACCGCATTAAGTGCAGCTTGGCGATAATGATTAATGTAACGCGCGATATCGTCTTTTGACATTTCGACGACGTCATGATTGTCGTATTGTCCGGCACTTGGTCCGACAACCTTGGCACCGACTGTCTGTGAAGGCTCAGGGTTAGCAATCCTTCCAAGGGCCCAGAGTTGCGAGAAGATGTAACCGTTCTTGTTGTGGACAGCTTCAGTGACCTTTTTCCACTGCTCGATCTGATCTTGGCTCCAAATGCCAGGCTCGAGATTTGCAAACGCGGAGCCAGTCTCCTTAGCGATCAAAGTCGCTTCGGAGATGAGCAAACCACCTTCTGTGGCTCTCTGCGAATAATAAGTTGGTACGATATCTTTTGGAACGCCTGGATCTCCATCAGCGCCCTTTTGGGTTCTGAGACGAGTCAAGGGTGCTAACGCGATTCTGTGATTGAGGTTGAACGCGCCAACTTGCTTGTTTTTGAATAAAGAAGCGTATTTTGACATTTGGATGTTGCAATAACTCCAAGGCGGTTAGAATTGATTATAAATCACAGTGAGTGCAGATTTTCACTCAAAGTTACCAAGAGAAGTTAGAAGTATCTGATAAACATTGATAGGTAATTCAGTAGCTCAAGAGAAATATTAGCCACATAAATTGCAACATGATATATCTCAACGATGATTGGTTGAATTATTTAAGGGACAACCCGGGTAAGGAATTGAATAGGACGATTGTATAAGTTTTTTGGAAGTATAAATAAATAAAATTGTCAAGTGATTTCATAGCCTTTGGAATTGAGTGTAAATTAAGGTTGAACCGGTACAATCAAAATGCTGAGAATAGCAAACGCAAATAAATTAATGAGATCAGGCTATACAGCCATTAGAACGTCTGCAAGGCTCGCGCAAGCCAATCCAGGCCACCTCCATGCAGATCAACCACCGCCACCTGCGAGGATGGACACCAAGCAATCAAGGCCTACAACTGAGGCTGGCTGGGATAAGCCACAGGCACACGGCTGGAGCACTCCTTCTACATCCTCTAAAGGCAAGGAAAAGGAGGTGGAATCGAACCAGGCTGCAGCACAACCAGCACAGCCAACAGGATCAACAGAATCACAATCATCTACAACCCCGTCCAAACCAAAATCCAGACTTAAAGCCCGTTCAGCTGCACTTCAATTGGTGAGCAACATGATTAATATATCGTTATCCGCAACTAACAAACGTCATAGTCCCAGAGTGCGGTTGAACAGCTTCGATTCTTAAGCTCATCTAGAGGCGAGCTATTGAGAGTTGGCGTCAAGAACAAGGGATGTTCTGGAATGTCATATCACTTGGAATATGTCGAAAAACCAGCCAGGTTTGATGAGGTGGTCGAACAAGATGGTGTAAAGGTCTTGGTGGATTCTAAGGCTCTATTCTCCATCATTGGAAGTACCATGGATTGGGTTGATGACCGGTTATCGTCAGTTACGCTTTTGCCACTCTATCTATCTAACAACGTTCTCAGATCCAAATTCGTTTTTAACAACCCAAACGTCACAGAAACGTGCGGATGTGGTGAATCTATGAGCTTTAGTTGAGCTTCTTGTGTTGTCTTTTATATCATTCGGCTATATCCGAAAAATTTCATTTTGCATGTATATGTTGATACATTTATACGTAACGAATTATTAACACTATGTTACATGGCTTATACACGTTGTACCGGTTTTTAACCTCTCACATCCTGTCGACAGCACTTGTCATCGGCTAAAGACGTGCACATTGGATACATCCAAATATTTATATATTTATAGATAAAAATAATTAAGAAATGTAAAATTCGCATGGGTATCTTTGAGCTAGATTAATAACGTACGAATAAGGGTTAGCATTATCGGTAGAGATGACAAGGCTGGTAAACGGTATTGTATCCAGTTGCACTGTATTGCATTGTAATGCGCTATCTTGCGTATATTATTGTGTGCGCTTTTTGACGTTGGTAGATAACCAAGACAGTCCTGAGCCTTGTCAGCGGATTCTGCACGGACGCGGATTAACCCACCTTCAAACAATCCTTCACCTGTAGTTGCACAAGATGGGTGCACGTACCAGCTACGCTCGCGCATTTTATGCAAACCGAGCTTTTCAGTAACTTCAGCAGGACTCATAGCTGTGGAGTTAGTGAGTATACAGTAGACGTGTCAAATAGCGCATCTTACCACCTGGTAAGTCTTGCTTGTTGGCAAAGACCAGCAACAGACAATCCCTCATTTCACGATCACCAAGTATTCTATGCAGCTCTTGCCTAGCTTCCTCGATTCTGTCGCGGTCTTGGGAATCGATAACGAACACTAATCCCTGTGTACCTGTATAGTAATGCCTCCATAGTGGTCTGATTTTGTCTTGTCCACCAACATCCTAAGGTTAGAGTCAGAAAGTGCAGCGCACCCAAACTCAAAACACACCCAAACGTTGAATTTTACATTCTTATACGTGACGGTCTCCACGTTGAATCCTACGGTTGGTATCGTTGTCACCGATTGATTCAGTTTCAACTTATAGAGTATTGTAGTCTTCCCTGCAGCGTCCAATCCAAGCATGAGCAAGCGTAGCTCCTTCGTCTTCCATAGGCTGCTTAAAGCCTTACTCAGATTTGATCCCATTATCTGCTATATCTAAATTTATTCCGTGGACTTTGTTGACCGAACTGAGTCAAAGCGTATTGTCAAATAGCGCAAAACGTCTCGGTTATTTGAAAAATAAATTATAAAAAACTATATTTATATTTTACATCTTTGGCTTTTTTGTTTCTTGTTCACTCAGGTCTTGCGACTGCTGCCTTTTTGTTCCTCCTTGTGTTGGTGTTGAGGAGGCTGAGGTGCTTGATTGGCCTACAAGCTTCTTGTAGATTTCTATTAATTGCGTATACTTGACTTCCTTTGGCCAAAACAGCGTCACAAAGTGCCAACCGTGTTTCCGCGTTCTTTCTTTATTCGTCGATGCTGTCATTAGCTCATCTATACGCGTACCAATTGAGCGAAGACAGTCTTTCAACAGCTGTAGCTTTTCTGCTCCCTTCAAAGTATCCACTTGATTTTTTAGTGACTTGAGCTGCTTTCTCACCGGTCTCATATCCTCCTTCATCGCATCCTCGTCCATTGACTCACACTCTTCGTCGCTTTCCACGCTCTCTTTCTTTACCACTGGAGACGAGTGCGATGGCTTTGATTGAGCTGCTCTGCTTCCTTGTGCTGCTACTCCCTGAGGTGGACCGGCTGCTTCCATTTGCTCCTTTGCAATAAAGTCCTTTTCGAGTGCCTTCTTCAACTCACTCAGTAGGTAGTCACTTCTGCGAACAAGGTGTACTGCATTAGGTATCTTTTTGTCTTCTTTCTTGGTCTTTCCTCTGCCCTCCTCTAAGAAGAGTTTGCCCTGTAACCCAAGTTCTTTATCGTTGGCGATAATTTCCCAATTGCCTAAACACCTGTCAGTAAATTTTAAATCAGCCAACGACCAAACATACCCAGTCCATGGCGCCAACATCCAACCAAAAGCATTGCATCATCTTTAGCAGTCCATCTTGAATTCACGTTAGCAACATATTAAACTGACTCTGTTCAACACCCACTCGCATGCCCATCCAACAACTGATTTCAACTTATCTACCGGTATACGCCAGCTCAAATGATTACCGACACTACTCAACACATCATGAAGGAAGCTTAGCTCTTTGTACCGCACGTAAGTTGTCAGTGAGTTAACGCCTTGTATGCTCTTGAAAGAAATTAGAATTGCTTTCTGACGATCGTTTTGAGTTATGCTTTCACCAGCTTGAGCACGGCTCTTCAACTCCATGTTGTGTTCATCAACAGCTTCCTTGCATCTGTTTAGCAAGTCATCGGATGTTTGGATAAGAACTGTCCTATTCTTTCCTTCAAGTTTACTGTCTTTGACGATATCATCCATGCGAATTCTAATATCACCGAATCTGGTTATACCACGAATCAAATTTCGCAGATCTCTTTCCTTCAACTCGATAGCACGCTGAGCTGTTGTCTTCTTCGGTATTAGTGGTGCTTCCTTTTGCGGTGCCTTCTTTGGAGGTGATGGTGCATCCCCAGTCTTATATGTTCCTGGTTGAACCTTTGATGCAGCTCTTTTACCATACTGCTCCTGCATCTCTTCTTCAGTCTGTTTCCGAAGCTCCTCCTTCTGTTCCTCATCGAGCTTGTCACGCTCTTCAGCCGGAATAATATCCTCCCCTGTGAAAAAATCACGTCAGCATACTCACAGCACAATAAAGCAAACTCACAGCTAGTATCATTCTTTATATCTTGTACCTGGAATTGCTGCAAGAAATCTTGTCCACCAAGAGATGATCCACCAACAGCTTTGTCACTCTCCAAATCTTCAGCACGAGCGAGCAAGTCGTCAAGATTAAGTTCAGCAAGTTTTTTGTTTTGCTCCTTGTCATCAGTCTTGAACATGTTCTGTGCACCGAATTTCAAGATAGCAGACAATTCTTCTTTCGAGAAATTGTCTGGTTGTTGCTTTGCTGATTTAGGTTGACCGATGTTTTTACCAGAAGTATCAACTTGATTAATAATAGCATACTCTAGAACCATTTTTCTCTTTGCACGCTCAAGAATATCCTCCTCCATAGTATCTTTGCTAACGAATCTGTAAATACTGACGTGGGATTTCTGTCCAATTCTGTGAGCTCTTGCCATTGCTTGTAAGTCATTTTGTGGATTCCAATCACTGTCAAAAATGATAACCGTGTTTGCTGTCTGTAAGTCGATACCTAGTCCACCAGCTCTTGTAGACAGAAGGAATGCAAAGTCAGGAGAATTATCCGCATTAAAGTGATTAATAGCTTTTCTGCGTTGCTCTGATGGAATTGTACCGTCTAATCTTTGATGCATATACCCACGCAACGATAGATAGTCAGAGATGATATCGAGCATACGGACCATCTGTGAGAAGATAAGAACTCGATGACCATCGGCCTTAAGACGTGCAAGTAACTTATCGAGCAGTACCATTTTACCAGAGTTCATAACGAGACCCTTGAGGATCTCTTCTTTCATGCTAGCTGATCCTTCAGCGCCATCGAATAAGTATGGGTGGTTAGAAGCCTTCCTCAAGTCGTTGGCAATGTTCATCATCGACATAGCAGGACCACTACCTTCTGAGCCCTTCAATGCAGTAAAGTTTTTAGTGAGTATATTACGGTAGTAGTGAGTTTGCAAGCTGGATAACTCTACACGTAGAATACGTTCAGACTTTGTTGGAAGTGACTTGATCACATCTCTCTTTAATCTTCTCAACATAATATTCTTCAATTGATCGTGCAGCTGTCCAATCTTATCCTCACGATCCTCATCTGTCAACTCAAAATCACCTGTGATTTGGTACCTTTCAGGCATCAAGAAGTGCATCAGTGCGGATAATTCCTTAACGTTATTCTGAAGCGGTGTACCAGTGATGAGCAGCTTGGAATTTGTGACAAAACTGAAGAGCGTCTCATATAACTGAGACTCAGAATTTTTGAGACGATGAGCCTCATCGACGAGCAGTGCCTGCCATCTCATTTGACCCAACTCAGTACGGTCCTTCAGGCAAAACTCGTATGTAGTGAGCAAGACATTAAATTTGAGTTTTTTTATTTCACCAAACTCATACTCTCTGATAACCTCACGAGACTTTCCAGAACCATTGTAGCAAACGACGTTCAAGTCTGGTGCCCACTTTTGAAATTGAGCTTGCCAGGCCGGTATGGTCGATAGAGGGACTACGACCAAGAAGGGACCATATTGCTGTCTTTCGTGGAAAAGCCAAGAAATCCAAGCGATAGATTGAACAGTCTTACCGAGACCCATCTCGTCTGCCAAAATACCTGATTCCATTCTAGACCAGAGATAAGCGAGCCAATTCAAACCAGTCATCTGATAATCGAGTAATTCACCACCAGTAGATTGAATGTAGTTAGGGGACTCCATTAAAGTTCTAAAAGCAGGTCTGGATCTGTTGTAATTGGCAGATCTGTTTGGAAGAGTTGTTGAAGCAGTTCTGAGAAGATAAGCGTCGATCTGCTCAGGAGCGTATTGGACAACATCATCATGCTTCTCCCAGGTACACTCTGAGTACTGCAGACCAGTCCATTTGCAAAAGTATTCTGTAGTCGTACCACTGTCTCGCTGGTCGAGAATGCGCTCCACCTTCCTGTACATATCAACGAGATCTCTAAGTCTCTCTTTTTCCATCTCAACAATTTCAAAGTCTTCCTTGTTCTGTTCGCGGTGGCGATAAATTTCATGCTGGTAATTGTAGATGTTTTTGATGTAATTATCGACTCTCTTGATACCTTTGCAGCGTTTAAGGAACTCATAAGTCTCGTCTGTGTTGTGATGGTGAGAGAAGCCTCTCCACTTGATGTGGAATCTAATGTTCTCGTAAGGATCGTCATCCTCATCGGGGGAATTAGTTGCATCCCTCGAGTGACCGAATACAGTTTCAATCTCGTATTCCGACGGTTTATCACCAACTTTAGGTTCTTCAACGGGAACCGTATCAGCTTCGAAGCGTTCACTTTCATCTGTTTCAAAACCGGCGATGGCTTCTTCGTTGTAATTTCTCACGCCGTTATTACCTCTAGAGGATGCTCTAAAAGCACCAGCTTCGTCATCATCATCCAGGCTATCATCCTCATCGCTTGATTGAGCGCGCTGTTTAGTTCTTTGGCGTTTCTTTGAGGTGACTGAAGTGAAGTACTCGTCTTCAGAGCTTTCGTCGAAACGAGGTGGAGGCGCTTCCCTATTAGCCGCTCTCCTCTTGCTACCTCCACCGCCTTTCCTCGATTTGCGCTTGGGTGATTCATCGTAATCATCCTCGTCATCGTCTAAAAACTCATCCAAGTATGTCGGATCCATCGATTGATTTTTTGCTGATCTTCCCGATCTCCGCAGACCGTATAAATCTGGATCAACGTAATTCAAGTCGATCTTGTCGGCTGCGTCTAGTGGCTCGTCCTCTATCGGCGCAGGCACGGCACCTTGTTGATTAAGAGGCGCGTCTGATTCTCCTTCTGCATCACCAGAACTGGAGCTGTTCTGCGCTGCGTGTCAGTGTATCTCCTAGCCGCTATATCTCTCCTCACATCTCCCATGTCCATTTTCATATCTGTATGATCTGCCATTTTTATTTTAGCCCACGTAATCTCTATCTACAATAATCTCTTACTTTCTGCTATCATCCGCCTCGTCGTCGACGATGAAGCGGATCGAGGCGGTGACGACGACGATGCGACGACATTTTTTGTTTTATGCGGGGGACATAACAAGCAAACAAAGCAATTCATGTAAAAATTCAGCGCCAAGATAACAAAAGTGTAATTTAAAGATTATGTATGTACCTCCATGTATTTGTCCCAGACGGCCTATGAGTGTGCGTAAGTGTGTGCTAGCATTATCGACCTCTTGAATCCTACTTACCTTCTCGACGTCCTTCCTTGCCGGCTGTCTGCCAGTCCACAGCCCAAACTGCTTAAATCCCTGTTCGAGTAGAATAGTAGCTCCAGGTATACCCACCCAGTGAGCTGCACTCTCCGCCAACTCCAGCAGAGGCGTCTTGAATGGTTTGTACGACATGTCAATCACGACTCCCGACGTGCGTCCGAAAATGCTTTTTGGGAGGAAGATTCCCTCTCTGTTTCCTACCTCGCAAGTCGTAGCAGATGCTGGAATGCATGAGACGATTACTTGTGGCTTGCTAGTGACACTGTTAAGATCATCGAGCACTCGTATGTTGAATGACGGAAACTCCTTCGCAACGCTTTCCGCATTCGCCCGCGTACGATTGTATAGATAGATACTACCACATCCCAAAGCATGCAACGCATACAGAGCTGCGCGACACGTTCCTCCAGCTCCAATAACCAGTCCGGCCGACTCCGCAGTGATTGGATCATTCCCACTGACAGACGACTGCGCACAGCTCCTGATAGCTTGCCAATCTGTGTTATCACCGAACAATTCTCTCCTCCCATTCAGCCCTTCCCTCACAACAACCGTGTTGACTGCTCCAATTGCCTTGGCTGGCATAGACAGAGTGTCAAGTTTACTGAGAATGTTCACTTTGTGAGGGATAGTCACTGAGGCACCACCGAATTCTTCACTATAAAGCAACTCATCAACACTCTCATCAAGCTGCTCTCCCTCATGCAGACCATACACATATGGAAGTCCCAACTGCTTGAATCCAGTGTTGTGAAGTGTAGGTGATTGAGACTGCTTAATCGGACATCCGAGCAGATAAAACTTTTTCTGTGGAAGTTGCCCACTAAGATGGAGTGCTTGCTGAATTTCCCTGAATGAGAGCTGCCCAGGTGCCGCTTTTGAGGGCAGCAGCTCATGCGTCACTGGAGTGAGAACGTAATTCATAATCCTGCTCAATTGTCCCACCACGCCCACATTGAACGCCAGCACTGGCGTTGATGATGGTAACTTATTGAGGAATTTGAATGCATCAAAGTTGTCCTGGATCGAGTTGGCGCGACCGACGAGTTTAACTATGTCTCCGTATTTAGCACCCGCGTCAAATTTGGCTCTCATCTCAACTGACTCCCACTTGAAGTCACCAGGGAAATCATGCATCGAAGCAATAATCTTGGAATTTCCCTTGCGTTCGACTATACCCCCGATAAGCGAGTCAGGGAGATTAAGTTCGACGTCCACAAATTCACTACCGAGAGCGACACCCAATTCAATTAAAGCAGCTATATCTTCCAGCTTATCATCAGGTATCATCCCACCCTGGCTATGAGTCCTGACAGTATAAATAATTGGCAGGGATGTGCACTGTCTAAGTGCGGAGAGCTGAAGAGATACGTACTCCGCCGATGGTACGTTTGGAGTAACGGGAGCCTTGCCATCTTCCGATAACAGATCGACGCGCACCTCAAGTGCATCGACGCCTTCACTCAGTTTATCGAGAATAGGCAGCGCCTCAAACAGATCCGGGTATGTGAGCGACAAGAAGTAAGTTCTTCTAGCATATACGTCGACACTATTGACATCATCTCCCGAAATAAATTTGAAGAATCGCTTTATTTCCCTGACCTCTGAACGAAGCATGCTGTTGGAGAGATCCGTGTGCTTTCCTGACATTATTTCGTTCACGCGCGCTTGGAGAGTGAGATGATTGATGAAGCGATGTGTGGCGCACTCGAGGAACCATGGTTTGCGGCGGTGCAAAACATCTTTGACTGCATCACCACTCGCATACGCCGGACGTGACTTTTCATTTTGGAGGTAGTTCACTATCTCACCTTCGTCGCGCTCGACGTAGACTACTGGCCCTCCTTCTTTGTCGGCGGCATAAGCCTTCAGAAGCTCGCGCGCTTCGGCTGTCTCCACAACGCCACCGCCGAGAGAAATAACGTAGCCTTGTGAATGCTTCTCTATTAGTTTTCTTAATACGTCCAACTCTGCCTTTCTGAAAGCGTCCCAACCGAATTTTTGGACGTAGTTGTAGACAGGGACTTGGGTGTCTTCTTCAAGAATAGCGTCCGCATCTAAGAACTTCCTGTTGAGAGTACCAGACGCCAGCTTACCAACTGTTGTCTTTCCACTGCCACGCATACCGATAATGAAAATAGAAGCATCGGGGATGTAAGCTCCGGAGGGAGCGGCAGCGGGCACAGGAGCAAGCTTAGGGGAAGGAGGGCCAGCGACTGGATGAGCGTCAACACCACTAACTGGTATACCGATCTGAACGCAATTAGAAAACGCCACCAATATCTACATCTACCCACCTTATTTTGAAGATCGTCCCACCAATTTGGCCACGTTTTCTCAACACAACGCTTTTCATCTAAGATTGTTCCGGCGACCTTTTGAGCCAAGCACGAGAAAGCGAGAGCTACACGGTGATCATCATAACAATGAACGACAACCTCAGTGTTGAGCTCCGAGGCTGGTCTCGGGAAGATGGTGATAGAGTCAGGATCTTGCTGCGTCCTAATACCGAATTTGGCGAGTTCATCAGCCATAGCTTGAATACGCTCGCATTCCTAGGACCATGTCAGCTTAGAAGAAAGAATTATCAACAACGCACTTTTTGACGCTGATTAGCAATACCGTAAATACGCGTCGCATTGCCCTCCTTTTTCACTCCAGATGTAGACTCGCCTGTAGCGACAGCGAGGACGCACGACGCGGTGAGGAAAGCATCCGTCATGGTCTCCATATCAATGCTACCAAGCGCCCTAAGTGGCTCAGAGGGTCCGGTTACAGTAGTATCGGTCGTGGTCTGCACTACCCTGCAACCCATTGGCTCCAGTACATTCTTCGCAAAGCCAGCATCACCTTGCAAACTTTCACTGCCAATGTTTTGAATGGTCACCGTTGTGCCTGTGAGCGCAGCAATAGCGGCGGGGTAGGTAGCGCTCGAGGCGTCACTTTCCACGTTGTATTCAGATGGGTTGGTGTAGGTAGTTTTTGGAATTTTGTAAACATTGAGCAATTTACCACCATCGTCTTTAACGCGCTCCACATTAACGCCGAAATCTTTCATCATTGAGATAGTCATATCGATGTAAGGCTGTGAGATCACCTGACCGCCGACCAACTCAAGTGTGATGGCTTCGCTTGCGTAGGGCGCACAAAGAAGGATAGAAGAAACGTATTGCGATGAAACGGTAGCAGCTAGTTGGATATGACCACCAATCAAGCCGCTCTCTTTGCTTGCGATATGGAGTGGGAGGGCGCCCTCGCTCTCTAGATAACCAATATCGGAGCCATTGCTACGTAAAGCATCAACGAGTGGTCCAATTGGACGTTGTTTCATACGCGCATTACCAGTGATGACTGTGTGTTGCTGTCTTTCAGTTGGCTGGACGAGGGTACACACAGTAGTCAGGAATCTTGCAGCCGTACCAGCGTTTTGGAGGTAAATTTGTTTACCGTCATCAGGAGGATTGAGGTGGCCTTGACCACCCTGAATGACTAGTGTGTCACCTCCATCCTCGAACGCAAAGTTGGCGCCGTGAAGGTCGTTTAGCGCCGACATCATAACCTTGGTATCATCGGAATGAAGAAGATTACGGATTTTAACAGTGCCCTTACCGAGGGCTGCAAGTACCATCACACGATTACTGATGCTCTTGGAACCGGGGGTGGAAAGTGTAAAGTTCTTTGGAGGGCTACCAGCTTCTACGCGCACGGCCGAAGAGAGTACACGGCGAATAATGTCGTCTTTAACAACTGAAGCTTTTTGTTCGACGGTGCTACCAATGTTTCCCAAAAGAACAATCTTTTTGTTGCTACCTGCATTCTTTTTGTCGACGGCCATAATTTCGATCAAGCGATCGACGGTGATGTTGGTAGATTTTGGAAGACGGGAGAATAAAGCCTCGTTAGTGCTGATTGGAAGATTAAAGGCTTTGAGACAGCGTGAAATTCTGCCCACGGCGACTTGAGATAGATGACCCAAAGCTCTAGAAACCTCAGCTTCAAGAACCATTCCAACAGATATACATTCACCGTGTAAAACATCTGGAGCGACGATAGCTTCGATAGCATGACCAATAGAGTGGCCAAAATTGACAAGATTTCTGAGGCCGGTTTCACGCTCATCCACTGTGACGACGTGAGACTTGACGGCGATAGAGCCACTGACGACTTTTAAGATGAGGGATTGTTCTGGTGTGCGATTTGAGATGTGGCGACCGAGAAACTTGTGCTGAGGCGAAGAAGAAGGCTTAGAGACAGCAGAGAGAATAGCAGGGGCGTTGTTTTCCAAATCGGAGAACTCCTCAGCGTTCCAAATGGCGGCAGTCTTGATAACTTCAGCCATGCCGTTGCTGACTTCTCTCTGAGGCAGGGTTTCAAGCATAGAAATATCAATGAAGATGAATTTAGGCTGCCAGAAAGCGCCGATTAGGTTTTTACCAGCGGGGACATCGATAGCAGTCTTGCCGCCGACGGAGCTGTCAACCATAGCGAGAAGGGTGGTCGGTATTTGAACGAAAGGGACGCCGCGCATGTAAGTAGCAGCTAAGAAGCCAGAGAGGTCGCCAACGACGCCACCACCCAAGGCAATGACTACGGTGTCCCTAGTGAGCCTGTGAGAGAACATCCAGTCCTCAATATCTTCCTTGACAGCGCGTGATTTAGAAGATTCGCCGGGGCTGACGACGTAGCTGAGAACTTTGGCGGTGGAATTAGAGGCAGAGAGAGAGGACTTGAGATGGCTAACAAGAGAATTCAAGTGTAATTTCTGAATATTCGAATCTGTGATAAAGACATAGGCGGATGACCTGAGCTGAGTGGAGATGGTTTCTGCGATGTACTCGGAGAGATGGAAACCACAGTGAATAGAATTATTGCCGAGGATTTCAACTTTATTTATTGAGTAATTTGAGTTATTTTCACCCATCATTGGATGATTGTACTGTGTAAAGGGAATTTAAACGGATTTGGTTTAATTTATTCGTGAAATCCCCGTCATTGGATTCCTCAAGGCACACGGCATTCAAAGACATATAAACTTAAATTTTCAATATACATTCACGGAATACCCCAGCCCTCTAAGTCTATCACAATTTTCATTGGTTTCCTTATACGCTTGCTGCAATTTTTCATCATCCTTTCCAATCCCAAAGAAGCCACTGTAGCGCTCTATTCTCTTATCTCTATCTTGCAACCAATACTTACACTTCCTACCAAGCCTCTGAGCTAGCAATCTCTCAACTTCATTACTAAATGATTGTGGTACTTGACTGGTTTGTGAGTATGGATGATTCCTCCACTGAGATGGATTGACAAAGTACTTAACATCATTAGGGAACCCTGTGGACTTCTCCATCGAGTAGAAAACTGTTTTGTCTAATGAGAATCCAGGTGCTGGTACTGAAAAGAGTGATCCTAGTAGTGAAGGTAGGTAGCTAAGCAATGTGAATCCGATTAGAATCAGTATTGGAAGTATTTGTTGTATCATTGACTGTGGTTGTGCTTGTTGCTGTCTAGGATATCTACGGGTATTAGTGTATGAGTTCATTCCTGGTCCGCCAAATCTCATGTTGAAGCCTTTCTTCACTTAGTTCATGTCTTTATCAATAATCACTCAAACTCACCTGGTCCACCAAATGAAGTTGCAAACGGACTACCACCGAATCCACCACCACCACCACCAAATCC